AAATCATCTACTGCAAGGGCGCTCAAAATGTAGTTGCTGACGGCTTGTCATGCTCATTCATATTGCAACCCGACAACATAGTATATACAGTGTCACAGTCAGGCAAGGTGCCTCACATGGCACTGATCCCACTGACAGGACTGACTGCACCAGCTATACTGCCAAATGATTCCCCACTGAACAACATGAATAAAAACAATAATGCCGCACATACATCCATACCTATACCCATACCCATACCCGATATCACAACAACCACTCCAGCTGCACAGACAACGAATTTTCCGCCAATGCCAGCTGTGGTCGACAGAGCATATTTGACTGCCAATGAGCACAGAAAACTAAACTGTGCTGAATATGTGCACAAGTCATTGCACTATAAGAACTATTAATGTGGATGTCATGCTGAAGCCGAAACAGAAGCCAAGCAAACACAGGAGACAGTTGCTGCAGAAATGATGAGTGCAGCCATGGAGACTGACCAGCCAAAGGACAACATGCACAACAATGACCTGATAGACTGACTTGACAAATGGAAACTGTGCACACTGTTTGTGCCACGCACAACAGCCGACAGCATGGAGGTTCAGCTGCTACACGACAATGCAACAATGCCTTGCAAGACATATCCAACTGATGCCAGATTTGATGTATATTGACCAACCAAGTTTGTGCTTGAGCCCAAGGTCCAATGCCTTCTCCCATTAGGCATTGCTGCCAAGGCACCAATAGGCACATACCTATGCATTGCCCTGCATGGTAGCCTGGCTGCTAAAGGTGTTGTGGTACTTGGAGGCATAGTTGATGGGGGCTACCATGATGAAATTTCAGTACACCTGTTCAACACAGGAGATATAGAGATTCCATTTGTTGCACACGACTGCATAGCACAGCTGATTCCAACCAAGATTGCACACCCACACATTACTGAGGTCGAGTCCTTTGAGGAGACAACCCATGGAGTCAATGGATTTGGCTCTTCAGGAAAAGGGAGGAGGATAGCAGTCTGCATGGCTGCTGTTAAAGTGTTAACGCTGAAGACAAGTGCAAACCCTGAGAACTCCTACAAGGGTGACAGCAAGCTGGAGAGGATTAGTAGTGGTGAAGAACCAATGTCCAGAGCTGAGCATGATATTACAAACAAATTCCATCCACAGGGTGGTGTCCTGTTCAAGAAAGGACGCCGATGTGTTGGAGCAAAGCAAGGCAGATCACTACTGCTGGCCAAGTTCCATAATGCTGAAATATGCCCAGGTATAAAAGTGACATATGACAAGCTGAGCAAACTATTTTACTGGCCAGGCATGTATGTGGATTGTGAGAATTATGTCACATGTGACCTGTGCCAAAGAGTCAAAAACAGGAACAGGCCAAGTGATGGACTGCTACAGATCCCATAATGCAATTGGGCAAGCATCAGAATGAACTTCATTGTCAGCTTACCTAAGACAAAGGACTGATATAATGCAATTATGGTCGTCATTGACTGCCTGTCCAAGATGGCACACTTTGTACCAACACACAATGCTGCAACTGCCCAGACAACTGCCTACCTATACTTCAAGACCATCTATTGCCAACATGGTCTGCCTGAGTCCATAATATCAGACTGTAATCTAAAATTCCGCTCTGTATTCTGGATGGCACTGTAGAAGCAAACTGGAACATAACTCAAAATGTCCACTACCAGTCATGCACAAACTGACAGACAGACTAAGCGTGTGAACTAGGTACTGGAGTCAATGCTGCATGCAACATGCAACAATTACCAAAACGACTGGAACCAACATATAATGCATCCAGAGTTTGCCTACAACAGTCACAGCAACAGCTCCACACAGCACAGCCCATTTTATGCGAATTATAGCTTCCAATCACTAAATGCTGCCACCATTGTCTTCAACATGAAAACTGCCAAGCCCAATACTGACGTTGATGAGACAATCCTGAAGATTAAACAGATTAGCAAAATAGTCAAGGAAAACATCAAATTTGCACAGCTGCACATGATCAGATACCACGACAAAAAGATAACCTCACCCAACATTGCACCAGGTGATAAAGTAATGATCTTGACGAACTTCACAACACCATCTTACCTGTGTAACTAGTCCAGCAACTCACTGCAACATAAATGGGCTGGGCCCTACAAGGTCAAAGAACAGATCAGCTGAAATGCATTCTGCCTCAAACTCCCACTCGACATGCACATTCACCTGGTCATATCATGGTCATATCATGGTCACACCTAAAAAAATATCATGCTGCTGACGATCACTGTGCTGCACTCCACTCTGAACCACCACCTGTAGAAGTTGCAGGACATCTCGAGTATTGTGTTGAAAAAATTGTCGACGACTGTGTGTGGAGGTGAAAATGCCAGTACCTGGTACAGTGGGAAGGATATGGAATAGAAGGACAAACATGGGAGGATGAGTAGCGTGGATGGGACAGAAGCATATGAATTATATTTAACCATGTGTGGTATTGCCAAGACTGACAGTGATCTTAAGTAGGGGCGAATGTGACATCAGAAATGGGGGCTGGGGCACGTGACAGCACAGACGCATGAAATATGTTTATGATATTTCACACATATAGCGAATTCCAGATAGTGAGCTCTAGCTTTTTTTGTAGTCTCATTCAGATTAATATTTATTATAACCAGCAAAATTACTCATTACAAACAACATTAATTAGTTCTCTCTCTTCTCTTTTCCTAATTTCTAGAATATAGTTTCTGTTGGAATTCCGTCTCGCATACTGTAAGATGATTGCAAGACCAGAGGTTTCTAAAGTATCCTTCTGGTTTATTTATAACTTTCTTATCTTCACTCACTGTCTCCTATATAAGACAGCTTTCCTCAGTCTCTTCACTTTCTTTCTTTAGCTTAGAACTTTATCTTTTTCTTCCTTATAAATATAACTTGCAAACCTTCTCTTTGCTCAGCTTTGCTCGTTTTTCACAGTTTCAAGTATGTTTATTGGATTCACTTGTTAACATTCTATATAAGAGACAGCGAGTGAAGATAAGAAAGGTAAATAAAAGAGAAGGATACTTTAGGAACTTCTGGTCTTGCAATCATCTTACAGTATGTGTAATAAAACTTATTTGTACTAACTAATTTTATTAAAAATCCACTATAAGGGAGCTTAAAGAGCTCCGCTTATCTATTCGAAACTATCGCCCGTGAAAATAGAAATCGCGATCGTAAACAATCACAATTTCAAACAATCGCAAATTCCCAATTGCGATTGTCACGTGACATTGCAATAATTGATGTCACAGTATGCAAGAACGGAATTCCACCAGAACGGAATTCCACCAGAACGGAATTCCAACACACTCCTGGTGGATCTGGTATGATCTGCTGTCAGTTTTTTCGATCATAGTTTGGTTGCCTGCACAAGTCGCAAGAACTTTATGTTAAAAATATATATTTGAACTAAAAGAAAGCTGAGAGATGAACAGCCTCCACTGTTCATATTCATTAGTATTTATATGTGCATATGAATTCCCGCATGTCCAGGTAGGGAATTAACTGGCGATTGATTCATTAATCAATCGCCAGAGACAAGCCGCAATTTCTTGTATCACAAACTTGCTACTCTTAGAATGCAATGCCTCTGCCATATACTGGCTGTTGGTGAAGTGCGATTTCTTGGTGGGAGTATCTAGTTCATGTCTGTCTATATCCATAGCTATGTTTTTTTCCATGCCAGCCGTCTCTTATTCTCCCCATACCCAAACTCATCTATGAGTGTTTCATTGGGGTCAGCAAAAGTGGTCTCCACTGCCGATGTGATCTGGAAAAAAGCTTCTAATAACTTGTCCAGGTGCATAGGTCTATAATTGGTCCCCACAATGGGTGTTCAAGGGGAGTTGTTTGGGTGCTTCTTTGGTGTTTTCTTAGTTTTCCACTTAATTCGTTCCACAATAATATTCAATTTTCATCAAAACCAAAATCAAAATGCCTGAGTCTGATCTTAAATAGGGGCGAATGTGACATCAATCAGGACATTATCTCAAGACAACCACGACTGTTTACAAATGAGGTTGTGCTTTATTGTTTACGGATGTCGATTATTTAGGGTGAGATTCTTCAGCTACCCTATAATATATATCTAATAGAAATTTCATTGTTACTACAATTCTAGCAATAATAACACCTGCTCAGCAAATATACTCGCGCTTGAAGCACTTGGCCGCTTGTTATTGTTAAACGAAATGAAAGTACATTTTTAACAATACTGATTATTGTGGTCTATTATTTCATCTTAAGGCTATTTTTTTCTAACCACTATGGCAGCGGTGGCTTGTACACTATATATTTTTAACAATAACCAATACATTATTCAGATGAGGTGTGTTTCCTGCCTTTGACCTAACAATTGATTAACAGTGATTGTAGACATTTGTTTAATTGAAGGCAGTACATTATAGAAGATATATCATTTAAGCCACAAAATAAAACAAGAAACCCAGTTAACATTAGCAGCTGGCTACAGCTGATAGTTGTGGATGTGGTTAGCACTTGCTTATTGACGCATCTCTCATCTCCCATCTCTCACTTCAGTGTTTTGCTTAGGAAACATTTAAACATATTTATTGCTTTATTACCATCTCTTCTTGTAAAATTACAATTTTGCACACAAAGCACATGCTGGTATCTGTTGCAATGATGGCAGGGCTTGCAGCCACAGCTGTTGCCGCTGTACTATCCGTAGAGCAGGATTCTGGCTACCACTACATCACTCCCCAAAAGCGAAACCTGATCATGATGGTTTCTGACGGCTTTGGATCAGCATCGGAGTCAATGGCCCGTGGCTATGTCCAGCAGATGGACAACAAGCCATATGAATGGCTCAGTGCGCTTGACAAGCTCTATGTTGGATTATCACGCACAAAATCCGCAGATACTCTGGTCACTGACTCGGCAGCTGGTGCGACAGTGTTTAGCTGCGGAAAAAAAACTTACAATGGGCGATAGGCGTAACCTCTGACGAAAAGCCCTGTGGGACTGTTTTGGAGGCAGCTAAGGATGCAGGATACACGACAGCTCTGGTGGTGACATCTCGGATTACCCACGCTACCCCCGCGGCATTTGCTGCCCATGTTGTCGACCGAGGCATGGAGGAGCTTATAGCCCAGCAGCTGGTTGGAAACAACACATTGGGAAACAAAGTAGACTTGATGTTTGGCGGCGGAAAGTGTTTTTTCCAACCAAATAGACACCAGGCAGCTGTCGAAGTGATAGTATGGATGTTTGGCACTAGCTAAGGATTCTGGGTACACATCAGTCAGCACCCGCGCAGAGTTTGACATGCTCGAAACGTCACAACCCTGCCATTGATTGGACTGTTTACCCAGGGACACATGGCATACAATATTGACCGCAACCCGACTGTTGAACCCTCGCTGACCGAGATGGCTACGAAGGCTTTAAATATTTTGCTTGAACACACTCGCGACTCACCGACTGGCTTCTTTATCATGATTGAGGGCTCACGTATTGATATGGCGGGCCATGATAATGATCCCACTGCACATTTGCATGACATTATTGAGTACTGGGAAACCGTCACCGCAGTGCAGGGCTTTGTCGATCGCCATCCAAATACAGCAATGGTGAGCACGTCGGACCATGAAACGGGTGGCTTGACCCTGGGCGTTGATCCTGAATATGTTTGGCACCCTAGGCATATGCAGGGCGTCAAAAAATCGGCTGAGGTTATATGCGCCGAGCTGCGACAGATGTTGCCCGACAAGCGCACTGGGTTTGCCCAAAAGGTAGTTATTCCAGAATACCTTGGTATCACCAAGCCAGCAACCAAAGCGTCGCACAGATCGTGAATGGCGCGGCCAAGGGTGAGGTTGAGTGCAAACATGCTGTCGGACATGTGGTGTCCAAATTGGCGCATCTGGGCTGGTCAACAGGCGGCCACACTGGCGCCGATGTCGGGCTATATGCATATGGCAAGGGCACTGAGAGTTTGCGTGGAAACATTGAGAATACACAGGTCGGCGAATTTCTGGCACGTTATCTTGAGGTTGATCTGGACCAGATAACCCGCCGTCTGGAAAATGAGACCACTACACACCGGGATATGTTTGGGCCCGGAATTGCCATCAATAGTAAAACGGGAGGACAGACACCCAAACAGCCATGACCACGAGTGTAACGACGACACTTTTTCACCTCACAGCATAGACGTATATCATCAAACTATCACTTGTAGCAGGCGCATGCAGGACAAATGTCAATTGAATAAACGAGCAACAAATTTAGTATCATCATGTAATATTATATTTATTATAATATATGTGGAGAGTCTATTGTACAAATTTGAAGTCAAGAAAAAAGGTTGTAATCATATTTTAAAGCTACGCCTTTCGGCAACATGCTATCTGCAAACTATTCCTTTAGCAGGGCAGTACGAGGCGACTTTTTTGTGCGGCGGATTGTGTTTTCGAGTTTGCGTCGACGAATGTTGCAGAACCAGTTTTTTATTTGCATCTTGGTTAGCCCAGTCAAACTCATCAGTCGTTGCTTTTCACAGGTTGTCGGGTATGGCTCTTCCTTGTGCTTCTCGAGCCAGTCGTAAAGTATTTTATTGATGCAGTTGCTGTACCCCTTGGGAGTAATGTTTTTTTGTGGGCTGTCGGACCGACGAATAGAGCTGTAGCAAATGTTTTCCTTATTATCTGCCTCAAAATGGTGTATTTTCGTCAAATTGGCTCTCAATTGCTGGGCTGTGTTGTATTTGTTCTTGGGCCTGCGCTTGCGCTGCGACCTGTGCAATGGCAGCTTCCGACATATCTCGGGGCACATATACTGCATTGCGGCGCTCTCGATTCATGGTGATCCGCGCAGAAAGGTAGTGGTGGTGCATATCCACTGACGGCTGTGGGGTGACCTCTTGCACAATGTATGCCTGCGGCATGTCCAATGTGACTGGAGATGTGGTATCAATGGTAGTGTGAAGATTAAAGTGTGGTGGCTCTTGAAACGCAAACGGCAATGGGCTGTCGGGCATAGCTATCACGGAGGTCAATGGTAGTGGGGCAGGAGACAGATTTATCATCATTGGATCAGCAAAGGAGATGGTGTACTGCGGATCGATAATCATCATCTGGGAGAACTCCTGGGAAAGAAGCTGCTTAAAGTCGTGGCTGTGGACAGTGCCAAGCAATCATAATCGTTGTATTTGACAGTCGCTGGCTCGGAATAAGCGTAATATGACAGACTTGCTTGCAGGGCAGTGACAGCGGGGGACAGGGAAAGGGCGCCTGCTGAGCAGAATAAATTGTGTCAAATGTAATACTCATGATTCAAGTGTAAACTGGGGGAGAGGGAAGTATAGAGGTTAGATGAATGTGGTGGTATGTTTAGTGTGAGGGATAAATAATATTATGTGTAATAAGTAGCGCAGAGTGAGGGCTTTGGTGTCTATAAAATATTTAATAAACAAGTGCAAATACTAAAGACAAGGGTTGCGGCCAGCATGCTTTATATAAAGGTAATGTTTTTATTAAACATTAAAAATGTCGCGAGCCGGGCATTTATCACCACTTTTCCAAAAAAGACGGCCTTTTGTGACAACCAATTTGCAATAGTTGTAGTATTTTAGAGTTCACATTCATTAAAATCGTTTGTTTTATTTATTTGACAGTGAAGAGGATTGGCAGCAAAAAACGGCCTTCTTATTAATTACCAATATCCGCATGTGCACGCCACAAAGAATAATAATAAAACTGAAAGCTGTTAAAGCGGGCGTGAGTGCGGCTGAAGCATTGGAGGTTGGAATAGGCACCGATAAATTTGATCGATCGTCTATTAACTTGTTCGCTTTCAGGGTTGTCACAGCTGGTCGTCGTCGGCCGAGTATGACTGGATACTTGTTTGTAACGAGTGGCTAAACAGCATGAAAGCTCATTCTGTGATGCTTGTGTGACTTTGGCGAGACAGAGATGTAGGCGCACTATTGCGCGTACATTAGAATTTGTTTTTCCGAATATATATGTAAAATAAATAAATTACATGTATGAATTTACGTTGGAAGCGGAGTGTTTGGCGTTGGATGTTGGCGGTGGTGACACCGGGAGCTGAATAAACGGCCTTGCATGTAGTGTCGCTTTGCAAATATCTATTATATATTAAAGTAGTGCAAACATTTAAAAACGATATAGCTAAATATTAAAGACAACAGCAACACATGAAAGGGTGAAATCTGAGTGGTGTCTGACATAATTTGTGTGCGCATTTGTGGTTTTTGATATTGTACCTTGCATTGATATTGCATTAGAAAAATAATGTTTGTGAAATTGACATGCACATGCAAACAGGACTGATCGCCATTTGCGAATGGTGTTCACAAGCGATTGTAGATTCATGATTCCCACCACTACCAAATCTATGTGTATATTGTTTATGGCGCTGGGTGCCGTTGGGCCAAAAATAGGCGTCCTGATTTTTAACGAAATACAAATCAAGTGTAAATGAGCACGGCTGGGCGTTCGCGAGTTGAAGGGATAGACGAAGCAATTGCATGCATGTTTGTAGAAAAAATTAAGGCCAGAAGTCCAATTCGCCAAAAGAACACGGCTGCAGTGTAAACAGCAACAATAGTAATGGCAAAGACTTCAGGCAAATGGCCAGAGGCGATATGGACACGAACGTACAATGTGTCTACAATAACGCGATGATCCACAAGCAAAATGAATATATATTAAAAGGGGATGCGAAGAGGGCAAGGTACAAATAATTGTTGCAATTATCATTGTCACCGCCATCATTGCACTGACACCAGCCATCATCTGTTGGCTTTCACTGTCTCCAACGCGTCGGAGGCGGCTGAGTTGAACCGCTAACGAGGAGTCGGTGCAAACCAGATTAGCGGGGTTGATCGCGATCACGCAGGCATGATTTGAGATCAGTTGTCCAAAGAATATACAATCTGGTTTGCATGTGTTGATGGACAAATGTGCCTGAGATTGAGGTACAACAAAAAGCTCGAAACAATCCTAAGAACGCTGAAAAGTCGCGCCATCTGCTTTGGGAATTGCAAATGGCAGCCCCAAGCTTTCGTTTGGGTGAATACAGCAGCCAAGGGGTAGGCATCAGCAACACCATGGCAATTAAAACCTGTGTGGCGGATTTAATGCGCCCTACTGTTCAATACTCCATTCTTTGGGCAGAAATTTTTTCATCTTTCTGCCTTTGTAATTTTTGTTGGGTGCATGATGCTCCTTTATTTCTCTTGCGAATTTCTATTTCAGCACAACAGAATCATTTATTTTCTCTCCTCTTCTCTTTATTTAAATTTTGTGTTTAGCACTTGTCACTACGCTATATATTCAACACTCGCGTCTGCGCCTTTCATGATACTAGCCCACATCGCGCGCCGAAATAGATTTACTCTGACATCTGCCCGCCCAGCAATTAACCTTTTCAATCATTGCCTTTTGTTGTCCAAAGTCTCACGGACCTACACTTGCACCAGCTCTCTTCAGACGCATAGCACTAACCGGGAAGAATCAATGTCCTTTACCAACAACAACAGCTCTCCGTGGATCCAGCCCGAGGCCAGCCAGTCGCACACCGGGCTTGTTGTGTTCAACTCACTGACAAAGTCAAAGATTCCCTTTATCCCCCGCGAGGGCAACTATGTCAGCTGGTACGGGTGCGGGCCCACAGTCTACGACTCATCACACATAGGGCATGCGCGCAACTACGTGACGTTCGACATCATCCGTCGCATCATGGAGGACTACCTGAACTATGATGTCAACATGGTGATGAACATCACCGATATTGACGACAAGATCATTCTGCGCTCGCGCGAAGAATACCTGTTTCGACAGTTCCGCAGCCAGGCCACGGCCCTGTCCGAGCAGGTGTTAGCGACGTCAACACGGCTTTCTTTTCGTTTGCGAAGAAGTTTGAGGGCGCCAGAGCGTCCGGGCAGCCCATTAGCACTGACGCCGATTGGAATGCCCTTCTCGCAGAGCTGGGTGACGGCTCCAAGCCTGCACTAGCTGTCAAGGACCCCAAGTTCCCCATGCACTATGAGGCGGCGCGCGCCACCTTTGGTGCAATCGCAGCGGCTCGTAAGCATCTAGCCGAGGGAAAGTCGTCCCAGAACGAGGCCGAGCTGCTGATCGACGCCTCCAAGGACGTGCTGTCCCCGTGGCTTGACTCCAAGTACGGTGCTGGAGTGACTGACCCGCAATCTCGGGCGACCTGGCAGCTTACTGGGAGAAGGACTACTTTGAAGATATGGACGCTCTGAATGTCCGCCGGCCTAATGTGCTGACGCGCGTGTCCGAGTTTGTTCCTGAAATTGTCAGCTTTGTGGAGCGCATAATCAGCAAGGGCTACGCCTATGAGTCGGAAGGATCGGTGTTCTTTGACGTCGATGCGTTTGACGGGCACAACGGCAACTTTTACGCCAAGATCGAACCCTTCTCCAAGAACAACACGGGTCTGCTGACCGATGGAGAGGGCTCGCTGAGCCTGAAGCTATCTGGAAAGCGCGGGCTATCGGACTTTGCGCTGTGGAAGAAATCGAAGGACGGCGAGCCAAAGTGGCCCAGCCCCTGGGGCGAGGGGCGGCCTGGCTGGCACATTGAGTGCAGCGTGATGGCCAGCGAGATACTCGGGTCGCACATTGACATCCACACTGGCGGAATCGACCTTGCCTTCCCGCACCATGACAACGAGATTGCCCAGTCTGAGGCGTGCCTTGGCTGCCCGCAGTGGGTCAACTACTTTTTGCACACCGGCCACTACCACGTCAAGGGCGCCAAGATGTCAAAGTCGCTAAAGAACTTTACCACCATCAAGGAGGCGTTGAAAAATAACAGCTGGCGTCAGCTGCGCATTTTGTTTTTGCTCTGCAAGTGGGACGCGCCCTCGGACTACGACAAAAATGTTATGATCGAGCCAGTCTCGATTGACAGGACCGTCGATAACTTCTTTACCAACACCAGCGCATTGCTGCGCGAATTCCGTCTGCGCGAGCAAGGTTCTGATGGCAAGCGCCACTTCTTGGAGCCCGAGCTCGAGCTGCAGGAGGCCCTGAAGGACACCAAGGCCAGGTCACAGCGCGCTGCTGGACTCGTTCGACACGCCCAAGGCCATGCGTGCACTGCAGGCCATCGTCGCACGCACCAACACGTACTTGCACGGGGTCGCGCAAACATTGATCCGCAGATCGTCGAGATGGTTGCCCTGTATGTGACCAAGATTTCCGTGTCTTTGGCCTTGTAATGGACGGCTTTAACTCACGAATCGGTTGGGGATCAAGCGCTTCCGAGTCTGGTGCCCAGGGGCCCGCAATCGCGAATCAGTCCTCCTCCCCGTGGCCACAGTGCTCAGCGACTTCCGCGACTCTGTCCGCGAGATAGCACTTTCAGGTGGCGACAAGGGCGCACTGCTCAGCCTCTGCGACCGCATCCGCGACCTGGATCTCCCTGACCTTGGGATTGTCATCGACGACCACGGCGATGGCCGCGCGCTGGTCAAGTTTGCGGACCCTGAGGTGATCCGTCGTGAGCGTGCTGCGCGGCAGGCTGAGGAGGACGCGAAGCTCGCCAAGAAAGAGGCCGCTACCCGCGCCGCTGAGGAGAAGCGCCAGAAGCGCCTTGCTGAAGGCAGGCTCGCACCTGCGGACATGTTCCGCACCCCCGAAATGTGCGAGCTTTACTCTGACTGGAGAGATAACGGGATCCCGTCCAAGGATAAGGCCGGCGAGGAACTCCCCAAGAGCAAGGTCAAGAAGCTGGAGAAGGCGTACTCTGCTCAGGAGAAGCTCCACAATGAGTACCTGAAATCCATCGGCCAGTAGGCAAGCTCCGCCAGCTTGGTAATTTTACTATTTTTGATTTGATTTATTTTGATCCATCGCACTTTTTGGCTTCCCTTATCTTTGCCAAATCGCTAAAAATGGCTGTGCATTGAAGAGAATGGTGGATGAGTCTGACGACTATTATTGGTGGAAGTTCAGGGCTGCTTGATAAAAAAAGCAAGACGGATTGAGTGGCAGAATTCCAATTGCAATTGTCGTTTCAATTTCAAATCTGGCTTCAAGTACTTTATTCTCCTTCTCTCTTCTGTCCTTATTGAATTTTCTGTCAATATCACGCACACCTTTTTTATTTTTATAATACTTTCAAAATGACCTTTGCCTGGAGAACCGCCGGTATTAAGTAAGTATTGTTCCTTATTCCTTTCTTCGCAGCTTTGGTTTAATTCAGATTTTTAAGGAGAAACCCCGCTGGGCGGACTGAATCGCGAGAGATAAGGGGACACTATTCTGATACGCGAATGGGCGAAGTAGCAGTTGTTATGTTGGAGCGTCGTCGGTTTAATTACACAAAAGTGGCGTCTTTTTTAGAAAAAAAGAAACGGCCGCAGCACCAGCGATACCAGCAGCAGCGACAGAAACAGTAGCACCAAACGCCCGAAATCCAAACATGGTACTGGCTGCTGTGTTAGCCTAGCATGCTGCTATAACCTAGTATTCTTCCACTGTGTCTTTTATCCAGGGGTTTGCAGCAGAGTGCGTTTTTGAATTGTGAGCTTTATCTATGGAGCCAGGATGAAGCAAAGTCAAGCGAACAGAAAAGTACAAGCAGCACTAATGGAAGACGAACGAAGTCGTTTGGAGCAGATTCCTATATAAAATGACTTCTAACCAGACCGGAACAGACCAAACCAGCCAGCTATTCGGCTCAACTCGGTTACTGCTAGCTCAAAGAAGGTCTTGGAACGATTTAATGTTATTGCACTAACTAACCGCCCATGAACTTTGTGTGAAATTATATATACATATATTTATTTAATTACCAATAGCTACCTCCAGTACAGCAACATTGCTGCCCGCGCTCTGCGTCGGGTCATCAAGACCGACCTTCAGGCTGAGATCGCCAAGCGTCAGGGCATCACCATCAAGTTCGCCAAGTGGGACAACGGCAAGTCCAGCGCCTCGGTCAACATCCCCGCCATTGAGACCCGCGCCAAGGTTGAGAACTAGAGGGTTCCCGTCAGGTCTTTTGTTTTTAGAGATGATTTTGAAAGGGCGCTTACTTTTTCTTGCTTATACCTGTCTTATTTGTTACGCGTGTGTTTGTTGCGCGCAATGCTCACGTGACAGAAAAGATGGCGTTAGTAACAGCAGCAAAGCCTGTTTTGACAAATAAATTTTCATCAAATACGCTCAACAAGCCTATCGGCAGAAAGAAGTGGCCGAAATGGATCCCAGACCACTGTCTGATCATTTGCACTGTCTGCGCGTCGATCCCAGCGCCTTGTGCCGATTTGGCAGCCATTCGCCTGATGACAGAGGAGATTGGCAGCGTCAGATGCAAGCATGGAGATAGTCACATTCCAACACCTTCCCTGCACACGATAAAGGTATGACGACGATGCAGCCCCTTTCTATGTTCCCACAGCAACGGCGCATTGTTGATCTCCACCGTTGTGCTTTGTGTCGCCGTGATTGTTGCAAAGCTCGCTCTTGTCTCTGTTTATCTTTTTTAATTGAATATATCCATTTTTCTGCACTGCCAGCACCACCAGGTATACCTGCCGATTCACCCACACACCCACTGCAATGAGCCAAAAAGAGCCCGAGAGCAACAACAGCGCCATGCGCGCAGTGAAGGACTGCATGGCAGGCTCCGTCGGCGGCATCGCACAGGTGTTTGCCGGCCAGCCCTTCGACACCGTCAAGGTACGCATGCAGACACAGCCCGATCTGTACAAGGGCACAGTGGATGCTGTGCGCAAGACCATTCAAAATGACGGCTTTGCTGGCTTCTACAAGGGAACGACCACGCCGCTTATCGGTGTCGGGCTGTGCGTGTCCATCCAGTTTCTCGTGATGGAGCACATGAAGCGCACTTTTGCACGTGTCAACGGAACGCCGACCGGCCAGGCACCCGTCCTCACAGCCTCGCAGCTGTACATTGCTGGCGCCACTGCGGGCGTTGCAAACAGCATTGTATCTGGGCCGGTGGAGCATATTAGGGTGCGTCTGCAGGTACAGACGGCTGGCACAGCAGCACAGTACAAGGGCCCCAGGGACTGCATTGGCCAAATCCACCGCAACTTTGGGTGGAAGGGCATCTACAAGGGTCAGGTCCCGACGCTAATCCGCGAGTTCAACGGATACGGAATGTACTTTTTGGCATATGAGGCTCTAGTCCAGCGCACGATCTCACAGACGGGCAAGAGCCGCTCCGAGCTGTCGTCAGGCCTGGTGTGCCTCTATGGCGCGGCCGCTGGGTTTGCGATGTGGCTGACTTCGTATCCAATTGACGTGATCAAGAGTAAGATGCAGACGGATGGGTTTTCCGGCAGCGCGCGCAAGTACAGCGGTACAGTTGACTGCGCAAAGAAGATTATGGCCCAAGAGGGGTTAAGGGCTTCTTCCGCGGAATTACGCCATGCCTGCTCAGAGCAGCACCTGCAAATGCAGCCACATTTATTGGGTTTGAGATGGCCATGCGTGTCTTTGGCTGAGTGCAGTTAACATTTTTGGTTTAACCTACTTGCATTATAGAGTCAAGCACATTTTAAAAAATGCGTCGCTAGCTGACATATACTGTTTTATATTTTCTTATTGCCTCGCGCATACATAAATATATTGCGCGTTGTCGTGAGCTTTGGGCACTCGCACAGACATTCAATTGATTTTTCTGTGCAAGTCTTATATAGTAATACTCCATGTCAATTTAATATACAAAGTATAATAAATTTTACATGAATATATATTCACAATAAATATACTATAACAGTTGATTGATTAGTTTGTCTAACCTACTTCAGCACAAAGCACCTTGGCGCAGAGGAAGCGCGCAGGGCTCATAACCCTGAGGTCCCAAGATCGAAACTTGGAGGTGCTAGCTTTTTGCCTATTTATTAATTTTTGAGCGGAACTGACAAATTGTCTCCATTATTCTTTTTTGGTTTTTTTATAACAGGAAAATTATACAAACAGCTTTTTTTCTTCCGTTTAACTTTATCGATTTCAATTGCAATTTCACATTCATATATTTTTATTACTCTTTTTCTTCTCTTCATTTGAAGCTTTAAACCTACAGCTGAGCTATTGACGTTTCAAAAAAACACTTTTTAAACAATGACGGTTGCGCGGTCAGAGATTCTCAAGCTTTATCGTAGCTCTCTCAAGGCGGCACAGCAGTTTGAGACATATAACTTCCGCAAGTATTTTTATCGGCGGACACACGACCGGTTCCACAATGTTCTGGGGCAGGCAGATAGTGTCAGCGGGGTTGAGGCGGACAAAGCGCTTCAGGAGGCGCGGTCAGAGCTCAAGGTGATGCAGCGACAGGCGCTGGTGAACAGGTTGTTTGCGCACAACCGCACGGTCATCGAATCAGATCCGCAATACGCCAGTGGCGCGCGGCGCTATGGTGAGTGAGGTGGTTGCGCGAGAGAACCAAACCAAATCATGGCAACCTAATTCAATTGAGAGACGGTCTCTTTCGATTCTATCGCTAATTTTTTTAGTTTGCTCAACTGTGTCGGCGTTGAATAAAAAATATTTCCAAAGGAGGCCCCATCTTGCGGGCGTGAGTGAATGTATGAGTGAGAATGTATTGTATTTTAGTGTATGCGGTGCCGACAGGAGCATGTGATGGAAGGGAGTGAGGAGCGGTAGCGATGATCAGCGGCAGCGGCGGACATCGGTGGCACCGAGCCAATGAATGTTTTACCAGGTGAAGGAGATAGGAGAGAAACGGAAACAGGGTTCATACTGCGCGGCCGATCCCCCATTGGCCATTGCCCAAAGTGGTAACCAGCGGCAGCGGCGGGATGCAGGCAGAGTCGGGCGAGTGGGCGGGCGGAGGGGCCATTACAAAGAACAAAACGGCGTGGCAATCCATCGAGAAACGCTGGCCGCGCGTGGTGGTGCGTTGCGGTTCCGATTGCGATTGCGAATGCTGGTGGGAGTGAGAGCGAGGGCGGGAGTGAGAGTGAGAGAGAGTGAGGGTGAGGGTGAGGTGAGAGCAAGAGAAAGAGAAAGAGCGCGGATCGCTTGTGGCAGCGATGACATCGACATAAAATGCAGGCATAGCAAAACAATTCAAGTATGTGCTCGGCTCTGGCTGCTGCCAGCGGGTTTCCATAGGAAAATTCGAGGCTTCCATGCTTTGTGTTGACTTTGTTGGTCTGAAAGGCTGGAAATTGGCAGGGGCAGGCGGTGCTTTGGAGGCGAAGGTCTGCAACAGTTGTGCAAGTGCGTGCGAGAATGGGAATGGTGATTTGAGTGTATTTGGAAGCAAAATAAATAAATTGTGTATGTGAGAAGTGCATGTATGACTCGTGAGAGGATGAGGTGGTTGAGGGGCTGCTGGAGAAAGTGGCACTATGCAATGTGCGCAGTTTGTTGCTGGCTGTGGTCCTGCTGCTGCTGCTGCTGCTGCTGGAGCGGCGGCAGGATAGACGAGAGGGCCGAGTCGTCTGCAGCGAGCGGGCCTTGGCGCAGATTGTGCGCCGGCTGCTGGAACGGGTGTTGTATGTGCACAGAGGATCGGTTCTTATCGGTGGCTCCAGGGGTGTCGGCAGCAGCAAATGGGGCATATGCCGGGACGGACATTTGCATCCGTGGCAGCTGCGGCACGGTCATTGGGATTGGCATTGTCATTGGCGCTGACACTGGCGCTGGCGCTGGCCTTGGTTCCGCCTTTGCTGCCAGAACTGCCATTGGCAATTCGGTGGTGGCGTGGGCGCAATTATTGGCGCTACTGTTGTAGACGCCAGCAGAGTCAAGGCGCAAAGCCACCGCGTCAGACGCAGATGCAGAACAGGCACAGACACAGACACGGATGTCGAAACAAAGTGGTGTTCGACAGAGTCATACATGTAGCCGTTGTCGTGCTCGTGCTCGAGCTCGTGATCATGATCATGATCTTGCTCGTGGCGTTGCCACTCGAGTTGGAGCGGCCGCGCTCGGCACGCAGGCGCGCACGGCGGCGCGCGTTGCGTTCGCGCTCCTTCTGCAGATACTCAGCGTACAGAACCGGATTCTTCTTGAGCTCAGCGCGCTTCTGGCGCTTCTTCTCAGCGTCGGCCATGCGCGAGGCCGAGCGCTTGGAGTGCCGCCCCAGTCCCATTGCGCCTGGCCCGCTGTTCATGGAGCCGGCACCGTCGCCATTGCCATCACCATCCATATCCATGTCCATGTCCATGTCCATGTCCATATCGGGTGACTCCTCCTTGGACGACCGCAGCCGGTCGGACTCGGGCGAGGTTGATATTGACCGCTGGGTTGAGTGTGAGTGCAGACGCTGATGATTGTGGTGGTTTTGGTGCTGGTGCTGGTAGTGGCTCTGAAGCTGATGATGATGCTGTTGCTGTTGCTGATTCTGGTTCTGGTTCTGGTACTGATGCTGGAGCTGGAGCTGGTGTTGATATTGCTGCTCGCGATGTTGGCTGTGTTTGTAAGGTGGCGTCATCGATGTCTCCATCGAGTGGCCGCGCCGGTGTGTTTGGGCATGTCTCTCTGCTTCGGGCTGACGAGCACTAGCGCTGGCATTATCATCGCAACAGCAGCAACAGCAGCAGCAGAGGCAGGGGCGGACTGGACTGGCTGCTGCTGCTGCTGATGCTGCTGCGGCACTGAGGCGCGGGCGGCCTTGGCACACATGCCCGTGTTCCATCGTAGCGTCTCAATGCCTCAAGGATGTGGACGCGCGTGCCAAAGGCGGCAATGCCAAGCTCCTCGGCCAGCACGGTGTTGGTCACATAGTTAATGAGGACGTGGCCGTCGACGGCGTGCTCGCGCAGTGTGTCCACGACGGGCGCCACCAGCGCCTGGCTCTGCGCCCAGCGGCACACGTCGTCGACCGACCAGTTCTGTGGTTGCCCTGGCACCCGCACGTAGATGCCGGGTGCTGTGTTCGTTTGTGTTGGTGCTTGTGGCCGTGGCTGTGGCTGTGGCTGTGATTGTGACTGTATCTGGGCGGGCTTGTGTGCCAACGGGGCCGCTGCCGCCGACGGTTCTGGCAGAGACGTGGTCATATTGCTAATAGAATGTAGAGGTAAAGGGCTTGGCGCAGAGAACGAGAGAGAAGAGTGAGCACGTTCAGGGCTTTTGATGCTGCTGAAATGGCTGTTTTTGCTGCTGCTGGCTGCTGGCTGCCGGCTTGGGCGGGGGGCAAGCGGTTTTTTGGCTTGCAAAGCTGGCTTGTGGGGGAGTGGTGATGTTGCAGCGCCGATGGGTGTGGAGCTGTGCGCAAGGGTGAGTGAGAGTGAAGGAAAAAGAGGCAGTGGGCTAAACAAAAAGGTATGTCGATGAGGAGAGGTGCGACGGGCGGAGGTTACAAAAAGAAAAATGGGAAAGACGAGAACGGCGAAGAGAAAAGAGGGGGCGGCGCGGGGGCAGCGCGCAGGCAGGCAGCGCAGCGCAGCCCGTGTCTCAAAGCGACGGGATGCGTTGGGTTTGGCTTGGCGGAAAAAAGCCGCTGCTTCGGCTGCTTTGGCTGCTTCCGGCAAAGCAAAGCGCGCAAAGCAACGCGCGCAAAGCGCACATGGCTGCCTTCCTGACCGCCTCACCTGCCGCTCATACTGCGTGATCGCCGCCAATGGCGTCCCATCTCGCCGCCGCTTCCGTTTCCGCCGCCGCAGCCATCTGGCCATCCGGCAGCCATCCGGCCAGCCATCCGGCCAGCCATCCGGCATCCAGCCAGCCATCCTCAGCCACTGCGTCCTTTTTTGCAGCTCTTCTTTTGGGCAAAAATGGCAGCGGCAGCGGCCGCGCCATCCCATCGGCAAATGATCGGGTGATTGCCAAGGAAAACCCGCCGCTTTCTGCCTTTCTCGGCCTTTGGATCGGCCGATTCGGCATTGCTAGCCACGCCCGGCTCGGCCCTGTTCAGCTCGCCAGCACTGCAGGTCAGGCCCAAGCCAGAGCAAAACAAAGCAAGGCAGGCGCACGCCCACGCATCCTTTTCTCTTTTCACCGCTTCGCCTCTGCGCCGCTTGCCATAAATTGGCAATACGACGTCAGCACGCCGCCGCCCCCCCCCCCAAATTGCCGCCACGCCTGTCATTTTTCTCCACGCACGCACGCGCATGGCATTCCGTTCATCCGCCCGGCCTTTATATTTTTGCGCGTAAAGTCACCATCACCGCTGCATGCTTTGCACTTTGCATAATCGCAGGCAGCGACGGCCGAACCACAGCCGCCAAGACGCTGCTCGCTCGCGCTTCTCTTTTGCCTCGGCGCTCTCGGAGCAACTTGTGAAATGTAAATATAAATATTGGTTCAATTTAACGCTTATTACTCTCTGATTCCACGCATTCAAATAAAATTCACCGACAGCCACAGCCCTCGCTTTAAAATGCCACCGCAGAGACCCCCCACGGCCCGCCTACGGCCGGCCGCGTTCCTGCTGGCCCCGCTGCTGGTGTTGGTTGTGGTCGGCTTCATATACAACACCCGGTCCGCAAACACCCCCTTCAATACACACAGCGCCTCGGTGCCAATCGCCACCGCAGAAGCGCAGCCGCTAGCACAGCCTCTGCCCGCCATCTCACTGTGGGCATCCAAACGAAACCCGCTCAACATGTACTTTGCCAAGCTGGCCTGGGCATGGACCACCGCACTGTTTGTGGCGGCCCTGCCCCTCCGCAATGGCAGCCGCCCGGCGGCGGCGACTGCGCGATACGCAGCGCGCTACGTGCTGGCCACGCTCTACTGGTTCCTGATGACGCAGTGGTGCTTTGGGCCGTCGCTGTTTGACCGCTTTTTCGTGCGGACGGCGGCCTGTGCTCGCTGCCCAATGGTCCCAAGCGGCTTGCGCCAAGCTCGATGCAGGTGTGCCGCTCGGCTGGCGGCAGGTGGCTCGGCGGCCACGACATCTCGGGGCACTGCTTCTTGCTGATCCACTCGGCGCTGTTCTTGTTCGAGGAGGTGCTCGGTCCCTGCTGGTCTCGCGGCGCACGGCTGGGCCCAGCTACGCGCGCTGGGGCGTCGTGGCCGCCACCGCCGGCCTCATCGCGATCTGGGCGTGCATGCTCTACTGCACTGCAAAGTACTTCCACGGCCCCTGGGAGCTGATTTCGGGCACGTTGCTGGGCTCGGCCTACTGGGTCTCGCTGTACCAGTTCCAGCTGCTAGCCTTTTAGGCGCCGTCTATTTTCCCGCTCTCCACGCACCAAATAGATGGGTCATTTTTTTGAAGTCACAAAGTATATAATTGAAGATTTTATAGAAAAAAAGGTCAAACCTCAATAGCAAAGAGCTGAGAATGCTGGGGCCGAGCTTTGCAGAGTCGGTCTGCGATCAGTCGTGCTTGTAGACCACCGCTGTGCGCGTCGGCAGATACACCTGCACGTAGTTCGGGCGGCCGTTCCACTCCTCCGGCGTCGAGAAGTGGTCGACGGTGGCGTCGACGCGGCCCTGGCCAAGGAAGATCTCGTCGTCGGTGCTCAGCGCCACGCGGTACTTGCCAGGCCATGCCGTGCCGATGCGGTAGTCGGTATACGAGTTGGTCGGGTGGAAGTTGAAGACCCACAGCAGGCCGCCACGTTCAAAGGCCAGCACCATGTCGCTCTCGTGCTTCAGCGTCACCCACTGGTCACTGGCCGACAGCCAGTGGTACTGCGCCTCGAGGTGCAGCATGGCGCGGTCGAAGCGCTGCAGGTACTTGTAGCGAAGCAGCTCGTCGCGAACTAGGTTGAACTGGCGGCGCGCATAGTGGAAGCTCGAACCGTTGCCCTCACGCGGAAAGTCCAGCCACTCGGGGTGCCCGAACTCGTTGCCCTCAAACGCCAAGTAGCCCTCGCCACCCAGCGCGCACGTGACGAGCCGGATCATCTTGTGCAGCGCCATGCCGCGCTCAATGACCGGGGTCAGCTCGGACATGTCGCTCATGTTGGTGTACATCTCCTTGTCCATCAGCCAGAAAGCCAGCGTCTTGTCGCCGACCAGCGCCTGGTCGTGCGACTCGCAGTACGTGATGGCGCGCTCTTGGTAGCGGCGGTTAGTCAGCTGATGCGCAATGTGGCCGACATCCCACTCCTCGTCTTTGAGCTCCTTGATCATCTTGATCCACATGTCGGGGATCGACATTGTCAGCCGGTAGTCGAACCCGACGCCGCCCTCCTGCACCGGGCGGCACAGCGCCGGCATGCCTGACACGTCCTCGGCAATGGTCACAAAGCCTGGGTACAGCTTGTGGCACATGTAGTTGGCCAGCATCAGGAACACGATGGCGTCCTCGTCGGTGCCACCGCCAAAGTACTCGTTGTAGTCGCCGCTGAACCCGTACGCAATGCCGTGGTGCGTGTAGATCATGATGTGACGCCGTCAAAGCGGAACCCGTCAAACCCAAACTCCTCGATCCAGTACCGCAGGTTCGACAGCAAGAAGCGCGTCACCTCGTGGTGGCTGTAGTTGAACAGCCGGCTGTTCCACAGCTCGTGACGGCCGCGCGCGCCCTCGTGGAAGTAGCAGTGGTCAGTGCCGTCGAACTTGTTAAGCCCATCATCGACATTGTTGCACGCGTGCGAGTGTACGACATCCAAGAACACGACGATGCCCATTGCGTGCGCCGTGTCGATCAGCTCGCGCAGGTCGTCCGGCTCGCCGTACCGCGACGACGGCGCAAAAAACGACGTCACCTGGTACCCGAACGACGCGTAGTACGCGTGCTCCATGATGGCCATCAGCTGCACTGCGTTGTACCCCAGATCGCGGATCATTGGCAGCATGTCGCGAGTGAACTCCTTGAACGTCGCCACGCGCGCCTCGGGCGACGAAATCCCGACGTGCGCCTCGTAAATGCGCAGGTCAGCTGCTGGAACCGGGCGCTTGTGCTTGAAGGCATACTTGTGCGGCGGGTTGTAGAACACGGCGTCGTAGATTGGGCTCTTGGCTAGGTCTGCGTGACGTAGGTGCTCCACGCCGGCAGTCTGTAGACGCGCTCGCCGCTGTCTGTGACAAACGAGACCTTGACGTGGCTGCCATGCGCAATTGGCACGCTGCCGGACCGCCGTGTTGGGCACGACCGTCTCCCACACGCCAAACTCGTTGCGCACAAGCGGGTTGGCGCGATGTCCCAGCCGTTAAAGTCGCCGACCAGGCTGGCTGCCTTGGCGCCCGGCGCCCACTCACGGTACCGCACGCCGTCTTCCGTCACGTGTAGCCCAAAATCCTCGTAGCCGCGCGAGAATTTTTCGATGCCGCCCTCGCTGGCGTCGATGTCGCGCACCCAGCGCTTGAAGTGCGCGAAGCGCTTCTCAAAGTATGCGCGGTGGTCCTCAAGGTAGCCGTCCGACTTGATGACGTCCGTGCCGTCGCCGCTGATGTCGGATCTGAGCCGCTCATGAAGCTGCTGTCAGCAGCATCCTTTGGCGGGCGCTGGTGTTGTTCTGGGGCTTGGGCTGCCCGTTTCCTTTGTTGCGACCATCGCTGTGTATGATCTGGCTTTTGTTTGGCTTTTGCTTGGTCTGGCTTGGTTTGAGTCGACGATTCCTGGCGTGTATGTGGAGTGTGGATAGGCGCAGCAAGTGGGGGACAATGCTAATATAGACAAGGTTCATAGGCAAATTGATAGGATGGCTGGAAAGAGAAGGGCGACATCGCAATATATAAGCGATTCCCCTGTTGTTTGGCGATTGCGCCAAGCTGATGCGCACTGCCGTTCGACGGGGGCAACCGCAACCGCAATCGCAATTGCAGTCGCAGTCGCAGTCGAGCCTCTTCTGCAGGGACGCCAAGCACAAAAGCCAAGGAAATAAACAATGGCTGGCAAAGGGTGAGAATGGGAATAAACACCGGCCCTAATCCTTCTGCTCCAAAATGTTCCCCAGATGCTCCAAATTGCTGCCTCTATCGCGCAGCAAGCAGCAGCACATCACTGCGCGTGCCAATCGATAACAATCGTGATGGCATCATCACCCCCATCCGTTTTATCCTGCACGCTTTCTCGCACGCATGCACGAGCGAACATGTCTTTTGGGCCTGTAGAGCGTCATCGAATCTATTGAAATACCAGGAACTCGCTAAAAAAACACGGGTCTACATGGGCCAATAGCCCCGCATCGTTCGTCTTTGCACTGTGGTTTCGACCGATCCTGTCAGCTGCTGGCTCACAGCTCACATCTCACAGCTCACAGCTCACAAACTGGCCTCGGGCTCGGCAGCAAGCTCAACCTCGCGCTGTTCCTGAAGCAGCGCCTTGCGCTCCGAGCGTGTGACCTTGCCCCGTAGAATCTCCGGGTGCTCGTCCCAGAATTTCTCCTTGATGATGTCTTGGTGGACGACCTTGACAATGGTCTTTGTTCGCTTGGTGACAACGCCCTTTGAGTCCACTACGTCGATAAGCTCCTTGTCGCGGATGACCACGCTGCCCTTTTTGAATATCTCGGGCTCCTCGTTGTAGTTGATGCCAAACTCGCTGAACAGCAGTTCGTTCTTGTCTTGCGAAAGGGTACCCTACACGATAATGCAAGGTCGCAAATACAAACAAGTGTTTAGTTGGCCTGAACGATCCAGCACGCATCTATTATGCACATGGGCAAAAAATGAAATTGCAGTATTCATTGGCCTGCAGCGGCCAAGTGCATGGCGTAGCACAGCATAGCATAGCATAGCATATCACAACACAACACAACACAGCGTTATATGGTAGCAGATACTCGGACTTACACTCAAGCGCTTCTCGGCCTCCTTCTGCGACATGTTGCCCTTGTTGACGAGTGTCCAGAAGCATGTGTTGTACATATTGTTGATGTGGCAATCTACCTGGCGCCAGCTCAGGTAGTCGCGCATAATGCGGTCCTCTGGGTACATCACCACGCGCGAGTCGAATGCAGGCGGGAACTGAAGCGGCATGTCGGGGAAGAACTCGCCCAGTAGTACACATATGCCGAGGTGAACTTGCTGACCACAGCGTGATCAGCTTGCTCGCCCGGCGGTCGTACGCCTTGGCCTCCTTGGAGAACACAAAGCTGTACTCGTCGCTCTGCCCATATGCCAGCACAATTTCTACCATGTTACCCATGACCACCTCGGCCGCGCGGTTCATCAGGTTCAGCGCACGGACGTCGTTGGGCTTTGTGAACTGATGCTTAGTCGTGAACTTTGTGAAGCCCTGTCCGTCAATGCGCACCACCAGCCACGTGCAGGGCAGCAGCCGGTCCTCGTGCTCGAAGTTGCGCACGTATTCGTATTTAGACTTGGCCATGTGTAAAGCGGATGTGAAAGGTGAAAATAAGGTCAAATATGTGCTTCAGGGATTTTATACCCCAATCACTTTAAAAAAACCCTGTCTGTCCTCAGCGACCACTCGGACCACCAGGCTATTATGGCCCGATCCGTGTAATTCAGCTGGTGCCGATCAACGCAGGGTTCGCTCAAAATAAAATTAATTTGGAAAATAACAAACAAATTAAAACGACGTAAGGTTAGTACTATTGATGATTTATTAATAAGGTGATTAAACCTCCTACGAATACTCATTTATTCATGAATCCTGGTCTGCCAACTTGGTGTCTGCCCACAACTAGCAACACGGCTGCGTTTACTTGGCATGAAATGGTATAAACAACATACAGGCGACTTACAATGATGTTTGTTGCCAATCAGCGCTGGTCACTAGTACCACGCGATATTGGCATCAAAACGTTCTATGTAAGGTCGCCTGTAACACATGAAACAAGTAGCTGGCAGCTAACAAATAAATAATTAAATGTGATAATAATGATGAGAAATGGTGATGAAAAATGGTGACTATAGTGGGCCTTTGACAGCGATCAAAGTATGATAAAGTAAGGATAGCGACAAAGCAGGTGCGTGTTCTGCGTGCATCTAGTTAAAGCAACGTCGATACTGCGGATGTAGACGAGCCCAGCGCCCTCGACTGGCTGGACAGTATGCCCAGGGTGTTAGTGCTTGACAGCACGGTATCTGCCGCTGTTAACTGTGCCGGATCCAGCATGCGCATGAACACGTCCTGTCCAGATTTGGCGATAATTGGCGCAGGGTATGGGAACCGCTGGCGATATGAATCTAAGCGGTCAAAGTTGATGTTGGCTCCGCCAGTCACCAAAACAACCACATCGCTGTTACTGTCAAGGTCGGGTATAACATGGCTGGTCAGCCCCTTCGCTACTATGCTCAATGCTGCCGCACTGCCACTTCAATGAGCATATGGTGGTCGTCCAGAAAGCGGCGGCACGCCTCGACCGCCATCGCCTCAGATACGGATATGGGCACCACCGGATGCTCCCTCGACAGCTCGAGGGCTTTCGGGCACACGGAACCAGCCAGCAGGCAAGTGGCCACGGTCGGTTCTGCAGTCCGGCAGTCATTAGAGGGCGCGCTTTGCTGTGATGCCGGATTGTGCTGTCGCTGCCAGATCGACGTGCGGGCTTGATGTCCAAGCTGCCAACCTTCGATTCAATCCCGCTTTTATCAACGTCGTCCTCCAGAGGCGGGAGCAGCGACGGCGGCGGTGTGGACGGTATTTCGCTGGACATCGCCATTTTCGACTTGCTCGTTTTCACGCGCGTGTTTTTCCTCGTGGCCTTGTTGTCCTCGGGTGGTCGCAGTCAAGCAGAAGCGCCCTTTGAAACGAGTTTGTGTTATGTGTCTCCACAGCAATGACTGGCACGCGTTGCCAGAGACACTGCTGCATCCCAGTGATAAGGCCAGCCAGCAGGCCGCCACTTCCAACCGGCGCAATGATCACTGCAGGCTTCCTGCGCTGTAGCTGTATATTGATCTCGGAGACGATCGTGGCATTCCCGGCGATGGCAGCGGCGTCGTCAGCCGTGTCAATCATGACAGCCCCGTCACACTCACGCACGAACGCGCGCGCGGCATTGTACGCTTCCCGCAGCGACCGCCCCTCCTCGACTATATCGGCGCCTTCAAGCTCGATCTTTGCTCTGACCGCAGACGCCTGGCCGCCCCTTGGGATAAATACAGTTGCAGGGACGCCCAGCTGCCGGGCGCTGTAGGCGACGGCCAGCGCTGCATTGGTGTCGCCGGCTGTCACAAGCCGCTGTGCATCCCGCTCAAGCAGTGCGCCCGTGCATATGGTCCCGACGCCCCTAAGCTTAAATGACTGTGTCGGCTGCATGTTCTCGAGCTTTAGCCAAACATTGCATCCGGCCTGTTTGCTCATGCATGTCGAGTAGAGCAGCGGCGTCGGTATGTGTAGTGTAGGCGGCAACAGTTGCTCGGCGTCGGAGTCGGCGCTCTGCATAATCTCTTTCTATTTGGAGGCTCTTTAGGGTCCCTCAATTATCGGCGTGTTTGCGGGAAATGGCAGAGGCTTCTGTCTCCGTCTCTGTCTCCGTCTATGTCGCTCGTGTACCGATGTGCTCCGTACGCTTGGGTCTGCGCAGTCAATGAGACGAGGCCAAAGGCTACGCTGCGGCTTATTATTACTGCTGCGGGTATACTTTTTTGTTAGTGTTGAAAGCGCTAGTTGTCGTGGTAAGCAAACCGCTTGGTCCTGTGGTTGTCCACCCCCGCGCAGTGCCTTCACTATCAGGTATACCGATGCTGGGGGGACTGGTTGGAAAAGCAAAAAAATAAATGGGGCCAGGATAGTCGCTGTCGGTTCCGGTCCAGGATAAATAAAGCGAAGAAAATAGTAGAGCAAACTAAAAAAAGCAGACGGCAGTGCAGGAATTCGACTTTGTTTTGGAGAAAATAAGATAAAAAAGAGAGCTCAATTTTAGTATATGTGGTCGCAGCTGCAAAACACTTTCTTGCCGAAGAATTCCTTCCCTGTCTCCACAAAGAAACAAGTGCAAAATAATGGCAGCAGCAGAGCCAAAAAAATTCCAAAATGAGCCAAAAAATAAACCCACAGAATGCTGGAAGAAAAAAATTCAGACCACCAGAAAAATAGGGACAATTGTGGCTGGCATCGTCCCCTTTGCATTTTAGCATTATTTCTTCTATTTGGTGCTTGGCCAACAAGGCAAGGTGCAAGCTAGGGAAGGGGCAGGCGGGGACCATTGCAGCACAGGCACACAATGTTAGCATTTCCGCTGCTACTGTGCCCCGGCGCAAAATACAAGGGAAGCGTGGGATGGCTCAGTCGCGAACGCAACGACGCCCGCAGCCCTACAAAAACCACTGGAACTGCAGGCCGAACGACCGCACCAGTCGCCGCATTCCGTTCGAGGACGATGCTGGTGGCTCGGAGGCGCTGCCAGCGCCAGCGCCAGACCCCAATCCCAGGCGGCCAGGGCCGTCGCTGTTGAAGGCCAGCCCCATGCTGAATATCATGTTGTTGAGGCGCGTGTCAACAAGGAAGCGCAGGCCCTGCGATCTGCTCCACCCAGTCTTGATAATGCTGTTCTGATCCAGTTGCCACTCTATGCCCATCGCCAGCTCCGAGTCGAGGCTGAACATGTTGAAGTCGTAGCGCGCCGCCGCGCAGAACTGAGGCCGCAGCTGCTGCGTCCACGCCAGCGACAAGTGGCCCATGATCGGAGTCAGGACACACGTCAGCTCTGAAAACAGAGGCAGGTCGTAGCGGTACCGCGCACCCACAGATATGCCGCCGCTCGAGTCCTGTGCGCCAAAGTACACTTCGCTGCCGACCGACAGCCGCCCGTGCGTTTTTTCGCGGAGCACACGCCTGGCGTCCTCATCGCTGCCACGGTAGTACGAGTGCGCTGCCCGGTCCAGCGCCTCGACATCGCCAAAGTTGTACTGGCCGCGCAGGCCAACGAGCTTGCCGCTAGTCGCAAGGATCGCCTCGCTGCTCCATCGTCTCCGGTTGGTTGCGTGCTGCATAACAAACTGCATGTCAGGGTTTGAACCGGCCACGCTGACTCCGCTGATCGTCAGCTCGGAAGTCGCCGACCGGCGCACAATGTACGACCCAGTGATCGACGCCAGCGAGGGGTACATCTGCGCGACCATCAGGTAGTCACCGGCACCGCCTGCCCCGGCCTGCAGGCTCCCAATGTCCCAGTTGCACTTCCACGTCCCCGCTGTGATGCTGTGGAGAAGGTTCTGCGAGTCGCGCTCGTCCTGCACTTGCTGCTGGCGGGCGATGGCAAACTCGTGCTGCTTGGTGCCGGCGACCGCAAAGCCAGGCACCACATCGCTCTTTGTTGCATAGTCCGCCAACGACGGCGAGAACCCAGTCAGAAGGACCGGCTCCGAATCGGCCGACACATCTCCTCCACCCGATACACCACCACGCACTGTATGCTCAGGAGCGTCCTTTGCCGGATCGGCTACGAGATCGGACGCGGCTGCTGCTACGGAGGTTGCAATGCCAGCAGCAGCGCCCCCAAAGTCTAGACTTAAGTCGGGCCCAACCCCGACCCCAGTCTGGAAGCGAGTGGAGACACTTTGAAAAGTGGCCGCGACGCGGCGAGGTATCCGATCGAGGACGCCTTGCTTGGGATCATTGAAAACACCAGCTGCGAGTTGAGGCCACTGCTGACACTGCGGCCCGCGCTGACCGATACACCGTGCGGGATGGAAAAGTCCAGAATCGCCTGTGACGTCTTGCAGAACGTCGAGTACGAGTTGTGCTCGTCCCACCGCGTCTCTCGGTGGAACTGCCTTATAAGAAAGGGGAAGTAGTCTGGCGCCGTGAACATTTGTGAAATACGCTCGGGTCGCTTAAAAGCACATTAATTCAGAATTGAAGGACAGGCGTTCGAGACACCAGAGGGCCGAGGATAAAAGCAAGCAAATTGGAATGTAGTCGAATTTCTTGACCAAAAAGTAGAAAAATAAAAGTAAGAAAAAGGTGCAGAAATTTCAAAAAACGCAACAGCAAAAAAAACCCTGGGCAAGAAGGCCCTTTTTACCATTCATTTTTCAGTCAATTGCGGGGCGCAGTCCAATTCAAATTTCACAACAAAAAACACTAATCTCTAGCTTTTTTAGATGAAACAACATGGCTGGCAGATCTTTTTAGAAATAGATTGAGAAAGAAAAATCGGCGCAAGGTAGAAACAAGCCCGCCTTGCCGCGCAACTGACTATCGCTGCTAGTTTAGGCGGTCCAGCCAGAGTTGCAGCACCCTCGGGGCCCAGTCGACGGGGGCGGCGCTCTCGCCAACCCAGTCGCCGCTCTCAGCGGCGTCCCAGTTGCCAGCGGGGGGGCTTCACCAGCCTCGCGGTGCGCTCCCAGTTCTCACCCTCGCGGCCTTGCTGGCACAGCGGCGAGATCCTTCTCGACCTCCTCGGCGTCGCGGTAGAAGAACATATCGACCATGACGTTCCAGCCTCGCTGCGGGAAAGGGTGCCGCGCAGACGGAGGACCTCACGGGCCAGGAGCCAGTAGCCCAGACCGATGGCGTGGTTGCTGGCGTTGTTATAGGGATGACGATATCAACGTGCTCCAGGGGGGCGTCGGTGTTGCAGAAGGCAATGACGGGGATGTTCACGTACGAAGCCTCCTTGATGCCTGGTGATCGGCACGGGGGTCGGTGACGACAATGATGCGGGGCTCCTTGAACTGGCGGGTAATGTAGTTAGTGAAGTTACCGGGGGTGAAGCGACCGGCAATGGCCTTGGCACCGGTGTTAACACCGTACTTCAGACGGCACGCTGGCCGGCGGCGCGGGCGGAGATGACGCAGACATCCTCGGGGTTGTCGATGGCGCGATGACACGGGCAGCCAGGACAAGCTTCTCCCAGGTCTTGCCAACGTTGATGAGGTTGACACCTAATTTGATTCACAAGGGTCACGCGGCACAAACAGAGTTAGTAAAATAGTCACTGGGTGGTCCCGTATCAGGCTGTCCATACGCTGCGCCCAAAAGCCAGCAAAAAAGCAAAATAATAGATCCAAAACTTACCATCGTTACGGCGCTTGAAGACGTAAGGAAGCATGTGGGAGTCAACGTTCTGGGCACCAAGGTGGGCCTTGGCACTCAGAAGGAGCTGGATATCCTCCTCGGTGGCGTTGAGGCAAGCGGGAACGTGCGACATATTGCTACATTTTGCAGAGTTGCAAGACAAAAACCAAGCAAAGAGATGATATTAGTAAATCGGTTTCGTGCTTGAATAAAGCCAACCATTGTGCAACAATGCCGTCAGCACAGCTTCGTATAATGCATGTTGATTTGCCGACTGTACTCTAAAGCAGCCGGCCGGGCAGGTTCAGCTTGGCACAGCTCATTCAGAGTCCAGTCTCCAAGGCACAAAACAGCGCCTAGATTACAAAAGCAGCAGCACAGCAAAAATCCAAAGTCCAGCCCAGCTCAATATTCGAATTCGTTTTCCATGTGCGCGTTAAAAGGACCCAGCAGTTCGTCCCGTCTGTCAACCACATGGTTCAATCCACACTCGCAGTGCCCAACCCAACCCAAAGCCTAGGATCCAGTTCAGGCTAAAACAACAGGCACAGCCTTTCAATTTGAAAACGAGTTTGCCGTGTCGAAATTGTGTTGCGATCTGAGATTGACAGGTGTAACCAAGCTGCAACCACACTGGCCTGGCGCTCCGTCAGCTACCATGTCCGCACAGTGGGAAAAAGAGAAGCGTGGCTAGTTGGTTGTTCGAATCTTTGACTCAAAGACACGTGCGGTCCAAGCACACAAAAAAACAAATCTCGGGGGTGGGGAGAGCCGCCGCATTCAGATGTCAAATTCAAAATTTCATTCGAAATGTTTCTGATTTGCATTCAAAATATGCCCCTCCCCAATCATAGCGCCCGCCAAAAACCATACACCTGCATCCATCCGTATTCAAAATAACGTATGTCTCTCCCATCTCAATTGATGCCGCATCCATCGCTGGATCTGCTGAATCCATCCATCCGCTAAGCCTTCTGTTCTTCCATAGCCCCTGCGTGCACTGTCTCTGATCGGCGTCTGTCGCACTGCTCATGCTGCTGCTGTAGATAGATGTATATTGACACTTACAGAAAAAAGTATTTTTTCGACTTGTAGTCCGCAAGAGTAAAAGGAGGATTAAAGATTTGGATGTAGGCGCTACAGCCCGTTTACATCGAGTGAGGTTGAGGCGGCTGCCTTTCGCGCTTGGGGGCTCTGTGCTGCCGCAGGGCAGATGTATTTTTCGCTCTTTATCGCGCTCTGCCAGCAGGCAATTCACACAATTGAATCGAAAGGCGCGAGTTGCTGAGCCATTTATCACGTGATGAGTGTGATTGATGCTGATTGATTGGGTGAAAATGAATTACGCGAGAGATATTGGAAAAAGAGCGCAGCATGTTAACTGACTTTGACAGCGCCATCCTTGAGGATGCGAAACTTCTGCCCACGCCACACGACGGTGTCACCGACGATGGCAACCGCCCATAGCGGCAGCGCGAGTGCCTCGCGGCACAGCCAGCTGAATATAAACCGGGGCCAGCTCGACGGTGAGCCGTGGTTGATCCTGTAGAAAAACATCATGTCAAAGCCAAACCAGCACAGGAAGAACGCACCGAAGGAGCTGATGGTGTCGTACGCGTACAGGCGCTTGAGGGCACATGCCGTCAGTAGCCCCAGGACTATGGACTCAGTCATTGGCTCGTACATGGTGGCGATCGGGACGTTGTACATGCGCGTGCGCACCCACCGGATGCGCCGGCTGCAGTACTCGGCAAATGTGCCAATGTCAGCTGGCTGACGCGCCAAATCGCCGGTCATCGTGTGTGCCAGCCCAAGCGCCAGAGGGCCTGTCCAATCATGTTATCCTCTGCAAGATACTGGCCAAACGAGGCCAGCCCGCCGACGCTGTCGAGCGCGCTTTTGTAGTACAGGTTGGACTTGCCCATCAGGCAGCTGGCCGTGCCCACGGCGTTGATGGCCAGGTACATGCGGCAGTGGTTGGTAACCAAAAAGGCATTGTCAAGCATTGCACCCAGGGTGTCTGCCGACTCGCTGAACACGACGTGATGAACGACGCCCACGCGCTTGTTGTCCAGCATCAGGTCGACGGATCTCCGCAAAGTCCCAGAGTCTGTATGGACATTCGAGTCGCAAATCCACAGCAGGTCGCTCTGCGCCCGTGTAAACGCCTTGAGCATGTTGTTGACCTTGGGGTTGATGCCCACATTGTCCTGGCCGACAAGCACGCGTGCCGCGACTTTCGGGTGCTGCTTTATCAGATCTTCGACCAGGGCAATAGCCGGGTCCTCGGGGTCCTCGACAGCAAACAGAATCTCGAATGATGCCGGGTATTCTTGACGGAAGCTGGACTCGAGCGTGTGGCGCATGTTCTTATCGACCCCCTTCAGAGGCCGAATGATGGTCACTGGTGGGTATTCGTCCGCCGGGCGGTCGACAAACGGGCGGAGTTTGACGTACCGCCTCTGCAGAACAAGGTGACTTATCAATATCAACAGCCACTGGAAAACGGCGATGGTGACGACAACGTATGCCACCACGTCGAGGCCAGTGGATATATAATCAGACTCAAGGCCACTTGAGGCGTGCGAGCCTGCTGCATCGGCAGCAAATGAATGCGTGGCGCCAATCATGCTGGGAAGCCCTGCGCTGGGGCTATTGTGCGCATTTACTGCCTCCATCCGATAATTGCGCACAGACTGTGAGTGTGCTGGAATCCCGATTTCTTAGTGTTGTTATTTCCCCTTTTGGAAATACTCGCGGCGCCGGAATTAAGAGCGGCAAAAGGGTGAACTCCGAAAGATGCTCCCCTCGGGCGTGGCTAGCTTCAAACTAAATGACAAGATAAACAAATCGCAAAGGAAATAGTGCGCTTGAATGATATACAAAAGTGCTAACAGAAATTATATGAAAATAAGTGGCAAAAACGAGAGCAAACGCGCTGTTTGGGAATGCGAGCGAACTGAATATGCGCCGTGTATTCCAGTAAGGCTGACGCGAAAGGTCCAATAAAAGCGCGTATTGAAAGAATAACTTTAAAAATAAAACGAGTAAAAAAATAAATGGAGGTGAAAGGGCGAAAAGTGCAAGGGTGAAAGGGCAGCTAGGGTATATATCTTTGGCGCTTTTGGAGGCGTCTGGCAAAAGAAAGTGGCGGACGGACATGCCAACTCCGCGCTCGGACGGAATTCAAGTAAAAAAATTAAATACAGTAGAAAAGAGAAAAAAAGAGAAATTCGTCAAAGAGTGTCTTTGGCATGCTTGAATGTGTGCATCTTATGCTCGCAAAAACATTTAAAATCGAGCAAAGTGGAAATGCCCAAATAAAAAATTAGCGCATAATGGCTGCGCCGGTGATCAGGACAAAAAAGGTTGTGAAACGGAGACGACCACATCTCGATTTGTGCCCAAAATGGCTGCTACCGCCACCCCAGCGTCATCACCAAAGGCACGGTTTGTGCCAGCACAAGCGGCATGATCAATAAATTCTGATTGTTTAATTTCTTGTATTCATCAGAGGTTCGGACTTTTCCAGCTGTGGCTTTCGTTTTCTTTTCATTTTTTCTCATTTACTCAAGCTCAACATTTATTTTTATTACTTTGTATCATTGCATCGCGCAACGACAAAACAAGTCAATTTGTCTCAATGTCGGCTGCCGATTCTGCAAATCACAACGATGAAGTGCCGGCGCCGTTGTTCAAAAAGAGCAAGCGGCGAGGCGCTACATTCGAAAACGCCGGTGACAGTAATGAAGACGAAGGCAACACGTAGACAAGACATCTGTGAGCCGATCAGATGCAGATAATGCAGGCGGTGTCGTCGATGGAGATTCGGCAGATGGCCCTGGGCCAACCAAGCAGCTAAAAACAACGAACACTGTGGCCCCCAGCCGCCGGGAAAATAACTCTGACAATGACGCCGACACAGGATCAGCTAACAATAGCAACACAATGGCACTATCCAAGTAGCAAAAGTAGAGTACCACTTTAGAAAAGCTATGGACTCTACGCGCACCTCAGAGCATGACGCGCCTGCCGAACTCAAGCAGAGCATATCCTTGCAGCAAAGCAAACCAGTTACCGGCTCTATAGACGCCGGCAGTGATGGCGCGACGAATGCTGAAGAGGACGACGGACTGTACAAGGGGAAGAAGGGGTACACCAACAGGGTCAGTGGAACTGGCTCGCGCCGTGCCGGACCATTCAAAGCACCGGCCAACCTGCGTGCGACCAGCGTGTTTGATTACCAGCCGAACGTGTGCAAGGATTATAAGGAGACCGGGTACTGCGGCTACGGCGACTCTTGCATCTTCCTCCATGACCGAGGAACGTACAAATCTGGCTGGCAGCTCGAGAAGGAGTTTGAGGAATCACAAATGGGTATCCAAAGAGACAATCCGAAGCTATGGAAGGTCGAAAATGTCTCAGACGACGAAGAGAGTAGCGCCAAAAAGGGATCAGAGAAGCTTCCGTTTGCCTGCCTGATTTGTCGCAAGCCGTTCCAAAAGCCGATCATAACAAAGTGCCAGCACTACTTTTGCGAGGGCTGCGCTTTGAAACACTACCGCAAAACACCAAAGTGCTTTGCCTGCGGAGCGGCGACTGCCGGCGTGTTCAAGCCAGCCAAGAATTTAGAGCCCAATAAGAAGTAAGTTGGCGCGCATATATCTGTAGTTACACCGGCCGAAGAATGTTTTGGACTTGAGTGGGCTTCGTGTGCAACATGAGAGCGATGTCCTTTGATCAAGCGGACAATTTGCCGCGCCCCTACATCCCTCTTTTTTCTTTTTTCTTTTCTTTTTGCTTTTTGACACAATTTTCTCTACTTGCAAAAATAATACCTTCATTGTTCGAGCGCTTTGACCCGACCAGCATCATCTAGATACCAGCACACCATCGAAACACCACGCGAGAATGAGCGACAACCACAAAAATAACATTGACAACAACGACAGCGGCAGCGGACGAGATCTGTTTTCCGATCTCAGCGAAATATTGACATGGCGCTAGCACCCGCACTCTTCCCTGGCAGAATGGACCCAGTTCACCAGCAGGATGTGCTCTGGGAGCCGCCATACGCGCGACTCCTCAGGAGGCTGGGCCTTTTTGATCCGCTCGAGCTACCTCCAAAGTCGGATGCCATATCTCGGCATAGCAAGATCGGCAACAACAGCGCAGAGGGGCCTCCACCTTTCCAGTCGCCGCGTACTCGGCCAGGGCTTCTCAACAAATGCCACAGCAGCAAGATGACAAATATCAGCTGGGCTACCCGAGAGACGACGCGGAACGGCCATCTAATTGGCACTATCGGCGAGGTCTTTGGAGACACAACGCGCTGGGCGGTGGGAAATCTGTTTGGCCATTGAGAGACGCAATGGACCGCATCGAGAGAAAAGTGCACGATGTTCCGCAGCAGAGTAACGGCGAGGAAGCACGCAGTCGTTGTACCGGGCACTTCGGAGCGACCTGATTTCAAACTTTGACCGGCTGTTCCAGAGCCGAGCGATAGTGAAAGAGCAATTGCCGCTACTATCACGTCAGCACGTACACCATGCCCGACGGGTCGGTCGAGACACGCAAGGTGGTCCGAAACAAGGACGGATCGGAGACAACCACCGTCACCAGACACGGCAGAGACTCGACGGCCAGCGACCAAGTCACTGCGACGACCACACCCGCGCTCACGCCCGGAGATTTATCCAGCGCCAAGTGAAAAATACAGAAATTATTTCTTTAGGTTAAAACAAAACGTTTTTCTAAATAAAAAATATTCAAACTGCAGCCATGCTCAGCACTCGGTGCCAAAGTAGCGGTCGCCAAAGATGCCGTACCCGACTCTATGAGCAGGTCGTCTGTTCCGATGTGAGAGTCGATCAGAGCCACAACGATCTTGACCGTGGGGAATGCAGTCTGGATGGCATGGACACCCTGTGGGGTGGCCAGCAGAGACACAAACACGATGTTTTCTTCGGCACACCATGGTCAAGACAGATGCGGATCGCCATCAAGGCGTTTGCACCAGAAACGATAGTCGGGTCCATCAGCAGCACCTGGTGGTCCTTGATCGACGGCGGGAGCTTGGCGTAGTGCAGCCTGGGCTCGTGCGTCACCGGGTCGCCGACTATGAGAATCTTGCCGTAGTGGGCCAGACGCGCGACGCTGCGCAGCGCCTTTTCCATGACGCCGCCCGCGCGCAGCACGGTGACGCCAGTGATATCTGACGCAATCTTGAAGCCGCTGTAAGGTAGCCCCATCGGGGTCACGACAGTCTTGCTCTCCAGGCGCAACTGGCCCAGCCCGTGCTCAATGATCAGGCGCGATAGGCGGTCCGAGTAAAAGATAAAATCATCGCGCGACGTCGTGCGGTCACAGAGGATGGTCTGCATTGCACGCACCTGGTTGGACTGCGGCAGAGTCAAGAGCGTGTCCTTGAGCTGGTCGGCGGCGCTGTACTGGTCAACGAGTATCGGGCGCATGATTGTCGCATTGCTCCCGTCTAGCTGGCGCTTGATTGCTTAATCATCAGGTCGATGGCCACCTGGTTGTCAAGCCCACGCGGAATAATAACGTCGGCGTTGTTCATAGTAGGCCGGACAAAGCTGTCGTATGCGGGCTTGACAAAGCGGTCGTACTGCTGCAGCACGCCCAGCGGATCGCGACCCCGATCGGCGACATCGCGCTTGATGCGGCGCGCCAGGCAGATGTCGCTGTCAGTGTCGACAAATATCTTGACATCCATCATCTTGAGGATTTCCGGGTCGTACAGGGCAAATATGCCCTCAAAGATCACCACGGAAGCGCCGTAGATGTTCTGCGACTTGTCCCTGGGCGCGTGAGTCGCAAAGTCGTACTGCGGAACACTCGTTGACTTGCCGTGCTTCAGTCATCAAGCACGCGCAGCACCGACACATAGTCAAAGCTGGACGGGTGGTCCAAGTCGTGGTTTTTGCGAATGCCTGCTTGGACTCTTCAGGAGCCAGTCGCCGGTAAAACGAGTCCATGCTGATGATCACCACCCATGGGACGTCGAGGCTTTCGACTATCCGCTTGGCCACGCTAGTCTTGCCGCTGGCGCTGCCTCCGGCAATGCCAACCATATACACTGGGAGGTTTTTGCCGTCTGCCGTATACCATGGCGGCCTGCCGTCGTTCTTGAGCATCAGTGTCGACGTGACCTTGCTGGTGCCGCTGGCGCTGGCGCTGTTGTCGCTGTTGTTTGCTGTGGCTGACATGTGCTGTCTAGAGAATTGGAATTACAAGTGTGGTCAATAGAAAATCAGAAAGTATAAATGAAAAAGGCAAAAAGAAAGCAGCAAAAGATGAGCGAGGGAAAATGGCCAGGAACACGGCTACGCCTGTGATCGCCTGACAGATGAGGGCCAACATTGCACGTGGTGGGCTTGACGTGCCACACGGCTTGGTGTTGTCGTCTGCAGCTCTGCTCTTCCACACGCCGCTGCATTTCAAAGACCGCATACATCGCTTTTATTTGTTTGTCTTCTGTGCTTCGCCTCGCATGTCTTAAACACCAGAGGTGCTTTTCCACTTTCCACTTTCCACTTTCCATTACTTTACTTTACTTTATTTTGCATTCGTTCTTGGTGCTCGCCCCAAATTCACACCACCTATATGAACAGCAGCAGCAGCAGAAGCAGACAGCAGCCGGTGGGCACCCTCTGCGGGTGCTTGCCAAGGGCAGGCAAAGTCGCAGAAATTCTACAGTACATAACCCTCACAGTAGCGCTTGGTGGCATCCAGTTTGCGTGGTCGGTCGAAACCGGGTTCGGCTCGCTGTACCTGCTCTCGCTGGGCATGAAAAAGTCGCTAGTGTCGCTGGTATGGCTGGCGGGGCCACTCTCAGGGCTCATCACCCAACCGCTGGTCGGCGTCCTCAGCGATCGATGTACTGCCAAGCTTGGTCGGCGCCGGCCGTACATCATCGGGGCGACAGCGGCAGTCGTCGTGTGCTTTGGCATCATTGGCTGGACGCGGGAGATAGTGGGAAATGACCAGCCAAGGATGGCCATATGGCTGGCGGTCGCTGCCTTTTACGTGCTTGACTTTGCGATCAACTGCATCCAGGCCAGCCTGCGCGCGCTCATCGTCGATATGTTGCCGACGGCAAGGCAGGACAATGGAACCGCGTGGGCATCGCGCATGATCGGAGTCGGAAACGTCGCCGGATACCTGCTGGGTTTCCTCGATCTGGTGCACCTGTTCCCGTTCCTGGGCTCCAGCCAGATGCAGATTCTAACAAGCATCGCCTCGCTCGCGCTCAGCTCAACGGTCGCCATCACGTGTTTCTTTACGCACGAGGTGCCGCTGTCGCGTGCGGCGTCCCAGTCGGCTGGGGGCAGCGGGCTGCAGGCGCTTGGCGCAATATTTACGTCGATCCGCTCGTTGCCGCTAGTGATCAAGCGCGTGTGCCGCATCCAGCTGTTTGCGTGGATCGGCTGGTTCCCGTTCCTTTTTTACAGCACAACGTACGTGGCTGGGCTCTACACTGCGAGTCACAGCGGCAGCGGCGAGAGCAAGGACAAGCTGATGGAAGACGGCACGCGCGCCGGGTCGCTAGCGATGTTTGGCCAGGCTGTGTCCTCGCTAGCTTTTTCTGTCGTGCTGCCAGCATTCACGTACTCGGCTGCGTCACGCGCGCCGCTGCACCGCCAGAGTGAAAACCGGGCGCTGCGGCTTGTGCACAAGCTACGGGCAATAGTGTCGGTCAGTCTGCCGACAATGTGGGCCATGTCACTGGCCGTGTTTTCAGCGTCCATGTTTGCGACGCTGTTCACGAGCAGCGTGAGGGGCGCCTCATGGCTGATTGCAGTGTGCGGCTTCTCGTGGGCCATGGCCATCTGGGCGCCGTTTTCGATTATCGGCGAGACTATCAGCAGCAACTCGGCGTCCCTTTCTGCGTCTGGACTGCCGATGCACGCGGGCACAGGCACGGGCACAGGCGGCGGCAGCGGTGGCAACCACGGGTATGTGCCAGTGGACAGCACTGATATTCCGATGGAATCTATGACAGCGGACATGGGCGTTTTTGGCTCCGAGAACGGCAGCCGGCACAGCCAAGAGAGCGACTTTAACGGCGAAAGTCAGAGCGAGAACCCAATGCAAATCCAGTACCAAGACCAGAGTCAAACCAGGCTGTCGACTGGCACGATCCTCGGTATCCACAACGTATTTATCGTCGTTCCGCAGTTTATCACCGCGTTTGTCAGCAGCCTGTTGTTTGCCTTCTTTGAGCGCAAAGGTGGCGATGCGCCCGACGCGGACTCGGGAGCGCAGCACGCATACGAGATCGCGCTGGTTCTGCGCCTGGGGGCGTGGCATCGGCGGTTGCGGCGTACTACGCGTGGAGGCTGCAGCACTAGCAATATGCGGCGCAGCTGAGATACATTGGCAATTATGCTGTGAGAAAATACTAAAAAAAAGTGGAACGAAGAGAGCCACATCTATTATAACAAAACATGCAATGAACTACGCTTTAAATACATCGTATGTGTGCGTTAGCTCAGGTGGCAGCGTCGTTCAGGGCAACGCACACGACGCCCTTCTGGTGGCCCTTGAACTCGCGGATGACGGTTCCGGTGCGCACGTCCCAAAGCGCGGCGCGCATGTCTGTCGACACGGTGACCAGGTACCCAGAGTCGCTCGACCAGCTGGCATCCCACACCCAGCGTGAGTGGTAGTTGAGCGAGTGCACCAGCTCGGCGCCCGCCTGTATGATCTCCTCCCTGACGCCGTTGCCCACCATGATCGGGCGCTCAGTGAACTTCCACAGCTTGGCCGAGTGGTCCGACGAGCACGTGGCAAGCAACCGGCCGTTAGAGCTGAAGACCACACGCGTAATCCTGTACCCATCGTGCGCGTCAAAGTTGATGTATGGCACCAGCTCCACGGTGCGGCCGGTCTGCGGCAGTGACTCGATGATCAGGCGGTACACAATAACCTGGCCCAGGTTGTTGCCAGCAACGACCAGCTGCCCGTTCGGCGACACGGCCACCGACCGCATGGCTACGTCGGGCTGCGGAACGTCCTGGCACAGTATCTCCTCGCGCCGCCAGCTCCACACGCGCACGGCGCCGCTCTGGTCGCACGAGATGATCAGCTCCTGGCGATTATCCGGGTGGACCGCGATGTCGTTGACGATCGACCCATTCTGCATTGTGCGCTTGCAGTTTCCAGCGTACACGTCCCACCACTTGATGGTCTTGTCCTCGCTGCTGGTTGCCAGGAACTTGTGGTCTTGCGTGAACTCGACCGCCGTGACGTTGGCCGTGTGGCCCTCGAGGCTGAGCACTGGCGCCTCGGAGGTCCCGAAGACATCGTACAGGCTGACACGCGGATTCCCGCGACTGCCAGGTAGTGTTTGTTCCTCGACAGCGCCAGCCGGTTGACCTGCGTGTCGGTGTACGGATTGTTCGTGTGCATGTGCTCTTGAGCGCATCCCACATTCGGATTGTGTGGTCGTAGCCCGCTGTGACCAGAATGACAGGTATCTCTTCCATGTTGGCGGACCGTGATGTGAGCGTGAGTGGGAGTGTGTGTTTAATATAGCAAACGAAAAACTATAATGTGAAATTGAGTGAATGAGCGCGCAAAGAAAATATAAAGGCAAAATGAAAAGAACGGTTGTGGTGGAAACCTTTTGGAAACCCCGTGCATAAGTAAACGGGAGAAAAATAGATACATTGGGCGAGATGTAAAATAGGTAAAGGACATGAACTAAAGTTGCTGAATAGGATTGATTATCTACTGTACCGCCTTGTTTCTCATGGGTTCTATTGCAGATACCTGGTTACATGTCTCTATAAGGAACGTTATTCTAGGGGTAGCAGGGTTAGAGTTATCCAGACCTCCTGGGTCTAATTGCTTGGCAGTGGAGGCACCCGCCAGAATGTTAGATAACTAAACCTGATAAGCACTCGATCTGCCATCTAGGCATCAGTTGTGGCAAAGCTAGCTAGTGTACATATCCCCGTCCTCATTGCTGTCGTCCACGGCCACTTCGGCAGGCTGTCATCTTTGTCCTGTCACGGATTTGGTATTCGGGGCGTTTGTTGAGATTGTAATTTCATCAACAATCGGCGTTTCACAGGCGTCAAGGGTCCACTTGTTTCCCATTTAATCTGAAAGTCGCACCATCCCTTGTACCAGCTGTGTGTTTATCTATGATCTCATTTACGAATACCGATGCCTGTTTTACATGATCCTCTTGGAGTTTCTTGACCAGCGTTGTGTATCTGTCCTCTGTCAGCTCCTGCCAGCTGCGCCTTATATCCAAGTTTAGCTCCTTGCCCTGGTAGTGGGCGTGTCCACAACTGCTAGTGCAAGAGCCAGTCAGCCTGCTCAATTTGAGCAAATAATAATGGTAGTGAGTGTAACCTCAAAGCCAGCGAATAAAAGGGATCGCCACTTATTTTTTCACTTTTTTTTCTGGGTCCTGTGCCTTTGCTTTTTCTTTATTCCGAAAAAAGCTGTGCGAGATCCTTTAGCATTTCTTTTCCCTCTCTTTTTTGTGTATATTATTTTATAACTGTAACTTTATATATACTTCGATTTGTACTTATTTCAATTATACCTCAATTCCCGCCAATGAATATTACGCAGAAAATAAACGACGCCCCCCTGGTCTACGATGTTGTTCGACCACGCGCGGCGTGCAGGACACAGACTTTGACGATGGCGTCTGCGACCCCATTGATTCAGACGAAGTGTATGAGCTCATTCGCAATATCAACGACCCCGAGCATCCGCTCACATTGGAGCAACTCCATGTTGCAAATAAAGACCATGTCTACGTGGACGATAACAGCAACCACGTTCTCATCGAGTTCACACCAACGATCCCGCACTGCTCAATGGCCACCCTAATTGGGTTGTGTATCCGTGTGCGTTTGCTGCGCTCGTTGCCTGAGCGCTTCAAGGTTGATATCAAGGTGCGCGAGGGCACACATCAGTCCGAGACCCAGGTCAACAAGCAGCTCAATGACAAGGAACGCGTGGCCGCTGCTTTAGAAAACACATATCTTTTGGATGTCGTCAACCAGTGTCTGGCGACTGCCGTGTAGATGGATAGCAGTGCATTGTCATTATTTTTAAAAGTAAATAAACTGGACCTTTTATTTTATATTTTATAGGTTCTATTTTAATAATACAGCTGTCTATAATATATAGCAATGCGGTTCGGAATAAAAATGACACATGGTAAATGAGTTACTCTTAACTGACATGGTCGATCACCGGCGTGCTGACAGCTGAGCTGCCATGGGTGTCGTCTAGGTTTGCATGCGCGCAGCACGCTGCGTTTTCTGACACTGGCCCCGAAAACTGAAACTCACCACTGCCGTCGTTGATCGAGTCAAGCAGATCGCGCACCTCGTCAGGGACCGGCTGCCCGCTGGCATCCACCATGCTTGGCCGATTGCGGGCATCAACACCCATGGCAAGCAGCGCATTGTGCTGTTCCAACTTTAGCCTCTGCTGCAGCTTATTCTCGGCATCGTCCTCAAAGCTGCGTGCCGGTTTTCGGGTATCCGACTCGTCGGTGCTGTCCCCGCTATCCACAGGGTAGAGCTCATGCTGGCCGCATGAGCTCGCACTCGTCGTTGAGTAGGTGTTGGACACCTGGCGGAGCTGCTTGCCCTTGCCGTGAACAATGGACAATCCACTCAGGGCGCCCCTCGCGCGCATGCGCTGGTCAATGTCGTTGACGTGGTCGCTCGAGCGCATGGACAGGCCGTCCTTCAGTGCTGCACGCAGGTGCTCGAGGTTGACCTTTGGCGAAGGAGACGGTTCGCGGCGCCGCATCTGTGCCTCCCAGTCGACCGAGACCCGCGCCCGGATGCCCTTTATCTGGTCGAGCGCGCTGGACGGGCTGATTGCAATGTCGCCGCTGATCTCGTCGTATCCATTTCCGCCCGCAGTGGTGGCGCCGCATAGCACACGGTCAACCGCAGACTCAGAGTCCAAGGCATCAGCTCTGGAGTCGGCGCGCTTTGCTTTGGAATCAGCGTACTTTGAAGCTGCCTCAGGACCCAAGCACTCCAGCGCAGCCTTGACACTCAGCTTCTTGGCAATATCCCGGGCTCTGATCTGCACACCGGCATCCGCGCTGTTGGAGAATGGCGACGTTGCAATGGCTGGGTCGCCAAAGACTGAGATTGTCATGACCCGGATGTTGCGTGCACAGACATCATCGACCACGGTGTCCCAGCAGTCCATGCCCTGCGCCTCTTTGGTAGCCAAGTCGATATGGCTCTCCAGCTGCGCGCACAACTCCAAAGCGGCAATCTTTTTCCACACAATAGCCGTCAGCGTGACCCAAGAACTGTTCTCCTGCGCGGGCGTAGCCTCGTCAAGCGCCCAAACTGTGTTGTACACGCTGTTTGCGCCCTGTATGTCAATGAGCTCGCAAAAAATGGCTAATGTCGCGGCGTAGGCGCAGAGCGCAGCGCAGTGGGCTGGTAGGCGTACGCACGGACCAGCGACCCGCTCAGCTTGCAATACACTGCGTCGACCAGCCCCGGGCTCCACGCGCTGGCCCACCCCGGGTCTGCGCTGCAGTGGCAGTTGTGCCGCAGAATTTCGACAATGCAGTCAGCAGCCTGGGCGTGCAGGTCCCAGCTGTCGTGGGTGAGCAGCGTGAACAGCGGCGCAAATGTCTCGAGTGACAGGTTGGCTGCATCATACGGCGCATCCCGGCCACCATTGCTGCTTGCCAGGCTGCCGGCGCCGCTGTTTGTGCAGCGCAGAACCATGTACAGCGCCTGCAGGAGCCACTGCTGCCTCTGAGTAGACCCCGATTCATCCCCCAGCTGCATCTGCGACACCAAGTAGCCGACCATGTCTGCCAGCTGGCTACTGTAGTACTGGTGCATGGCCAGGCCGCCGATCGCGGCCAGCAGGTGGTAATAGTCCGAGAGCGGGCCAGTCGAATCAATGAGGCCGGGGCCGTCCGAAACAGCAGCAGCCGCGGGGCTTGTGGCAGTGGTCAATGCGGACTCGAAAAGGCTGTAGTCGGGCATTGCAGGCCGGTCGCCAGCGACGGTCTCGAGCAAAAAGGTGACCAACACGTTGAGAGCCTCCATGACCGATATGCCGACCAGAACGTAGGGCTGGCAAAACATGCTTTCGAGAATGCGAATGATGCACGTCCGCCGGTTGCTGGTCTTGCCCGAATCGCCCGCGCCGTGCTCGGCCGTGTCCTTCTCCATGCTCGCGAGCACGCTATTTTCTCGGTGACGGCCGCTCTCCAGGTACATGTGTGACGACAGGGTGCCGTCGGTCAGGAAGGCCAAGGTCTCGACTATAACCATGTTCTGGTCCTGCGTCTGCAGTCGGCTGATAACTGCCGTGACGACGTCGACGCACAATTGGTTGGGCTGCCACTGCAGGTGGCTGTCCAGGTACTTGAAGACCTCGGAAATGATGATACGAGAGTGCTGGCCGTGAGACTTTTGCACTAGCGTCTCGAGGCAGCGCCACGCCCAGATCCCGAGCTGCTGGTCGTCAAGCGATGATGATGTCGAGGTAGACTCAGTGCGCTGTCTCCGATGCTGGCAATCTGCTTCTCAACCGCAATGGCCTCTGCGGGGTTGTCGCCGATCTCGGCGGACTTAGTTATGCGAGCGGCGACAGCCTTAACTATGCGGGGCAGCTCGTAGTAATTATCAGCGGCATAGGTCGCCTGGCTCTCTGCAATGGCCTGAATGGCACACAGCCCCAGTGCAGCCTTTTTCCGGTTTGTGGGTCTTCGACTTTGGCGCGTGCGTAGCCTGCAAATGTCGTGATGAGATTAGTGTAGAGCGATCGCAGGCCCTTATCGATAGCCAACGTCGCTCCGGAATGGCTGCGGCAGAACAGTGCAAATGTGTGGGTGGCAGCCTTTGCGAACTCAAAGTCGTTGGCGGCGAGCACAGTTTCGAGCGAACCAAGCACGTCCTTTGCGAAGAAATACAGATCGCGGCCGCAGGCGGCCAGCAGCGCATTGTATATGTGCAGGCCGACGAGGACGTCTGTGCGCCTGAGCTTATAGGTGTCCTTGGCAATGCGCTTGGAGAGGTATGCGCCGACCTTTGTCAGTTTCGCTGGCTTGCTCTGGGCGTAGTAGACCAGGTACGAGAGCTCGTTGCTGTTGGGCGTCGTTTCGCTGGACTTTTCCGCCGGGAAGCATCCTTCGACCAATGTCGCGTGCTTGACGTAGCGCCTAAAAATGGAATGAAATAGAATAAAGTCGGCGGGCGGGTGAGATGACGTTGAGAGCTGGGGTCGCAGGCAGACTATGCACGGGTACATGATGCAGCCGACAAAATTGCGGATGCGGTGGCTGCGCTTGGGTCTGAAGGAGCTGAGTGTGCTAAAGGGCGGCACGCCTCCTGGAAGGCGTACTGCAGCGACGGCCTCGGCCCTGCGACCGGAAATGCGTTGGGCTCGTATACAGGCCACTGCATAGAAGCGAGTTCGCTTTGGTGGTGGTATTATTTTATTTTTTGAATGAGCGCAGGTGAAAGTGTAAAGTGTGAAGTGTTTGCGCGGCTGTTGAGCGGGCGGCAAAGGGGGGCAAGAAATGAAGGCGAATTGAATAGACGAATAACTGTAGAAAGAAGAGCCTTTGAATTCGAGCCGAGGATGGACAAGCGCAAAGATAAAGAGTGGGTGTATGCGTGACGATGGAAATATCAAGTTCACACGAGTCTGGCCAAGTGACGCTTTGATGTTTTGCCAATGCGCGTGTATGTGTGTGTGTGCTCTTGTGCCAAATGCAAAATGACAAAGCATACTAGTGTGTTGTCGCCTGATAGAGATAGTACAGTACTATGCATACAAAGAGGGGTGGGGGGGGGTCCTTTTCGTTTTTTTTTGCTGGATCTGATGCTGGTCCTTACCTTGAGAACGAGTTCATTTTTTTTTGCTTTTGTGACTGTAAAATGGCGAGGAGGCTGCTGATGGACAAGTGACTGTCAATGACCAGGTTGGGAGGAATATTGGGGGTGGAAAAATTATCTTTTAGCTCGAACTCGAGTGGGTTTTCTGTATTCGGAGCGATGCTACTATTAAAGAGGGGGTAGAGTTGAGAATAGAGCAAGGAAAATAACTGCATAAAAAAAGGAAACAAAAAGAAAGTAAAGTAACGTTTGGAACGATCCGGCGGACTTTCGATGTTTCAATTTCATGAAACACTTTTTTCTTTCTCGTATATGCATGCCGTTTGGCAGTTGGGAATTTGTTATAATATTTGCCCGTTTGCCAGCTGATTTTTGATTGCCCTGGTCCCTTTCTGTATATAGTTCTGCGCTGGCCATGGCACAATTGGAGCTGCGTAGAAAGGCCGTTCGTAGCAGTAAACAAACTTTCCAGCACAAATACCACAACAAATACCACCACAACCTGCCAATGATGCTGATGCTACTGTTGTTGCTGCTGCTGCTGCTGCTGCTGTCATGTGCGATGGCGCTCATGCGCGTGGTAATAATCTGCCCATTCAATTGCAATTTAAATAGTTTATTGAAGGCAGCTGAAAAATAAGAGAAAGGGAGAGAGATACACGTTTGGTAGATGTCAGGAGACCGTGGGCTACATGACCGAGCAGCCACAGCCGCCGCCGCCTGGCTGGCAAAGGGGTCCTGCGGCGGAGGGCCCCATATGGACGGCAGGAGGAAGTCCTTGGTGTTCTGGGTGTACGAAATGAGCGACTCGCTGGCCTGCGAGACGGGAATTCGGGGCAGGTCTAGCAGCTCCTTCAGGCGGTTGTTGTGCTCGACAATCTTTCTCAGCTTGTGCTCGGACATTGCAAACGACGCGTCTTAACTTGAATAAATATAAGAAAGGTAAATTAGGGGGAGGGGAGGTGAATTGGCGAGTTAAAGAAAAGTGCTTTTGTTTGCAATTATCAACCGCGTCGGGAGAGAAAAAAAAAAGAGGGCAGGCCAAATATGAAAAGTCCGATAATGGCAATAAACAACAACAACAGCAACAGCAACAGCAACAAAGGCAAGACTGGATGGGTGGCTTTCACTCGTGCTTGAGAACGATTGACACGGGTGCTTCGATAATTACGTCACGCTAGCTAGCCAGCCAGCCAGCACTTTCTCATTTCAGCCTTGGGGGGGGCCTATTTTTGGATCGCTGTTTTCTTTATGAGCTTGACGTGCCTTACAGCATCACACACTTTAATTGCATTTATCGTCCTGCTTTTCACTTCTTTCCAACTGTACCTTGCCTCAACGCAACAACAGCCTATATCTACAGTTACAACACCTCTTCTTTTCGCACACGCAATGGCAGACCACGGCGGCAGCAACAGCGGCTCTCATCTGCACACAAATCATAACCACAGCGTGGCACACACCGCCACAGGAATCAAAGTAGCCAACATGCATCACAGCGGCGAGCTAGTAGAACGCACCAGGCCGCCAGAAACATCGGAAGCACTGGGGGCAGAACCAACAAACGAAAGCCCGGCTCCTCAGCTCAGGCGCGTGGCAATGGAGACTATGCACACCGAAAAGCCGTCAGCGCGGAGGAGCATGATTCTGGGCGCAGCAGCGCTCTCCGTGTGCATCCTTGCGTTTATTGGCCAGACAGTTGTGACGCGGCAAGTGCAGGAGTCGTACGTGCAGCCGTACTTCATCCTGTGGATCTCGCACTCGTTCTGGATCATCATGTTGCCGCTGCACGTGGCATACGAAAAGCTGAAGCGCAGCCCGCGGTCGCTGGCGATGCTCAGGATGGAGGCGCTGGTCGGGTCGGCGACGCTAGCCGTGCAGCAGAAGCGCAGTGGCAGCAGGCATGGCGAGTACCACCAGCTGGAGGCTGCGGCCGCCGGTTCTGAGGGCGGCAGCGCGAGGGCACTGGCACTGGCCCGGCCGGCGTGGGTTGTCTGGCGCACAGTGGCGCTGGCAGTTGCGCTGGCCGGGCTGCTCAACGGGTCGGCGTACCTGTGGTACGTGGCCATCGGGTTCACCAGCATGTCCAAGGTCACAGCCATCTACAACATGTCGTGCTTCTTCGCGTACCTGTTCTCGGTGCTGCTGCTTCGCGAGCGCGTGAGGCTGGTCAAGTGCGCGGCGGTCGGCGCCAGCATTGTCGGTGTTGTCTTCATGACTACGGTCGATAGCGACGGCGATGCGCTGTCGGCCGCGGCGCGGCGCAGCGAGATGATCGGCGACGTGCTGTCGCTCGTGTGCGCGTGTGGCATCGGGCTGTACCAGGTGCTGTACAAGAAGTACGCGGTGCCTGGCGGCTTTCACTCGCTGTTCCACGTCAACTTTATGACGACGCTGCTGGGCGTGGCCACGGTTGCTGTCTACTGGCTGCCAATCCCGGCGCTCAGCGCGCTGGGCGTCGAGGTCTTCCAGTGGCCTGCCGTGCACAGCTGGCGCTCATCGTGGCCAACGCGCTGTTTGGCGTGGCGTACAACGCCTGTTTTATGATTGCGCTGGCGCTGACGTCGCCGCTGTTTGCGGCCATCGGCGTCATGCTGACGATCCCCGCCATGGCCGTCATTGACATGGCCATGCAGGGCCAGGTGCTGGCGTGGAGTGTCTTTGTGGGCGGCGGCGCCATCCTGGTTGGCTTCTGCACGCTGAGCCTGGCCGAGTACCGCGAGACCATGGCGCGGGCAAAGGCCGAGGCCCAGGATGAGGAGGAGGACGGCGAGGGCGAGGGCGAGGGGGAGGGGAGAACGACGCAGGGGCGGCGGCATTGGCGGCGCCTGTTGCGCTGTGAGCCATGGTTGATCGGCTGCTGATCTGATCTGCTGATTGAGTCGGAAATCAGAAGGCGTGGCTTTGCAGGAACTGGGCACGGCGTCAGCATTATGCGATGGCACAATCACTTTCATCACCATCACAAGCCGCAGGGGAGGGGACGCGCAGGAGATTCGCAATCTCAGTCTTCCAGCGGTCAGCTTTACCCCAGCTTTCCCACCCCCTGTTTTTATTCTTCAAACTTTATATTTGAGGCCCAGTGCTTGGGCTGTTGCTGCATCCGCCTCTTTTGTTTTTGCTCTATTCCGCTCCACCCCCCGCCTTTCTCTGTACCTTTTTTTTTTATACACAAACGATAAGCTCTCCACTTACTTTTCTGCTCTTGAATGATGGACTCGTTTCTGCCAAACCACTTTCTGTACCTGCTGTGCTCGCTGTTCGGGTTTGTCGCGTCGCACGCGCTGTCGGTGGTCGACGCAGTGTCCAACTGGTGGCACGCGGCACTGTGCTCGGTGCTGGCGCTGCTGCCCAAGGCGCACATTGAGTTTGCAGTCACACGGCCGGCGCCGGGCTACCACCCGGCGGTCCTTGTCACCGGAACCAGCTCGGGGATCGGCCACGACACGGCCATCGCGCTGGCGACGCGCGGCTACACCGTCTTTGCCGGCGTGCGCACGTGGGAAGACGGCGCGCGCGTCGAGAGTGACTTTATGAACGCCGTGCGGCCCGAGAACATTGCCAAGAACCCCTGGGCGCAGGCGCCGTGGGCCGCGCCCGAGGCCGCCGGCGCCGATCCCGCAAGCAGCACCAGCGCGGATGGCATCGGCAAAGGCGGCGGCGGCGACGGAGACGAGGCGACGACGGAGACGGGGGCGGCGCGCAGGCCGCCGCGTCGGCCCCGCAGCACATGCGCCAGCGGCGGCTACGGCGGCTGGACAAGAAGCGCGCCAAGCAGGCAGCCAACGGCGTCAGCCACGCGCCGGCGCCGCAGCGCGCCGGGAGCGGCGGCGGCATCGTCCCGGTGATTCTGGACGTCGCCAGCAGCGAGTCGATCGACGCGGCGCACGACCGCATCGCGGCCGAGCTGGCGCAGCGCGGCGTCCCGCTGGCGGCCGTCGTCAACAACGCCGGTGTCACGGCGTTTGGGCCGATGGACATCTCAGCGCCGGCGTTCATCGACCACTGCATGACCGTCAACTTCCACGGGCCGGTGCGCGTCACGCAGAAGTTCATGCCGCTGCTGCGCGCGTCGCGCGGCCGCATCGTCAACATCTCCAGCATCATGTCGTGGCTGATCGGCCCGGGCTTCGGCGTCTACTGCGCCAGCAAGGCCGCGCTGTCGGCCGTCAGCCGCGCGTGGCACTACGAGCTGGCGTCCAGCGGCATCTCGGTGTCGGTCTCGAGCCGGGAATCACGCGCACGGCGCTGTGGCACAAGGTCGAGTCGCAGCTCGAGGCCCACCACGCGCGCCTCAATGGCCGCCGCCCGGCGCGCCGCCTGCGCTCGCGCGACCTGCTCGCAGCCGCCATGCCCGGCGACGAGGCCGTGGCGTCGGCGTCGCCGGCCGAGTCGCCCAGCCGCTCGGTGCGCGCGTCCGACGACGAGGCCACCTTTGACCGCGCGCTGTACAACCCGATGATCCGCCGTATCAAGTCGTCCAACGAGCTGGCGCCGATCTTCGCGCTGCCCACGCACCACGCCGTCGCTGCCGTCATGCATGCGCTCACCAGCCGCTACCCAAAGTCCACGTACCGCGTCGGCTGGGACGCGCGCCTGATGAGCCTGGCCACCTGGGTCGCCAGCGAGGAGACCGTCGAGTGGCTGTGCCGGGTGATCGGGATTGTGTCGGAGACTGACGATGCGTGCGCTGCCCGGAGCAGCGAGCAGAAATACAAGGCCTTTGCTTTGCTTTGCTTTCTACCTTCCATTTCCGGCGCGCCTGGCTGCCCCCTAGCCGCGCGCCTGGCTGCCCCCTTAGCTGCGCCCTTGGCCGCGCCCTTGGTTGAGCGCGCCCTATTTTGGCAACTGGCGCGGCATCAGCCAGTGGAGACTGTTTGCTGTCTCGCCCCAGCAAATCCATTTTCCTTCGCCACACCAATAAGCGCGCCGCCCCCTGCTTGGGCGCTGCCCCCCCAGGAACGGAACGCATCTTGCTCCCATCTTGCGCCGCATGCTATGACGTAATTTCCTGCACTGTGATAATGCGCTCAACCGTTTGCTCGAAGCAGAAAAGGCGCTCCCACCCTAACCCAATCGAGAGTTTTTCTTGGCCTCGTTGACTTTGTCTGTGGTCTTTCCTTGCCCTTCTTCTCTCCTGCTTCCCGCTGCTACATTTTTCTGCGTGCGCTTTTACTTATCCCCCCCCCCTCGCCTTTAGTTACCTGCTAGCCGGCTGTGTGCACCACAATAAAAACACCAGCCCGCCCTCCGCCTTCCGCCTTCCCCCATTTTTCTTTTGAATTTCCTCTTTTGCAAACAAAAAATCGAAAAGGCACCCGAATTGCCAGCACCCGCAACAGCAGAAACCGCTTTTCCCGCACAGGGCTCTCCACAAACCAAACCAACCCGAACCAGCCGAACCGAGGCTCACAAGCAACCATGGCCGACTTTGTTAGACTGTCCATCTTTGGCACCGTGTTCGAGGTCACAACACGGTACACCGACCTCCAGCCTGTGGGCATGGGCGCATTCGGACTCGTATGGTAAGTTTTTGCGCCAAGAAGCAAAGCAAGCATAGCAGAGCGTGCAGCCTGCACATATGCCCAAGGCACATCGTGCGCATCACGCCCCGCCTGCAGCATGCTCTAATATGCCCCTGCGTGCCTGTATGCCCTGTATGCCCTGTATGCCCTGTATGCCCTGTATGCCCTGTATGCAATCCCGCTGCGAGGTGCACGCCGCCCCTCCCTTGCACAAAGCTGACTGCGAAAATACAGCCCCGCTGACAATCCACACCCCCAAACCTCTCGCCGCCTTGTCTCTGTTTTTTAATGTAGCTCGGCTCGCGACCAGCTAACCACGCAGGCCGTCGCCGTGAAGAAGATCATGCGTCCGTTCAGCTCCTCGGTGCTGGCCAAGCGCACGTACCGCGAGCTGAAGCTGCTGAAGCACCTGCGCCACGAGAACATTATCAGCATGAGCGACATTTTTATTTCGCCGCTCGAGGACATCTACTTTGTCACCGAGCTGCTCGGCACCGACCTGCACCGCCTGCGCCAGTCGCGCCCGCTGGAGAAGCAGTTCATCCAGTACTTCCTCTACCAGATCCTGCGCGGCCTCAAGTATGTGCACTCGGCCGGCGTCATCCACCGCGACCTCAAGCCGTCCAACATTGTCATCAACGAGAACTGCGACCTGAAGATCTGCGACTTTGGCCTGGCCCGCGTGCAGGACTCGCAGATGACCGGCTACGTGTCCACCCGCTACTACCGCGCGCCCGAGATCATGCTGACGTGGCAAAAGTACGACATTGCCGTCGACATCTGGAGCACCGGCTGCATCCTGGCCGAGATGTTTGAGGGCACGCCGCTGTTCCCCGGAAAGGACCACGTCGACCAGTTCTCCATCATCACTGAGCTGCTGGGCACCCCGCCCGACGATGTCATCCAGAGCATCGCCAGCGAAAACACCCTGCTCTTCGTGCAGAAGCTTCCGCAGCGCAAGCCCGTGCCCTTCAAAACCCGCTTCCCCGACATTGACCCGCTGGCCATTGATCTGCTCGAGAAGATGCTGGTCTTTGATCACCACACGAGGATCACCGCCGCAGAGGCCCTGGCACACCCGTATTTGGAAACATACCACGACGAGGCCGACGAGCCCATCGCCGATAGCAGGTTCGATTGGTCTTTCAATGACGCTGACTTGCCTGTCGAGGAGTGGAAGGTGATGATGTACAACGAGATTCTCGACTTCCTCAACGTCTCCGAGGGCCCCACATCCATTCCGCACATTACCGCTGCCCCACCTGGTATACCTCCGACCATCGCCCCTGGCGCCAACTTTTCCTCTGCCGGAGACATGTCTTTGACAAGCGAGTACATCCTCTAGACCCAATCAATCAATATGTGCTCCCTCTCTCCCTCCCTTCTGCCGTTCATTTATTTCATTCATTTTTTCCATTTTCCAATTAATCTTTTCTTTGTGTATGTATTAAGCCAAACAGACAAACCAATATTATATTCCTTCGTATTTTACTTTATTACAAACACAAGAAAATATTATATATTGAAAAATGTTTTAGCTGAAATGTTCGATATTGCTTGCATTGTGTCTTTCTCTCCAAGTTAAGCTATTTATTTTTATTTGTAAGCGCAGCTTTGTTGTCGTGTTTGTCTCAATGAAGTACGTTGCGTTGCGTTGCAATGTTTTGTTGTTTTGATTTATAATTTTTGTTAGTGACTTGGTTCCCTAGGTGGCAATGCCAAAGAAAATAAAACAATTGATCTGTATTTTGCTCTTTCAATAGGGAAATCGACAGAAATGTACTTTATTTTTGCTATACTCCCAAGCCTCCGAATCATTTGCAACTAATAAAAATGGGGACGATTATGCCAGCGCTATTGGCTACTCTTGTTTTTTCAATGCTATTTAAATACAACAGTAACATTAAACATTTTACAATTTTACAATTTTTTTTAAAAAAAAAAAGAGCATATCGATGCACACACATATTGTACAAAAAAACTGGCATCAATTGTACTAGCTATCCAGCTTTTTTCAACTTGCAAAATAATAATGTGATATGAAAATATAAAATAAACTAACAAATGCAAACAATATCGATGAGCAAAAAAAAAGAAAAATACAATGTAAAATATACTTCTCGTGTGGCTGAGTACTGCCACAATTGCACCTCGCTGTTCGTCCAAATACTTTGCACACACGTACACGCACACGCACACATATTTATTTTTCTCAGCAATTATACACTACATCTTAGATCACGCTGCTCAATTGTTCATCCTTTTAATTTGCGTCGACGCCTCACATCACACACATCATTGCACAAGATAAACACAACTACCATGCTTTGTTGTATGATCCTAGGGTAAAGAAAAACCTTGGGTATGCGCTTTAAAAAAATGGAAACATGCCTTCTCAGACTTTATATTAAATTCAGCAGGCACTGCTGCTGCTGCTGCTACTGCTACTGCTACTGCTGCTGTGCTACTGCTGCTGAAATTGCTGCCTTTTTCCTAACACTATTCCATATTTTGGTATTAACCTTCAACACCCTCTCCACTCTTGAACAATTTTATTATTCGCTTAAACACGCACTCTATTTGCTGCACCAATACTTTTTTTCTATTATTTCCATTTTTAGTCTATATCCATTACACACACTTGCTCATAGTTATTTTTTTTAGTCATCGAGTTACTTTAGGCCACGCAACGATTAATCTATATATATATATTTTTTTTAGCGTAGCCTCTTCACAATCTCATGCGCGAGTCCCAGCAAAGTAGAAGTATGCGCGAAAGCGCCCAAGAGAGCGCAATGTTTGGCCGCAACTCGTTTCAAGGGTGCATCTTCCAGACGCGCCGAAGCTTAGTCGACAGCGTCAAGGCGTATTTTAGCCACACTGAGTATCGGCCCAGCCAGCAGCAAATCGAAAAGGACCGGTATATCTTGTTCGGGCGGGTTTTATACAAGGACTGGATGGTCATACCGGCCGGTGTGGCAATCCAATTCTGCTACGGGTCATTGTACGCGTGGTCAATTTTCAACGCGCCCATCAACAAGTTGCTCGGAAATGGCGTCAACAAGACAGGCGCCGAAAACACCTTTTACATTACGCTGGGAATTTTGGGATTCACAGGCGCACTGTTCGGGCCGTGGATAGAGTCGCATCATCCGCGCAAATCCGGCACTATCGGAATAGCACTATTTTTTGCTGGCCATTTGACTGCCGCACTGGCACTGTTTGTACGTATGATGTCTCTGCTATATTTTGGCTACGGGGTTATTGGCGGAATTGGCCTGGGCGTTGGATATGTGTCGACTGTCGAGGCAGTAAGCAAGTGGTGGCCCAAGGCCCGAGGCGCAGCTTCCGGAAGCGCCGTCATGGGCTTTGGCGGAGGCGCGTTGGCCTTCAGTTATATCAACAAGGCGCTTGTCGACTACACAAGTCTACCCAAAGCATTTGTGATCCTGGGCTCGGCCACCTTTATCGTGATGCTATTCTGCCTTCAGTTCATCGCGCCGCCGCCGCCTGACCACAACATCAACGGCATAATAATGACAGAGTCCAGCGGCAGGCCGCACTTTGACGTTAAGGGAACCTTGTAGAAGTCGGCAAAATGGAAACCGGGATTTCCACGCTGACGGCGGAGATTCCGCCCGTGCAAATGCCGCTGGGCGAGGTTTTGCGGTCGCGAGACTTTTGGCTGCTGTATATTTCGTTTATAGCCAATATCGTGTTCTGCCTGGTGATCCTGTCCAATCTTCCCAATATGATCAACAGGCTGTTTGGCAAGGACAGCAAGGAAGGCAAGGAGTCGCCGCTGCCCGCACATATTGCCGTGTCTATTGAAAGTGGGTTCAACATGCTGGGCCGCGTGTTGATAGGGTCTGTGTCCGACAAGGTCGGGCGCAAATCAACATTTCTTGTCCTTTTGCTGACCCAAGTAGCTGTCTTGATATGCGTTCCAATAACCATCCACACGGGCAACTTCTGGGGTTTTCTAGTTCTGGTATGGTTGGCGACTCTGTGCTATGGAGGTGGTTTTGGGATGATACCTGCTTTCTTGTCCGATATGTTTGGCATTAGCAATATGAGCAGCTGTCACGGCGTCATCCTGACTGGCTGGTCGATCACCTCAATCAGCGGTGGTCTGGCATTTACAAACTCCATCAACGCACACATCAACCACGGCGGCAAACCGTACGACACCGACATATATTTTGTCAACTTTATGTGGATGCTAGCGCTGGTGGTAATTGGTTTTGTATGCTGCTTGTTTGTCAGGGCGTCAATCCGCGACCGCATGTTCCCAGCGCTGCCCGGCCAGATCATGCGCATGCGCATTTTTGGCCGCGTATTTCGAATTCAATGGATCTACAAGGCTGCGCACAACGAGGATTTGGATTATATGTTGAGTTCGGTTGAAAACAGAAGGAAGCACATGCGGTTTGGGAACGAGGGGCGCCGCTTGCGCTGGGAGTATATGAAAAAAGAGGATGAACAGATTGAGTGGGAGGAATACTTGGCGTTGCGTGCGGCACAAACCCAGTTGATGCGCGAGCCAGCCATTTAATATCTTAAATATATTATATTGCTTTTCTGAGCTTCTGTTTTTTTTTTTTTTTTTTGTATTGTCATTTTTCTTAAATTGAATTTTTTCGATACTTTAAATGTATATTGTTTTTTTTCACTTTCAATGGAAATCTTTGACGCGATGCTAAACGAAAACTGAATAGCAAACAAACAGGCAAGCAAGCAAAAGTTATATCGCTTTGTTCGTGCTAATCGGCCAACAACTTTATTTGATTTAATACGATACGATATCATAGGATACAAATACCAATCCGAGTGAGATATGAGGGGCCACAGGGAATAGGGAGCCTGGGGATGCACCTAAAATTGACTGTAAGGCTGAAGTTGGGCCGCGAACAGCAAACAAGTATTGTCTGTTAGAGAAGTGGCGTAACATGGTTAATGTTTCTGTCATCAAGGCAAACTGGAATTTTAAAGCAACTGTTTGCCTGGTTCCTTGTAGATATTTTTGTGTGGTTGTGTTCAATATTGTATTTGGATATCTTGAAATTACTGCTCACCCAATTGTGAGGTCTAGGATAATTCAATTTTTTGTTTTCTTTCCTGCAGGTAAATATGTATTTTTTAGTATTATTATTGCATTTAATAACTTGATATTAAAACACGAAATCATTGTTTGCATCTTTTCAATAATCTAATATCAAAAAAACTTTTGTCGTTGCTTCGTGATAAATTTGTATTCAAATATATCTGATATTTCGTATTATCTGACAGACAAGCAGTGTGAAAATCACAACCATTCTTGTGGTTGCGTTTGTGCTAGGCCAAACAACGGCATTGGCATGCGTGGAGTCGGGGAGTCGAGGGATTCAGCGTTTAGAATAACCAATAAAAATAAGTTAAGGGACGATGGGGGCAGTGGTTTGTTGCTTGATACACCGAGCCGACAATGATATCATCGTCATTATCTGACATACTTCAGTGCATGTCACCCAATTGACAAAGTAAAAAAAAACAATCCGTCACCACTGTTATCGCTGGAATGGCTTAATCTGCGAGCACGCGGACGCAGAGATTACTACTCAGCATTGTATTATCCGACACTCTACTCTCTCCCTCAAACATATTTTGTAATTAACAAATATACCTGGAGCTCGGTCATTGTGCGTGCTGTGTTTGCTAATCATGTGCAAGACAAATGTTTTATCCTCAGGACATTGCGCACTAATTTTTATCCCGTTGTTTATATCGCTGCAAATTTTTTCTTTAAGAATATACCATCTGAATATATTGTTCATATTTGTTGTTTTTGTTGGAATAATATCTGTTGCGCTCCTGATAATATAGACAATTTTTATTGAAAAATTAATTTGAGTATATATTCTCGAACTTGGTATCTGCTAAATATTTTATCTCTGTATTTTTTTATTTTTTTATTCAGGGTCATCCTTTTCTGTTATTAATATTATTTTTACACCTCAAACTACCAAAGTACATGACATGTGGCTGCTAAACAAGATCGGTAATATCCAGAGCGACGTCATTCCCACCAGACTCAATCCCGAGCAGACGGATATACCAAAACACCCAGTGTTCTACCCGCCCACGCCCAAAAATACGCGTTTTACAACTGCCATCGGCGAACAGCCCGCCGGGACGGAACAGAGGAAATCAATAAAACTGCTCTTTCGCCTGAAAACTATTTTTTTGCCCAAGGGTTCATTGGCGCAGATCACACAACGGCGGCCACACAGCAGCGGCACACAACAGGAGGCAGCCCGTTGCGAAAGTAAGCTGCGCGTCCTGCGCAGGTCGCGACTCATTGCCCGATCGCCAGTGCGCGAGGAATCGATATCGCCAGACCTCCACGTGCTTGCTGAAATCGAATGTGTTCCCAGGCCTAGTCAATGTTCTGGCGAGTACTACGGGTCTCCACACACGCTGTATTCTTCGACAACATTTTACCCCCGTCCAGAGCACCATCTGCTCAAAAAATCACATTTCACAAAGTCAGTGTGCTCGCCCAGAGATGCTGCAGCTTTCCGGAGAAGCTTACCTGCCGACCAGGACTTTTACTGCAGCGAGAACAGCAACGGAAACAAATCTGAGCTGTCATGCAACGAATCAATGACAGAGCCATTGTCAATCGGTCTGACAGGCTCATTTGGATGTACTCCGCGCTCAACCAGTCTGCACTTGCCGACCAGAAGAGCATCTCTAATGTACCCATTACAAGAAAATAATTCCGCGTGCGCAAAATACTCAGTGTTTGGGTCTAGGGCCTTCCGTGGCTCTGGCTGCACTACCATATTAAATGTGGAGACGCATACTGCCAATCTGTGTGACGGCATCATCTCCAGCTCCAGCGACATTTCGACAGGCTCTGTCAACATAGGGATATCGCCTCGGCCCTCTCAGCAAACCTGCGATGCTGTCGAGAGTTTATTGGATGAGCGTGTCTTGTCTACTAAAACAATGCAGCCTTTTATTCAATCACCAGCAGGCGCAAAGCCATACATAAAAGCGCCGAGGTCACTATCGCCAGCTGCGCACCGCCCGTATTCAGAGATATTTTTGAACAATAATAGCATTGTCGACAAAGGCTTTGCTCGCCGCCATGTGCACGACATGGGGCTAGTTCCGGGATACTTGAATGGTAACCAGACAATGTGCATCCACAGCGCGTGCGCCGATTCGAGCCTTGTCCAGTCGTCGTTCGACCTAGCCAAATTGCTCCCAAATGCGCCTCTGTGAGCAGCACGGAAGCAAAATGCGCTTAGCAGTCTATTAGTTTAATTGTTATTTACTTACGTGCAAAGTCGTCTCTTGGTTTTTATAAAAAAAATTGCTTTGAATTATTTTAATAAGTAAAATAACAATCATATGTCATCATCAACTGCTCGCTTCGCCTGCTGATTATTCAGACTACTAATCAAGAATATATTCAAACCTGTGGGAATAAATGAGACGTTGACACCGCCAGGATATAGAAAATATGTGGGAGGAAAAATTGGCTACTGAGCTACATCCTCAATTCTGCGCCCGTCTCTTGTGGCAATGTTTTGAAGGGTTGATGAATGGGGCTTATTAACAACAAATGATTTATTTGGCAGTTGAAAAAAATGAAAATATCCAAAGGCAGAAAAAGATAAAACTTTTTTTTTTCTTCAAAAATTCACCACCAAGAAAAAAATACACTTTGCATCTACATGCGCTCAGCGACCGCTCTTGCTGATTGCCTGCTTCAGCCTCTTGAACTTTTCGCTGATGTTGCGGCTGGATGCGGGCTGAACAGCTACGTGCGAGGACACCGGCATAACCGTGTAGTCTGCAGCCACGCGCTGAGGAATGCGCGCGGTCGCCCTATCACCGTCCCTGCCGCTGCCGCTCTCAATCTGGATGCCGCCAGGCGTCCTGCGGTTCGCAGTGGCAGCGTTCGGGCGTGCGGCAGTGAATTGCCTGCGACCCATATCGACAGAGGCCTCTCTAATCTTCCTGTCGCGGAAGTCAGAGCTAAGGCGCAAGACCATGCGCGACCACTGCTGTACAAACTGCTCGCAAATCCGGCGGTTGATCTCGGGGATGCGCGGGCACTTGCTCATGAAAAGGATAATCTTACCAATGCCGCTCTCGCGCAGGTGATCGCGACGCACGGGCAACTTCTTCAGGATGTCCAGCATGGCATTCTGGATATCGAGACTGGGCAAGCTGCCGTCGTCCAGCGGCTCGAGCCAGAGCCTTATCGAGTCCACAATGTTGTTGTCCAAAAAAGCCTCGTAGAGCTGTGTCTTTCCGAGCTCATCGACCACATCGGGGAGCATTGACAGCTTGTGAATTGCTGGCAGGCGGTCCTTATTGTCGTCGATATCACGGTAGGCGGCGTCACGCATGCGCTTGCGCAGCTCGACAATTATCTCGTCCACTGAAGCGTCGTCCTCGTCTGTTCTCTTGCGTCTGCGGCTGCGTCCGGACTTAAGTACCGAGTCAATCTTCTGGTTCATCTCGTCAATCTCCGCCTGCTTTGGGTCCACAGGCTGGGGCGCCTCTTCGGCCTCTTCAGCATCTTCACCATCGCTAGCAGCGCCATTACCAGCCCGACGCTCCGAGTAATCAGTGCCATCTGTGGCAGCGTCATTTTCCTCGCCATCACTGCGGGAATCAGGGTGGACACGCGCGTCTGACTTTTCAGCATTGTCGTTATCACTAGAACCATCATCTTTCTCTTCGCTGTACTCTTTTGTCGCGGCGCTGTCGCCAGCCTCTTTGGGGCTTTTGGTCTCTGCAGCAGCTTCGTCCGCAGCTTCCAAGTCCGAGTCATCGCCAAACAGATCCTGTGTCTTCTCAGCGGGTGCATCTACACTTGTGTCATCGGCAATTTTGTCCGCAGGCGGCGTGCGTCCGCGTTCTGATTTGTCGTCGTAGTCAGCACCAAATGTATCTTCGGGCGACTTGCTTCCGTGTGAGGACATGTTTATAATAATAGAATAAATTTGAAATTGGGGAAGAAATAAAAAAATAGAGGTAGAAATTTGATAGGCTTAAGAGTAAGCGCGCATAAAAAAATTACACCCATTTTTAAAAACAAATACACACAATCTGTTTTTGCGTCTCTATGGGTGATGCATGTGACAATAACTGATTGCGAAACGACGAGCAAGCGCGGGAGTTTTAAAATCAAATAGGGGGGGCATCATCTTTGCATTTTTGCACCTTTGTGCATTTTTCATTTCTCCGATCTTCTCCACTCTCTTTGCTACACACTATTCAAGTATCGCTCCCCAAAAAAAACCAACACAAACTATTCTACCATGGCTATTCAGGTCGGCGACACTATCCCCAACACTGTTCTCACCTACGCACCATACAACCCCGAGCACGCCGATGTCTGCAGCGTGCCTCAGCCGATGAACACGCACGACGCGTTCAAGGGAAAGCGCGTTGTTCTGTTTGCCGTCCCGGGAGCCTTCACGCCCACTTGCTCAGAGACCCACATGCCCGAATATGCGACGCGCGCGGCCGAAATCAAGGCAAAAAACGTCGACATTGTTGCTTGCGTAGCATCCAACGACCCATTTGTCATGGACGCCTGGGGCAAGGCTCACGGCGTCAAGGACAGCGTTCTGATGCTCAGCGACGCCAACGGCGAGTTCGGATCCGCCATTGGTCTGGTCAACGACGGTACCAAGATGCGGATGGGCCCGATCAGGCTGGCGCGCTTCGCGATGATAATCAACGACCTCAAGGTCGAGTACCTGGGCGTCGAACCTGCCCGCGGCGTCACTGTCTCTGGTGCGGCATCGGTCATTGCCAAGTTGTAGATACTGGCGCGCATTTTGTGCGGACCAACTTGTAGATGGAGAATGTGTGTGTGCTGTCTCAAGCGGCAGTAACGAAAAAAAGTTGGGCCAAACTCTTGGCATCCCCCGTCCACGTGAGACATTAACCCCCCGCATTTTGCAAACATTCTGTCGCCTCAAAGAAGGGCGCGCATCTTTCACAGGCCCTCTCTTATTTCGCTTCAATTTGTTTTAATATAAATTTGCATCTTACAGTTTTATACACATACACACGCACTCATATTATATATATCTAAATTCAGCTAAACGCAAAGCACCACAGACAATACAAATAATTCAGATAGCATAAACAATATAGACATGGAGAGTATGTACAATAAGCGGTAGCCAAGCGCCGTCAGCATTGATGACCCGCTTGGTGGGCGCCATATGGCGCAAAGCCATGTTTGTCTGTGCGCCTTGAATTTGTACCTGACTGCATTTACTAATATCACTGCGACGCGGGTCGACTGTCACACTATTTTTCACCCTGAATTACCCTTTTTGCTGCATACGCGTGTAGATAACTTGCTAAACCTTAGGGTAAGTAGTGCTAGCCACTGCCACACCGCCACAGGGCGGCTGAACCAAGTGTAACAATCCTAATTTTATTTCTTGGTTTTCATGACAACGCCAACTTTGTGCAGCTTACTGACTCTTGGCGCTTTATTAAACTGCAATAGATGACGTCCAAAATGCTGAGTCGGCAGGCAAAGCGGTGCCAGAAGGAGGAAAATAAGGAGCTTGAGAAGCTGAAAAAGGCGATCAGTGCCGGCGGTACAGAGGAGGCGCGCATATACGCGTCCAACGCGATCCGCAAAAAGAGCGAGCGGCTAAACATAACCAAGATGGCGTCGCGGGTCGATGCGGTGGCCAGCCGAGTACAGACGGCGCTGACGATGCAGCAGGTGGTCAGGTCGATGGGAATCACTGTCGTTTCGATGGAGAAGGCGGCGCAGTCAATGAACCTGGAGCAGATATCGGCCGTCATGGACAAATTCGAGCAGCAGTTCGAGGACCTCGACGTGCAGACCGGGTACATGGAGGGAGCCATTGGCGGAACGACGGCACTGGATATGCCCCAGGACGAGGTTGACATGCTCATCCAGCGGACAGCCGACCAAGACGGCCTGGAGCTCAATGCCGAGCTGGCCAACATCCAGGCCCCGCAGTACTTGCCGGACGAAGCGAGCTGAGCGAGCGCCTGGCCAAGCTCCGCGAGGCATCCTAAGTCTGCTGGCGTGTGGGGTCGATATGAGGTTGGTGATCGCTGATCGCCAGGTTTAATAAATTGCTTTGACCAACCGCTTTGGACAATACGAAAAATTACAATTCACTTGTAAAATTTTTGATGGCGCGCAGGACAAGCGCAGCCAATTGCGCACTGCGTGGACACGGGTTCGGAGATGTCTTTTGCCGTCACACAGGCCCAAATTGGTAAAAATGCCGAAGAAAAAAGGCCCAGCCTTGCCGCCGCACAGTTTGCGACCTCCAATATCAGGCCAGTTTTGCTGAAGCCGAGTGTCGATCGCACCAATCAGCACAATCAATCTTTTTGGGGCTTTTTCCAGCGATTGGTGGGGGAAATTTGGGCTTGGGTTATCTCAAAATTTACAGATTGGGCAAATTCGTAGCAGCGCTTTCATTGAGGCGATCAGACACCCAAAAGGCAAGCGGAAAACAATCAATTTGGGCCGGTTTTCGCTCTGCAGTAGACGCGAACCTCGCCTGACAAAAATACTTTTGCAGCTTCTTTCTTTTCGTTGTTTTCGATTTCATTATCTATTTGTTTGCTCTGCAATTTATCCTCAAATACAAATTTGCTTTTTCCAACTCCTCCTAACCCAACAACCCAACCCAACCCAACCCAACCCAACTTACCTTCGCTTCAATGATGGACCCTACCAAGGCAATGTCTATCCTGAACAGGTCGTGCCCCTACCTTGCGCGCACGGGCCTTGCAGCTCTCCAGGGCATGTCGGGTGCAGGCTCTGCAGCGCGTGGGCTAGCGACGTCTGCTGTCGAGCAGGCCAGGTGCAGCGTGTGCCCCGGCCAGACTGGCCAGTCGGCTCTTCTGGCGAAGGCGTCCGACTGCCCCGTGGTCGGTCCCTCCATCCGTGCCAAGGATGCTGCCGAGAAGGTCGGCCAGCACCAACAGCACGCTGTCCCTGCGTCGTGCCCCTATGCAACTGCAAGACTGCTCCTGCCAAGGGCGCTGCGACCACCGCTGGCGCCGCTGCTAGCAACCACGCAGCTTCCTCGGGTAAGTATCACCAACATAATTCTCTGCAATTTTCTGCTTTTAACTGCCTCCGCAATATGTCTTTTACGCGCAATGCCTGTCTGTGGAGATGATGGTTAGAGGGGTCATTTTTATCTCGCTTTTTTCTTCTCCTCACTGCTTTCACCCTCCTTTTCCAACTTTTAAATTGGCAGCTGCGCTCTCCACACAGTTCTGACGCCCAGCGTCTACCTCAAATTACTGTTTGTATATATTATTTGCGCGGATTACTTGTCACTCTTGGCGCTGGCTGTGGCCATGGTCGTGGCCGTGGCAAAATTCATCATTAATGTGTATATAATGGCACACTGCAGCAAAAAAATCAAAAAAAATTGTTTTCCGGCCAAGTGGACTGTTGATTTCTTTTTTTGTGATAAGATGAGAAAAGCAAGTTTCAGCGCTTTTTAAACAATCCCCACGATTCTAGACTGTTTGTTAGCTGGACATGACACAGCGCAGCTCCTTGTTGAAAATCCTCTTAAACACAAACATTTATTTTGCATATGCTCCTTGTCCGTTTTTATTTACAAAATGCGATACGTGAGAATTAATGACATTCAAAAGATTGGCGCGATATTTTCTTTTAGTCCCCTCATTAATTCCTTCAAACAGCGTCACTAATTGCAACCGTCATCGCTATAAACGCATAAAATATAAACATGTAGGCATCTCGGCTGCCAATGCTCCCGCGACGCACGCCTCCCGCGAGGCGACGTTTGACTACGAGGGCCAGTACCAGGCAAAGCTCGCCAAGAAGCACGACGACAGGAGCTACCGCTACTTCAACAACATCAACCGACTGGCGGCTAGGTACCCGCAGGCGCACACGGCTAACGCGTCCAACATTGTGACCGTGTGGTGCAGCAACGACTACCTGGGGCAGAGCAAGAACCCCGTGGTCACTGAGGCGATGAAGACAGCGCTGGACGCCTATGGCGCCGGTGCTGGCGGCACGCGCAACATTGCCGGTAACTCGGCGCTGCACCTACGCCTCGAGTCGGAGCTGGCGACGCTGCACCGCAAGGAGGCGGCGCTGGTGTTCTCGTCGTGCTTTGTGGCTAACGACGCGACGATCTCGACTCTGTGCAGCGCGCTGCCCAACTGCGTGATCTTCTCGGACAAGATGAACCACGCATCGATGATCCAGGGCATCCGCCACTCGGGTGCCAAGAAGCATGTCTTTGACCACAATGACCTCGACCACTTGGAGAAGCTGCTTGCGCAGTACCCGCGCTCGACTCCCAAAATGATTGCTTTTGAGAGTGTGTACTCGATGTCCGGCACTGTTGGTCGCATCCCCGAGATCTGCGCGCTGGCCAAGAAGTATGGCGCCATCACCTTCCTCGACGAGGTGCACTCTGTCGGCATGTACGGCCCGCGCGGTGCCGGTGTTGCCGAGCACTACGACTACAACGCCAGCCTGCAGACGCCCGCCGGCCAGCGTATTCCCGGCTCGGTCATGGACGAGGTCGATATTGTCACCGGCACGCTCGGCAAGGCATTCGGCATTGTCGGCGGCTACATTGCCGCGTCGTCTTCGCTCGTCGACATGATCCGCTCGTACGCACCCGGATTCATCTTCACCACTTCCCTGCCGCCGCCCATCAACGCCGGCGCCGTTGCCAGCATCCAGTACCTGGCCAACTCGCAGCGCGAGCGCTTCCTGCAGCAGACGCACGTGCGCGAGCTCAAGGCCGACCTGGCTGACGCCGGCATTCCCGTCGTTCCTAACCCGTCGCACATCGTCCCGGTGCTTGTCGGCGATGCTGAGAGCGCCAAGATGGCCTCGGACATGCTGCTGAGTCAGCACAACATCTACGTGCAGAGCATCAACTACCCGACCGTGCCCGTCGGCGAGGAGCGTCTGCGCATTACGCCTGGCCCTGGCCACGACAACTTTATGCGCATGCGTCTGCTCGGCGCCCTCGACTCAGTGTGGAACCGCCTCGGGCTGAAGCGCACCGCCGACTGGGAGCGCATGGGCGGCCGCTGCGGTGTCGGAGAGAGCCGCGAGAATCTGAGCAGCATGTTGGCTGGAAGCGGGGCGTCGAGAATGTCTGGGAAGATCACCAGCTCAAGCAGGCTCATGACTGTGAGCTGGCACGCAAGGGAGGTGTTCCCATTGTGCCTGCCATTCCTGAGACTGTCCAGCAGATCATTTCTGCCACCATGCTGTGAGATTAACTCGTACGGACATTGCAACATTTGGCAATTTTAGGATTGTCTACCGTTTCTTTCATCTCTCTCATAATTTTGTGAGAAACGCACTGAATTAAAAAATCAAGTGCAAATTAACATTTTTAGGTTTGCATTTCGCCAATAAATATTATTTTTGCTCTTAAATATATTTTAAAACATCCACATATTAGTTTGTTGACGATGATAACGCTAATATAAATTAGTGCAAAATACTATTTATAATATATTAACTACGAATAAACTATGATAAATAGAAACAAAATTGTATCTTGCACTTGACCTACACAATAAACTAATGCGCACAGAGCAGTTAATACGAAAACAAAAACCATTTGGGCGGTCCAGCACACACAATTGTAAAAGGTCAAATATTGTTTTCCATTTCTACAGTTGTTATCAGAATTGGTGCCTATTCATGTTGCCTGTCGTCAATATTTTGGTTACAGGCAACCTTGAATGATAATATCAAATTGCAATAAATTTCTACAACAACCCAAAAAGGTATCCTTAAAAGCCCTAAAACTTGCGAGCATTTGTCGGGACCGGCACACCCGAAAAATATAATACGCAACAACAAATAGCATGGCATGCATTGACTACAAACATCTGACCTTTGTAGCCAACGGACTGTTTTTATTCTCTCATTAGCTTTGCTTTTACTCGCCGAGAAGTCCGGAAGGGGACTAGAAAACAATTAAAAAGTGTAAAGCTGACCAACGACCCCTCACAACCTTGGATTGCTGTCTTTTTTCTGAGGCTGGGCGGAAACTGAAGGCTCTCAGTCCAGTCAAGCAGTTTACCAAACCACATATAAAATTGCACATGTGAATGACCTCAAAATTACACAAACCAACAGGCATGCCACATGCAGAATATGAGCCACGTTGCCCCACACCAGTCTCATATAATACTTGTCATATTGACAATTCCTAATTGCTGTCCACCATATTACCAACTGAGCCACCCGCAGCTCCACCAGCCAACCGAATACTTGCAGTACAGTCTGGTCTTTCCTTCACTTTCACTCCCTTTTTAACAAAAGGGCTTGGTTCTAGATGAAAACTATACTGTAAAGCTGTTACAAGCTGCACAAGTGACTTTCGTTCCTGCGGAACATAAGAAGTGCAAACATAAAGCCAAAAGCAGCACGACAGCGACTAAAAAAGTACAAACACAAAATAAAAGAACAAATAAGGTTGGGACAAGAATTACCAAAGTACAACTTCGACCTATTTATGTAACCCTCAGAGGTCATTTGATAGTTAAATCAAACTTCACAACATCCATGCCACGAAGCCCAATACCAGGACAATTAAAAGGGAGTCAAGGGTTGTATAAAAAGCGTTCAACCTCCACGCAGTCGTTGCAATTTACCTCGAGACACAACTGTAAGAACTAGAAACAGTCATAAAATAAAAGAGCAAGTGAGGCAGCCTGAGTGAAGAAAAAAGAAGAGAAAAAAGAAAGGATGACCCGGAATATGTCTCCCCTTTTGAATAACTACTCAGTATTTGCCATTTGGCGACAGAAAAAAGATTTTCTCTTATTTTCCGTATGGTTTCGGTTCTAAAAAGGCCAGTTAGATATCTCTTGTATTTTGCATTGGTGTATTAGAATGTTCCGCAAATGCCGGATAGCGCAAATTTATTTGACATGATTTTTTGACCATCCAATAATTTTCCAATCAATTATTTGCCTGCTCAAAAGGAATAACAGCCACCAGGTTCAAAAATTAAAATGCATGTTGCTTTGAGGTATGTGCTGCCCACACCAAAAAAGCTTCACTGTCAGAAAAATTAATTGTTTACCAAAACCCAACCAAAATTAACAAATAGCTTGGCAGAAAATCTGTAGGCGTTGCACGCACTTATCGACACCCATTGCTGTTTTCCAGTTTGCACAAATAAACAAAAAAGTCACTGGTCAGAAAAGTGTTCCACACACGTAATGGCTGTCATTTGTGCCATTGATTTCAGGAATTCTATTCAAATTATAAAATCAGTTTATTTTAGCAAATTGAGGCATAGTTGTAAAATATAAATAAAAACGTACTTTCATCATTAAACGATCTTGCTAAGAAATACCAAGAACTCAAAAATAAGTGTTTCCAAGTTTATGCATATTAATTACTTTCAACAATATATGATTAAAAGCAGAAATCGAGAATTAGTTATTGTATATGGAGTTGTAATATTTTTAATTTATGGATAGCTTTCAAAGCACCGGTACCAAAAATATTTACATTATTTTTTGGCAACAGCAATGCAGCGGTAGCCGCATAATATTCCATTTTACAATAACAAAAAATATAACCTTTTTCTGACGACGATATGAGTAAAGTTGAAATACTCAAACAAATAGTTGTTTCCAAAATAAAATTTTAGGGAAGATATCTAAAGTAGACACCTTTTAAAAAATATATCGAATGTATACACTTTTTCATCCCCATCAATTTTAAAATTCTAGTTTTCTCTGTCCAATTGAAGCCGCACTCCTCAATTCTCAAACTTGCATATGTGATTTCTGGTCTCTCTTTGGAGTGCGCCTCTAGCTCAGCAATTTTGACTTTTATGGGGTGAAAATTCAACGTTCAGTTGTCAATGGTATAAATTAAATATTTACTTTTTAGATTGTGAGATAACTTTATTGACTTTTTATCTTTTATTTTTAGTAACCGAGTTTTATAGCTAGTTTTATCAAACTGACAACAAAAATGTGCTCTTCTGCTGCGCTTGATGTTACCATAACACCCACCGTAATTTACCATAAAATTAAGAAGTGAGAAAAATTCGCGAACATGGCCCTTTTCCGTGCCAATCTCCAATTGTATAGCGCCCAAGTCCACATCGTCTTCAGAATGGCGAAGTCCAGTAAGCGCATTTGCGTGGTTGTATGCCCCATATTTATAGGTCGAGGGCAAACGCAAAAGCGGGACTTTTTGGTAATTCCAATAACGACGACATGGACGCTTATTATACTGAATCCAGTGCATCCAGCGACAGCGAGGAGGATAATTTCAGTCATAATAAAGGTGATGGACATGTCAATTTCGTCGATCCCTGCATAGACATCGGTGATGAGAGTGGTTGTTTTATCATGACTCGTTTGGTCTGAGCCATAGCTAGGATGATCTGGATGATACACCCTCTGCATTTGTAGGCGTCAGCTTTGTTAGTCTTGGCGGCGGCCCTTCTGCGCCTGGTGGAAACAGCTTTGTTGGACTCGACGGTGGTTCCTCTGTGTTTGGCAGCGGCAGCCCATCTATGCTTGCTGATGGCAGACTTTTTTCACTTGATGACCATAGCTTGGTTGGATTTGGTGGCGGCTCTGTTGGCACAGTTAGGGATGTGTTGGTTGGGTGTGGAAGCATCAGACATTTTGAATCTAGGGGAAGGCTCAATTGGTATTGGCTTTGGCAAGGGTAAATCTTTGGTTTCTAAGAAGGGAGTGCATGGCAAGCAAGCCAACATTTTTACGTTTGGAATGATTATATATTTTCTAAACGTACTAAAATAGTTCACTTGTCCAAGAAGTCGCAGCTTGATCATTCAGATGGTTGTCCATGTCCCGAGTTTTATTTTAGAGCCAGTCAGGCAATTGCTGTAATGAGTAATTGAGCTGGTTATAATATATGTTAATAGAAATGAGACTACGAGAAGAGCTAAAGAGCTCACTATTCAGAAATCACTGTGCGCATGGAATATAATCATATTTCATGCATCTACGCTGCCACGTGACTCAGCCCCCATTTTTGATGTCACAGTTGCCATATTGTTGCCAAGCCATTAACTGACAAATATCCCAAGTTGAAGCCATATGCATTAATGGCTGCTCTTAAGGAAAGGGGCTGGGGAGCTTAGTTATATGACTGCCTACAGAGAATTGAATTCAATTAGGAAGAAGCTAATGTTAGTATTGATTTATCATTAGACAATATGATAACCACAGAACTGGAACGCTTTACCCAGTACACTGAGCAGATTATTTGGACTGTTTCATCGTCGACACTGTTCTGCAAATTGTATTTTACCAACCCGCCGTCTCTCACCAATATATTGAATTTCGTTGAGAACAGCACTTCGTTCAACCACCTTCAAGACCTCCTCCAGAAGCTCATTCTGCAATGCCCTTACATTGTCAGAATCTTACTTCATGCATTACATCTGCGCGTACTGGAATAAATTTTTCTGGAAATGTGGCCGAGAATGAAAAGGAAACTGGCATAGAGATTTTGGGGGTATGTGGTTGGGCCTCGTCTTATTTTGGCAAGAAACTTGCACTCGCTGGTCATCCCAGAAACGACGGTGGTCATTGGGGAAAATGCATGGAGTGCATTGCTTTTATCGCTGTTAGTTACCGCGGCTGATGATAATTGACAGCAATCCGCGTGCAGCAAATTTGCAGAGATCGTCTGAATTTATTACTCGCCAAGATGATCTCGTCAATCATCCTAATTGCATTCGCAGATTTGGTTTTTCTTGATCTAGTTTCTCACATTTTCTTAGTTTTTTGTCATCAATCGAATTTCATTAGCACAACTAACTAAAAATAATTAAACTATTGCAACCGCAAATAGAGATTTGTCGCCACATGTTTAAAAAAAACTCTACATTCTTCATTTTTGTATTTCTTTTCTAAATCAAATAAATTCAATGAAATATGGTGTGCTTTCATTCGCCTCGCACTGATGCGTGCGCGCTCTCAATTTCTATAAACATGAGATTCTGCGCGGCAGCTGAAAATTATTTATTTTACATAATAAAAGTCAGGCATGATTATCATAAAAAATATTTTTGGAGGCTCTTTGAGTGATATTCAGAGCGGTAGAAACAAAACTGAGCTATGATAAGCCAATATGTTTTTTACATCCTGCCACGCGATGGCAAAATACTGTTACAATTGGTCTGAGCGGCTCGACTCTGACTACAGGCCTGAAAACAAGTCGGGTACCGAGCCTAGCCATTCTCCACTGCCGACAATTGAACTGGGTTTCTGTTATGTCAGCCGCTTTTGTTGACATGTTGCGGGGAGCGACAGTCTCAAATAATGAAACTGGGGTGTGGAAACTGTTTTTTGTCCCTTAAAAATAAATAAATAAATACATATTATATATTATATTATCTGGTTTTGACCTTCAGGCGCTCTCCGCTGGTGATTTTTGCAACAATACGTCATACTCGATGTGGAACAACTAAAAATGGATCCACATAATACTACCCGCCTGTTACTCTCAATCAAAAATCTATTACACTCTCAAAAAAACTGAACTAAAATAAACGAATGACAATCCGTTTCATACCTTGTGTCGTCATTTATATTTTTTATATATTTTCCATGGTTTATACTCCATATAACATGGCCAAATATGTGCATAAACAATGCCGCCATTTTTCTCTTTCTCATATGTCAGAATATCCGATTGGACAATTATATATTAAATTTATATAACGGAGTGGTAAACACAATAGTAAATTGTTTATTACCACTTTTCAATCACAAATCCAGCCAGAGCTTTTTGGGCATACCAATGTTTGATTTCGTGCACAGCATCGGCTGCTTCAAAGGATATAAAAGAGCAACTGTCGCTAACACATATTTTGACAAAGACATTATTCACTGCTCTTAAAACCAGCAACTACTTTTTTTAACTACAACCTCGTTTTTTCAACAAACAAACCAAACAATCTCATTTAATCATTTTATCATCATGTCCAGCCTTTACAATCAGACTGCCGGCGCCATCAAGGAGACCGTTGGAAACATAGTGGGCAACAATGATCTTGTCGAGACTGGCCGCGAGCAGTGGGCCGAGAGCAAGGGCGAGCAAAAGATTCAGGAGAATCGGGCTCATCGTGAGAAGGAGAACCCCGAACTGCACCGCGCTGTCGACTCTGCTAACAATATCAGCGGCACTGCCAAGGAGATGTTTGGCCAGGCCATCGGCGACAAAAATGGAGGCGAGGGCCACAGCCAGCGCACTCAGGCCAAGGGCAATGCTATGTACCACGACAAGCTCACCAAGGACAATACCAAGGCTGGCATCTAGGCACTGTATTTTTTATAGATACCCTTTGTATGTATGTAATAAAACATGTGTTTGCCCATGCCTTGTATTAAACTGTTATGTGCGCTTAGCCTCGTGCTTTGCCAAAATACAACTTCAATCAAAAATGAAACCATTAACAGACCCCAACCTCGGAGATTGTATTTATGTACTTACCTTTACATTTCGTTAAAAGGTAGTGCGTTAACACTTTTCGCCAGATGTTTACCAGAAATAGGCATTATTCGGACTAAAAGAGAGCTAAAGAATGAACAGCATCAACTGTTCATATTATACTGGTATTTATATTACCAGTATGGGATTCCTGTATATCCAAGTACAAAATTGACCGGTGATTGATCAATGGATCAATCACTGACGACAAGCCGGATTTAAATGTGTCACACTATCCTTGGTTTCACTCTTAGTTTTTTATTTTAATTGGAATACACGAAGGATCGCATATCTAGGTCATCTTTTTTCGCTTCTCATTGGAAACCTCCAATTTCACTCTCATTTCCTTTTTATCCTCTTCTTTTTTATCTCTCCAGTAAGCACCCACCCATGCCAAAATGGCCTCAGCTATGCTTTGGCGCACATTTGCAGCAGCACCCAACCGTGCTCCCCGAACTAGCATTCTTTCACAACTACTAAAACTGCACACTCTCAATTCCCCTGTTTCTGCCGCACGCTTCAAATCTACAGGTCGCATAATAGCCCAAATGTCTGACAACAAACTGAATATCGATCGCACGGCGCTCGACTCGCTGCTGCTCAAGCGCTTTTTCTACGCGCCCTCGTTCAGTATTTACGGTGGCGTCGCCGGCCTGTACGACTTTGGACCGACCGGAACTGCGCTCCAGCAGAACCTGATCAACATGTGGCGGCAGCATTTTATTATTGAGGAGGACATGCTCGAGGTCGATTGCAGCATCATGACCCCGGCTGAGGTGCTCAAGACCTCGGGCCACGTCGAGAAGTTCACTGACTGGATGTGCAAGGACGTGAAGACCGGCGATATCTCGCGCGCCGACCATTTGGTCGAGGCTGTGCTTGAGGCACGTCTCGATGGCGACGCCCTTGCACGCAAGATGGCTGGCCTACTGTCAGTGCTGACGCTGCTGCTGCTCCTGCCAAGGCGGCCAGCACCAAGAAGAACAAGAAGAAGGGCGGCCCCGTCCGTCATCCAGCTTGATGACGAGCTTGTCGCCGAGTACAAGAACGTTCTGGCGCAGATCGACAACTACGACGGCGACGCCCTCGGCGAGCTGATCACCCGCTTTGAGATCCGCAACCCTGATACCGGTAACGAGGTGACTAAACCCGTCGAGTTCAACCTCATGTTTGAGAGCAGCATCGGCCCCACCGGCCATCTCAAGGGCTACCTGCGCCCCGAGACCGCCCAGGCCAGTTCCTGAACTTCTCGCGCCTGCTCGAGTTCAACAACCAGAAGATGCCCTTTGCATCCGCCATGGTTGGCCGCTCCTTCCGCAATGAGATCTCGCCGCGTCAGGGTCTTCTGCGCGTTCGCGAGTTCACGATGGCCGAGGTCGAGCACTATGTCGACCCGCTGAACAAAGATCACCCCCGCTTCGATGATGTTGCCGACGTCAAGCTACGCCTGTTGCCGAGCTCCGTCCAGCTCGAGGGCAGACTGAGCCTATCGAGATGACCATTGGTGATGCCGTCACCGAGGGCGTGATCGATAACAAGACGCTGGGCTACTTCATGGGCCGCATCTACCTCTACTTGATGTCGGTTGGCATAAAGCGCGATCTGCTGCGCTTCCGCCAGCACATGGACAACGAGATGGCCCATTATGCATGCGACTGCTGGGATGCTGAAATCAAGAACTCGTTCGGCTGGATCGAATGCGTGGCTGCGCTGATCGCTCGGCGTACGACCTGACCGTGCACGCCAAGCGTACCAATGAGAAGCTGTGCGTTCGCGAGAACCTGCCCGAGCCCCGCGTATACGAGAAGCTCGTGTGCGAGCCCAACAGCAAGGTGTTCGGCCCCAAACTGAAGCGCGCTGCCAAGCCCGTGCAGGAGCACCTGGAGGCCCTGTCCGACCCGATTTGACTGCCATCAAGGAAGCCCTGGCCAGCAACGCAAGACCACCGTCACACTGACTGGCACTGCCGCCGACGGCGAGCATGAGATCACCTCTGAGATGATCACCATCGAGAACAAGACCTTCACCGAGTACATCCGCGAATATACTCCCAATGTCATCGAGCCCTCGTTCGGCATTGGCCGCATCATGTACTCGCTGATTGAGCACTCGTACACCGTGCGCGCCGATGACGAGCAGCGCGCTGTGCTCAGCTTCAACCCGGCTGTTGCACCCTTCAAGTGCCTGGTGCTCCCCCTGTCCAACCACGCCAGCTTTGAGAAGCCCCTTTTGGACGTCGCTCGCCGTCTGCGCACCAACGGTGTCCCCGCCCGCATCGACGATGCTGCTTCGGCATCCATTGGCCGCCGCTACGCGCGCAACGACGAGCTGGGTACGCCCTTGCCATCACTGTTGACTTTGACACCGCCAAGGATGACACAGTCACCCTGCGCGAGCGCGACACGACCAAGCAGATCCGCGCCTCCATCGACGAGGTTGTCGACCTGGTGAAGAACCTCGTCCTGGGTAACACCACCTGGGACGAAGCACTGAGCAAGTACCCGTCTGTCAACGATACTGCTGACGAGAGTAAATGCGGGTGATGTGGCTCGTTTTTTTACATTAATATTATTGATTTTGATAATATACAATTTCATATTTTCAGGGGCTCCCTTGGATTTCAAGAGTAAGGCGGAAGTATCACCGCAATTGCCATGTCGCTGCAATATAGGAGGTGGGCCCAGTAGGCAAATGCTAATCCGGTTAGCGATCCAACGGCATATCCCCAGCCGTGGCCGCCGCCTTGGTCCTCATCAGGAGATTGGGAACGCCGTACCAGCGGCAAACGGCAACAGGGTGATGAATGATATCAGCGTCTGCCCAGGCCGGCTGCGACTGATCGCATCGTCGGGCGCAATTTCTCGCAGCTGGCGGCGGACCTGCGGATGAAGGCGCAACCCCAGTTGGATGCTGATAAACAGCGACAAGTAACCCATAGCGCACGACGAAACTACACGAAATAAGCAGAATAAAAAGCATGAGATCAGCTGAATAGTAAGACGACAAGTGCTTTTTTTGGTTGATTTTTTATTTTCATCTTGACTTACGGACACTAATGGCACAGGATACATGTGCAGATCGCCTTTGATATTCTTGTTTTGGCAGTCCTTGTATGACAGCGCGACGCCCGTTTGATAAGCGCGGTCAAAGTCTTCCTGGCTCAACTTGCATCTGTCGAGGAAATCAGACGCTAATACATCCGACATTTGCTTGAACAGCGACATGAACAAGGTGCTGAAACTCAACGCCATGGCCAACCCCAGTATAGAATGGTGGATCTCGCTAAGCGGTCGCCTGTAGAATCCCAGCCAAACGATCATGATTACCGTGGTATAGCTGTGCTGAGCACCACGCAAACGCGGGTGATGTCGTTGTAGTTGCCGGCCAAAAACTTTTGCTGGATATCTGGATCGGTTACCAGAAATATATAGATTTGGGCCACGGGATTAATATTAATTGAGAGATTGTCACAACAATGAGAACCGTGATCCAGTCAGCGGCGTACAGTGCCCAGTCTTGGCCCTATGCCGTTTGTGGTATCCTGACGACGGGGTGCTCTTTATTTCCACCGATTCGTCGTCCCGAGTGTCCTTCATTTTTGGCCTCAGTATTGGTATTATGTTAAATATGATGCTGTTTTGTGCGTGCAATGAATAAGAATATGTCAAAAATTTAAAAATAAAATAAAAAGTATCTAATAATGTTGTGGCGCCAAAGGTTCATCCTGTCTCAGAGAAAGGCGCAGTTGGCTGCCTATCTTGAATACAATGCATATTGCTAAATGTGATTTTCCTCCTAGCACTGCCTGGAACACTTTCAGCAAGCAGACACTTCTGGGATCATTGGAGGGGATGAGGGGAAGGGCCACGTGGGGTTAAGAATGGGTATAATATATAGCAATTACGTCAAATCCAGGGCATTGTTTGAAATGGAGATTTTGGCTTAATCCAAACTTGCGGATTCATTTGATGGTGTACCCCTAAATACACTGGCATCATGATCTGCAAAATCTGCTCAATTTGCCCGACTCTTTTTCACATACTCACTCGCTTGCTTTCGTTCTCACTTTTTGTTTAAATTTCTATGAACATTTTTTTTGCCGAGCACAATTAAAGGACACATGATCAGCAGCAGACAAACAGCCAAAAAATGAAATGTATTGTGAACCCCGTGACATTATAAAAAAATAAAGTGTGTGCAGAGTACACGAAAGCCACACGGCCTGGCGGGCTACCTGGGTGCCTGTCTGTATACTTCTGGAGCTTGACAAATCCGGGTGTATTTGTTTCTTTTATTCTGAAAGGTTTATTGCATTTCTTCGCATTTCTAAACATTCGCACTTTATATCCATTTGCCACTTCTTTTTTCTATTATTTTACGAAATTACCCCTCGCAATTTGACGACATACACATACACAAATAGGTTGATAATGACGCGAGCGCTGGAGGCCAAAGTTGCCATTTTAGGAAAGCAAGGTACAGAAGCAGAAAGTGTATCGCAGCAAGGCAAAGCTGAACTATGCCTGTTTTTTTCTTTGACTGAAAACAGGTCGTTGTCTTGTTTTTGGTTACCCCCAAAAAGCACGCCTCTTTGCGTATCACCGTCACAATCTCTGGTCACGCTTAGCGCCTCTTCTCCCCCACAGAATCAATGTTTTTTGTTTGGTATTTTTTAAAGGCCGAAATATCGACAGCGAGATTTTTCTATGGAAATATGAGGTGTCTTCCTAATTAATTGGACCCGAGTGTGAGGGCGTAATTACTGTTCAATTGGTCTGTTGTGCCTCGGGTCCCTCGTTCAATTCACTGCTAAATATTGTTTAATTTATTTTTGCTCGTCATACAAAAGCCCGTGTAGCTGTTGGAAAGACATCACTGGTGACCAGGTACGTGCACCAGACATTTGCTGATCGCACGCCGTCGACAATCGGCGCATCGTTTGTGACCACAAAGATTGAGCTTGACGGGTGGGAGTGCCGACTGCAGCTCTGGGACAGTGCCGGGCAAGAGCGCTTTCGGGCAATGACGCAGATGTACTACCGCGGGGCCAACGCAGTAATTCTGGTGTACGATATTACTAGCGAAGACAGCTTTAGAGATGTTGACACGTGGGTACAAGGTATGGTTGGAGACTTTTTAGTGGTTTTTGTTGTTGAAATTCGCATATCATATTTTTTCCGCAGCAATGTCGGCTTGTTATTTTTGCTAATTTTCCGCAGATAAAACACGCTGTTGCATTTATCGATCAATTGTGACGTTTGTAGAGCTCAAGAAGAAGTCGATATGGAGCAGACCGGTAAGTTTTAATGATGAGTTCATATGTACCATGTCTTTTGTATTCATTTGGAAGGCATTCGTGTGAAAAAAATTGCAGCAATGTGAGCGTTCTAAATATACGAAAATGCACAAAATGCACGTTGTTGCATTAATTGCGCGTGTTGTGATGTGCACAGTGCTACGAGTTTTGGACGTGTTCTATCATTGTCTTGTCAATTGGCATGCGTAAAATTCTTGAAAATAGAATACTCATACTTGAAACTAATTGGCTGCTCTCATTTTTTATATATGCTAGTTCTATTTTTGGTCGGCAATAAGCTGGACCTGGCGCCGGGGAAGCGAAAGGTGGAGTACACGCGAGCGCGCGATTATATCAAGAAGATCACTGGCGACGAGACCGCACTTCTTGAGATTTCCTGCCGCGACGATGACGGCGTCATTGATGTGTTTTACGAGCTGGCCGGCCGGCTGGTTCGTCGACAGGAGGAAAGAAACAACAGCGAAAGCAATGAGCGCGGTGGCTTGCTTGGAGATGGCAGGGCGGGGGAGCGGCAGGACCGTCTTAAGCGGCCCATCCGCCTCAGTGGCGGCGACTCTAGGGCCGGTGCAATGCTTGGTGGCTGCTGCTGGTAAAGCTGGTTGGAGATTGCCTACTTACTATTTTTTTGAACTTGTCCCATTTATTCATCATCCATCCATCCATTAATTTTGCCATCCTTCTCCGCCTCCGCCTTCGTCTGTTTCCGTTTCTTTGCACTTTCTTTTTTCATTTGCAACCTTATCATGATAATACTACATTTCAATTTTTCTGCTTTATCCGCACTCGCTGCGACATGGCAGCTGGGATTTCGATATACCTTGGTGTTAGTGAATGAGTGATAAAATACTAGCCGACTGACGATCGCACCCTCCTTTTTTGCGTCTGATCATATTCGCGCTTGCTGAACATGTAGCACGCCGTCTCTGGCAATTGGAAGTTGCATTTGTGCTCGCAAAAAATGCTTGAGTGATTGATATGCCCACTGCAAGCGTCTCTGGCTTCTGCGCATGCATGATATCGGCGTATGTCATATGCTATCAATTCACTTCAAAACAGGGGATGACAATGGGGCAGCGTGCAGAGCGCAGCATTGGCGATGTGGCCCTCTTCTGTTTTTTTCTCTTGCATTCTAAAGCAAATAGCAAAAAATGAGTTAAAAAAAGTCACACTAAGTGCGTGAGTGGGTGTGCTCGCGTTACTGCGCGATAAGTGGAGGATTTTATCATCAGGGAAAAAGGCATGGCCGTGCGCCAAGAAAAACAAAAAGAACAATTTCACACTTCTTTTTTGAATTATCCTTCTATTGGTTAATACAAAGGCCCGACTCTCACAGGGCCTTTTTCTTTGAGATGGGGACTCAAGTGCAAAGGAGGAGGGGGGATGAGGAAGTTGTGGATTGCAACCGGAAAAATGAAAAGATGTAGTCCATCGTATTTAACGCCTTTGCCCCCCTTTCCCTCTCTTTTTCTTTTTATCGTATCGCATTTATAAATATATATTTCACACTATTACTACTACAATACAATTCAAAATGGTAAGAAATGCTGCAAATTTACATTTTAAAATAGAAAACAGCCGTGCGCCATTCTATCCGAGACAGATAGAATTTGTGTGTGTGTAAAAAGGCAGGCTGGTTGGTTAGCTGGCAAGAAGCGGGTGGCGGACACACGCGCTTTATCACCGCCGCTGTTATTAACCGCTACTTTTTTGTTTGCAGCCCAAGAGCTTTTCAAGACTAATATTCACTTCACTTTATTCTCCATTACTCTTAGACTGACAAGATTTCCGAGGATATGATCAGCGAGCAGCAGATTAGCGAGTTCAGAGAGGCCTTCAGCTTGTTTGACAAGGACAATGACGGCTGCATCACCATGGCTGAGCTCGGAAGCGTCATGCGGTCCATGAACCAGAACCCCACGGAGGCTGAGCTCCAGGATATGATTAATGAGGTCGACAAGACGGCAACGGCACTATCGAGTTTGCCGAGTTCCTCACTCTGATGGCGCGCCAGTACAACACTGGCGACGATGAGGAGGAGCTGAAGGAGGCGTTCCGCGTTTTCGACAAGGACGGCGACAGCTTCATTTCTGCCAGCGAGCTGCGTCACGTCATGACCAGCCTTGGGGAGAAGCTGACCACTGAGGAGGTTAACGAGATGATTAACGAGGCTGACGTCGATGGCGATGGCCAGATTAATTACGAGGAGTTTGTCAAGATGATGAAGACCAAGTAAATTTGTTCAGTTCGTTTTTGTCTCTCTTTTTCTATTAGTATTCAATATTTAATGCTTGTTAGCGTACTTTGTTTTACTTGTTTTTCTTTTAAAAACTAAACCTCTAGTTTACAACAAAGGGAAAACAGGCCAAGGCCAAAAACCAAGGACAAGACAAAGACCAGAGTGCTGTCCCATTGTCACTTTTTTGTATCCAAAAAAGCGGTAACATAAAGAAAGAAAATTCCATAAAGCCAAAAAGCCAAAAAAAAGTCGAGCTGTCATCAGCGCGCACCTGTGCAAATTGAAAAGCCGTTGCTGCTGATTAAAAAATAGCTGTGTTTTCTTTTCTCTTTTTCATTTTTAACATTATTATTATTTTTTAACATTCTAACGCTTCTCGCATCTCACGAAAATAAACCAAAATTACTCGGCTTGAATTAAATCTGGTCTGAATTATGTGGCTGTCTGATACACAAAGTACGTACACGCGCCGTCGCCGCGCTGCTTGAATTTTGCTTGCCGTCAAAGCGCGAAATTTCGCCAACTTTTTGGTCTACAAGGAGGAAGTACTCGCAGAGCTGCGCTATGGTCAAACGGAGCGCTTTTTTAAAAAAAGCCGTATTGCTAAAGTTACCTCTGTCTCTCTTCCAAATTTCACACCACCGGCCCACTTTTGTTGAGTCCTGTTTTTTTGTTTGCATTTGTAGAAGTTGGTGTCGGCCTCACGGCATTTGGTTGCGCACTCATCGGTCTGGGGGTGATTCTGTTTTTCGACGCTGGTCTGATAGCCATTGGAAACATCTTGTTCTTGGCCGGCATGTCCATGATCATCGGAGTTCAAAAGACCTTGTATTTTTTTACGCGCCGGGACAAGCTGCGCGGATCAATCGCTTTATTTGCCGGCTTCTGTTTGGTGCTGATAAAGTGGTCCATAGTTGGTATTTTGCTCGAGTCGTTTGGCTTCCTCAACCTCTTTGGCGACTTTTTCCCAGTCGCCATTAACTTCTTGCGCACCCTGCCACTCATCGGCCGGTTCCTCAGCATGCCCGGCATTCGTCAGGTCGTTGACCGCATTGGCGGGTATCCCTCCCAGTACCCAGTGTAAAAATGTTTATTTCCCCTAAGAATATTAATATTTAAGCCGTTTATTCAAACAAATATGTGTATATATGTATGTGTCGGCAACTGTAACAGGAGCAAGAGTGTCGGAATCTCACGACACAGCCCCCCTTGAAGCTGCCTGTCTGCTGCAAATGCCACCACAACGCCCAAGCAAAAAACAATAGATTGCCTGAGACAGAGACAGCAGCACTAGCTAGCAGCGCTATTACTCTGCTCCCGTTCACAATGCAAACGTAACAAAAAACCTCAAGCAAAACAAGGGGGATAATGAGCTTGCTCTGAACAAACAAGCCGGCCCAAGTTCTGCCTCTGTTACAAAGGGAGCATCAATAATGTTTCGACATTTATCGATGACAATGGCGCTCGCAAGACCACTTGCCCACTTTAATGACACAATTCCAGTTGAACTATGGCATGGCATCAGCCTTGCTGATATGTGCTTATTTTTGCGTTCTGTCAATGAGTTTCAAACGACAATGCTAAAATGTATTTGGTGAAGATAATGGGGGGGGGGGGGAAGCTGCGTTTGTGAATTTTTGTCTTGCCAGTCAGCTTCATTCGTCAGTCTTGTTCGCGCTCAGTACACGCCAGTGCTCGAGGGAGCATGCGGCGAGTGTCGCGACACTGTACTTCTTCTGCTGCTGACAGCTGGCGACAGAACATATTGCCGGTGGCTGTGGGTACTTGGGCGCTCACCCTTCTGTGTGGCGCTCGGGATGATAACGCGAATATCTGTGTCTCTTGACAGATACAGCGCGCATTCTATATGGACAGGGGTACCGGAATCACTAGCGGCACCAGAATCACCGGCAGCACTGGGATCTGACTGCCGGGTGTCATTAAAAGCGCGGTTCTGCTGGCAGCGCTGTACATACCGCACGGTGCCGGGAGCAACCTTGCTGATATCTCCGTTGGCCGATCTGGTTTGCGAATCATCGGCAACCTTGTTCCGACCCTTGGACGTCTGCTTGTTCAGCAGCCGGTTGATAGTATCGATCTTCAGTTGCTCGGCGCGCTGCAGGCTCTGGAACTTGCGACGCCGCGCATGCTCTGATTGCGCAGAGCCGCCTCCTCGACAGAAAACTTGCTCCGCTTGGCCTCCAAAGGCAGCTCAATGAGCTCCGCATCACAGCCGTGGGTCAGCTTGGCCCTTTGTCGGCGAGTGAGGTTTACCATGGTAGCAGTACCCAATTCGCCGCCAAAGTCGCTGAAGCCAGATTTCTCGGAGTCGTCGATGCTCATGCCGTCATCGTCCATGTTTTCATCATCATTGTCGCTCCCGCTGTCTTCGGCGGCTGCGCCTGTGGCACGTTTCTTGGTCGGCCAGGACCTCTGCCGCCGCGCCCTCTTTTTGCCGGGGTGGACGCGGCTGTGTTTCGATTTTCCTTTGACGTTGTTGCGCCAGCCTTGCCAGTGCTGACCTTTTCAACATCATTGTCTTCATCATCATTGCTAACATCGCTTTCCTCCTCGTCCTCATCCCTGTCGTTGTCGTCGTCCCTGTCATCGCCGTCACTCTTAGTGTTGGCCATCTCGGTGCTTTCGGTGTCGCTCAGCTTCTCAGGCTGTGGGATGGGTTCTTGCGCGGTCTGCCGCGGCGCTTAGCAACAGGTACTATATCATCAGTGCTGGCTCACTCTGCTCAGCGTCAGTCTCGTCAACATTCCCATTCGCACTGTCCTTTTGGTCATCGTCATCTTCATTGTTGTCGTTGTCGTTTTCGTCGTCGCTCTCGGACACGTTTTCGCTACCACTGTCGCCACCTTCCTTGCCGCGAGTTCCAACACTCTTCTCATTATCGTCTTCCTCATCATTGTCGTCGTCGTCGTCGTCATCCTCATCCTCGCCTGACGATGCCATTTCGCTCGCACCATTTCTTGACCTTCCCGGCCTTCCAGTTCTCCCAGATGTACGCGGTCTGCCTGGTCTGCCTGGTCTGCCAGGCTTGCCCTTAACAACCGGCTCCTCATCACTCGGGGGCGAGTTTATTTCGCGACGCCTCCCACGCGTGCTTCCGCGTGTTGAGGGCCTCCCACGCGGTGTGGGCGAGCTAGCTACCTGTGCGCCACGCCGGAGTCCACGAGTAAGCCGGGCGCGAGGTCTGGCCCTGGAGACTGATCGGTTTGTGCGCTCAAACGCGTAGAGCGCCTGGTGCTCAGGCTGGCGAGGTCGCGACAGCTGCTGCTTGGCTGTGGCTGCTTACTTGCCGTGAGCGGGGCGTTCTGGTCGTGTGCGTTTCGTTGTCGGTTGTGTCGCTTTCTTCCGATAGGGAAGACGATGTGGATTCTGATATGTCATCAACGGCTGGTTTGCGCTTGGGAGGCATTTTGTAAAAAAATAAAATAAATGTATGGAATAAATGTAAATGCGAAGGGAGTTGAAAAAAAGAAAGAAAAAAATTCGAAATACTCGTTGTTTTTAATACTTCGTGTTTCGTATTTACACTGAAAAGAAAGACCAAACATCTAAAAAAATTCAAATATCATGCAAATCGACATCTTTCTTCCCACAGATTGCGTAGCAACCCGAAGCGTGCTTGCTTAGAAACTAGGGTCAATAAATAGCCCACTATTGTTAGAGATATTATCCAGTTCGCTGCTTCTTGCAAAGAGAAGCTTGGTCAAAATTTGAGCGTCACTGTAAATTTGGCATCAGCCACTTCAAACGGTGCCTTTTTGCGCAAAAAGGGAGGCCGCTTGCCTGTAAATAGGACTTTAAAGATGATGCGAAAGTTCAGCACCGTAGCCATATCACAATTCCACTTCCGTCTGCCTGATAGCACTCTTTTCGCCATCCTTAACCTGTTGCTATATGCTTACGAGTATCTAACTTGTGTGCTACCTGTTTCCGACCTTTGGCGAAAGGTTTTAATGTACTACCTTTTAACGAAGTGTAAAGGCAAGTGTGTAAACACAATCTCAAAGGTTACCCAGAAGTTTGGAGATTTGTTAAAGTCTAATTTCACACATTGCGGCTTGTGCATCGTGGTTTCCGTCTTTACATTGCACTGCAGCGAATGCATGGAAGTGTGGTTAGAAAATCGTCTGAAATATATGATATTTAAATTTTTGCGCATATACGATCCACAGTCTCAACACTCAAAGCAACGGTTCCCCTTTTTTACTCGATGCGCTTCGGCGCCAAGATCTCGCCCTCAACCATCTCCTTGGTCAGACCGAGCTGCTTGAGACACAGATAGTAGCGCTCCAGCGACTCGCGCTTCAAGTACTTGAGCATCTTTGCGCGCTTGTGCAGCAGCTTCGTGTAGGAGCGGCGGTTCTGGTGGTCCTTGCGGTTGATGCGCAGGTGGTCCTCAAGGTTGTTGATGCGCACCGTCCACACGGCAGCTTGTACCTCGGGGGACCAGAGTCGCCCTCGGAGCGCCCAAAAGCTGTGAGCGCGCGATCAATGTTGTAGTGCACGACGGCCTGCGAGTTAGCGTTCTCCAGTGCAACAATGCGACGCACAATGTCCGCCTGGACATGCGCGTTCTTAATGGCCACCTCGGGCATGACATTCAGGCTGTACCCAGTATCGGCGCCAACAACAGCCTTTGGCACAATGTCCGTGATCAGCTTGACCTCAGCGGGCTTGACATTACACGCAAAGCGCCCCGAGTTTGCCTGGCGCTTAAGACCAGCATCAAAGCTCTGCTTCTGCGAGGACAATGAGGCCGAAGTTGCTGATTTTCCCTGGAAGGCCTTTGAGCTGCTGATAGCCGCGTCCTGCTGCGAGATCTGAGTCGATTCAAATAGCCGGCCGGGGCTCACCAAGGAGTTGAGAAAATGCGTGTCCTTAAGCTTACGTAACTGCTCCTGTGCGCGGCGAGCAGCTTCAGCCTCGGCTGCGCGCTGTGCCTCGAGCTCTGCCTTGCGGTTGTTGCGGCGCCGGGCAGGCACTATGGTGTTGTGTGGACAGCGCGCACGGCTGGCTGTGCTACCCGAAGCGCAGGTGCCGTGGCCGCCTTCTGAATCGAACGAAAGAGCATTTTTAATTAACAGTTTTATTGATTAGGAACAAAATAAAACGAAGGCGAAATTGAAATTAGAGAAATAAATATTTTTGGTGTAATTTTCGCAACTTATCTTCTCCCCCACCTTAAAATGGCTCAGAGATCAAGCTGCAGATCTGCAGATTACAAATCAAATTCAATGATTTCTGGTGTTAAAAGCACACATCACGCGTCTTGGTGAAATGGTAATTTATTCGACCACTACGCCAAATTGGCTTCAAACTCGCGGATGGCGCGCACACCGTGGATAATCTCAGCCTGGCGCTTGGCAAGCGAGATAATAAGGTTGATGTGGATCATCTCCTCGACGCAAAAGTTGAGCCCAGTGGCGACAGGTGGCTGCGCGCTCAGCCCAGAAATGGACGAAGAGTTCCGGACAACATTGCGGATGTGCGCCTTGAGCTCCTCGGTGAGCCACTTTTGGTATTGGGGCGAGCTGTTCGAGTTCGGAGTGGGCGTCAAAAACTTCCAAGACCAAGGCTTGAACCGCTCGCACCAAGCTCTATCTCGGGGCTGTGTTGGGAGTGCACACATTGGAGTTGCCACAGGAGTGGTAGGGAACAGGAATGGCGCCGTCGTGGCTTATGTCCCGTCTTGGGTGCATTCGGGGGTGGCCTCGTCCTTGAACTTGGTGTAAAAGTAGTACTCCTCAAAAATGTGGAATAGGCTGAGCGTAAAGTGCCAGATGGCGTCGTGGAACTGGCGCATATCAACCGCTCGGTTGATGTTGGCATGCTGGAGCTGGGCCTGTGAATTTGGCCCATTGCTGTTCGACAGCGACAGCATGCTGGCCACATGGTAACTCTTTGGTTTGAGGTCCATCGTCTGGTCCTGGCCTGCAGCCTCGGGATCAGGCTGGCCCTTCCACTTAATTTTGTTGGAAGCAAGGTTGAGTTGATCGCAGTCACTTTTGTACATGAACACCGGCTGGTGCCGCTAGGAGGGCCGTCGAGTGGCAAGTCAAAGACACGGCGCGTGGCCAGGCCGCGCGCAGTTATAACCTCCATGCCCAAGTGGTCGTTACTAACCGAAAGCTGCTGGCGTAAATAGTCGTTAATTACATCCCAGCGCAGGTCCTCGCGCTGAGAAAGGTGCACAGATTTTGGCGCTGAAGATATCGGCGTACTGACGGGCAACACAGGCAAGCCGAGCGAAAGGGTGCTGAGACCCAGAAGCGGCTGATTTATTTTGGGAAAGTTGCTGGGCGACACTGTGGTAGACAGAGGACTCCTTTGCGCATTGCCTTCGGCAGCTCGTACTTTGCCAGCTTGCGCGTGCGCATCGTGCAGTAGGCAGCAAACTGCGGTGCAGGGCTGTCCATGGGATCGATTACATGGGTCAGCGTGCGGTAGTACCCGTTGACGCGCGAGTCGCCGCCAGAGAACGAGCGCAGCATTGATGCGGGTGGCTGCGGCAGCAGCGGAATCTGCGGCTGCGACGACGAATGGATGGCAGCGGCAGCTGGGGGCGCAACACTCGAGCTGGGAGCGTAGGCGGGTTTGCTCAGGCGAGCAATTAAGTCCGTGGTGTTTTGCTCGACATTCTCGACAAACACAGCCGAAAGACGCGCTTTGGCTTGTATTTCGCCACTGCAGTGAGCGTCACTAGCAACCGTGCTTGGCATGCAGCTCAGCCCGTTTGCAGGCTCTATGGTCATCATCTTATCAACCTGCGTAAAGTACGAGCCCGCGCTCATATCAAGGTCGGGTACAAGACCACAGGAATTGGCCAGCGTTCCCAGGCCATGGCCAACAGCAGCCAGGACAGTCACATGTAGAAAGTCACGCACAGCGGCTTCCTCGATTGACCGCCGCGCAAAATCGCCCGCTGACCCAACGGCAGTCGTGGATATGCTGCGGTTGGGACCCAGGTGCGGCGACGACAACTGTGCGGCAGTGCTGTCGCCACGCGGACGCTTCTGCCCAACATTGATCTGCTCACGGTGAATTTCAACGTACTCATCGACGAGTAGGCGAATGTCGCTGCCCTTAAGGTCCCACGGGCGAATCTCAAGCATGCGAGAATACCGTGCCAGCAGTTGCATATGGGGCGAGGCCGCACTTATTCCCTTTGACAGCACAGCCTCATGTGCGTCGCCATCATCTGAATGGCTGGCCTTCAGCACGCGTGCCTCAGACATGTACACCAGCGGCAGGCAGCCCACCTGAGCGGCGGCAACGCCAAAAAGATAGTGCATGTTAGCCTTGCGCAGCTTCGAGCGGCCAACTTTAAACACACTGCTTAACGTCTCAAAAAGCGCGCTTCCGCTTTGGGGCAGCGGCACCAGCAAGTGCATCAGGTGGGGCGCTCCGTTGGGCCAATGCGAGTGCAGGGTCTCGATGTATTTGTGGACCAGAGTCGTGTGCATGACATGTGACTTGCGTCCGAACATGTTGAAATTGCCGTGGTGACTTCCGCTGCTCCCGACACGCTGGAATGCAGCTTCATCCTCGTCGTTTCGTCGTCAGAGCTGTCGTCGGAGGAGGACGAAAAGGCATAGTCGTCGTCGCCTGCTGGCGCCTGCTTGTGGGCTGACAAGACGTCAAATGAAAACTTGCTCGCTGGAAAGAAAACGACGGCCGTTGCCCATTGGCTCCAGCACCGGTATACGCAGGTTCTTCTTTGCATTATTGATGCGGCCCATGAGGTCCGTGATTTTTTTGCGCGTTGCCGCGTCTGGGTGCTCCAGCCGCACGCGCAGCAGGTGCCGGAAGGTCTGACGCAGCGCGGCAATCTCCTGGATGTCTTCAAAATCCACTGATAGCTCGCCCGGACCCAGAATTCCCGCCTGCTCAGCTGCCTGCACGGCGTCATCAATGAGGTCACCCTCGTCAAGCAGTGTGCTGCGCAGCTCGTTGGCCAGCGGCGACAGGTACGTCAGCTTTGGCCGCGAGCGGATGCCACTCATCCACCCAACTTCACGTGCCCGCTGCCTCATTGCTTTTGCTAAATCTTTTGAGCATGCCTTCTCGGCTTCGTCCTTGGCTTCCGGGCAGAGAGCAGTTGTCCCCGGCGGTGCGCCCCTCCAGAATTGATGTCATCCGCTCCTGTCGGTCTCGCCGCGCTCTCAGCCACACGCTGCGCGACCCGAGCGACATGCTACTGTGCTGCGTCTGCGGCGTCACGGGCAATGACCGGAATCCATCGAGCGGATATAACTGCGGCGATGCGGTTGGGAAGTGTCTTTTTCCGCTAGCTGACACGTTAGGCGACGTTTGAAGCCGTGGAGTGTTGTGTGAGTTGGTCATTTTTGTATACAGTTGAATGCTAGTATATCAGGGATAATGGCGCTAGATATGCCTATACACAATGTATAAAATAAATATATAAAATAAAGCGATAAATAAGCGTATATATGCAAAAAATAATTCAAACGATTAAAGTAGGTGATAAAAAGCGGCACTGGAGCAGGGTTATTAAAAATGAAACCTTAAAAGCGTACAAGCAAGAAAGCAGAAATAAAGGAAACGGCATACTCAAAGGAGCTTTTGAAAAGGAAACTTAGCAAAGGCCGCTAAAAGAAACAAAAATGTCTTTTACATAAAAAATTAAATAAAGAGGATAAAGGAGTGGCAAAAGAGAAAAAATGAAATGGAAAAATCTTTGTTTTACACACGGTTTCCCCTCTCTTTTGCGCTCGCGCTTCTGCCAATCCAAGATTTTGAGTATCCTATGCACTTTATTTCCTGGCGGAAATTGAAATAAAATATCAACCTGTTTATTTACCGTCGCCTATTTATATATTTATATATATTCTCCAAATGAATTGAACAAGGGAAAGAGACGAATCGTAATTTTTAAGATAAAGTAAAGGACAATGCTAAGGTGTGAAATAAAGATATACAAAAACGAAAATGACGATGATGATGGCGTTGGAGGTAGTAAAAGCATGTCCTTACTATAATTAATAGGGAGAGCACATGAAGAATAGCGCCGCATGAGAAGCAAGGGGATCGTGGTGCTTATTTATGGAAATTGACTGCGGCACACAATTAATTGTTTTTCCGATAATTATTTTCGAATGTCTCGAGAACTAAGAAAAAAGGGGAGAATCGTTGACAGTAAAAAATAATACCAATAATTACAGCGTGTCCAAGAAAACAAGTGATTTAAAATACATTTGGCCGTCAAATCCGAAACCAATTGCAAAATGAAAATTTGGACAAAATAAAAAACAAGCCTCACATGCTCTCTCCCTGCCGCTGCTGCCACTGCTGCTGCTGATGCCATTTCAGTGCGCGTGAGTATAATAATTAAATAACAAATAATATGAGGATTTTCAATGCATTGTTGATTCCAGCAAAAAGCCGGATGGGGATGCCGGCGGAATTGCAAATACAAAATGTAAAAAGAGGGAGCAATTTTCTATTTTGCATTTTTCGTTTTCGTTTGGCCATTAAACCTTCTGTCGGACGCAATTGTGCAAAAAAAATTTCATTAATGCGGTCATAATTTATTTGTTGTTGTCTAGGGTGAGAGAGAAAGACAAGCCATGGACTGATTAGTAATGGCAATTGCGAATGCATAAAAATCTAGAATAAATCAAATTTTATTTAGTCCGCCGCTCATTGTAAGCACGAACAAGGGGATATTGCCTAATTTCAGCTTTCAAGTCTGAATTGCAACAGCTTTAAATAAAACACTGAGCACAGATAAACAGGATAAAAAGTAGATTGAAGGGTCACAGCTGCTCATGTAACATTTGGTTTTCGCGAGCTGCAACTGAAAATCGGATGCGCAATATGCATTAGTTTAATAAATCGTGCTGAGTAATTTTTTCTCATAACTTACAATTTTTCTGGGTCTCGAATGGATTTTGCGCAGAAACAAGAATTACAAGAATTGTAAATTTATTTTAAATATAAAACAAGTTGTCAAAACAGAAAACAAAAAACAATATGAATTGTTGATAATTACAGTTATTGTTGGTGTCAAAAATTGAATGTGTGGGAGTGCTCGAATGCCTAAATTTATTGTAGTTTGCGTTTTTGTTGAGTAAAAGTAAAAATAAAAGTAAACATTATAAAATGAAGAACGGTTTTAAAAATTAAATGAGAAATTGCAATCACAAGCGCAACAAACGGTAGCTCCAGACAAAGCAAATCGAAGATTTTCAAGTGTAAACATTATGCCACGAGACATTTCCATGATTTTTATCATTTATAATTTTAGCTTGAAGATGTGATTTAGAATATTATAAAAAAGTACTGATTGCATAAGAGCATTACAGTATGAGCAGTATATACGGGACAAAAAGGTCAGCTATGCATGACAAAAGAAAACATTTTAAAAGTGGGAATCTGTAATATAATATGCATTGAACAGCAGCAACAACTGCACAACGGCAATGTATAACACAATATGACAGACGCACAGATACTAGTTTTTTCACACAACACAAAGATTCGTGTAAATGTGTGAGTGTGGGCGAGAAAGGCAGAAATAGAGAAAGGTCACATGAACAAATACTGAGTGGCGAGGATTTGTGTACACAGACGCAAATAGTTTTCAATTTATTTCTCACGTCATCAATGCACTTGTCTATTGGTCAAAAATACAAAAAATAAAACCGATTTTCAGAACAAATAGTTGTGGAAAACAATGCATAGGTCTTTAAAGATTCCGAGAACAACTATTTTTTAGTTGTTTCTTCACATTTATTTTTCTGGAATGGATTAGATCCAATCGGCATTTCCAAACAAAGAGAAACTTGCAGATTGCAAACAAAGGGGAAGAGAAAGGCATGGAATGCAAAATTAAATAATTTAAAACATGTGATATCATGAGGGCAGACTAAACACCATTTTCCGCATGCTTGCTAAAAACAAGCGAATACAATAGAAAGGACAAGATAATGCATGTAAAATCTGCGATTTTGGCTGTATTTTCACACCTCTATTTATGTGACACACGCCTATTGTAGATTGTTCACATTTTCATGTATTCTTTCAGATAGCCGTACAACCAAATAACAAACAATTCTTTTTTCCCGTACAAAAACTGCCAATTTCAGCAACGGATATCGAAGGAGCGCAGAGAAATCATTTGCCGATAACAAAAGATCCAAAGCGGAAGTGCGCAGATTAAAAAACGGGGACTACTATTCAATCTCCGCCCGAATGTACAAGCCGATTAAATGAGAACAATGCCAGTTCAAATGGGAAACTGGAAGAGGGTGGGGGGGGGGTCACCCACAGGCAATTTACACTATGGTTTATTTATTTGCTTTTGACAAAGTATACATTGCCCATATGATTTACTACCTTGTACTAGTTGTAATTTCGTAAAACAAATGCACTGCAACTCGCTAAACTAAAGGTAAATAGAAAGCGAGTGGGTGAGAGAAATAATTTAACGACAGCAATGTAGTATGTCATTTATTTTGATTTTATCCCAACATTGTCACTATAGTAATATTACTCTCGAACTCGGAATGTTTCAAAGCCATCCTATAGATATCTCCATTCACAATTATATGCCCGAATAGCGTCAATGTCCACAACAAATGCGGCGTAATGCATTGCATTTACGAGTGGTATACATTCGGACATGTATTTGTAAATTTCTACAAATTATTATCTGCAACTTACACATACTGAAGAAATAAACAAAAACTGCAGACAAATAAGCACGGACATTGTGTCCTCCCAGCTTTGCAAATGTGTTCTTGCATGCAGTATGACGATACTGGCATATTGGTTTCTCATTTCAGATTTTCTTGCTTGCACACACACGCTAGCCTCAACGCAATTGTGCGCACCATTGCGCAGGGTACAGCAAGTAGGCAGGCATGCAAATGCATTTAAAACAAGATTGCACGTTTTTTTGGTCTGCTCGTCTGTCTACCAGTGCTAAACGCCGTTCTCGTTAGAACGCGATCCGCTATCTGCAAGTCGCTCAATTGCAGACTCAAGCACGCTTCTCAGTCAATTTCAACACGTTGGTCGGATGCAACGGGTGCATGGCTATAAATATAAGCAGTTCACATTAAAAAAGTTTAGACACAGCGTGTCTGAAAAAATAAAATAGCTACCATTGGCAACAGGTTGGGCCTCAGAACATTGTTCCGCCCTTGCCGCGGCGCGGACGCTGCGCAGAGTTCATCGGGGCGTTGTTTATGCCCATCAGCTTGAGCTCCTTGAGGCGCGCAATGGCGCGGCGATTTTCCTGTAGCGCTGCCCTATTGTACCACTTCTGCGCTTCCTCCACATCGGGGCGCGCAACGCCAATACCGCACTCGTAGTAGTACCCGACGGCGTACTCGGCCTTTGCCAGGCGGCGATCGGCAGCGCGGCGCGCCCACAAGTAGGCCTCGACGTCGTTTTGCGGCAGGAAAGGCTCGGCACCGGTCAAATACCAGCCGGACAGCGCTAGCTCAGCATCAGGGTCGCCCTTCTCTGCGGCGCGCGTGTACCAGCCAATTGACTTGCGTGGTATAACTTCGCAGCCCAGCGTGCCGTACTCGTACGCCTGGCCGAGACGCACCTGCGACGGCACGTAGCCCAGCTTGGCGGCGTTGGTGTACAGCTCGACCGCGTATGCTTCGTCGGGGATAATACCCGGGATATCGCTGGCCTCATGGCACAGCGCCAGCTCATGCAGCGAGTGTGGGCATTCGGGCGTGGCATTGTCGGCTCCGCGCTTCAACCAGTTATTCCCTCACGCGGCGCTGCGGAGACTCCCAGAAGGCCCTTGATCAGAATGACACCCAGCTTGTACATCGCCGGTACGTTGCTCTGCGCGGCAGCCTTCCGGTAAAACTGCAGGGCACGGGTGGGGTCGCGGCGCGTGCCAACGCCAATTCATAGCACACCGCCGTACGGTAGTTGGCCTCTGCATGCTGCGCCTTGGAAGCCTGCTGTAGTATGAGAACGCACGCGCATCGTCGCGCTTCACGCCGTAGATGCCCTGCGATACATGGTGCCAAGGAAGAACTGGGCTTCGGCCGCAATGTTCGAGCGGTGCACAGTGATGCCACTTCCGGCCAGCTTTTTGATCCACTTGAGTCCCTCGGCCGTCAGTGTGGAGTAGCGTTTCTGCTGCAGCTCGGCCGTTTGCTCCTGGTCAGCCAAGCCGCGCGCGTGCTCCAGCACATACTTTGCAAACTCGAGCTGCGCTGCTGGGTCACTAGAGCGCTTGATGCTGACGCGATACGCCTCAAGACTTGATACAGTCGGTGGCGGAGCCTGCGCCGGTGAGCTCATCGGTGCGTTACGCGCAGAGGGCGCTGCCGTCATCGGCGCAGCGCCCATGGTGCTGTTAGAGCCGCTGTCTGGCGCGTTGCGACCGGCAAGCTGACTGGGTCCAACAGCTCCAGGGAGCGACTTGTTGCTGCCATTCCATGGTTGCATTCCTGCCGGGGAACATTCCTGGCTCGGGCAAGCCGCCGCCTCGCCACTTCCAGAGCGGCTGTAGTTGGAGGCAATTGCAGTGTTGCTGTTGCTGCTGTTGTAAGGGCTATTCATTCCAATCACCATCCCCGGGCCTGGCCTGGGCCCTGTATTGGGCCAAGCCCTGGCTGGCCAGGGTGTGCTTGGCCAAAGGGCGGGCCGTTCCTCGGAACCATGTTGCGGTCGCGCGGATCGGTGTGGAATCCCGAATGCGGCGGGTGCTGGAATTGCTGCTGTCCTTGCTGCTGCAGCTGCTGCACTGGCCGCGCGCTGGAATCCAATCTGTTGGACGATAAATCAAAGCCGTCTTCTCGCATGTAAGGCCGGCCGTTGGGCGCGGTGAGTTGCTTCCGTGGTTGACGAGGACTGCGTTCCGAATCCGCGCTGCAAACCCGCAATTTCTGCCGGGATCATCGAGTTGTGCGGCGACGCGTTGCGCGATGCGGGTGCCGCATGGTGTTGCCGCAGTAGGGCCCGAGACAAGAGTTGGGTTGAGGCTACAAGTTTGGGATTTTCAGTGGCATCAAGTGTTGGTGTGCGTGTTTGAGTGGTTGTGGTGGTAACGATTGTGGTCGTGTGTTAGTAACAACAGGGGTGCGGGTGAATTTATTTTTGCATCTGCTCCAATGCGGTGTTAGCGGTGTTAGCGAATGAACTGCGGAGAGTGCCATCGCTTGAGGCGATGTGGACCCGCTGCGGGGAAGAAGGTTGCCGCAGCTTGAACGCAAGCTGTACGTGCTTGCATTCGACAGATGGCGTCTTCGCAAGAACCGCGATCGTGTCTGCGGGCTGTTGCTGTCAGCGCCGTCTGTCGTCGGGCTGGGCATGCACGATTCCGCCCGCAGTAGTCTCCGATGCCGCCGCCGCCCCAGCAGGCTGAGGCTCGAGAACACGGGCGGCAGCGCGGGTAACGTGTCCTCGGAGCCATCCGCATCATTATCATTATTCTTAGGGTGGTGTGATTTGTAGAGAGATTTGCTCTTGGTAAGCGCAGGCAGTGGCGACATTACATCGCCGGGCTGCTTGGCACTGGGTGCATGCAGAAGTGATATTGTGGTGCGCCGCCGCCTGTTGCTCTGCTTCGCAGGCTGCGGGATGGCAGTGTTTTGTGTGTGTGAGGTGCTTTTTGTAAAGTGAGGGTGTTGCATCAACAGAGGAACAAATTCCTTGCGTTCGCGAGCATTTGTAGAATGTATAGGGGTGGCATGGTCGGTTGTGGATATAGGAGTAGATGTGGGAGTAAATGTGGGAGTGGTTGATGTCTTACCTAGTGACATCTGTGATGATGATGTGTTAGTCCTGGCGTTGTTTGCCGCCGGCGCAGCCGAGCCGTACTTTTCCGAGCGCCCCATGTGTGCCATCTGACTGGGGTTCGATGGGAACAACGATGCATCGATGTCGCCGCCCGCGCTGCCGTCGTCATTGTCGTACTCATCCTCGAGATCCTGCTCTCGCCTCCGCGGCACAGGAATGGCCTGTCTCTGTGCGTTGCTTAGCATTTTGTTAGCGCCAGAGTGACCGTTCGTGCCGGCGCCGCCGGCTGTAGTGGGTCTGCTTCCCATCCCCATTCGCTCAAAGTCGTCGGCCAGCATGGATGCAGATACAGTCGCGTTGGCCGCTTCAGTGCTGTCGGAGGGGGTGTTGGTGTACAGTTGTTGTGACAGCCGAATCTGTTGACGAGGATTGGTTTTGCTGCTCTGTTCTCTCTGCTTATGCTGGTCACGCCTATGCTGGGAGTAAAGATCAGAGAATCACTTGAGTCGTCGGTGTATCCACCGGGGCCGGCGCCATTACGCTGCTGCTGCGGTGCGTAGGGCTGACCATTGATCGGTCGCATATTTTGCATATTGGTGGCTGTACCATGGTGTAATATACTGACGGGGCCATTGGTCGCTGAGCGTATCCCGCTACGGGCGCCCCCATCATCATCTGCTGCTGTGGCCGCTGGTTGGCATATTGCAGATGAGCAGCGAGCGCGGGGTTCTGAAGCTTGAAATCATGAGGAGCAGGAATAGCAGAGTTCAACTGACCATACTGCTGAGCTGATACAACACCAAGGGGATACGGCGCCTGGTACTGCTGCTGGTTAGCGTATGTTGCCTGCATCGGCGCGTAGTACATTGGTGGTTGTTGCTGCTGCTGTTGGGGATGCTGTTGAGACTGATATGCGCCACCATTCGCAGCTACCTTTCCCGTGGTCCGGCGAAATTGCTGTTGGCCATAGCCGCTGTCGTGCATGGCGCCTCCGCTGTTTCTGTCGCTGTTGGAGGCCATAGAAGGAGAAACAGAAAAGAGGAAAATTTCGAGCTCACGAAACTAAAAAAAAAGTATAGTGTGCGCTAGTAATGAGCTTTCCCTTTTGTCAAGAGCTAAATTGCAGGGTGCGCTCGTTATTATTTTCTTTAGCAGTAAGCGCGTGGTGTGTGCGACAACGGTCCGAATAATATGAAACCGGGCTCAAGCTTGAGTAGTCAAATTGGTTTAAAATAAGCGGGGACCAAAAATTGCTGGAAAAATAAAAATAAACAGAAAAAGATGAAAGGAAAGAGAAAGAGAAAGAGAAAGAGAAAGAGAAAGAAAAAGAATAAAAAGATAATATAAATGACCAGAGGTATTAGAAAAATAGGAAAGCCAGGACTTGCGTGTGTCTGTGTCCGTGTTTGCTTTTTTATTTGGCCCGTTTGTCGCTTGGCTATGTCTAGATGTCGCGCAAATGAATAATAATGATAAAATAATCGAGGTAAAAAATATTGTTTGTTAGACCAAAACAAAAAGAGAGTAATATCCTGTGCGGGGACAGTAATTATTGAGCAAAGAAAAAAGTGAGAAAGTCAAAAAGGGTGAGATGGCAATAAAAGAAAAAGAGATGAGAATCTCAAGTCTGACAATGAAGAGAGAGGGGGGAGTAAGCGGTTATTGTAAAGTCTGATATCTGATGCGTGAATGTGCGTTGGACTGGATATATTATGCTAGCCTCACGAAAACAGTTATGTAACGACGCTATGCGCGATTGTGTGTGTAAATACGCGAATCTTTGCTGTGTTTTTTATCTGCAAAATAAAGTAATAAATGGACGCTTGGGAAATAATATACCGAAGTATTGAAACAGCGTGGAAAATATACGAGGCTGGATTAAACGCCCATGTTAGGCAGCTGTCAATGTATGATGTGACAAGCAGCCAGTCAGCAACTAAAAAACAAAAATTTGAACAGAAATAATAAGCAGCAGCGTCCTCAGAAAATTAAAGACCAAAGATTAAATGTTATACAGCCTGCTGAAAAATAAAAATAGAATGTGGAGGATAAAAAGCTGAAAATTACACTGGCCCAATGTAAGACATATCAAGCATGGTTTGCCCGACACGGTGTTAAATAAAAAGCAATATTTTCTGCAACGGAAAATAAAAAATATGAGAATTTAATACTAGAAAAATATAGAGGGCCCAGCCATGGCTCCATAAAGGCAGCAACTCACTTTTAATATTGCCCTGTGCCCATTGCAAAAAAAATTATTGAAAAGGGATACACTTGCAAAGACTATTTCGGCATTGTGTGTGTGTTGCCGTGCCAATCTACTACTGGGCGTTAGTCGGCTTCTAGGTTAAAAAGCTGAATTGCTTATAGACTGCACACACAAGCATAGCGCCACCAGCCAAATTTGGCTTGAAAATTTGGCGGCATCACCTGAACCTGGCCGCGTCAGAAGGCATATTGAGCAGTGGGTAACGTGCCACACATTCAAATTGCACACATAAACAGACGGAATAGCTGTTATATCATGCACAACTTGTGAGCAACTTAAGCGTATGTAAAATAGTGAATAGTAATAGTAATCCCATGTGGACAAAAACCGCCGTCATGGGAATTGCGCGCAGCATGCAAATTGCTGCTTCTCAATTCTCGTTTAATCAAGGGAGCCACGCCTAAGGCCCACAATTAATTAATTCATAAATGCAATTCCGCAAAGGCACGTTATCAAAAATGTGATCGAAGAAATAAAAATTTGGTGCTCCCAATCACAGGAAATGAGGATGGCAATTGTTGCCGCACGTCTCAAGTCAGGGAGTGGATGGCAGTGCGAGAAAAGGCGGTGGCGGTGGCGGTTGCAGTAATTCATACGGCAGTAGTAATGGTAACAAATAACTTGATTCCATTTTGTACCTTTGTTTGCAGTTCACCTAATTGGGGAATTATTAGATCCACGTGTTTGAGGGTTTAACAATGAAGCTATGGGTGGTAGCGCTGATGTTTGCGTCTCGAGGGCCCTGGTGCAGATGAGCGACGCAAAATAAATTGGAGTAATATGAGAAGGGGGAAATAAAGAGCGAGTGAATGCGCAAAAATGTGTTTGTCGGAAATTAATAGCTAAAAATATGACACATAAAAGAGAGGATGAAGAACGCAGTTGGCAGCTGTAAAAGTGCAGATATAACAAAACATTCAACCTTGTAGTGCTTCTGAGTGCTTTAGTAGAAAAAAATTCGAGATAAAACAGGTTGCTAAATGTGGCCTGGGCGGGCGGTCGCTGCCGCCTTGAAAGGAATAGAAAGTCAGTAAAGTTGAAGAGGATTTTAGATTGCTGCTCTTTTTTGTTGTAGTTCCACATCCAACTATCCGCTTAATTTCAAGGCGCTTGACTTGCAAGATTTATAATTTCTCCATGGGGGGAAAGAGAGGTGCAGCGGTCTGGTGCATTGCTTCAAAAGCTACGCTGCTTAGCTCTTTTGTTTTATTGGCCTTGCTCTGCGCTGCCCTGTTTCGTCAAGCACCACCGCCAGAGATTTGGCCAATGCCATGCAGAAAAATCTGGTAAAAATAAGATATTTGTGAATCCAGATTAGGAAGGCAGGATCGGCCATATTTCAGTCATTTTCGTCTCTTGGCTTTGGCTTTGGCTTAGGCTATTGTTTGCTTGCAGATGAAGGGCAAGGCAGGGCGGGACAGGGCCGAATTTGTGCACACGCGATGTTTGTCACTGGCCCCTCATTCCGCACTTGAATTTGTAAATAAAAACGTTCTTCATTCCAAGCAACGCTCTCAATTCGCACGACGGCAAACAAAATAAACATTTCGGATGCTGAGCGCCAATGACCTGCTGCTGGTCGGCGTCGGCCTCGGGGTCAAGCTGCTGCTGATGCCGGCATACCACTCGACAGACTTTGAGGTGCATCGCAACTGGCTGGCGCTGACGCACTCGTGCCATGCGGCTGTGGTACTACGAGGCGCGCAGCGAATGGACTCTGGACTATCCGCCGTTTTTCGCGTGGTTTGAATGGGCCCTGTCGCAGGCGGCGCGGCTGTGGGACGCGCGCATTGTGGACATCAACAATCTGGGTACGCGGCACCATCGTGCGTGATGTTCCAGAGGCTGACAGTCATTGGCTCAGAGCTGGTCCTGCTATGGGCGCTGTGGCGCGCAGTGAGGCTGGCGGGGGGCTCGGTATCGGCACGCACAGCGGCAGTGCTTGGGTTTTTGAGCCCTGGGCTGGTGTTCGTCGACCACGTGCACTTCCAGTATAACGGCTTCTTGTTGGGGCTGCTGGTGCTGTCGCTGACGCTGGCGATGGAGGGTCGCGACCTGCTCTCTGGCGTCGTGTTTGCCGTGCTCTTGTGCTTTAAGCATATTTTCATGTACATTGCGCCGGCGTACTTTGTGTACTTGCTGCGACACTACTGCGCAGTGTACAGGCCACGCTGGCGGCTGGATGTCGGTGCATCGGCTGCGCGGCTGATGGCGCTGGCCGTGGCTGTCGTGCTGGTGTTTGGCGTGGCACTGGGTCCGTTTGTGGCGCTGGGCCAGGCGCCGCAGCTGCTTGCGCGGCTGTTCCCGTTCAAGCGCGGACTGTGCCACGCGTACTGGGCTCCCAACGCCTGGGCGCTGTACAGCCTGGCTGATCGCGTGCTGATCGTGATTGCGCGCCTTCGAGGCACCACTATGCCGCTAGCGCTGCCGCTGCCGCCACACGCGGCCTGATTGGAGACTCTGCCTTTGCTGTGCTGCCCGCTGTTCCCCACTAGCCACGTTTGTTGCGACGCTGGCCGCACAGCTGCCGGCAATTGCATTGCTTATGCTGCGGCCTTGCTCGCCCGTGCGCTTTGTGCAGGCGGTGGTGCTGTGCGCCTACGCATCGTTCCTGTTTGGCTGGCACGTGCATGAGAAAGCCGTGCTGCTGATTTGGTGCCGCTCGGCCTGCTTTTGGTAGCTGGGCCGACTCGCCGCGCCCTGCGTATGTTTGCGGTGGCTGCAGTGAGCGGCTACTACAGCTTGCTGCCGCTTTTTTTGGTGCCCAGGAGCTGCCCATCAAGGCCACTGTGCTGCTGATCTGGGTTTTATGCGCGTTGGTTTTGCTCAAGTCCACGGGCAGCGGCACCTCTGCCTGGCAGTGCCTGTCGGCTCTGGAGCGGGCATACATTGTTGGCCACGTTCCGCTGTTCGTGCTGACCGAGATCACGCCTGCTTCGCTGTTTGTGCGCCTGCCTTCCTACCGCTGGCCATGGTATCCACATACACAGCTCTCGGCCTGATGTACTCGTGGGCTGGCCTGATTTTCGAGTACCTGTGTTGATACATCCTGGCCATGTTATCCAAACAAATCAAACAAACAAAAAAATCACAACAAAATGCAGTTATTTTTCACTCTCAACCCTAATCCACAATTGACACCCTGCAATTAAATTGCCTTGCCTGACAATGTTTTGGCTTTGTCTATCTCCGCGCTCAGTCACTTTTGTATTTCTCAGTTCTGCTTTATTATGCTTCACTTTCCTTCTCATCTCTGCTGAATTGCAATCATTTTTCTTTCATTCTTTCCCACCTCTTTTTGATACATAATATCCATGTCGAGCACGGCAGACTCTATACACCACCTGGGACTCCTACTCCCAGCCTCGTCGGCAGCGGCAAGATCGCGATGGCCGCCATTTACGGTCACGACGGCGGTCTCTGGGCCAAGAGCGAGGGCCTGAACGTAAGTGATTATTTATTGATAGACACACAATTGAATTGCAAAGAATAACATGTTTTTCCCTGTCAAATTTGCTAATCTAACTCTAACTCTAACTCTAACTCTAATTTGGTTTTTATTATAAATAATTTTAACTACTTTGTTTCATTTAGCTTGTTGAGGGCGAGTTTGAGAAGATCAGTGGTGGTTTCCAGGACCCGACCAATCTACGCATGAGCGGCACCTACATTGGCGGCACAAAGTTCATGACCAACCAGACCGACAAGAGCTTCATTTTCGCAAAGTACAAGTCCCCGTCCGAGGAGAACCCCAACCCCAACCCCAACAACTTTGACTGCGTTATGTGTGCAAAGACCACCCACGCCATCATCATCGCTTGCGTCCCGGACAACGGCACTCAGGCCGGAGAGCCAGAGCTGTCATCCAGAACATTGCCGACCATCTCATCGGCCTTGGCTACTAGACAGTTTACGATACTTCTTTTTTGATCTTCTCACATTATACACCTTTTTCATATTCCTCTTATCTGACATGCAAGATTAATTATTTACATGGAACAGTGCCGATGTTTTCTATTATGTCTTTACATTTCAGCGCCCAGGTCCTCCAGCTGGCTGACTATGTCTTGGTCCTCGGGATCAAGCGTGTGTGCCTGCTGAAGGCTTCCACTGCAGAGTCAAACGCGCCCATGGCCCTGTCCTCGTCGCTGACAACGCCGCTCAGCACAATAAGCAGCTGCGCGCGCAGCTTGCAACATGTGCAATCCGTGTTCTGCGACTCTAGGTATTTCAAGACAGCAGCCAGCCTGCTCTCAATCTGCTCGCCAACGTCCTCGGCATCGGGCGGCTCTCTGACCTTGCAATCGCCCACCAGATGGCGATCCGGCAGCCCGCCGTGCGCAGACCACTATCGCTGGAATCCCAGTCAATGTGCGTGGTGATCATGGACAGTGCACTGTCCATGATCACCAACCGCAGGGCGTTAATCAGCGAATGCGTTGGTACCTGGTCGAGAAGAAGGCCAGTGTGCTTGCAATAAAGTTGGCCTTGTCACTGTTGCTGCTCTGGACCATATTTAGAGCCCGGGAAATTTCGCCCAATCCTGCTCAAGCTCCTTCTTATTGACAATGGCTTTTTGCTCCTGATCCTCATCTATCTCGTCCTCCTCTGGATCGCGCCAGTTATCCTGTTTCAAGCATACGCCCACACCCGGGCCCTCCCGCCAATCATCACAGCATTGGCCTCCTCCTGCACGCCCTTGCCATGACACCCTTGGCCATAGCCACAGCCATTGTGGCGTACTCCTCGTAATCGACGTACTCGCCCAACCTGAGCAGCGCCCATGCGTGCGAGAGCGTCTTTTGGTCGCAAACTTCTTCACTGCTGTCTCGTATAGCTCACTGACAATGGGTCGGTCGCTGCCATCAGCTTCCTCTTGCTCGGCAAGAGAGATATTTCTTCGGCGACAGAGAGGTGATGTCGGAGGAGAGGAGGATCTCTCCGCTGGCACACCCCTTACAGTGTTTGTCTTGACAATCCGGCGTGTGATCGGCAGATGTTGTGCGTGCGCGCTTTGAGGACCTTGCTGAGGATGATGCCGTCTGGCGCTTGCTGCTGTTGTTTTCTGACTGCGACATTTAAGTTTATTCTATTTATTTGAATTGAAAATGGGTAGAACCAAATTGAACGAGAAAATAGAGCCCCGTTGCTTCAAGCTTCCTTTTGTGTCATCCTTTTGTTTGTCTTTTTTTCGCACTCCTGTTTGATTCTTGAGCTCGAAATATCTAATCCAATCATTTGATCCATACCTTTTTTGCGATTAAGAAAAATATGCTTGCTTGGCCCAGTCAACACAAAACAAGCTTGATTCTAGTGTTGACTGGTGCCATTTTCACTATTTTTTGTTTCTCTCTCTTACGGAAGTCCAAACTTTTAGCTTTCTCATTTACCCTTATTTTACATCACCCCTTCGGCAGAACGTCACCACACACCCTCTCAGCAAATGTCAAAGATACCAAAGATCGTCCCGTGGACGAGCACAGAGGAATATATGAGCGTAGCTGAATGTCTCTACTCGACCGACACATCAGAGCGCAAGTGTGGTGTAGCAATAGTCAAGGCGTGGCGCGCCCGTGCTCGCGTTCCCGTGGCAATTGACGCCACCGCCAATCTGGTAGAAATGACCATTGCTGGCCAAGAGCAACGCCAGGGCTTGACAATCAATCAGCTTCGACACCTCTACACCATGGCGCTGATCCGCTTTGTCAACACCATCGTGGATCTCGAACAAAAGGGCACATACGCCCAGTCTATTGTCTCCTTGGCGGGTCGAATTGGCATGCCTGCGTGGTTTGTCGAGCTGCGTCATGCGGGAACCCACGAACAGCTTCCCAGTCTGGTTGTACTGCAATCGGCCTGCGACCAGGCGCTGTATTGGCTGAAGGACTACTACTGGAACAAGCAGACGCGCTCGCTGCCGACCGACACGCAATTGCATATTCGCGAGGCTATTTCAAAGTATGTTGCTGCTCAAGGCAACGTGCCGTCGAAGAGCGAGGGCCGCAAGGTGAACAAAAAACTGGTCGTCGCTGGGCAGAAAGCCCTGGAAGCGGCCACAGATGAGCTTACACAGCTTGTTGGGAACCTGCATTCTGACGCTGTTCGCCACTACCTTGTCCCCGTACTGCTCGAGCCCGGGTTCTTGGTTCCCGAGAACAAAAAAATGCAATCATCTTTCCCTGACTGCAAACTACCGTCGGCACTTGAGGCGCAGTGGAAGGAGTTGTTGCAGTGGTTTGCGGAGTGCTGGGGCGAGTCACTTTTTGTCGAAGAGCTTTTAAACGGTATGGTATCCTTGCTGACCCCGGACTCTTCCGAGCTGGGTATTTTTGAGCTTGGCGATAGCAGCATTACCCGCAACCACGCAGCCACGTTGATTGCTTGGATCCGGTGGATCCTTGAAGTCTACTATGCGCCCAGCAACTCCGATGCGCGGTCGCTTTTGTCATTGATGATCTGCTCGAAACATGCCTGCGCAACCCCGGATACTACTCGCGGTCCGTCCTCAAGGTCGTTTCGGACATTGACCCCGCGCTCAAGCAGGACCTCAAACCCTTTGTGGATTACATAGGCAAGGCCCTTCAAGCGCTAGCAAACATTGACGAAAAGGCCAAGAGCAATAGTGGGTCAAAGAGCCTGTGATTTTGTCTGAAGTTGGCATGAGGGAAGAAGAGGCGTTGATGGAGCAGCGGCTGAAGGCACACTTTTCACTTACCGCCGCCAACGACAGAATGACAAATTGGAAGCAGACTCATCGATGGACGTGGACCCTGTCAATGGGCTGCCATGTCAATATTCTGTCAGCGATGGTGCTGTTGATGTGACTGCCGCTACCGCTGGTGCTGCTGCTGCTCAGTTTGGTGTGGAAATAGCTCTCGTTGGAGCTATGTACCTCAGTCTTCGTGGTCTGCATGCGCTATTGGCACCCTGCCGACAACAGCATCCCACCGCTGGATTGGCCCACATGGGTCGACGACATTCCGATGCAGATCGTTCCAGCATGAGCCCAGTTCGATCCAAAAATGGCTTGCAGAAAAACAATGAAAAAATCAAATCAAGTATCGGTGAAACAGAAAGTGCCCGTTTTTTCTTGTCCCATGTGAAGTTAGTTTTATTTATTTCCAACTATTTCAATTTTTATTAATGTAAGCTAGAACATACCATCATTTTCCACCTGCGCACGCATTCCCAACTTGTCTCTCTTTCTTCTACACAACTTTGAAATTTTGATTTATATCTTAATATTCAATTTTTGAATTGTTTTTAAGCAGTCATTTTTAGATTTTTAAGTTAAGATTAGATTTTTTATATAGAGGGGAAGAAGCCACTGGATATTCACCAAATTTTACAACGGCATTACGGCAAATGCGCTCCTTCTTTGGCAACTGTTAAAAAGTGGGTTAACAGGTTTAGTCGCGATCCATGGATATTGAGTATGAACCTCGAAGTGGCTGTCCAAAACTCGAAATCGCGCAAAATCTCAGAGGCTAACTGACAAGTACAAATGTTCGGTGACAACAATGCAAAAGGCCTTGCGTCGTGATCTGGGATATAGAATGGTTTGTTAAAGATTGGTTCCTTATTCTCTCACTGATGGTCTAAAATCAAAGCGTGTTGAGTTTTGCCAACAGTTTATCGAGGTTTCACTGGCCTGTCCTAAACAAATATATATAATATTGTAGCATGTGACAAATCATATGTCTACCTGAACACTATTCCATGGTTCGGCAGCCAAGGCATAAATTATTGGAAGTCAGATTGTTTCGGGTGAATTCAATATATTAATGTAAAAGTGTCAGGAAGAAGCCAACATTCAGACTTGTCAGCATGTGCATCATCGGAAATACGACCACTGGCTGAACTTGCCACAAAGTCGCTCGTGATCTGCTAATCACATCCAGGTGATCTGGGATTAGCTCTGTCAGTTGCTGTCCTCGAAAAAAAAACCACCCAACTTTAATCCACTCTCATTTATTAAACTCGAAAGTGGGGTGTTCACATTACAAGACCGCCTCCATAAACTTATTTATAAAATTTACAATAAACTTCAAAATTCGAACGATTGAAAATGGGCATCCTTGAGAAAATGCTGAAATTGAGCGGGAGATGAGCCGCACGCAGAAGAACAAGGCGACCGAGTACCACCTTGGTCTGCTGAAGGGAAAGCTAGCTCGGCTGCGCGCAGAGCTTATAGAGGTCAAGAGTAGCGGACCCAAGGGCGAAGGTTTGACGTCAAGCGCAGCGGGGACGCGCGAGTGGCGCTAATTGGCTTCCCCTCAGTCGGAAAGTCGACCCTGCTTTCGACAATGACGGATACAGAGGCGGCGGTCAGCAGCATTGACTTTACCACGCTCAGGCAACCCCCGGGCGGTGGGAGTATAACGGCGCCGTCATCCAGTTGCTTGATTTGCCCGGAATCATTGAAGGTGCATCGCAGGGTATTGGCCGCGGAAAGCAGGTCGTGTCGACCGCGCGGACGGCTGACGTATTGTGATGATGCTCGATGCGACTAAATCGCACCTGCAGAGACCATTGCTCGAAAAGGAGCTTGAAGCTGTGGGCATCCGGTGAACAAAAAGGTGCCCAACATTTACCTCAAGATCAAGACCGGCGGCGGGATCAGCTATAACGCGACATGCAAGCAGTCAGAGCTCAACGAAAAGTTTGTCTACAACCTCCTGCACCAGTACCGCATTTTCAACGCAGAGATTCTGGTGCGCGAGGACGTTACAATCGACGATTTTATCGATGCCGTGGTCGCCAACCGCATCTACCTGCCCTGCTTGTACGTCTACAACAAGATCGATGCCATCACCATTGAGGAAATTGACAAGATCGCGCGCGAGGACCACACTGTCGTCGTCAGCGTCGAGCAGGACCTAAACATGGATACGCTGAAGCAGAAGATCTGGGAGTACCTGAGCTTCCTCAGGGTGTATACAAAGCGCCACAGTGAGTACCCCGATTTCAGCGAGGGCCTGATTCTCAGCAGGGAGCGACCATTGAGGACGCCTGCCGGTCGATCCACAAGTCGTTGCTGGACAACTTCAAATATGCGCTGGTGTGGGGCAAGTCAGCCAAACACAACCCACAGCGCGTGAATATGCTGCACGAACTAAGCGACGACGATGTCATCGAGATTGTCCACAAGTAGGGTGCCGATAGTACCTTTGTTATTTACAAATAAACAAATCAAGTTTCTATAAGCGATAAGGTGGCCTAACCTTTGGAGTTTACAAGTCGCTGGCCCTGCCAATATGTGCTTCATTTTCAAGCATGGCGTTAGATACGCGGCCCTGGCAGTTCTCGCTCTCTTGGGCCCAGTTTGTGGTAGCAACAACATACACCTGCGCAAGCAAGGCAACTATCAAGCTGATGAGATGTCCAAACCAAAGCCCCGCGAGCCTCCATTTTAGCACGTACATGGAAAATGCGCCCAGTGGGAATCCTATGCATACAACTGACAGAGCCCGGATGCGGGCAACCATTGCTTGTCGGCCCTGGCCACGCAGTATGCCGTTAAACGCCAAGTTGATTCCGTCACGACTCCAGAAGCCGCTGCCCAAGGAATATGTGCAAATAATATATCGGCAACCTCTGCGTCAGGCGTAAATACCCCCGGAATTTTGCTGCGTGAGGCAATGATGGCCAAGCCCATGGCCACAAACATCACAGTGGCCAGAGCCACTGTCATGTAGACTGTTAGTAGTGTTCTGTTTGGCTGGCCCAAGCCAAGCAAATGTCCCACACGGTTGCATGCTGAAACAGCAAAGCCAATTCCTATTACCGACACGGAGTTTGCAATCATTGACAGCACAGTCTGCGCGCCATGGATGGCGCATCCAAATCAAGGCGCCAAAATCGACCATGTGTTGAGAAACAGATTCAAAAAACGCAATTGCAGAGCCAGCTGCCGATAGTTTGAATACAGGCCCTAGCCCAGAAAATGCGGCGCGAGACCAGCCACCCCAGCATTGGTGTCCATCGAACACACTGATGAATACCAAAACAATCATATTAAACCCACTCCAACAACAATCAAGACCCAGGGTACTCCCAGAATTCCAAGTGATGTCGATGGGTTGGAGATCAGAAACCATATACACAGCCACCCGACAGGTAGGCCTATTATTTGCACAATTATGGCAAAACGTCTGATACCCTGCGCAAACAGAAAGCTCTTGAGACACTCGTATGTGATCAATAGCACGAGTGCAAAAAAGTATGGTCGCAGCACTTTGCCTGTCACCTCAGCAACTCAGATGGCACACCAAGTGATTTAAATATATCTGGCGAATACCACCACAGGGGGTAAATGATGCAGATACAATCATGGTGGCCACCAGTATACGCTGCAAATATATGCCCAAAAGCCGTCTGTCCTTGGCCGCAGTGTACGCTTGGCTGCACAGGCTATCTAACGCAAAGGGTAAACCCGAGAGCAAAGCAACACCACCAACACCCGCGTATATCGAAACTAGATTCATGCTAGCCAAAGCGATAGTTCCCAGCTTACCAATGGCTGCTGTCAGTGGTATCAGAAGGAAAAGCTGCGCCAAGTTGGAAAGAACGATTGGCAGCGACAATTTCAACAGCGCAATTGCCTCGCGCTTGGTGTTGGCTGCTAACAACAGCTCGGTTAATCCCAGGTCCTCCTGTTTAGCATCCTCGTCTCTATCTGTGGGCGGTACTACAACTGTTACGCGGACGGGTGGATCTTGATTTGTTCCAATTATTGCCGACGAGTTGTAATGAAAGCTAGGATTTAGCGGCACAATGACCTGATCTACGCCGTCATCTAAAATTGACGCTCCAAACATTTCTACGCTGTGTTTACTTGGAATCTCAATAAAACAAAAATCAGGAATATAAAGAAAAAAGGAAAAGAGAAAAAGGGAAAAGCCATATTTATCCAAAGAATGTAATATATGTTTTATTACTGATTTGGGCAAAGAAAATGAGCAAAGAAAAAAGTACCCCAAATTATTTTATTATAAATAACTTTCTGTGTAAAAAACGTAAACATTATTGAAAGGATCTACCATTAAAACACACGATCGTATTGAGTGACGACAATGGCTTGGAAATGGAAGCTGATTCAGGGAACTAATAAAATAGCAACTGGGTTCATTTCTCTGGTAAAGACCACCACATAATGTGCTGACATCTGGGCGCTTGTCGTCTTTCCTTTTCATTTTCTACTGAGTGCTGAGGTAAGGGCTAACAAAAATATGTTTGGTAAAGGCTGGAATTGCAGCCAAAACGTCTGAGGTACTTAGGTTGTTGTGGTGTGAGGAGCACTGGGTACTGGTTTAAAAGGGGGTATATAATTTATTGGTTTTTAATACTAAGGATTCAAAAGTGCAACTATGGTTGCCCTCGGCCTATATAATTGTCTTGATCTCCGCTGTTTTGCATATGCCAGTTGTGCGCTCCGTTGGCGTGAACTGGTGCTTTTGTGAGCAATCCGAATTTCTGATGGCTCAATGTTATAATATTTGCGTGGGTGCACTCATGCACACACATCCCAAAGGGGGCGGCATATCTGGATGTCAACATTGACTTCAGAGCTAATTTTCTGTGATTTAGTCCGTGTCCGATCAGTCGGCACACAGACAGGAACCTGCTTTGTGATTTTTTGATCTCTGCATTTAATTACATGTCCTTAGGCTGCGCAACAGGGTAGTGGCCATCTTGCTCGCTAAAGCTCGACTCCAATCCGGGAAGATTGCATCACGGTAAGTTAGCGTGTATGTTTTTTCATAATGAAAAAACTTTATTTATAAAAATTATTTTTATACATTTTTGGCTAAATATCGCTTCAAACTTCTAATAGTATAATGTTAATTGCTGGGATGCTTGCTGTTCAAGTATTAAATTAATATGCTAGAATAAATGCGGCTGCATTTGCGTTTGCATTTCAATCGTGCTTGCACATGTATGTTGCACAGGTGTATGTTGTTATGCTCTATAAAAATGTGGGTCTAAATTATTATATTCAAGTATCAAAAATTACTTGAGGAATTACGGAAGGGGCAGCGCGGTGTGGGCAGCGTTTTAATATAATTTGTTCCTTGGTGTTGTCTAGCAATAACAGAAATGTATATAGCAGACATGAGGGCGATCTTGATTCTTGAAAAGGAAGATAGTGGCTTGGAATGTGTGTTGGGCACCACATATGCAATGTAGCTATGGTTTAATTTGGTCTATAAGTGATTGCAAACTTTCTGGCTGCAATATCGACTGCAAACTTGGAGCCACTGGAATAATAATAAATTAAAATAACATACCTGATGGAAAGTGGCAGTACCTGTTGGCAATTTATATGCACCAGAACATGATTTAATTTGTAGTACATTGCTTATTATAAACTGGAATATTCAATTGAGAACAAGTAATTATTAAGCAGCAGTACGCGCATATTGCATCCTTAGATATTACATTTTTAGGCGTAAACCATAGCTTCGCGTTGATTGTATATTAGTCAATTGACTTTATGACGTATTCCGTGAGTGGTACACGCGCTGACTCTACCAAGACTGTGCATGCTAAATAGTCCGTCGCTTGTAGTGGTGTAAAATACAGTTTTCTTATAAAACAAATGTAGAAAATCCGCTTCAGTCAATACATGGAACTGAAAGATGGACTTATCACAAATACCAAAAATGTAAATTAAAAAGGATTATGGGTACACACATACACACAGCGTTAGTTGCAAAAAAGGCATAATACATTATAGTAAATAGTAAATAGTTGCTATAAAAAACGCAATATCATGGATAAAAAGAGAACGCTTTCATGGAGCTTTATAAAACTCAGGCCTATACAAGCATACATTGCTATTCGGCGGATCAGCTGATTATTTGATTGATTGCGAATAATAATTATTATTAATTATTATATTCCAATAAACCTCGTAGCTCTCTTTTAAATCAACTCTATCATACAACTTATCGTAAACAAAATATTTACACTTAAATCTTGTCATGCAAGCAGTGTAGTTGTGAAAAGCATATAGTGTAATTTAATTGTTATAATGGCCGTTGTGAAAGCGGGATAATAAACTTGGATTGTTTTGTTTGCCCACACCCAGACAATAAAAGTCTGGAATGAAAAGCATTTGCGCTTGCATTTGCAGTTGCAAGCTAATCAACTTATTTGTTTCACCGCTGTTTTTTTTGTTCAAATGAAATTCTATTTTATTTTTATATTATACAGCAGCGCATATCACCAGACAGATGCACGCCGGCGCATAGAGTGATTACCAAAGCACGCATCCATACACATACTCACCCTCTTTTTCTATTTTGACTGTGCATACCGCAAAGTTTGCCGCGGCATGTGTTAGGCGCAGCGCAGAGACGGTATTAAAAACTTGTAACGGACGGTGCATAGGTAGGAGTTTTGTCTAAAATGCTTGCTTGCATTATTCAACACCATATGACTTATCTTAAATACAGAAACGCTAATATACATCTATATAAGCATTCGGGGGTTCCTGTATGTTCTACTTTATTGTTTATTGTTTATTACAAATAATGTATTTGACAGTATATATACTTTTAATGTCTCAATTAGGGCACTTTCAAGTAAGACAGCATTTCATGTTCCGACACCTTCACATTGCCGAATTCCCCATCGCTATGCAGTGTGTACAATACTCAAATTATTCAGCCACACAGACGTTTATAGCACCTTGATGTTTTGCCACACCGCTAGACAAGGGATTAGAAAAAGGTATCTGTCAAGAATTTTAGACACCCGTTGACATACCTCACCGACCCATTTGAGTTTAGTCATTGTTGTGGTGCCCAACACACATTCCAAGCCACTATCTTCATTTTCAAGCATCAAGATCGCCCTCATGGCTGCTATACGCATTTCTGTTATTGCTGGCCGACATCAAGTGTTATGTTAAAAATATATATCTTGAACAAAAATGAACTAAAAGAAAGTTAAGGGATGAACAACCTCCATTGTTCATATTCGTTAGTATCTATGTGTGCGTATAAATTCCCGTATATCCAAGTAGGGAATTAACTAGCGATTGATTAATGAATCAATCGCCGGAGACAAGCCGCAATTCCTTGTATCACAAGATGGCATCTATCTTGACCCTCACTTACAAACGGGGTTTACCAAACGCCACATGTGAACCCGTCAAAGTGCACAAGCCTCATCGAATACTTCCCTCGTATATAAGGCAAAATTTGTCGGCCTTTCACTGCTCCCCCAGGTTTTGCCCTAAAGGCTTCCAATCCTTATTTTGACTCCTGTGGGTCCAATATTATATATGACAAGCACATCAGTGATTTTTCACATGCCTAAGTGTCTGTCACATCGTGGTCTGCCATTTGAATACCATATCTGGCTGAGGAGCCAGTGACAGACATCTTGTAGCTGTTCCCAAGTGCGCCAGGGACAACTACCTACACTCTCATCACCTCGTAAAATAGAAGACAATCAACGATGCTCTCCAATGAACATAGCTGCCATCTTGACCTTAATAAAGATTAGGTCTAGTATACTAAATATATTATTTAATGAGAACTACGAAAAAAGCTGAAGAGCGCATTATTATTAAATTGTTGTGCGCATAAAATATATTAATATATTTTGTGCCTCCGCTGCCACGTGATCCAGGCCAATTCTGGTGTCACATTTATGTGCCTACGACGGGAGCGTGGAACTCTGACGAGAGAGAGATTTCACTAGGATCTTTGGGACCCAGCCGCAGAGCTTGTGGCTGAAATGGTTAACAGGCTCCAATGTATCCAGAACCGAAGGTGACATATTGGAGTAAATCAAGAAGCATGTGGATGGACATTACCAGGACAAAGAAGCTGCTGGACTTGGATATGAGGCGCGGCTGGCAAAGCTGACAGATAACAGGTACAAACACTGGCCAATAAACTCCAAGGGGATTGCACAAAACGAGCAGTGGTGTTTGTAAACAGATCATAGATAAACAGAACGACTGGTGTAAGGGACAATGTAAGCTATAGATTAAACAGGAAGTGAGGAGATATTTGACGCCTGAGAAACGCCGATTGTTGATGAGAACTTTAATCTCAACAAAAATTTTGAATACCAAATCCGCGACAAGACAAATATGACAGCCTGCCGAAGTGGCCACAGATGACAGCAATGAGGACGACAGATATGCATACTAGCTATCTTTGCGACAATTGACGCTCTAGATGACAGATCGAGTGCTCAGGTTTAACTTTACTAACACCCTGGTGGACACTTCCACTGCTGGGAAATTAGCCCCAAGTCTGGAGAAATCCCAATTATGCTGTCCCTAGAATAATTTTGTTATAGGGGCATGTAGCCAGGTTCTGCAATAGAGCCCATGATGGGCAATGTGGCATGGTAGACAATCAATCTTAATCATTAACTTTAGTTTTTGTCTTTTTCTACATTTCACACAATATATCTATTTTATCTCTCTCAAGTAATACTTTACATATATATAATTTATAATTTTTGCATTTATGTCACAAGAATCCATGCATAAATTCTAAAAAATATATATCTTTAATATTGACTTGGTCAACAATAAGCAAGCAACCAATCACGCGACATACACTGCTATATGTGGTGAGACTAAGGCATATTAATGATAAAATGAAATTATTTGGGCTATCAGGGAATAAAGTAGAGAAAGGCCAAAAGCCAATAGTTCAATAGTTCAGTGCGATGGTTTGGACCAATCTATATACTTATGATAGATCAAAACCCACTCCCGACTCGATGGCTGTTGTCAGCTTGTCACAAAGAGTTTCTTGACTGCTGTAAACCGGAAGTTTCAATAGATTGACGCAGGTCGATGCACTCGGCAGACGGTGGTCGTGATTACCATTCTCGTCGCTTGAACTGCTGCTGATACAGAACAATGGATTGAGCTCTGCAAAGCCAAGCAACGGTGGGCGTTCACAGCTCGTGGCAAATTTGCACAGCTTGCGCCGCTGCTCCTCGGTAAGCTCGTTCTCAACAACATCCCAAAATGCAACAATCGTCGGGTGCTCGCCACGCTTAGCATGATATGCGCCCTCATAATGTGTATTCCGCTTCCAATCTTCAATATTGATCGCTTCTGAGTCACCGGACAGAAGGCGCGAGAGTTCCAGTGGCGTGGCAAACAGAAGCCTCAGCCATGCTTCGGGAATTATTGAGTGAAGCCCTGATAAAAATGCCTTGGTCGGTGCGTCGATTTGTCTAACAAGCTTGAATTGCGCGATTAGGCTGAGATACAGAAGGCGATTATGGGCTGTGACCTTGATCGTGTCGCCGCCGGGTACTAGCGGCACTACACGGGTGTGCCCGTCATGGGTACTGACAGTCACGGTAAAGTCCATTCCAAACACCTGATAAATCTCGTCCTCTTCGGCCTCGCCATCAGTTGTGACCTTCTCTGTGATTGGGTAATTCTTCAGCGATACCAGGCCGCGGTAGAGCTCCTCGTCAAGCGTCGGCAAGTCATTGAATGTCGGCAGGTACCCCATACAACGACCCAGGAAAAATAGCGCAAACGGAACATCTACCAAAATGCCCTCGTACAATGCCTTGCCAATCACTGCACCCAGAAACTTGAACATGTCTAGCATCAACAGCCACTCCTCAGTCCCTGTATGGTGCATAGACTCGGGATTCGGGTACAAGCTGTTATGCTTGGTGGCGTTGAACATGCCTTTGCGCGGGTCAAAGGCTTCGCGCACAAGGCTGGTCAGAAACTCCTTGAAAACTCCGCCACCATCGATGCCTGCCTCCGGAATCCCATGTTGGTCGACAAACTCGATCTGCATGCGCCGCTTGAATATGTCGCTTCGCTGGAATCTGCTGTTGCCCGACGACCCCATCGGCTCGATCGGTTCCCAAAGATCTCTAGGCTGACTCGCGCCAGAGGAAATAAATGACTGCGAGCCCCCGTCTATATCGCCTGTTGTGTCAACATCCATGTCCGTGCTTCCAAATCCGCCGGGGTGACTAACCGATCTGGCGCCGACTGTGTCGCGCTCTAGCCCTCCACTCGCTGGAAAATCCCTGATCGGCTTGCCGCTGAGCACTGGATACAGTTTGCGAAATCCATCCTCAAATACACTTGCTCGTCTGATTTCAACACGCGCCACATGCAGTGCCCCAAAGTGAGTGAGCGTCGACCGCCCATTGCCCAGCGAGCCCAAACCCAGGCGCTCGCGATCACGATTTACGAGAGCGTGGAACAAGCGTACGCGGTCGTTAAATGGTACAACAAACGGTATATTGCGCAGAACGGCAATGCGTGGTGTCATGATTGACCGGTCAATGTGCTGCCGTTGATTGTGTCGAAGTCCGGAGTACGTATTGACCAGCCAGCTCAATCTGTGGCTGCTCAGAGCGCCCGTACCAACACCAGGCGTATCTTCCGCCACGACTGCGCCTCTCGGTGGCAGCTCTGTGTCTGAATCTGCATCCGACACATCGCTGCCGCTAATGTCGCTGTCACTATCAGCGGTAGCAGCGTCGTTATCAGTAGCAAAAATAGGATCTTCAGCAACCCTGTCAGCAAAGGATGACATGTCCAGAAGCGCTGGAAGAACCAACCAGAACCCCTCCTCAACAAACGGGCGTCGCGAATTGCGGATGAATAGTTGTTGAGTGAGTGACGCCGCTATATCCCGCAGGTGAACCAAATCAGCCGGTATACTCTGCGACCAGTATAGCACAAAGGCGATGTTGCGGCACACACGAGCAATGACCTTGATATCTGCCAGCGGCAGTGACATGCCCTGAGCAAACAGCTCATCGTCGCCAATCGTTTGCAGCTGGCGGTTTAGCAGCTCGCACAGCAGTTGCAGTCTGACCAGGTCGTGTGACTGGATCGTTTCCACCTTAACGCGATCACCTGTAAACGCGCTGAGGAACTCCTGGTCGTCGAGAACAGAGCGCCACCCAACAGTGCGGATATCGACCGCCTGAAATAAGTTGTCAAGCACAGCACGGCTGGCTGTTTCGCCCCATTTTTGAACAAAAACCAACAGCAGTTCTTGCGCAGCGGCAGCAGTCCGTAAAATTCTCTCGCCCGGCCCGGAGTCGCAGCTAGCGCGTGCCAGCAGCTCGAGAACCTGAACTGACAGCATTTGACTCAGCCATTTCAGCGCATGAGCGTCAGCTGCCACGACCAGGCGCCCACCCGCGGTTTTGAATTTTGATGATGACTTTGATAGGTCAAGAAGATTACAGCTGGGTATCGCTCTAGCGCAGGCAGCACACGCTTGTATGAATGCAGAGTCCAGTTCTGTGGACTGGCCTTGGCGTGACAGCTGCGGAAGAACAAACGCCGCCATGTTCCCCATCGTGTTGATAGCAGTCAGAGCCAGCTCCAGCGCTAGCTTATTGTTGGCAGTGGTGGTGGACAGGGCGCTGCCAAACGCACTGTCTCCCTGCTTGCTTCTGATCGCCGCTGACTGCCTCTTTTGCATCTCTAATTGCACCTGATCCGCCAGAATGCTCCATTTGACTCGACTCCTCGTGATACTCGTCGCGCCATAGGCTCCAAGCTTGCTTGGCAGGCCGGGAATGGACAGTATACACTGCACAAAGTGTTCTATGGCCAGCTTCTGGATGGACTCCACCCCAAGTGGCAGCACTGCAAGATCGACTGCGGCATTCAGACCAGCACTGTTAGACTTTTTGTCAGCATGTACAATGTATTGCGACAGATAAGCGTAAAGTGCATTTGCCTCAACTAGCTTTTGCAGCACGCCCCGCTGCATTGACCAGAAAAGCTTGCCACCGCTGCTTCTGCCGCTGATGCTAGCGGTACTAGTGACGGTGGTGTGGTCGCGCAAAGTATCGCTCTCAGAACTGCATCAGCGTCAACAGATGCAGTGTCACTTGCAGATGCCTTCAATGCCAGACCTAGCAACCGCGAAATCAGCCCAGCCCACTTGACCTGCTCCGGAGTGGGAGGTTCGGCGTGCACATTGACCTGTGGGCTAAGCATGGTGACAATCCGGCTGTAGCGCGCAGGTATGGTGGGGGTATTATCAAAAAGCAAGTGCAGTAGCATATGCAGCATCCCAGCATCTTGCGGTTGCCCGTTGTAGTATGCCGTAAACGTAACCAGCGCTTCGAAGATGAGCCTCAAGTCAACCGGCTCTTTGCTAAGAATTGAAACATCCAGGCTACTGCGCATGCTTTCCCGCCAAGCGCCTGTATCGCGCGCCCCTCGCCAACGCTGCTGAATCAAAGAGGCTGCCTTTTGTCTGCGCCTGTCGGTCTCACGCTTCTGTCGCTCCTCATGGGCGGTATTCAGAACCGTCCGAGTGTTTGAGCGGATGTTTTCGTTTCGCCGACTTCCGCCCAAATTAATGTTGCGCTGGCGCTTATACTCACCCTGAAAACCAAACATGACTGCAAAAAATAATATAAATCGAAATGAGAACTGGATTTATATTGTGTCAAAAAATAAGAGAAAATAAGAAAACACAGCAAAGACTGGAATTGCAAGGATGCGATGAATGCATAAATGAGGCTACTCTTCAAATTACGCAATCCCGCCGCAGTTACAAGTGAAATGCGTTAAAAAAAGTTTTTCAAAGCGCACGTGCTAAAAGACACGCATCCTTTAAGCGCGTCTGTTCCCATACCAGGCATGTAAAATTGCCCTTCCATTTTTTGGTGAGCACACGCGAGCGAGATGACAAACTCAATCTTTGTTCGTTGTCTACTTTTGATATATTCGTTGACTAACAAATTATTTTCCAAACATCCATGCATTCTAGCATTACAAACGCCTCTGCCATCACCCACCAGCACAAAACAACAACAACAACAGCAGCAGCAGCACTCGCGGCGGATCCAAAGAAAGCACTGCTGCAGACATTCTCATACAGCTGCGCGAACGGCTGACAAAGTACGACGAGATGGAACGCGAAATTGCCAAGCTCGCCAAGAGCAGACGACGCTCGAAAACTACGTTGCCAACATGATGGCATCAAACGTCTTTACTTGATTAGGACAAACCAAAAAAATCAGATTGTGGCCCTTTTTGCATGCCAGTTTTTTAATATGGCTGCGCAATTCCTGAAAATGGCAGCGTTTTGCAATATCTGAAATTTTCTTTTTTTCATCACTCGCAGCGTTTTTATATATATTTTTTCTCAATTCCATTTGCAATTCCCTTTTGAAACACAGTTTCTGCCGAACTTTGAAAAAAAACAGTCCGAGAAAATGCCTCGCTCCGGGTAAGTAAATGAACAGGTGATGTTAAAAACTAAATATTTTTTCGATAATTTGTAAATTGCATAATTTTAAAAAAAATATCTTTTCCATTATAGCCGCCAGCATTCGGATGTCGATTACTATGAAAAGCCCATTTTTGGCGGTGGCGACGACGACGATGACTGCTCTGATTTTGAGCTATCTGAAGAAGAGTAAGTAACAACCTTTGCTGTTTCTTGCATTAAGAGAGCTTTGAAAAAAGAAACGACCTTATTTTGCTAATCAGCCTGTTTGTACTTAGAGTGATGCCAAAGAAGAAGAAGGCAAAGATCGAGAGCGCGAAAGTTGCGAAGGCTGCGAAAGTTGCGAAAGCCCCAAAAGCTGCGAAAGCCCCGGCAAAGCCAAGGAAGTCGGCCAAGGAACTAGCCAGTGAGTCAGCAAAGGAGCCAATCGAGGAGCTAGCAAAGGAGCCAACTAAGGAGTATGCTCGCAAGGACAGACCTGTAGACCCGAAACAGCACGCAACATCGATTATCAGCACTCACAATACATCTATGTCTGAGATTGATTTCGATACACTGCCCGGTAACTCCGATTCTAACACGGACACTGCATATTCAGTTTGCTCGGGTAGCTATGTTGACGCCGTTGACACGGCTAAAAGCGTCGGCTCTGCCGATACCCTGTCGCCGATTGACGACCCTAAAGATGAGGGTGAGAGTGAAAGCAAAGGCGATAAGGGTATTTACAACTCACCGAGCCAATATAAGGCAGACGTTAGTAAGCAGAGGTTAGCCGCTGTGAGTCGAAAGCCCGCTGCGACTGTAGCACCAGCGCTCCTATCAACTCCAAAGAAACTGCTCACCGCAGCGGTAACTCTGGTATCAATCAAATCGTCATTAACAGCAGACCAAACTTTGGCTTCACGGCACTTTCTGCATCTGCCCACATCAAATGAGCGAGCTTGTGATCGTGCCAAAACAAGGGCTCCGGCTCCGGCTCCGACTCCGACTGCTAGTGGCAGTGGAAGTGCTCGGCGGGATAGACGTAAAGATGTGTCTTTGCGGGTGCTTCTGGCTGGAGCAGCTACCCCTCGTGTTGGTATGAGCCGGACCAAACCGCCATTAAGAGATCGGTGGTTTAAAACCAATTATTTTTACCCTGTATTTATATATTTCGCTTTGTGTTCATTTAATATACCTCCATTCATTAGCCAAAGATCTATGCACGCCTCGACCTTCTGCATCCAGATCATCGCGCCAGTCTCTTTAGAAACAGCGCGAATGTTTGAAGTGGCAGCAAAGCACACGTCTAACTGCGCCAATAACTGAGCTTATTTGTTTTTTAATTGAATTGATTTTGTACACGAAAAAATAGAATGAAAATTGAAGTTACTGAAAACGTTAAAGCCAAACAAATTTATTTTTAAAACTGAGCGCAAGAAAAAGAAAATTATTGGCAATGTCCAATCCCAGAGACACCGTCGAGAGCATGCTCCACTTAGGCGGTCTTGGCAATGGCGGCCTCGCGGGCGGCAGCAGCCTGGCGCTTGGCAACCTTGGCCTGGGACTTGACACCCAGAACACCTCCACCCCAGGTACGACGGATCTCGTCGGACTTCTCAGTGAAGTTGGCGTTGACGGCCGAGACGAGGACGTTGAGGGACTGCTTGTCCTCCTCCTTGACATCGACAATGGCGAGGGCGGTGGCGGTCTTCTGGTGGACAACAGTGCCGAGGCGGGCCTTGCCCTTGACAATGCAGTAAGGGACACCCATCTTGCGGCAGAGGGCGGGGAGCCAGACAACAAGCTAGAAACAACAACATGACAATAATGCAAATAAAATATTAGTCAAATGGGCAAGATTCAGCGGACTTACCGTTTTCCGAATTTCGACCTTCCAACGAACAACCAACCGATTGTGAATTTGCCACGGAGTACTAAAAGCGGCAGCGCTCAAAGTATGTCCGACAGGGACGCTGGGTAACGCGCAACAGTGACCACCAAAATGAAAAAGCAGATTGCTCACCATAGCCAAAACAAAAAATTCCAGCCATAGAAAAAACAAATCTTTTCAAGAATCCACGCGCCGGAATGCCAAATGTCGAAATTCAAACATTCGTCAAACCAGCACAAGTGTGAATTTTCCCTGAAGCGTGCAACAGGCCCTTGCAGCCACTCCTTCCACAAGTGAAGAAGTAGTCGCAAAGAGACAGAAGCAGCTCCGCCAGGCCTGACAGCGCGCATAAACACGAAAAGTAAATTCCGAGTCAGCCGCACGTGCCATTTGGATAGCCTGCAAGGGAGTAAGGGGGTCATTGCACATTACCCAGGCGTCACTTGGCAAATGTCTGAATTGCAATCTGCAAATTCAAGCCGCCCACCCCGGTGTTACCCAGGGGAGAAACAAAGAATGCAGACTAAAAACAGACATGGGCGTTCGTGGAAGCAATGGGAAAACGTACTAATCACTTCCGTGGAGCATTTGGAATGAACCGCGGAAATGACATAATTGAAAAGAAAATTTCTCGTCCTTACCTCAATGGGGTCAACGTCGTTGGCGATGATGACAAGCTTGGCCTTCTTGGACTCGACCAGGGAGGTGATGTGGTTGATACCGTACTTGACGATAGTGGGCTTCTCCGAGTCCTCAGCCTTCTGGCCGGCAACGATCTTGTCAGCCTGGGCAGTCAGACGGGTCTTCTTCTCCTGCTTGGTCTCAGGGCGGTACTTGGCCAGGAGCTTGAAGAGCTGGACGGCGGTGTTGCGGTCAAGAGTCTGCGAGAACTGGTTGATGGCAGGGGGGACCTTCAGGCGCATGCGCAGGATCTTGCGCTGGCGCTGGAGACGCACATACTTGGGCCACTTGACGTAGCGGGACAGGTCCTTCTGGGGCTGGATGTCCTGGCCGATACCGAACTTGCGGGGACGGCGCTCAAACAGGGGGTCGACCTCCTTCTTCGAGGACTCCTTGGTGGAGCGGACGTTGTAGGGAAGGGCAGCGACCTTCTTCTTCGAGGACTTCTGAGGAGCCATTTTAATGATGGATGCGATACCGAGTGTATTAAAAATGAATAGATACGGCGAGGGCAAAAGGAGAGAGAAGGATTCAAATTTCGCTCATTGTGCGAGGATTCGAATTTAATGGCGTGGCTGTGCGGCAAACTTTGGTTGTGGATTGATAAAAAAATTATTTTGCCGCTGTCAAAAAAATACGAGAACAATAGTGGTTCAGCTCGAGCCGATCTGGTTATTGTTTTATTCGGCTCAATAGTGTTGTCCTTGTCAAGTACCACACATCCAAAAATCCAAATCCGGCCTGTGCCTGACAAGTTAACTTTGTGACCGATGGCGGATAGATGGACATGCCCGACGCAGATCGACTACCGTGTACGCTTCTGCTCATTCTTTCTGCATTGATGGTGACTCATCCACATTTTGCAATCTAATCTCTCGTATCAATCGAGACCTCTTCTCCACAACCAACTCCACTCCACTCTGTTGCCCTGCATTTTACCCTCTTGTAACAGTTTGTTTTTTATTCAACTTTTTTGTCATACTGCACTCGCAGAGGCCCATTACCAAAATCCATCTAGCCTTATTTTCCTGATCATGTTCCGGCAACAGGCAATTCGCAGCATAAGCCGGCGGTACGCGACAGCGTCGGCGACAGGCACACGCACAGGGCCACAGGCGCGCGCATCGGTGCCCGACTACGCACTGTTCAGCGAGCGGCTAAACCTCGCGCGTTCGACAATTCTGGAAAACAAGCCCCTGACACTGGCACAAAAGATCCTGTACGCGCATCTGCACGACGTCGGCAGCATGACAAGCGCTCCAGTTGCGGGTGAGACCTACCTCAAGCTGTCGCCCGACCGCGTAGCCATGCAAGATGCATCAGCACAGATGGCCATCCTGCAGTTCATGCTGTCAGGGATGGCGCAAACCGCGGTGCCCACCTCGATCCACTGCGATCATCTGGTCGAGGCCTACAAGGGCGGCGACCTTGATGTTGCGCGCAGCTGGCAGAGCAGCCGCGAGATCTACGAGTTCCTGCAGGCGGCGTCCCAGAAGTATGGCATTGCGTTCTGGCGTCCCGGAAGCGGCATCATCCACCAGCTCGTGCTGGAGAACTACGCGGCACCGGGCACTCTGATGCTGGGCACGGACTCACACACCCCTAACGCCGGCGGCTTGGGCATGCTGGCTATCGGTGTGGGTGGTGCCGACGCCGTTGATGCCATGGCGGCAATCCCATGGGAGCTCAAGGCCCCGGGCATCATGGGCGTCCATCTGCGCGGAAAGCTGAGTGCATGGGCAAGCCCCAAGGACGTTATCCTGGCCGTAGCCGGCAAGCTGTCAGTGCGCGGCGGTACCGGATTTGTGGTCGAGTACTTTGGCGACGGCGTCGACTCGCTGTCGTGCACGGGCATGGCGACCATCTGCAACATGGGCGCTGAGGTCGGTGCCACGACGTCAGTCTTCCCCTATGCGCCGTCGATGGCGCGCTATCTCCGCGCTACGCAGCGTACGGGCATTGCCGAGGCAGCTGACACTTACAGAGCGTCATACCTGAGCGCTGACGCTGAGGTGGTGGCTGACCCCTCCCGGTACTACGACGAGGTTGTGGAGATCGACCTGGCGCAGCTGGAGCCTGGCTACAACGGGCCCTTCACGCCCGACCTCCACACGCCACGGTCCAAGATGGCGGAGACCACGCAGGCCGAGGGCTGGACTGACCGCGTCAGCGCTGCGTTGATTGGCTCATGCACGAACTCATCGTACCAGGACCTGTCCCGCGCAGCGTCCCTGGCGCGCCAGGCATCTGCACGCGGCCTGCGCGTAGCCGAGGGCACCGAGTTCCTGGTGAGCCCTGGCAGCGAACAGATCCGTGCGACGATGGAGCGCGATGGCATCCAGGCCGCGTTCGAGGGCATTGGCGCCACCGTGCTGGCTAACGCCTGCGGTCCTTGCATCGGCCAATGGAACCGCGACGCTGGCCGCGCGCCCAGCCGCGAGCCCAACTCCATTGTTTCCAGCTTCAACCGCAACTTCCGCGCGCGCAACGACGGCAACCCCAACACGCTCAACTTCCTGGCCTCTCCAGAGATGGTCCTGGCCGCCGCCCTCAGCGGTCGCCTCTCGTTCAACCCGCTCACTGACAAGCTGCGCGATGCCGATGGCAAGGAGTTTGCGCTTGAGCCACCCGTTGGAAGCGAGCTGCCCGCCGAGGGCTACGCCGCCGGCCGTGACGAGTACAAGCCCCTGCTGGACCACCAGCCGGACCGCCAGATCCCCATTGACCTGGCCTCCCAGCGGCTGCAGTCACTGGATGCCTTCAAGCCATGGAACGGCCGCGACTTTGCCGACACCCGTGTGCTGGTCACTGTTCAGGGCAAGTGCACCACGGACCACATCTCGGCCGCCGGCAAGTGGCTCAAGTACAAGGGTCATCTAGAGAACCTCGCGCGTAACACGCTCATTGGCGCCGCCAACGCTGCCATGGACGGGGCTGTCAACCTCGTGCGCAACGCCGTGCCCGGCCTCACCCCCGCTGAGGGCACCATCCCCGACGTTGCCACGTCCTACCGCGACGCTGGTGTTCCCTGGATGGTCATCGCCGACTACAACTATGGCGAGGGCTCGGCTCGCGAGCACGCCGCCATGCAGCCGCGCTTCCTCGGCTGTAATATGGTCGTGGCCCGCTCGTTTGCGCGCATCCACGAGACTAACCTCAAGAAGCAGGGCGTCCTTCCTCTTGTCTTTGCCCGCCCGATGAGGACTACTTTATCTTTGCGCGCGACCCGCATGAGCTTGTTGCCCGCACGCAGGGCGTGAGCGAGATCAGCGAGTCCAACCCCGTCATCCAGCTGCTGGTTGATCGTGTGCGCGATGGCAAGATCATCGAGTCGCATGAAATCGAGTGCCGCCACACTATGAGTGCAGACCAGATTGGCTGGTTCAAGGCGGGCAGTGCATTGAACCTAATTGCCTCGCAGCAGCAGCAGCAGTAATGATAATAAATATTATTATTTTTAATGTCGATTTCTATTGTTGCTTTCATGCACAAAAATTTATTTATTTAAAACAAAATGTATAATTTATTTTTGAATATTGTTGAATACAATTTTTATTTTTAATTCCATTCAAGGAGAGCATGCGCTCTATTTTTGGTCTACATTTTTCAAATGGACATGAAGCCACCCATTTCCACCAACGATGGGAATGTGGCATAATGCGGCGCAGCGGCGCTGGACTCCTACTCAAAATCTCCTCGTGCTCGGACTCTGACCAGGGATAGTATGAGTACTCGTGTGATACTCTGAGATATCCGGCTCACTGAACGCCCGCGTCCTGTGCTTCTCATCCACCAGCGTCTCCATAGACACATTGTGGTCTTCGCTATGCCGCCGAGCACTCTCGATGTGCTCCTCGGCTAGGTTTTGACTACGGCGTCGGCTGAAAATCCGGGACCCATTTCCTGGTGTGCCCCGCCGGCTCTGCATAGAACCCTTGTGCTTGGCACACCAGTCAAATATGCGCTTAAATTTCAACATGGTGCCGAGTTTGAAGATGATGTGAATATTTAATGTGTAAAGTGGTAGAGTGATTATTCTTTCAAGATGCAGAGGAGCTGAAGGAGATGTACAGGAATGTGTGTAGATGTATAAATATGTGCGCGAGTTTGTGTGTGGGTGTAATGAAAAAAGTGGTTTAAAAGAAAATTTTAGACGATGCAATAAATGACGAGTGAAAAAAGATATGAAAATGCTGTCAAAGAATTTCCAAGATAAAAAATGACGTGTTATTGGATGGAGACCCAGCTAATAAATAAAAAATAACGAGAACTATGGATGTTGCAAAGGTTTTTGAAATAATTTATTATTATATTTTGTACAAGCGAAATAGACAATATAGAAAATGATGCGAATGAGGGCAGTATAATAAAGAAACAAGGGAGGCAAAAGAGGGCGGAAGCCAACTAATATAAGTGAAGGCAAGAACCGTTTTCTCTGTTTCTCGGAGAGTGCTCCGCCTGCCCGCCTCCCCACAAGAATGACATGTAAACTGGCAATTGTGTATAGAACAATCCACTCATGTGCTTACAATTGCTCTCCCCCTCTCCCCCCTCTCCCTTCTGTTTTTGTCCATCAAAATCATATGTGGCGTTATATCCACTTTTCAAGCCAAAAAATCAACACCGATTTGGCGTTTTTTTGGGCCGTCTACATTTTGGATGCACTATTTCGTTTATTCACCTCATATGCTTTTTCTCGCTTAGTTTACTCCCTCCCTTCCCCTCCGTACCTTCTGCCCCTCCCCTTTTTCCTTCATATTTTTAAAAGGCACCTCAAAGACAACCTCTGCAAGTGTGCACTTGCATGAGCGTGCATTATTTGCCCACAGACAATGTACTCTTGTGGCGAATTAAGCAAAAGAAAAATCTGCTTTGTACTCTCTCTTTCTCTCTTTCTCTCCCTCAGACTTTTGCAAGCCAGATATCCATACAAGCAGGGATTAGGTTCAGTATTTCCACACTATTTATTTTTCATAAGGGAGAGTACACTGTGAACATAATAAAACAGGGCTGTAGTGCATGCATGCCCTGAATTCTCGCGACATGAAGCTGTCTCCTTGGGTTGGCTGGAAGATCTTGCCACTCCTGTTTTTTTCTTTTTGTCGGACCATATTTCTAGTTTCTGAAATTCAGCAGAGGACCACGTCCGATTGAACATGAACATGGAAACACAGCTCCCCCTTATGGCGGTGTATTCAACGGACCCCCCGTGCAACCATGGGCGGACTGAAAATATTGACACTTTTTTTGGAACGTAAACAAATGGCTGAAAAAATAAACAAGGGCGTATGAGAAACCAGACGGACAATGTGATTCTCAAATGCCGAAAAAAAATGGCAACTTGTCGCCATATCGCCTCTTGGAGCTGTCAATTTCTGATGACCATTTGAGAGCATGTGAGCTTTGTGCTCATATTGTCGCATTGTTCTAAATTGGGCTTTGTTTCTTGTTGGCCGGTATAATGAAAGTGTCAACAGTAAAGAAAAAACAGGGCGGCAATATGCACGCTGCATATTCGGCAACTAGATTTATTTATGCAGTGGAAATTAGACCGTAACCAGCACGATATTGATATGCCGAACAGAATCCGTACTAGATATTTTAAAATATAATAACCGAACTTTGCAGCATATATTTGCGACTAAGAGGTGACAATCTAAAATTTCCTGGTGAGTGGCAAAGTGAAAGCAAATTGCTCACACACAAATGACATTAATAATAGCAAAATAATGCGTTTTCGTGTTTTCTGTGTGCATGTGTGGGTGGGGTGAAAATTTAAAACAGGTGATTTATTGCTGATTTATGAGCCTCACTTGTTTACAGCTTGCGCACAAACACGTGAGCGTGGCTCAATTGAGGCACGCTCTGTTTGTTCACGGGATTGACGAAATACCTGCACTCGATATTCTCGCCAAATTTTTGTGTAATCGCCTGGACGGCCGCCTCAGGCGCATCAAACCCAGGCTGCAAGCGCTTAAGACACCACAGCACCCAATGCTCGACGCCATCTCCGATATGGTAGGGGAAATCGTTGATGCGGAATGTGAAATCTGCAGCCCCAATGGCCGAATCCGCATCAAACCCAGGCATTCTCTTTTCAGCTATAAAGTCCGCAACACATGTGCCTTTAAATAGTTGGCCATCGTGCCATACTCGCCCATCATCTTCGTCTTGTGTATCTCGTACTTGGCCTGCGTCTCGACACTGCGCCCCAGCGGGTCCAAATCCTCTGCATCCACATATATTTTGAAGAGCTCCCAGGACACAGGCTCCACGGGACACTCGTGGTTGCCCACCAGCACTGTGTTCGTCGACTTTGCCCTGAGCTGCTGCAGGAGATGGCTGCTGATCGACGTCGTCCGCACCCCTGGCGAGTCTGGAGGTGTCAAAAGGCTTCCGAGACCGACAGCTGCCTTGGATGATCGGCCACAGTCAACCTGCAGTGGCATCTCGCTCGCGACGCGCTTTGTCTACTCCTTTCGTCCGAAATACACCCACGAGTCGAACGAGTGACCGTGCCAATTTTAAGCTGCGACATGCTTGTGTTGTAATGGCGATGACGACGGTTAAAAGAGCGCGTAAAGTACAATACGGGAGAGCTGGGAACCACAAAGTTTCTAGACATGATATTTCTCTCGCCTTCTGTTGGTTTTATGTGTCCAAAAAATTTTGTATTGGCGAGTTTTTTGGGGGGTAAGCTGCGGCGAAGAGAGCAAGACCGTTTTTTTGGTTGGGCTCGCTGATAAAAAGGCTAAAAAATAAGAGATGAAAATGATGTCTGATTATACCAGCAAGAGAGAAAAAGTGATGTGTTTCGGAGCCATCCAAGTGCATATTTATGTATATCCGAGTTGGTGTAACCTGTATTTCTTTGGACTCCCGGTCCAATGAGATCGTCTCACCCTGCAAGTGAAACCCTCTTCCCTTCCAACGACCCTGTTTTGCGAATTCCAATTTGTTTTTTCGAACATGAGCGGGCTCGGCACCCTGTTTACATGTGCAGATTCATCATTTCTAACATACTGAGTCCAAGTCGAACTGTTATCTCAAATTGGGTTCGCTGAAGCCTTTCGAAAAACGTGTATATTAGGCGCATTCCGAAGGTGTATGGGTTTTTTTGGGGGGTTCAATTACCTGCATTGATGTCACCATTACTGCGTGATCCTGTGCATCTCGTTTGTACCGGCAAGAGATTCATCATAGCTGTAAACTGTGCAGCTTGAAAACTAAGGTACAAGTAGGTTTTAATGATGATATCAGCACCCGTGTTCGTATGGATCGCTCAAGAACCAGTGCGCATGAGCAAACAGTGTCGAGTAGCATAGCGCTGATCTTGTAAATACCAGTGCGGGGGTATTTCTTGTTCTTCATATTTTGTACAAATGCTTATAACATGCGTAAATAGCCAAATGGCGGGGTAAATAGAATATAATAAAATGGTACATTTACTGCTTTCAAAATTACAAAGTGATGCTGCAAAGTGCAGACAAGCAGACAGACAAACAGCTCGTATAAAAGGTGGTTATCAAGCTATGCCATGTTAATTCTGGCCATCCGACTGGGCAGACGCGGGCACACTGGCAGTCCACTGGCCGATTTCAAGCTCTAGGCGAGACTTGGCCAGCTGTGCGTCATTGAGGCATCTGTGCGCATCCTCCAGCGACGCAGTCAGCACCTCGATTGCCCGGCGTCTGCTGTTGTTGGTGTCTGCCGCCCGGCCAAAGTTATCCAGCGCGCGGGCAATATCCACCATGCGCTCCTGCTGCCGGGTAATCTCGACGTCATAGTAGTCACGATATCGGATGAGGCGGTTGACAACTTCCTGCCGCTGGAGAAACGAAGCAGCTACCTTAATTACGGTCTCTTGCGCGGCAGCTACAGCCAAAAGATCCCTCCCGTTGCTGCTGTTGTTGCTGCTGTTATTGTTGGTCACAGAGGGTTCGGTTACGTGGCTGGGAAAAAGTCCATTTTAGAAGATAACAAATAACAATAAAAATGGTTAAAAATAAAGTGCAAGAATATAAAAAAGTTCAAATGAAAAGTGGATTAAAAATAAAATGCGAACGACAAAAATCTCCGAGGGAAGGAAAATTTTCTGCTGTTGTCTTTTTTTACTCCGCGTGACCTTTTTTCTTTTGTGGTACATGTCGGCCAATTTGCTATTGCTATTTTAGAACAGCAGCGTGTTTGCTCTTTCAAAAAGAAAGTGAATCACAAGCTCGTTCACACAAAAATGGGTTAATCCAGATATCAAATATGCGCACTGACATTTATATTGTAACAAATCTCCAACCATAGAAAAAACCTTTGAGACTATTTACATGCTTACCTTTACATTTCGTTAAAAGGTAATGCTTTAATACCTTTCGTCAGAGGTAGGGAATTAAAAGCGATCATTTGGCAGGGACTCGCAGCAACAGCAGCAGCCGAGCGCAAAGCCAAGGAACACACCCTCTACTATGGCTAACCATCCCTGCAGGCAGCGCATGGATTGATTTATCCACATATCATGGCGACTATAGCCATCAGTTGTTTGACACAGGACAGGGTTTCGTCAAATGAGCAAGTGGAACTATGAATCTATTTTCTCTAGGCAAAGTGTGTACGTTTTTCTGTCCTGCGCATCAAATTACAGTTGCTTGCTATAGGCATCTTTTTTTTTGTACTCGTATTTTTGTTACTGCAAATACGCATGATCACGAAATTATTATTGTTTTTTGACAGGTTGATCAGATCGCTTGATTGTCACAACTTGAGCTTGTGCCCGTGGTACAAATGCGGAGTTACGCCTTGGATGAAAATGACTCCAACTTTCATATTCTTCCCAACTTCAACTTCCATTTGTGCAATACATTGCAGTGCAGTGGTTGCTTTGGAACCTGAAAATAATAACTTGCATTTGCAATAACAATAATAGCAATAGCAATACAAATTCATGCATCACATTCGCACCAATTTTTGTCACCATGCTAGCGTCGCCTCATCATGGTCCATCCGGTTGAGATCAAAACCACGGCGCTCAAAATCGCTGCCACCATAGGTTGTGTAATGATGCTCGTTGCGGGGGATGGACTGGGCTCTGGCGTCGGCGGAGGCTTGTGCTGCGACATGGCCTGCAAGCAAGCAGCAAATATGATGACGACAGCCGCCAGGCAAGTTATCATAATAAAACTATACTGGAAACCCTTGGCATACGCAGAAATTATGCTCTGCTGAATTGAGCGAGGTATATCATGCTCCACACTTCTTTGGCGTTGCTCTGCGCCTTGATAATATCTGTTGCATATTTGGGATTTACATCGATGAGAATATCCAAATAGTGCTTGTCGTGCTTTCAGAGACGATGCTGCCGAATGCCAGGCCCATGATTCCGCCGAGCATCTGCGAAAACGTTACGAGGGCCGTGGTAATGGCCAAGTCCGTCGAGCGCACGGTCGCTTGGGCGGTCAGAAGCAGTGCCTGGATGCAGCAGCCGATACCAGACCCAAGCAGTGCTAAAATTGGCACTTGCGCGCCCGTGCTGATATGCCCGTCGAATAAACACAGCAGCCCGGCCCCCAGGGTCATGATCACTGCGCCGGCACACGCGGCCAGACGGTAAGCGCTGAATATGGCTATCAGCCAGCCAGATATAATAGAAGACACAACAACGCCGCAGGCCAGCGGCACCATGCGCACACCCGACTCTGAAGCGCTGCTGTTTTGAGTAAATGAATAGTACACCGGCAGGTTGAACGTCGTATTGAAAAATACTGCGCCTACGCATAATTCAGCCAAGATACTCAGCGCCACATTGCGATGGCGCAGAATTCGCGGGTCGATTATTGGCTCAAGAGCGAGTTTGCCCTCGATGAAAACAAACACACACAGCAGTAGCAGGCCGACGCAGATGCAGATAATCACAACTGGAGACACCCATGGGTATACGCGACCACCCCAGTTCAGGCCCAGAAGCAGCAGCATGAGCCCAGTCACAAGCATGAGGGCGCCGAAAAAGTCTACCCGAGCTATCTTTTCAGAAAATGTCTGGATTTGGCGTACATTGGGGTGCACGAAGAGCAAGATGCTAATTATAGACAGACAAACAAGTGGGATGTTGATGTAGAATGATATCCGCCACGTCCAATTATCCGCCATAAATCCGCCCACCAGCGGTCCGATTGTTGTGCTGAGGCCGAATACTGCGCCCAGGATCCCCATGTACCGCCCGCGTTCGTGCAGTGGCCCGACTGACGCAGTAATTATTTGTGTGATGGATATAATGCCTGCTGCGCCCAGTCCAGCCAATGCACGCGCGAGAATCAGCCACACCATTGTTGTCGACGCCGCAGTGAGCACTGAGCCGCAGAGGAAAATCAATAGCGCGACAATCATAATTGGTACGGGCCAAAGATGTCGGCAATTTTTCCATAAAACAGCATAAAGGCATTGAGCGACGCCAAGTATGATGCCGTGACCCATGATGTCTGAAACAGCTCCTCTTGGTCTGTAGGCACACGTGGCGTCAATGTCGACAAGATTGTCTGGTCGAGGAACACCAGAAAATATGACACTGATAGCGACAAGACAATTGTGTACGACACCCATCTTGGAAAAGGACCGTTTCCGTCCAGAGTAATGCGCCTCCATGGGAGACGCACCCAATGCGGCAAGCGAAGCATTTGTGTTGGTCCTGCCGCACATTTGAGTTTGTTGCAATGCTCTGCAGCCTAAATGGCCGCCTTATGTGGCGTGAATTCTCTACGTCAGACACACTGTGGGCGTCCATAAAGTTGGCAGCACTGGGGTAAGCTCTGTCATGATTTCTAATAGTATTGTTTGTCGTGGACAATTCTTGGATTTCATGCGTGTACCGCATCGCATTGGTGTTGGCTAATCGAATCGAGTTTCCAGGTGGTGGCTGAGCATCTGTTGTCGCGTCTGTTCTCCGAGACGAGTTGTTCAACATGCGTGATAACAACAGCGACCCAAATTTTAACATTGTATTGAGGTGGGATAAAATAGCAAGGACAAATATGTGTAAAAAATATACAAACTATAAATAAAATAGTTGCCAATAGAAATATTGACTTGTAATTTTTTTAGCGGTGGAAGTTTTTATTTTATACAATAATAATGATGCTAGCCGGAAACAGTCTATGTTTGTCAAGTCTTTTAAAGTATGAATATAGGAATAGCATATTAAGAAAAGGGAAAATAAAATTCAAAAGGAGTAACCGCTGTCGCCCAAAATACTCGCTATTTATAAAGTATTTGTCACTACTTTTAGAATCACAAGATATAAGCTACAAAAGTGCAGAGTAGTCACCATATACACCAGGAAGAATATATACCATTGGCTAGTGCTCCCCACTTTTGTTATTTTCAGGCGTTATTTTATCACACTTCCACACTTCCACACTTCACACTCGAATACTTGAATGTTTGCTACAGTTAGTATACATATGCCGCTACTAGTTATTTTCAGCCACACGTAAAATAGCCACATTACCTGAACTTCCCTTTCTATGAATATGACAAGGTGCGTTTGGTGCGCGCAGAAGCTAGCATCAAAAAGCCTTGACGCTGCAAAACTTATGCAAAGCTCACAGTAAAAAAGACGAAAGCCAACCTCAATGTGGCGGCTATGCAATATTTTTGTAACATTGCTCAAAGTACATTTTGCACTGGGATTACTTTTTCTTGTATTAAGCCACTTCGCAATATGCAACTAGCGATAATTGCGGCTTAAAAATTAAAGTTAGAAAGTAGGTGCGAGCAGTGGTTAGTTGTGTATTTTTTACTTTTCGTCTTTATTCGCCGAGTAATTTGCGTTATTAGTTTAAATAAACACAAAATAGATACATACGAGAGACAAGTGCAACTGCGCAGAATGCTGCTCTGGCAATGCATCATGTCATTTTTGGGCTATTTTGAGTCTATATGTGATTGCAGAACATCCAAGGCATTACTACCGCCCAGGATTTTCTGCAGTATGCCGACCACCTTGTGTCTCGATTTTTCCCCGACAAAAGCTCAACGCTTGATTTTGGAATTCCCAACAACTTGGCCACATAATTCAACACTTCCTTGTTAGCCTCGCCATCGCGGGGAGGTGCCGATATGCGATGCAAATTGCGTTGTGGGTGATTTCGGTTATACTGTTTGTCTGCGCACCGGGCTTGACAGTCAGACGGAGTTGCAATTTGCCGTCTCGCTCAGTGATTGGGCCTATGTCTGACGAGGCAGGTGTAATCGATGTAGCCTTGCGCGAGTCCCCTTGTGACTTGATTTTGGTAGCCATGTATCTTTTGGTTAATGTTTTCATTAGCGGCGGCAATGAATTCATTGCAGTGACGCACTTTAAATAAAAAATATATGAATATTGAATATTGCGTTTGGCATTATCATCTGTGAGAGTGCAACAGCAATTTTAAATGAGAAAAAACAGGATATTAATGCGTATTACTTTAAGTTATGGCCAGCTACATTTTTTGCTAAATATTTGCTTTTCTTTGTATTTTGTCAAAGAAATATTCTAAAATGTATTTACAAGCAATATAATATTAAAGTGTTTTTTGTCTATATTTTGGTGTCTTCGGAGCTCACAACACAACCTTCATGGACATTGGCCGCTGGCAAGCTGTCTGCTAACAAATGCTTCTTTTGCAAAAATGCCATTCCATTCTCGCCGCTGCCTTCTACAAGTACATCTTGCACCGCGCTTAAAGCGCTGTTCTTTCTTGAATTCAAATTGATCCGCTTGACAATGATAAACACAACAAGCAAAACAACCACGCCGACAGCCAATGTGCTTGCTATGCCGCCTGTGCTAATATTGTTTAGCGTTTCATCCTCGTTGGTAAGCATAGTAACTATGAGCCCAACCCAAAGTATACTGCACAAGCCATACGTCCGCCAGTAGTTAATCTGGTCGACAAAGCACGGCTGGGTGCTAATGTTAAAGCACACCATGGACAGTACAATTATCAGCGACATAATACTGCGGATGTGCATGTACGAGTTGGAAACCAAAGAAGTCAATTGACAGAAGCATGCTCATATTCTTGAGAAATGCCACGCCCTGCGACTTGTACTGAATCTCGCCCTTGATCGGAATGCGATCAAAGGACGTCACAAACGCGGTCAGAATCACATACCCGCAGTGTACGCAACGACGGTGACCAATAGGTACAGGGGCTTGTTAACTGACGGGTCACTGCATCGCAACAAGCCTGACGACGCGCCCTTGTAGTCAGCAGTGCCAATTTTTGACAGACACGAGGCTGAGCCGATCAGCATCACCAGCATAGGCAAGTACAAAAGATTGGCCAGTGGCAATATGTACTTGACCCAGTACAGGGCAATTGGTTTGTGTGGCCGCCAGATGTTGTACCCGTGAATGACGCCGATTGCCAACCCGACGCACCCGATGACCCCAACCAGGAACCATAGCTGGATGATATAAAACTGCTGTTAAGGTTAGTAAACATGGTTATAATGCTGACAATAAAGTCGGCCGTGTCTTTCTGGTTGCCCAAATTGATCGATGCCAGGAGGTCGCGGATTGGAAACGAAAGCAGCTGGAGAAACTCGATGATTAAGATTGCAATTTGCACGACGTTGAACACCGACCACTCAAATGGTGAAACTTTGTGGTGTCGAGGACCAAGTAGTGCTCAGCGTCGTATGACAAGTATGTGCGCCTGATATAGTACAAGTGCTGGCGGGTCATGAACAGCGCGTTGAGTGACACATAAAAGTGAACGTGCTGATGCGAATGACCTCAGGCAGATTGAGCGCCAACGACACAATAAGTGCGACGGCCGACGCGGTCAGAGTCAGGATAAACAGCCACGAAAGAGTGTGGTGTGTATAATACGGCTTCATCGATTGCCAGCGCAAAGGCAGCCGAAAAAAGTTGGTGAACTGGCTGGACAGGTTGTCAATGAGGTGTTGGACCTCTCGCTGCGTTATTATCAGGTCCATCAGGCGCACCTCCGGGTCGGATATTCTGTCCATAATAAAAAAGTAAACGGCTGTTCCGATGAGCACCGCTGCGATCGTTACAAAGTATACCAGCGTCAGCACCATGTTGGGGTCGGCTGAATGGCCCGAAGGCTGGTCACTGTCGGCCATTCCGTCGCTGAAAATTAGAGAGAAAAAACAAGATAAAAGGGTGCTGTTGAAACGATTCAAGTGGGAATTAGAAGAGCGATGCAAACAAATGCGCCAAATTGCACAAGGCAAGCCACAATGGCGAGCATTAATAGTGGCATAATGCTGGAGCCAGCGCCGATTCATGATCGTGGAGGGTCCACTATTGCGTCAAACCCGGATTGTGTCGTCACGCATGCATACGCGCGTGCGCACTCCAAAAATGCGGTGGAATGCTGATCATAATCATAAATCAAATCACAACCCTAAACAGCCTCACGTGTGAACCTACTACATATAATACAGTCAAGCTGATTTTCCATTGGGCTAAATCGATTTTTTTTCTGTGCGAAGGAAAAACACGCGAAAAAAATCGTCTGGTTTGTATTTAGCACGGCGCGCAACGACTACCACAATACGAATACTCCCTTTTTCCTGCAATTTCTTCAAACTTAATTTTGTGAAGACCTAGGTAGAGACACACTTTTTCCTTCTTCAAATTCACTTTTGCGATCCCAATCTCGAATTATAATAATGGCTCCCGTTAAGACCTCCAAGGCCAAGCGCCCCAGCTTCCGCTACGTTATCGATGTCTCGGCTCCCGCTGGTGACAAGATTTTCGATGTTGCTGCTTTCGAGAAGTTCCTGCACGACCGCATCAAGGTCCAGGGTCGCACCAACAACCTCGGTGAGTCGGTCACCATTACCCGCAACGGCGACGAGTCTGTTGTTGTTGAGGCCAAGATTGAGTTCTCCAAGCGTTACCTCAAGTACCTCACCAAGAAGTTCCTGAAGAAGAACAACCTGCGTGACTGGCTCCGTGTTGTTGCCACCACCAAGGACACCTACAAGCTCAAGTACTTCAACATCGCCAACCAGGGTGAGGAGTCCGCCGACGAGGAGTCTGCTGACGAGGAGTAAGCGCGCATCTTTTTTTTGCTGGCCCCCGCAAGACCACTTTATTATTTGCACTTGTTTTTTATATTCACATTCAAATAATAACTGTAGTCAAGTAAAAAAAGTGAAATTTTTAGAGAATATAATCAATGTGCTGCTAATATGAAAATGCCAGCATGTATTAACCAAAAAATTAAAGCAAAACTACAGTTTAGAGCTCGTTACCAACGGTTACCCAATAATCGCGCAGGTTGTTCTTGCGCCCGAATATCTCGAGGTACTTGCCGTTAGGAATCAGCTGCTCAATGATCTCGTACAGCTCCTCGGGCTTTTGGCTCTGGCCGCGGCGCTCGGAGAATATTACATCCGAAGCAACGGATCTTTGGAGGTTCGGCGGGTCGGCACCCTTCTTCCCGATAAGGCACGTCTCCTTTGCGTGCTGCAATAGTAGCCATGGCCCTTTGCCATGCGCCGATTGACGGTCTGCTTGACCCAGGCAATATCATCGACATAGGTGTACCCCCACTGCTTCATCAGCTGAAATGCCCTGGTGTACTTGTTGTTTATAACCCAGATGAAGATAAAGCCACTGGTCTGAAGCAGCTGGATGGGAAGCGACTCGATGCACACGTCGGGCAGCTGCTGGTAGGCAATAGCCACGCCGCGCGTGGGGGCTTGCGAGGCCAGCTGCCATGGCGGGTCCATCAGGATCACGTCGAACTGGCATGCCTGGCCTAGCTTCCCCCAGTCAAAGTTCATTACGTTTGCGCGAATGGGCACCGACCACTCAGGCGCCTTGAACTCGCTCATGTCCACCTCGGCGGCCTTGCCCTTGCCGTCCGCGCCGGCCTCAACACCACACTTCTTCTCCAGATCAGCAATATCCCTTTCGAGCTGCTGCATGCGAAGGCGGATGCTCTGTTCGCGCTCGCGCAGAGCCTGGATTGCATTCAGCGAGTCGCTGCTCCGAGCACTTGTATCTTTGGCGGTCAACGAGACATTGAGGTTGCTGATGTCGGGTGTGGGCATCGCTGCAGACACAACAACAACATCGTCGTTCTCAATGTCAATGACCATATCCTCGTCGTCGATTGCGATTGCTCTGGTGACTGCCGCCGAGTGCAGCGGCGCTGGGCTAGATGACCGCGAGATAATCGGTGCCCGGGCTTGCGCATGCTTGAGGCGAACTTGCGCCCACTGTTGCTGCTTACTTTTGCGCTCTTTGGTGGCAGGTCCCGGCGTGACTTTGGGGGAACGTCGCGGCGAATTTCCCTGTCCGGCTGAAAATCATCGTCGTTGTCGTCATCGCTGCCGTTGCCCGTTCCCACAACCATAGCTTTGTATGCCTCCATGGCAGCCTCGTCGTCGTCAAAGTAGATTTCGTCGTCCCACATTTGGCGAATGAGCGGAAGAATTTAAGTGAATATCGCAGCTATGCAAAAGTTAAAGGAACTTAAAAGGGAAAAGGTTGGCGCGACGCGTTTGCAGAAAATATCTAATTTTTTGTAAGCCCAGCGATGAGCAAATAATGTGCAAAGTGCATGATCAGCTCAACAAATAATTTAATCGCTTGGTGTTACCAAACTGGTGGTTAAATTTGGCGGCTACTGCAGCTCGCCACCTATCCGCATGCAACCAATGAGCTCGCACATAAAGCAATGCCAGAAATATCCCTTGCACATATACACCTATACATATACACATTTAAAATTTAAAGTTTAAACCTATTTGATATGCGTGTATTAATTTAAAAGGAACTTGTGCCATGTGATTTCTCCCCATTTGCACCAGTCACTGAAATAAAAGTTTAAACCCGCGATTTTTCTGCGCACGACACAATATGCCAACAACACGTGCGACTAGCTTTCATTTCCCTCTTTTCAAATTGTATACACATATTTTATTTTTACCTTGCGCATCATGAATTACAACAACAGCAACACACCGGGCGAGCAGTTCGTGGATTTCAGCTTTTGCGAGTCTAAAGACATTGGCGAGTTTGTGTCTGTGCGAATAGACAACCTGTGGGGCAAGGGCGAGCGCAAGCCCACCATCCTCGGGCGGTACAACTTAGAAGAGCGCCTCCAACTCAACGGTATGAGCATCAATATCATGGACAATGCGGATACCAATGCCCATGCTATTCCCAGAGAAGATGAAAAAAACAGCGCGCCATTGCTCTTTATCACAGTTCAGCTCGAGAGCTCGGGCATTCCATTATCACTACCTCTGCAAACAAAGTACCATTATATGGCCGAAAAATATGAATGGCACGAGTGGATTCGATTTCCGGCAAAGTACTCGGAGCTCGCGCTCGATGCACGCATCTTACTGACGCTCTGGGAGATGAAGGGGCTATGGAAGGTTGACAAGCTGGGCTCGTGCAGCATCAATCTTTTCCAACCCGATAACGAGCTCATCCAAGGAAAGCGCCGCCTGTGCTTGACCGCAGAAACACAGAGGACTAGTGCAAATGATAAACCTGTTGAGACAAACGAGGCGCTGCAGTACGACCGCTTGTTTGAAGCCACGCGTAGATACGAGGACGGCGACATCGAGCATGTCGACTGGCTGGATGCGCTGGCAATGGAGCGCGTGGCCCAAATCGAGGCCCAGGAACGGATAAGGACCAACGACCTCTACATCCACATCACGTTCCCAAAGTTTGATTTTGCTGTTGTCTTTGGAGAGACCAAGCTTGATGACCCACTGGTGATACAGCCTCAGGATCCAAAGTACTGCCTGGTCTTTGACCCAGAGATGTACCGCGACAACCCTGCCGAGAGCAAGCACCGCCGCTTACTGCGTGGATACCGAAGCGGGTCACTGGACCGCGAGCTGAAGCCCAACGCAACAATTAGGGACCAACTCAACTCAATCCTGCGATACCCACCCGGTCAAGAGTTGACAGATAACGAGAAGAATTTGGTGTGGAAGTTCCGGTTCTATCTGTCTTCAAACAAGCGAGCGCTTACAAAGTTTGTCAAGTGTGTCGAGTGGAGCGACCCTATTGAAGCCAAGCAGGCAACGACGCTGCTGTCGGAATGGGCCGAGGTGTCCATAGATGACGCACTGGAGCTTTTGAGCACGGACTTTACCACCCAGTCGGTGCGCAGCTATGCCGTGTCTCAGCTGCGAAAGGCCAAGGACGATGAGCTCATCATGTATTTGCTGCAGCTTGTTCAAGCCATAAAATTCGAGTACTTGAACTCTACCATGGCGCAGGGCGCCGAGACATCCCCAGTCGTGTCAGCCAATGCGGCTGAATCCAGCCTTGTTGGGTTTCTGATTGAGCGCGCGCTGAAGAATCGCACGCTGGGCAACTTCTTCTATTGGTACCTGATGGTCGAGTGCGATGACCGCAAGACAGGCAAAGCATACGGCAAGGTGGTATTCCAGTACGTCAATGCGTTGTCGGAGATGAACGACGGTGCCGATATGCAGTCCATGTTTGAGCGCCAGAGAAAGTTGGTATCGGATCTAGCGCGCATCTCCACTGAGGTGCAGGCGCTCAAGGAGTCGCGACAACGCAAGATTGAGTGGCTGCGCTCGTATCTGGCTGACAGCAAAAACAACCTCGTGTCGTTTCCGCCATTACCTCTCCCGCTCGACCCAAGCGTCGAGGTGGTGGGAATCCAGGCCGACAAGGCGTCGGTATTCAAGAGCACGATGATGCCGCTTTCCTCCACTTTGTCAAGTCTGATGGTGACTTGTACCCAGTCATTTTCAAGGCCGGCGATGACATGCGACAGGACCAGCTGGTCGTCCAAATCATCACACTCATGGATCGGCTTCTGCGCAACGAGAGCCTAGACTTGAGGCTGACGCCCTACCACGTGCTGGCCACTCGGGTTGACCAAGGGTTTTCGCAGTTCATTCCGTCGCAGTCGCTGGCTGCTATTCTTGCTGAGAACAACAACAGTATTCTGGCGTATCTTCGCAATACTAGCCCCGATCCAGAGGGAACCTATGGCGTGGCTGCTGACGTGATGGAGACATACGTAAAGAGTTGTGCCGGCTACTGTGTAATCACATATCTGCTGGGCGTCGGAGACCGGCATCTGGATAACCTGCTGCTGACTCCACAGGGCCACATGTTTCATGTCGACTATGGATACATCTGGGCCGTGACCCAAAGCCCTTCCCGCCGCCCATGAAGCTGTGCAAGGAGATGGTAGAGGCAATGGGCGGCATGGAATCGCTCATGTATCAGAGATTTAAGTCGCACTGCTTTGTGGCGTTTAGCATCCTGCGCAAGTCCTCTAATCTTATCCTCAACCTATTCTCGCTGATGGTCCACTCGAATATCCCTGACATCGCGGTCGCCCCGGACCAGGTCGTGGCTATGGTGCAGGATAAATTCCGCCTGGATCTATCCGAGGAAGAGGCAATGCGCTATTTCCAAACCCTGATCAGCGATAGCGTGCGGGCGCTGTTCCCGCAGGTCATCGAGACCATCCACAAATGGGCCCAGTACTGGCGAAACTAAGAGGGCTAGCAAAGGCAGAATTTCATTGCTTTTTTGTTTAATGCTGTTGATATGAAATTAGACTTTCTTATTGCATTGTAAATTATTTTTTATTTTCAACCGAAAGAGACATGGTGGGCACAGTGGTGACGGCCCTCGTTACATGTGCGCGTGGGGGTCCTCCGGCTGCTGCTCGGGCAGCAGCTTGATCATGTCGTCAATGCGCAGAATGTTGATGGCGGCCTCGGTGGCCGACTTGAGCATCTTGATCTTGGACATGGCAGGCTCCAGGACGCCGGCCTTGACGTTGTCACGGAGCTTGCCTTCGTGGAGGTCCAAGCCGTAGTTCTTGAGCGCGCTTCGAGGCGAGTCGGCGCCAGCGTTCTGGGCGGCCGAATGGTAGGCACGCAGCTTGGCAATAAGCTCGATTGAGTCCTTGGCGGCGTTTACCGAGAGCTGCTTGGGGATCGACAGCAGGGAGTTGGCGAACTCGGCAATGGCCAGCTGCTCGCGCGAGCCCAGAGTGGTGGCAAAGGTCTCGAGGTAGACGGCCAGGGCGGTCTCGACTGAGCCACCGCCGGGCACCACAGCACCGGACTCGAGCACGCGCTTGACAGCGCACAAACTGTCGTGGAAGCTGCGCTCCATCTCGTCCAGCATGTAGTCGTTGGCTCCGCGCAGAATAACGGTCGATGCCTGCTGCTCCTTGGCGCCGCGGATAACAACAATGTCGTCGTCGGACAGCCGCACCTGCTCAACCAGCTCGGCAGAGCCGATGGAAGAGGCGTCGAGGGACTCGTCACCATCAAGGTTGGCCAGAGTGGTGATCAGAGAAGCGCCGGTGCCCTTGGCAATGCGGCGGGCATCTTCCTTGGGCACGCGAGTGACTGTAACAGCGCCAGCCTCGGCAAACATCTTGACGTACATGTCGTCAATGCCGCGGGTGCTGAACACGGCGGTGACGCCAGCTTCAATCATAATGCGAACACGCTCAGTCGAGATGTCGGCCTCGCGCTTCCGGATCGCCTCCAGCTGGTCCGGGTTGTCGATGACAATCTGGACTCCCAGCTTCATGCGTGTCTTGGTAATGTCAAAATCGATAACGGCAATCTTGGGGTTATTCAGAGAGCGTTTCATGCAGCGCTGGTGAACGGACGGTAGAGCGCATAGCCGGTAAAATAGCTGCTCTCGCGTGCGCTAGCGCCCTTGACCTTCAGGATGTTGACAGCCTTAACGGGGTACCGGGGCTTGCCACGGAAGTCCAGCGATTTCACTGCCGACAGCGAGTTGACTGCCATCTCAGCAAAGAAGGTGCCGTAGGCGCCCAGGATCTTGCTCGAAATGGTGGTCATGGCCACGCTGACCAGAGCATCCTTGCCAAGCTTGTCGACCTTGAGCGCCATCTGATCTGCAATAAACTTGCAAGCCTCCTTGCACGCCAGACGGTATCCTGTAATGACTGTGGCCGGGTGAATATGGTTTTTGACCAGCTCGTTTGCACGTCTCAGGAGCTCTGCCGCAATAATCACAACCGATGTGGTGCCATCACCAACCTCTGTGTCCTGCTGCTGCGCAAGCTTTACCAGAATCTTTCCTGCCGGGTGCTCAACCTCTAGTAGCTGCAGAATCGTCGCTCCGTCGTTCGAGATCGTTACATCACCGACATCGTCAACCAGCATCTTGTCCAGACCCACGGGTCCCAGCGACGTTCTGATCACATTCGCAATCGACATTGCCGCCATCACTACAGTTGGTTTGCAAGTCAAGTTTAAATGTACACAAATTAGAATGAAAGGTGCATCATGAAGGAAAAAACAGACACAGATTACTCTGGGTTACATATAAATGGTTTTCGGGTTAACAAGATAAAGCAAGAAAGCAAGCTTGCAATGCTGTTGACAAGTACCGTTCTGTGCCCGCACTTCCTGTCCCGAAACACGCGATCCGCCAATGAACAGGGCCGAGTCCTGGTTGTTTGTATCGAAAATTCCTGACATTATTATTATTGTTGTTCAATTGTAGTGCAAATAAAAAATAAGTGTGAATGAAAAGAAAATAATAGTTGTCTGGAATAATTCAAGCTGTAGCAAATGAACTTGGTGCGAGAAAAAGGGGTATATGTCGGAGGTGCGCGCGACCAACACAAACATACGCGAAATTGCAGCAAAGGTAAAGTTCAATTTGGAACCTGAAAGACGTTTTTTTGTTGTTTGCTTTTTAATGGTTTGTCGGATCAAATAAGCATCGGCTCGGTTCGGCTCGGTTCGGCGCAACATGTATGTATCTTTCAACTTTATTATTTTCAACTCTGCTGCAATAACAACTACCAAATGCCATTTAACATATACCGCAAAGACAACAAAAGAGACAAGCGCTAACGGCAGCACACACGCCAATTTCTTTGGAATTATTCTGAGGAGCAACCACATAATGGTGTGTGCCTTGGCTTTGGTAATATACCTGCGGCTGGGCCGGATACACGTGCTGTCTCTGCGGATACGGCTGCGCATTGGCTGGATAGTACGCTTGGTTTAGTGGTGGTGGCGGCATTGACTGAGCGCCTGTATTGTATGCGTATTGAGCTGGTGTTACTGGTACATATCCATATTTGGGCTGTGAAACGGAAGCTGTATTGGCCTGAGCTATGTTTGTCTGCTGGGCGTTTGGCGGTAATTGGATTGACTGGTATTCAGGGGGAGGCCGCGAGTACCTATTTTTTTATCGGTTTTATTAGGCTGCATATTTCAAGTTCCAGATATATTGATACACAATGATAGTAATGGAAGTATATATTTTTTAAAAAATAAATAAATAAATGTGAAAATGTAAAGGAAAATGCATGTGTCTGTGAAACAGTTGCATTCTAAAAATAAAAAATGGTGAACATGTGAGGCGTTCTCTGGGAATGGCTGCCTTGCATTGTGATTTTATCCCTCTCAATTGTATTTTTATTGTTGTCAGTGCCCTGTTTAAAGTGCAGAGAATACAATACAAAAGCACTTAACACAAGACAACTGCATGTGGCACGCAAAATATTTACAAAAACAATAGATATTATAAGGAATTTAGGGAGGGAAATTATTACTTGAATTTATTTGAAAACATTTTGTTTAAAAAAAAGTGTTTAAGCTAAATAAATAAATTAACTGCAGCCGCAGCATAGAACGCTAGTTATGCAACCGCAGCAGAACCACCAACAGCAGCCGTGCTTTTTCTCGGGTTCAATATTGTTCCCCGCATTGCTTGCCTTGGAAACCTGGGTAGTATTGACGATTCTAGATCCTGGCTTGCGCATTCTTGAAATGGTTTATACTTGTAGTAAGGTATGAAGACGTGTAAAAACAAAAGTTTTGGCTTGAAAATAATACAGCAAAATACAGAAAAAGAGTACAGTAATTAAATTAAATGTGAATTGTGTTAAAATAAAAAACAAACTTAATTCGTGTACTTGCTCCAGCAGAGCAGGAATTTATAGCATCCGCGAAACGCGCAATTGTGTGTTTCCTTTAATTTTTTATCTGGTGTTAGCGTTTTTGCGACCAACTTTTGTGCCAAGGTTGTTTTGATTTTAAAAAGAACAAGCTTAAAATAATTGTAAAAAGTGGCATTTTCTTTATACTTTCATTTTGAAAATAAAAGCGCGTTCAAAGCCACAATCAATTATATTCTATTTTAAAAAAGAAATGCCAATTTCTTTGACAGACAAAAGTGGGCTTTCAATTTTTTTTCAAAAAAAAAAATGCAAAAGGAAAGTGCAAATTGCACTGTAACAAATCATCAACTCCCTGCTTACAGACCTGCGGCCTTCCCATTTTACGCGCAAAAGGGCACCATTCGAGTCGGGTGAACCCGAGTCTATGGCGACGCCCAAGATCTTGGCTGAAACTTTGCCCAGGCCCAAGCCTCTCATTGCAGGAAGCAATGAAATGATTAATATCGTCAACTATAGTGGGCTATTGTCTCTAGTTTCTAAGCAAATTCTGGGTTGCCATGCAATCAGGATGGAAATATGGCAATTTGCAGGATACCTTTTAGATATTTGTAGTTTCATCTTTTTTCTTCAATCCATACCATACCATAGCGACAACACATGGACACATTACAAACTATGCTGAAAATTTGTACAAGAATAAAATATAAATTAATTAATTAAATGTAAGAATAAATCAATCATGATTGATAGGCTGCAAGTCAAACTCCTTGACCAGGTCCTCCTCCAGATCAACACTGTACTCGAGCACCATCGGAATTTGTGCCTCCTCAGCACTCGGGAATGGTGCCTGGCCCTCATCAAAGTTGGCCACCCGCCAATTGCACACAATCTGACCCGCACGATTCGGCACCTTGAGTTCAACCACCACGGGTGCGCGCTGCGGATCAAAGAGCGTCTCGGGGTAAATCAACATTTCGTCCTGGTCGAGCGACATTGAGTATTCTGTGGATCCGGGCGGGCGCCAAAGTACCTCGACCACCATGCCTCGGCCGCGGTCAGCCAGGAAGCGGAGATAAACAAAGCGACTGCGAGGGGTGCTGCTCGTGTCAGAGTCGCCACCGCCACTGGGTTTATGTGAATCGCGCTTGAATCCAAACCAATTGGCATACCCGAGCTGCGGCGTGCTCATGGGGCTCGCTGTGGGGCTGGGCATGGGACTGGACGTGGGGGCGACATCGTAGGTGAATGTGTGCCGCGTGTTCGTATATGACAACTGAATCTGGTATCTGAGATTAGTGTATGCTTTGCGCGGCAGATCCGGATAGTTGCGCATAGGGACGCTGGGTACGCAGCCACCAGGCATATGCGAGCACCTACAGGAGCCGCCCAAAAAGCTGGGCAAGCTGTCTGCGGAAATCTGGCTGAGCAGCTCCTTGGAGTAATCCTTGCCCAGAATACGGACTTTTGAAATGACCCGCGGATCCAACCAACCCTTGATCAGCTTCCATGCAGTGACAAACATCGCCGGGGCGTTGACAACGTACGTGAGGTACATGCATTCCGGGTAAAGCAGCTGATCCTTGGCAAGCATCTCGCGCAGCATGTTCAGCGCCGGCAAATTCGAAAGCATGCCGATGGAGATTGCAGCCAGGTCAAACACCACAACCTGCTTCGAGATCTCCCTGCCAGCCTGCTGCGAACATTCGGGGAAAATCGTACGGCTGATGAACTCCTGCATCAGGTAGTGGAACTCAAAAAGCTCACCCATTGTGCACATTTTTGGGATTGATTTGATCTTGTAGTGCCCAATGCGCTCAATATATACCGGGTGCCCCTCCTTGTCGCGCTTGTGCCAGCATCCGCCGCCAAAAAACTTGTTGAGCTTGAGCTGTGACTCTTTCACCTGTACGCCGGCCGTGAGATTGGCGTCGGCCACTGAGAGATAGCCGCGAATAGGATAGGGGGCCGGATACGAGTTGTCGGGCTGGCATACCTGCAGTTCATCCAAGCACGAGTCCTTGCGCCATTGGTACCACTCTTTGATCATAGCTGCTGACTTTTCCTACAGACAACAAAAATAATTATAAAAAAAGATGCAAGAGGTCGAGAATATTATTACTGCGTCCATATTATTTTCTGTTCTTGAATTTAATAAGCCTCTCTTTTTCGCATACTAGTATATAAAACGCACGAACAAGCGAGCGAGTGGCAGTACTTACAGTGTCCAGCTGGCGCGCGACGCAAAATCTCCAAACATCCTATATAATAAAAATGATAGTCACAAAAAACAGGTTATTTTGAGATAAAGGTGGGAAATCAAGCAGGAATTTTTGGTGGGGCGAGGAAGAGCTTTGATATAACCTGAAAATGAAAGGAAAAATATATCAATCCGAAAATCAAGGGGGAAAGGGAGCAGCAGTGGTGATGGCAAAATGCAAATAAAATAATCCACAAAAAAAGAAATTTGCTAGCATATTATATTCTCGAAAGAATAGATGCTCTGTAGGCAAATGTCGTGCTTGGTCAAAGAATGACGGTATCCGACATTTATCAAGCGAGACCGTATGCATTGTTTATAAATTCGTGTGTGTGTTTCATACCGAGTCAGTGCAGTAAGCGTTAATTTCTTCTGATATGACGGCGCGCAAGTTTTCAACAGCCAAGCTCTTCTGCTCTGGCGTCGGGTTGTCCAGGTCGATTGTCGCTGTGGTTCCAGTACTCATCTGTAGATAGAGTTGTGTGTGTATGTGTATAGTCGTTACGTTTATGTGCAGAAAAGTAAGAAATAAAAAATAAAAACTGTATGAAAGGAAAGAAAGGGATGAAAAAGAAATGGAAAAGTGTATTGCGTCGTACTACGTAAAAGTGAGCAAAGCAAAGTAAAAAAACAGCTCCCTTTTTTAATAAATGAATTCGAAACGAAGGAAAAAAATAAACCCAAAGCCTTGGAAAAAGGTATAAAAGTGTAGTTTTCTTAAGTTTTATTTTAGAAAGTGTATGCCAAAAATTTCTATGAAAAATAGAAATGATACAGAAAAAAAGCTATTGAGAAAAAATTCTAAAAAAGCAGGCGGAGAATGTTCCACTTCACATGGACTTTTGCTTTCCTCAACGGGAAAAAAGTTAAAAAATTTTTTACTCATTTTCCGCCAATGCTTGCTTGAGTTCCACCAACACACACCGCTCAACAGCTGCCATCTCATCTGACAGCGACAAAGCCATGGCGTCCAAGGAGATCATCCCCACTACCAGCCCCTCCCATGGCCATATTTGACCCAACACCATGCAACGAAACAAATACAGGTCGCTTAAACCTAGCCGTCAATCTCCGAGCAATATCCGCCGTCGGGTCATCCGCATTGCCGCCGATGATCTGAGATGCACTGGCACGGGCGGGCGGTCTAGGAGGCATGGCCAGGACCAGGTTACTGAGTGTGCCGCTGTTGGATTTTACTAAGGGTGTGAGGAAAGTTGGGCCCAGGTCCAGACCATGCCGGTTTTACCGTACGTCATCACCAGAGTGTTGATGAAGGTCGAGGTATTGGTAGTGGATTGGGCAGTGGCGTCGGAGAGACGCGTTGCTGCGCATGTCAATGGGTCAATGGCGTAGGTGGCCTGCTGGATGTTGAAGCGCGACTCGGCTGGAATAACTGTGCAGCTGCTGACCTGTGGTAAAGGCGATGGTGAGGACAGCATCATATGACCAATTATAAAATGCAAAAAAAACTGTAAAGGTTTAAATTCTTAAAAAAAACTAGACTGCAGCCCTTCTGGACTGCCTTGTGTTCAATGCCAAAAAAATTGCTGCTGGGTGAGCCAGGAATATAGATCCAGATATCAGTTGATGGGTATTATCCACGTGAGCCAGAGTAAATACAATATTCACTATGTAAAAATAAATCAATTAATAAAAAATTGTAGGAAGAAAAATGCATTGTAATTCCTTCACTTTGAAACCAGGAACCGGAATCCAATGGCGCCCAAAATAGTGCCAGCGGCAAATCCCACAGCGGCATTAATCAGGGACTCAGATCTCAGCTGCTTCCTAATCACATCCTCCTTGGCCCTTTCCTCAGCCTCCACCGCCCTAATCTCCTTTCGGAAAGCACGCGATCCTTGACATAATACCTAGCAAACAAGTCATTCTGCACCCAAAAGAACTTATTATAGGCATTAACAATATCATCCCTAACCTCCTCATCCCACTCATCGCACTTCTGCAATGCACCTACAACCACAGCAGCAACATATCCGAACAGCGCATTAATGTGAATATACTCCACATTAATTGTGGATTTCTTCAATGGCGTAGTCGTGTGGATATGACCGACCCAGTCGAGATACTTTAGGTAGGAGAGGTTCCATTCGGAAGTGACGAGTTTCTTCAGGTACTTTGTCAGCATGGTTTTGCGGAATGTAATGACTCGGAGCCCATGGTTACTTGGTTGGCTTGTTTGCTTGCTTCATCTTGTTTGGCTGGAGTCCTCTTGTTCTTGTGCAAAATGGTTCCAGGTTATGTCATAATTGGAGAGTTGTCGTAGACTGCATCAACGATGGTGGGGACGAGTCCGCCGACTACGGTGCCAGAAAGTTGGATAAGCTCTGGTCCGCTTACTGAATCCAACAAACTGTGAAACGTAGTCAAAGCGGTACTGCAGGTCGGTGTACAGGCGATCGTGGTCAATGGTTTGCATGTTTTTTTGAATATAAAAGGAGTAAAGTTTTTTAATTGGTTTGTGCAAACAAAAAATAGAAATATATGTAAAGTAGATAAGATGAAAGAATATATTTATTTGTATGAAATTGAAATTAGAGCACAAACTTCCGTGGTTCCCGTTTTATATACAGCCAAAGATAATGTGGGTGCGAAGAATCATGCCATTCGATGAGGGAAAAAAAATTTCATGACAGTAAGAATGTGGGCTGATTTCGTGTGAAGAATCGAGTCACTTTTCTTTATTATTTTTAGTCCCACCAGAGGATTTGCGCATCACTTGGCTTCATTGTTTTTTGCCGAGTCAAGCGATGAAAAAAAGATTCTCTGGCGGATCTCTGCACAGTATATTAAATAAGGGCGTTTAAAACGACTGTAAAGCCAGTTGGCTAATAATATGAATAAATAAATAAATTTAGGGTAAGCAAAATTTCCTCTGATCACTCCTCTTGCTCATTGGCCACACCCACTGCAACCGGGGGCGTTGAGCTCCTCTCGCTAGAGCTATCCTCCTCATCCTCAATCCCCACAAGCTCATTCTTCATAGCCATAGTTTGCTTCTTCACATCAGGCGGCAAGTCTGACGAATACCTCAACGTAATAGTCGGTGTACTCTCAACAATATCCACGTTGCCATGGCCTGCCAAATGAAGCTCATCAATCTTCAGCTTGGCTAACAATGGCTGCCGATGATGCCCAGAAGCAGGTGTGCCGGTTTCGGAGCCTCTCGGCCTCGCCACAACATTAGTCAATTCGGGAGAGTTCCCGGCTTCACCCGCGTTACTGTCACCGCTCTGCATCCGGTGCATCTCGAACGACGTTGCAAAGTCGCTGGGCGACAGATAGACGGGAGAGCCCTTCCGTGGGTCAAACTGCCCCGGGTGGCCGTGCGGTACGAGGTCAGGCGACGGCACGCGCGAGTTTTCCCGCGTAATAACGGGACTAATCTGCGATGGCCACATATGGCCGGCATGCGAAGAGTCGCAGGAGCCATGGTCGTGGCCGCCAGACACCGACAGTCGCGAGAGCTCGCCCCGGATAGCCGACGGCACTGACGTTGACGCAGCGGCCACCGTTTGGAACGCCGACCGGATGGCCGCAGAGTCAGCCTGCTCGTTCTGCGACACGGGCGGGGGCGTAGCCAACAGGGGCATCTCGGCAGCGTCCTCTTTGGCACTCACACTGGGTCCATCCTTCTTGGCCATCAGGTTTATAATAGCAGTGGTCTCCAAGGACTGCGCCGGCGCAGAACCGCAAGTCTGCTGGCCGAGTCCCACCGCACTAGGCTTGGAGCTCAGCGAGCGACTGGGCGTTTCGCTCGTCAGCCCACTGACGCTCTTTGCTGCGCTCGTCGCCCGCTTGACAGCAGCCTTGGGCTTAGCGCGGTGCGTGTCGACAGCATCAATGTCGATCTTATACGTTTGTACGTCGCAGCCATACGCTGTCCACGTCAGTTTCATCACGGTGTGCAGCGGGATCTTCAGGTAGGGGAGCTCCTCGAGCTTGATGTCCAAAAAGTACGCATAGATGCAACGCAGCACGGCCTGGTGCGAGATTATCATGATATTCTGCTGGCGTTCTAGTTCCATGATGACTGGCTCCAGTCGCAGGACCACGTCCCGGTATGATTCGCCGCCGCGGTAGCGGAATTCAAACTTGTTTTCGTCTCGCATGGCGTACTCATCGGGTAGCGATCCTGAACATCCTCATACGTCAGCCATCGCATAGCCCGGCGTCCAGCTCGTCCAGCGCCTTCCATTGCATCTTCTTGTACGGCAAGCCGCAGCAGTCTCCGCCGTGCGCTTCAAAGTCGATGTCCAGATAGTCAGCGGCTGGTCGCCCAGTAGCTTAGAGACCAGTCCAGGCAGCGCTTCAGCGTATTTGCGCCCATTGGGGCTGAGATGAGGGTCGCCGCCTAGCCGCTGGTCCAGGTTGTACATGCTCTCGCCGTGGCGACTGAAGAACACCGATCGCGTAGCTATGTGGATGTTCATCATAAAGTAGATTATGCGCGACTCGAGGTAGCTCGTGATGCGGTTGATGACTATCTTGGCGCCGACGTTGATCTTGCGCACGTACGAGACCATCCGCTCGTCGTACTCCTCCAGCGTTGGGTTCGTCGGCGGCAGCTGATACTTGCCCTTGGCCAGCGGCCGAGTGCCGTCGCCGCCCACCGGCTCGTACACTTCGCTGTAGTGGTCGATCCGGCTGTGGAAGTCGTCCATCACGCGCTGGACGTCCTGCACGCCCTTGTAGTCGGGGCTTGTGCGCTTGACCTCGCGGATGTTGAGGTCAATCAGGTCGTTGTCGTCGCACCAGCTCTCGCAGAACATCACTTCAATGTTGTGCTTTTGACACTCATCCAGGATCATCTTGCGCCGTGACCGCGTCGAGTTTGTCGCATCGTAGATGGCCACGCCGTTGTGTATGGCCTCGAACCACCGGAACACGTCATTCAGCGCCATCATTGCGCAGTTTAGCCGCTGGTCGGTTGCCACCTGGTTGTGCGGGTCAAAGAAACTGTGGTCGAGCTGTGCGCCGACAATCGTGCGCCGGTACTCGCCGACATTGAACACGCGGCAGTTGACGCCGAGCCACACGAGATACCGCGAAACTACAGATTACAATAACAACTTTTTAAGGGTGATGAGATCGGGGCAGTTGATTGGTGTTGGAAGAGCTTGGCCTTGGCCGATTGGCATGTAAGTCAATAGAAATCGAGATGGAAGTTCATCGTCGTCGTGTCCGGATACTGGGCATTTGAGGTAGTGCAGAGCGAATATAGAAGAAAGCGTATGTTTGTTGGGTGCGTGGATGGGAAGAGGAGTGCGTGACTGCGGGCAATCACTGCTGGAAAGTTGGGGGGGGGAGAAGGCAGCAAAGTGCAGATACACATGAGCAGATATGGCGATAAGGCCCGCGGTATTTCAAACAAAAAATGGCATGGTACCTCAGCCATTGCACCGGGGATTCACGGATGCTCAGCTGGGGGTTTGCTTATCTCTTGGGAACTCTCTGTTGCATTGCATGCGAAAAGCAGTACGCATATAGATGCATGCGCTCACACACAATGTAAGAAAAGAACCCACGTGGAAGATGGCCTGTGCATATTTTCCAGCACCCTTTTTTTAACCGTCTAATCTCTCCACACGCATCCTCCCCAAAAAAAGGGTGAGAATAAAAATAAGAGAGATAACCGAAGAACGTACCTTTGTATGAGATATAGGTTTTGCCTCTAGCGGGCAGGCCGACCATCTACAGCGCAAAAAGAAAATAATGAAGAATCTGTTTAGCATAAAAAAATTGCAGTTTCGATTGAAAAATAGCTAGCAAAAAAAAACAGTCACAGTCACATACGCATACGCATGACAGCTCTGAGCGTATAAATAAGTGGAAAAAATAGTTTGTGCGAGTGAAGCTCCGCTCACTTAAATGCTATTCTACTTACAACGACCACAATCCGAGTACCACCGGCAAGCATTGTTTAAAAGGTATATTAGTGTGAAAAAACAAAAAGTTGAATGTTTAAAATAATATTTTTAATGTGAATTGAATTGAAGGTGGAAATAAAAAAGTGGAGGAAAAGAAAGAGGATTGTTTGAACCAGGAAAAAAATAAAAAGTTAACTGTTCAATCGAGAAAATAAAAAAATCTGGACAAGGGGGTATAAAAGTATGTGTTCTCGTGAAACCAGACAAATCACAAAAAAAAGGCTATGAATTGAAAATCCGAAATTCTCTTTGAAGAGGAAAATGGCTCAATATATACTCCGAAAAAAAGAGAGAGGGAAAGAGGGAGGAGAGAGAAATGGAAGAAGGCCTGGGTTGATGGAGAACACGAGTCACTTGAGCGCTGACTGCCATCATGCCAAAAATAAATGAAAGAAATTTAACATCAACTGTAAAAAAATTACTCGTGCATTTTTTTGAAGGAGCTTGAATCAAGTATAAAAAACAAACTTATTTTTTATTCTAAAATCAAAATGATCCACATTGTTTCTGGCCCAGAATAGAAGGAACAGAAGGCAAAAAAGAAGGAAAAAATAAACATGTTTTCTTTTTGGGCACAGGTGTGACCTTACAACCTCTATTTTTTATTGGAAAATGTATGCGCGTGTCAAAATGGAAATTTTTAATGGTCAGCCGACAGAAAAAAATGAAAAAAGACATTTCATTTATTTTTTACATTGTATTCAATTTTATTTCTCGAAGCGCTAGAAGGTCCCGAGCTGAAGCAAATTACAAGACGTGATCATACCGACAACATCAGCAGCAACTGCAATATGAAGAGCATTCTCTAAATAAAAAATGTGTTGATAAAAAATATAAAAATGAATTAAACAAAAAACCCAAACCAAACCAAACCAAATCAAACCAAACCAAACCATACCATACCATACTATTCAATACTTTGGTTCATCCACCACTTTGTCTCTAGCCAAAGCAGCAGCCGACGACTGAAGCATCAGACTCTCCCTTGTTGGCTTCGCCATCTGCGACCTCCTCACAGTCTGCACGTCATCCGGCAAAGCAACCACAATCGACCGATCCTGACCAAACCTAAAGTTATCAGCAACTACAGTATCCTTATACTGCTTAATCTGATACGCGTCTCCACTCCCACCTTTTCTCAGCGCCTTGTGCAAGTTCCAAGTGATGACAAACGGACCGGTACTTGTAACAATGGTCCTCTCTGACCCTGTGCGTTAGGCGTTTGGTTGAATTTCGCTGGGGTAAAGCAGATTGGCGCGTCCATGTACACGACATGCTCGGGCCTGAGCTGCAGCCGGCGGGGGGAGGGCTTTTGGCTCTGCGGGAATGCCTTTTGGAACCCGGTTACCAACTTGTCCGTGTCAAGTGAATTTGCGGCAGCAGGTGTTGACTTTTTCTTGGAAGCATTGGAGCCAGGGCTGGAGGGGGGGAGCTTGGTGTCGATGAGGAGGAGGTAGGTCCGCATGTGGCCACAACGTATCTACCGTCGGACGTCACGTCGATGCCCAGATAGGCTCGCCCAGGGCTGGCAGTGAGGTCTTTGCACGTACGCACAGGCGGTCAAACAGGCGGATGGCTCCATTGGCGCTAGCAACGGCAATAGCGCCGTCCTCGGTCGTCGCCAGGGCAGTGAAATGGCTCTTTGTCGTATACGACTGCAGCTCTTTCTGCACAATCAAATCACCCTGGTTTCCGCCACCGCCCACGCGCGGATCAATCCGGTACAGCATATTGTGGCTCAGCCCGACCACCGTCTGATTATCAGTCATCTGGCTGTACTTGGAGCTAGGCGCAATGCACAATGTGGGGATATCCTCATGCACCTTCCACTCCTCAACAACCTTGCCGTACTCCAGATCCATCTTGTACAGGCGTGCGGATTGGCAGCGTCACTCAGGATTAGTGCCGAGTCCTGTTGGTGGAGCATGGCTGAGGTGGGCGTGAACCTATTGCCGCGTGTGTCGTCAATCTTGTTAATGGTCGTGTCAAACTTGATCCCGTCCTTGTTCGTGTGCTTGAAGACACCGATGCGGCTGCCGCGGACAACAAAGGAGCGCCCGTGCTTGTATCCCACGGCGAGCGTCGAGTTCTTGGCGTCGCCATCGTTGTCGTGCTCGGCCTCGGACCCACTGTAGTCATCATCCTCAGACCCAGTGCCGTAGGCGGAGCGTTCGTCCTTGGAATCCTCCTCAGAATCCTCAGAATCCTCCTCAAAGTACTCAGACTTTGATTCCGCTCCGTACTGGCCTGTCTTGACACCCTTGGGCACAGGCACTCTCCTATATGATTGGTCGACTTCATCCTCGTCCTGGCCCTCGTCGTCGTCATCGTCATCGTCATCGTCATCGTCATCGTCATCGTCATCGTCATCGCTCCACTGCGCGGGCACAGGCATAGCATCCAGGTCTTCCTCATTGGCATCCAGGACGTAGTCCTGCGAATCCTCCTTCATCTTGCCCCACGGCTCGCGGCTCAACGTCTCGTACGCGGCCTTGGTCATTCCCTGATGCAGGGACTCGTAATGCCTCTCGTCGGCGGCCTTGAACGAAAACGAATAAGAGCCTGTGGAGTCAAAGTAGTTCCAGATCAACGAGCGGTGTTCGTTGTTGAAAACAGCGTTCATATCAGGATCCACCAGCTGCGACACGTAGTTTTTCCTGTTGGAGATGACGTTGATGAAGTACGTGAACTTGGACATCTCGACAACCGACAGGGCTACTTCCTTATCCAGGAGCACGAATTCAGAAGTGTGGGGGTCGAAAAGGAAGAGGCTGCCGATAACGGAAACGGTGATTATGCCCATTGCCAGTGCGGCAGGCTCCTTGGGCTTCCGGAGAGGCGGCTGTTGCTTTACCAGCGTGAGATCAGGCTTGTGATCGGCAACTGCGGCCAGAATGTCAGACTCGTCGATGGTCACGCTGTTCAACAGATTCTCCAGGTCCTCGGCCTCCGCATCATCGACAATCTTCTGAAACTCTGCCTCCTCCCCTTCCTCATACGACCTCTCATGCATACGTTCCCACGCGCACTTGGCAACAGCCAAAGCAAACTTGTCTCTCACCACTTTATCACTATCCGTAGGATACTCTACAATAAACTCAAACCCGCCACCCACAGTGGCACTCAAAGGATCTCTCCATTTGAACCCCAAGTGGCCCTCATACTTGGTATTGATGAATTTGAGTCCGACATCAATGAGGAATGCGCGCTCGTCGTCTAGCTCGTCGTCAGAGTCCTGGGGCTCTTCGCCTTCTTCAATGACTTTTTGCACAACTAGTTGGAATTGATGCGGTATTTTGGTGCGGCGGATGGAGATTTCGGCGTCTTTGTAGAGACAGACTCGGGTTACTTTGCTGCCTGGCGGGTGCAGTTCGTAGAGAACACCGGTGGTGAGCTTTAGGTTTTCGGGTGATGGGTTGCTCTTTGAGAACAGCGAGCGTACGAATTTAATCTTATTCATCATTGCCGAAATAAAAAAATACAAATAAAAAAGTAATTAAAACAAAAGGCGAAAAAGCTACGTGGCCAGTGAAAAAAAACTGCCCATTTTTTTGTGTTGAATAAAATCGTCATCATCGTAAAAAGAAAAAGGGGAGAAAAATGAATGAAATTAGAGGCCAGGTGGACAAGGCGGTGATCTCAGATCAAAATAAACAAGATCAAAGTCGTAAAAAAATTGTAACATCGGTTGACAGGAACCGTTCTTTGTGCTCTGCATTGGAAAACCCCCCCCTATTGGAAAGATAAACAGCACATACAGCAACAACAACAAAATAACTCAGCTCACACACCCCGGTCTGCTGAACCAGGTTTTTCATTTTATTTTTCGTTTTGTTCAACTTTTGAATTTTTATCTTTATTTATTTAGGACATTCTGCATTTACCACTAAAAGAATCCACCTATTGAGAGTTTGGGAAGAGAAAAAAAGGAGGTGTTTTTTTGGGGAGTTGCTTTCTTAGAAACACAGAATTCAAACACAAACATATTTACAAAGAACAATACACAAGGGTATGCGGCTACTATGGCGAGCAGCTCCTCGATGTCTTGACAATCCACTTGCATGGCAGATCAGATCACTCACATCGGAACATGATATAAACAGCAGAGCCAAAACACGATCGACAGGCTCGTCAGCAGCAACATCACAGCAGCAACAGCAACATAAAGATGAACACAGTCCCGAAAACAACAACAGCAGCAGCAGCAGCAGCAGTGATCCCTGGAGCCACCATCTCTCGCACTCCCAAGCAACCGAGATGGTGTCCCAATACGACAAATTACATACCAACTCGCAGCACACGCTATCTCTGGGCAAAGGCATGCCGTCATCAGTGATGCGGCGACTGGACATTATGTTTTTCAGCGATATCCGGCGACGGCGACAGCGGCATGGGCGGCGAGCACGCGTATTGGCAGTTCTTTCCGAGCTGCGACTGCTGATCCAGACCCAGACCGAGGCAGAGGGCGATCGCAGCGGCCGCGTGTTCCGATACCTGGATGAGCTCAACCGGCTATACGTCGACGTGCTACAGGCTGACGCCCGGCCATTGCGGCTACGTGCAGGAAGCAGCGTGACTCTGCAGCAATACAGGGCCGGAGGAGAAGACGGGGACAGCATGACACTGGCTGTTGGCAGCAGCACAAGGCCCCAGGTGGCCGTGCGTATGGCCGAGTATGATCGCGGCCGGGCCGGCGCCCCCGCACTGCTATGCTCGCTGTACGCCAAGCAGGAGTTGCGGCAGCAGCGGCGAGCGGGAGCCAACAGCAGCATTGACACCGTTGATCCCGTAAAGCCCAGCTGGGTCGACTACCTGGTTTCGGACCTGGCACCCGCCGAGGCGCGCGCGCTCTTTACGCTGGTTTCGCGCAGCAAAGTGCCCGATAACACATCGCAGCTGCTGCGCGCAGCGGCCGAAGAAGCGCTGGTGTTTGCGCTCAACCGCCATGGCGCAGCGCTGGAGCCGTTGCAGAGCATGCGCGTGTGCATGTACTTTCTGCGGCGCCAGTGCGGGCACGCACAGGTCCGCCAGCTGCAGCGCGTATGGGAGCTGGCCGGCGACAGCATTGAGGCGCAGCAAGCGGCCGGCAGCAATTCGCTGGGCGACTTGCGGTTCAAGCGGTGGAACAACGTGGCATCGCAGCTGCTTGTCTTTCTCAGCGGCCCTGGCAACGATGTGCCGGGGGCATGGCGGCTGCTGGCGCACTGGCACACGGTGTGGACGCGCGTTATGCGCAGGCTGTGTCCGGTGGCGCGGCGGCCGGATGACGCGCCGGATGGGCTGCGCTTTCCCTACTGGCGCGCCAAGCGGCCCGGCACTATCCGGCTGCATGACCTGACGCTGAGCTCGCCGGCTGTTACCCGGCTCTTGGCCGTGCTGGTGCGCGACAACCATATGGCCTGCGCGCTCGAGCTCCTGGGCATTGCCACGTCCGAGGCCGGCGTGCGACTATGCGTGTCACCGTTCAATGTGCTTCTGCGCGGCATCTCCGACCGCGACGCCTTGCAGCCGGCGCCCAGCGGATCCCGGCGTACGCGCTGCCCAGCCTGGCCTCGCAGCTGCCGCTGCTGGCCAATAGCCGGGCGCTGACCGCCTACGCCCTGCCCTCGGACCCGGCAACGGACCCGGCAGCGGACCGGCCGACCGCGCAGATGCTCTTGCTTTTGCGCGCGATGATGCGTTGGCGCTTGGAGCCCGACGCGTGTACGCTGGGGATTATCGTTCGCTTGTGCTGCCGCGCTGGCGATTTGCGCGCGCTGTGTGCGGCGCTGAGGCTGTTTGCTGCTACCTGGCGCGTGCGGCCGTCGGAGCACTGTTGGCGCATTATTGATGAGGCTGGAATGTATGATGATGCTCGGTTGTATTTTGAAAACAAGGTTGAGCCGCTGCTATTGTCTGCAAAGTCAAGCGCTGTACATTATTGATGAATGCTGTGCATTGATGGATGAATGCTGGTCCACCTCACCTCACCCCGCCTGCCAGCCCAACCCAGCCCAACCCACCCAACCAGTTTTTTGCCAACAATAGAAAAAGCAAATTTTCTGCTCCCATGCCAACATGTGTAAATAGTAAATGCGCCCTATATAGTAGCACAAAGGGGGAGAAAGAGCGCTCAGAAAGAACAGTGCATACATGCTTTTTCGGGCACAAGCCTTTCTTTCTCCTATTTTCTCTTCTCTCAACTCTTTTTCCTGTTTTATTCTCTCAACTGTTTCATTCACTCTCCAAATTCCAACCACCAAAATACACGCTTGAACATGTTTGGGTTCGACGCCCACAAAACACGCAGCGGACAGCCACGCACGCGCCGAAGCCGCCTGATAATCTCATACATCCCCGACTACTTGTTCTCGTGGTAATGGCCATAGTCTGGAGCCTCATGTCCAAAATCGAACCCTTTGAGCGCGACTTTACGCTGACCAACAAAACCATCCAATACCCGCACAAACCCGACTCTGTTCCTTTCTACGCCGCCGTGTAATCTGCTTTGTCGCCCCACTAATAATAATCGTCCTATGGACTGGTCTCCTCAAACGGTCCTTCCACGATATGAACTCTGGGTGCTCGGTCTGTGCATCACTTTGGTCCTCAACATGATGATCACAAATACCGTCAAGAATCTGGCAGGCAGGCACCGCCCGGATTTCATCTCGCGGTGTAATCTGGATACCACCAATGCCCAGACACTGGAGCCCTTCATCGGGCTCCTTACTACAAAGGTGTGCCGGCCGGAGGACCATAAGGTGTTTTTGGACGGCATGCGCAGTTTCCCATCGGGCCACACATCGTTTTCTTTTGCCGGCTTGACGTACCTTTCCCTGTGGCTCGCCGGCCACATGCATATTGGGGATAGGCGTGGCCGCGCTTACAAGTCCTTCATAGTCTTGGCGCCAGAGCTCGTGGCATGCTTATCGGTGTATCGCGCACGAAGGACTACCGCCACCATTGGCAGGATGTCCTGGCCGGTGCTATTCTCGGTTTATTCATGGGCTGGTTCGGCTACCGCGAGTACTACCCGTCTCCATTGAGTGACACGCAGGACCCGTGTGCGCCGTATCCGCCGAGAATCCCCGAAAACGAGTGCGATCATGAGGGTGGACCGGAGTACGGGATGAAGCAGTTTACTAATGTGGCTAGCTCGAATCCCACTGTTTCGGCAGCGGCGGCGATCGCGGCTCAGGCGCCCGGGCGGCGAGGGCTTCGGGATCTATTTACTCGCAGTACTACCAGTCAAACAGCAACCCAACGCGCCGGGCCAGGTGCACATCAACCCCAACGGCATACCCAGCAGAGATTCTCTGACATCGTCGACATACCAGCGGCATAAAGTTTCTTGCTTTTTTTCAAACATTTCTATTAATCATAAAAAAAATTATTTATTAAACTACCGCTTGCTGTTCTTATTGTTCTTCTTGCCATTGGTGTTGATGCTCAGAGGGCCGATGACTCCCGTGACGCGACGCAAGGCAATCAAGTCGGTGACAATATCGTCCTCACCAATACCTTGCATACTGAACGCCTGATTATTCTTCCTCTTATTCTGAGCCCTACCGCCACCCACTCCGCCAGCAGCTCCCCCGGCACCAGCGCCAGCCCCCGCGCTATTACTCGAGCTACTCATAACCAGCCCATCCCAAACCCGCCAAGCATCTGATCAATCCCGCGCTTCCTCAAATTCCTCTTCGACGACGTTCTCGACCCAGCCTCAAACACAAAATCAAAACTAATATCCAACGTATCCTTCTCCTCCCGCAACCGCCTCCTACGCTCATCAATATCCGCCGCAACCTTGTCGTAGATACTCTGCTTTTCCGCCGCATATACCCTCTCTGCCGCATCCCTCTCCTGTTTATACGCACGCTCGTACAAGTCCACTAGGTACCTGTGGCTTTGCTCGGCAGCCGCCAATGTGCGATCGCGCTCAGCAGCTAGGCGGCTGAGACCCTCGAGGAAAGCCGGGTAGGTGCCACGAAGAATCTGAGAAAGTTCGTTTTGGATCTCTTCGGCCTTTACCTGGTATTGACGCTCTTCTGATTCGAATGCTTCACGGTCAATTTGCTGCAGACGTTCGGATATCTTGGTTCTCAGTGGTTGGGGTGCGCTCTTGGACTGGACTACTACGGATGCTTGCTGCTGTAGGGGTTGTGCAGCTAACGGTGGATTCGCATATGCGTGATGGTGATGTTCTTGTGAGGGATAATTGTTCCAGTCGTAGGCTGAGGAAGCAGGTGGGCGGTGGGTGGCTGTGGCAGTGGTGGCTGGTGGGAGTATCCTGCTGCGTGGTGGTGTTTGTGTTGGTTGTGGTGGTTGTGTTGGTTGTGATGGGATATGTGCGGTGATGGGGCGTTGTTTGGCGCATAGCGTGAGGAGGGTGCCGGAGTAGAGCGGGAAGTGGGAGAGGAGGTGCCGCCATTGTCTCCAACGTGCTTGTGGATTTGTATCCTGGTGGTAGTGGTGCTGCCGCGGTTGGTTGTGGTGCTGGCTGTGGTGGTGCTGCTGCTGCTGGTGCTGGCTGGTGCTGGTCTGGTGCTGATGCTGATGCTGCTGGCGGTGCTGTTGCTGTTTATGGTGGTGTTGGTGTTGGTACTCGTCCATAGGTAATTTTAATAAATGGAAAAGAAAAAAGAAGGAAAAAAGAACCTTTTTATAGTTATACTTGTTGCGTTGCGTTGATAAAGGAAAATTGACAGCAGGAAAAAATAAAGCAAAGCAAAGAAGAGCAAGAAAATAGAAAACACTTGTGCTCTCTTTTTTTACCCCTCCTCACACTTTTCTTTCTGTTGCTTGCCGAGCCTTTTTCTTTTTTTTCGCTCCCTTCTTGCTTTCCCTTTTGAACAATACACAATGTGATTGGCTGCAGAACAATTCTGTACTCAAAAAATGAAATATCCCATTATTTTGGCATCATTTGCTAAATTCCATCCAACTCTGAAAAAAAAACAGCAAAAATTTTATTGGTAAAAAAAGAAAAGCACCATTTTTATTCTAATTATTTTTTCTTCAATTTATATAAAACACACAATAATGGCTCGTCCAGATAGAAGAGAATCCAGCCAGATCCGTGCGCTCAACTGCGTTCTTGGACCACTAAACCGCGTCGACGGATCCGCCCAATTCACCTCCGGCAACACCTCCCTGATCTGCGGCATCTACGGTCCAATTGACGTCAAAGTCTTCGACGAAAAGCTTGACCGCGCCCACCTCGAAGTTAAATTCCGTCCAGACATCAACGTATCCACGACAAAGGATCGGTGGATCGAGTCCGCTATCCGCAACACCTTTGAGCGTAATATCCTCGGCCACCTGCACCCACGCACTCTTGTGCAGATTAATCTGCAGGTTCGGGAGGGGGATGGATCGGTGGATGCGGTGGCGATTAATGCTACAACTATGGCGTTAGTTGATGCTGGTGTGCCCTTGAGGTGTATGGTGGCGGCGGCTACTTGTGCGGTTATGCCCGGTGGTGAGATGGTTGTGGATCCGGTGGCAGAAGAGGTCGAGTTGGCTGTTTCCGTGCATACCATGGCGTTTGCTGAGGGAGCACCCGGAGGTGAACCGGTTTATGTTGATTCAAGAGGAGATTTCTCTATGGAGCAGTACTCCAAATGCCACGATATTTGCGCAATGACTGCTGAACGCATCCTGGCTTTCATGCGCACGGCCATTGAAGGCAAGGTTGCCAAGGAATCTCATATTAGTGCTATTTAAAGAATGAATAATATATATTTAAATGGTGTTAAATTGGATTAGAAATCGACAACTTATCGCCGGCAGCAAATACTCTGGCGCCAGGTGTTGTGCCGGAAGCCATGGATCCTGCGTACCCGCCTGTCGACGTATACGGAATAAACGACGTCACCGCGGACGCAGCATACGTCTCGCTACTGATTCCTTGACCGGAATACGCACCCACCGTGCCAAAGTTTTTCTCCGAGCTACCGCCGCCAGCCACCCTACCTATTCTCCCTCCCTTCTCGTCCCCATTCCCATGGAACCCATTTTGGATATTATGAATAACCATAGCGTACTCATCCGCCGGGTCATCAAAGTACACGTTGCTCAATGTCATGCCTAGAAACACCAAGCCGATTAGGGCGATTTCCAGACCAATTCCGAGCTCAGCTGTCCGCCTAGCTCCTCCCTCCAAAGTCATACAGCCGAGAACTAAGTAGAGAAGACCGCGTCCAAAGAATGAAAAGAGGAAGGATGCATACATGCGGAAAGTTGCCAGGTGCACAGCCTCCATGAGCACGAGGAGAAAGCCAAAGAGGAGACAGGGGATCCCCAGCATTATGTGCCGTAAATCACCGATGGAGCAGGAGAGGCATCCCTGGATAAAGATTAAAATACCCTGGATGCTGTTGACTATGAGCAAGGGAAGGGAAATAAACCGGCTGAAATTAAACGACCGCCGGGCGATTATATACGGAAGTGTCATGTTTTTCTCTCTTATTAAACGCGTGTATCTTGGTGCATCCGACCTAAATGGGTAAAAATAAAAATATAGAGAAAATATTTTGCGAAAGAAAAGAAAAAAGAATGGAATACATAATAACACAAGTCTATGTGTATTAAACTGGGTCTGTATTCATTCATATGATGCAATAACCCGAAAAAAGAAGGGACGAATATTGTCACAAAATAAAACGTTGCTGACACTATTCAATAAAAAAAAGTAAATTTTTTTTAAAATATACTGCAAAAAATAAAAATAATTACATTGTTATTTTTCTGCATGTTCGCACAATGCATCAACATAAAAATTATTTTATTTTAGAAAAAAATTACAGCAGTAGATATCCTAATTTTAAATGGGCGCGTAAACGTTGTTTGCCGCTGCTGTCGGATCGTACGCTTGTGTCGGGTTAGTTAACGGAGCATGGTACTGCTGTCCATCGTCAGTATGTCCCTGCATCGAGTACACATTATGAGATTCATACTGCATATTCAACGGATTCAAATTCTGTTCCTTCTGCTGCTGCTGCTGCTGGTGAGATCTCAGATAGGCATTCTGGGTACTATGTTGCGCATCCAGCGGGTCTTTGTGCTGCTGCTGAAGTGTCGGATATGATCCCTGATCACCATACATTTCGCTCCCAGAATTGCTTCCTGAAACCACATTGCTCACATAGCTCTCGTTCTTTTTAGCAGTAAACGACAAAACAACGTATGCCGCGCCAATGGCTGTAATGATGGCACCGAAAACCCACCCAAGCGCTTTATATCCCAAAGTCAAACACCCTATGAAAACGTAAAATAACCCTCGTCCGCGCCAAGTGAACATGAACTGCACATAGGGTGTTAGCCAGGCCAGCTCTGCCAGCTCAAACATGATGATGAAAGGCCAAATATAATCTCGAATATGCCCAGCATGATACGCATAAAGTTTGCCCAGATGAAAAAGACGATTGCTGATATGATCATTAGGATTGCGACGATTATGTTGGCGATGCGAAAGTAGTAGGGAGGACCGCCTGGTTGGCGCAGTCTTCGGTTAAGATCTTGGAAATACGTGAATGCCATTTTTTAAATTGAAAGAGTATTGTCTATATAAAAAAGTATAAAGGTGTAAAGTTGAGAGCCACAAGAGAAGTAAATGGCGAGCGGCACAGACAATATTAGTTCTGTTTTTCGTTTTTTATCTTAAAGTTTGATGACGTCAAATGTATCTTGTACTCGCACGTAACATGCTGTTTGTTTGTTTGCGACGGATCGTCATCAATTATTATTCATCCGTGAGTAGTGGCAAAATACAATGCAACGATCATAATCATTATACATATCCGCTAATCTCAGATCAAGTGAACTCCGAATTGGATTAAATGGTCAATACAGTAAGTATACTATAACAAAACCCTAGCCCGCCGGGTAACCTTGTATATTGTGTTAAAAGCTTTTGCCAGAGGTAAGAAATTGAATGCGTTCATTTGGCAGAGACTCAGAAGCAGCAGCAGCAGTCGGGCCCAAAGCCAAGGAGAGCACCATCTGCTGCGGCTAATCATCCCCACGGACAGCGCATAGATTGATTTATCTACATATCATGGCGGCTATAGTCATCAGTTGTTTAACACAGACAAAGCTTCGTCAAATGAGCAAGTGGATCTATGAATCTATTTTCTCTAGGCGAAATATGGACGTTTTTTGTCCAGCGCATCAAATTCTAGTTGCTTGCTTATAAGGCATCTTTTTTTGGTACTCGTATTTTTGTTACTGTGTAGTAATTGTATTTTTTTTTTCAAGGGTGTAAATTGTGGAAATGCGCATGAACCAAAATTCCTGTGTCGTCTCAACCAACCTTAAAAGCTTTAGCATTATCAGTGACCTACACGGGTAATTAAATGAATTTTTAAATGATAATATTCTGATTGTGAGTGCAAGAAAATATGTAAATGAATGAAAAATGAAAACTTGGCTATATCGCAAAAATTAAAAAATCTCTTTTTTCTTTTAACAAAAAGTTAGTGATCGGCCTTTGACGGCATCCTTTCAATCTCATTCCTGAGAAAGGCCTTCTCATCCTTGAACTGTTCGTCGGTGTCCTTGTCCTTTTGGAAATTTGAGAGGAAAGCGATCAGCTTGTCCCGGTTATTGACCAGAATCTTGCGGACCTCAGGCGTCTTTGTCGGGTTAGCAACGAAAATCTTGAAAATATGGAATGCCTCGTACTGGATGCTCTTGCTCTTATCTCCTAGGGCCGTCATAATTGTCTGTAGGTTTGCGCTCTCCTTGATAAACGTCATCATAACGTTAAAGTTTTTTTTTTCAAGCAGAATCTCCCCCAGGAGTTTCAGCGACTGCCGGCGGACAACGTAGTTCTCAGACTTGAGCAGCGAGCTGTACTTTGAAAAGAAAATCTCGTAGTTGTTGCACAGGAACGTGACTGGTGGATCCTTGAATTTGTCAGTGCCTCGTGGAAGCTGTTGAACGCGTCGCTAGTGACGTCAAAGTTGCCGCTCTCGACGTAGTCGAAAAAGTTGAGAAACTCTGGCAGATTGAGCGTTGCCTTGATGAGCTCCTTGTGCTTAAAGCACTCGCGCAGCATGTTGCCGCAAAAGATGGCCGAGTCCGGGTTGCTGTAGCCGCAGATGAGGCCAGCCAGGACATTGGGTCGGTTAACCAGGTACTCGACGGTTGGCTCACGCGTGCCGATCTTGCGGCGCAGTAGAATGCCAAAGATAATGCTCACCTCCTTGCGCGTCTCAAACTCGAGCCTGGCCAGATTGGAGATGAGCAGGGGCATGAGCTCAGTGGTGTATATCTCCTGTGCCAGTTGTGCCACTTGCTCCGAGGTCGTGTCCGGCACCTTATTGTCGGCGCCGCCGTCGCGCAGAATCTGAAGCATGCTGGCTACGTTCTTTGAAATCTCATCGTTTGCTTTGGTGCGCTGTTGCTCGCTGTTGATGGAACCGTCTATCCTGGACATTGCGTCGTGGGTAGCCTTGACAAGTTCAATTGGCCTTTTGCTTCGTTTTGAAAAAGAAATTCATAATACTTTTTTCTTTGGAATGAGTAGCTGCTGGCGGTGGCCCTGAAGGAAAGTGCCTAACAGTCAGCCATAAAAAATAATGGAAATAAGAGGAAGTACAAAAAACAGGAACAGAAAGAAAGAGGCAGAGGCAGAGGGTGCGAATTAGTGACCAGTTTGCTGTTGTTTGTTGTTTGTTGTTGTTGTTTGTTGTTCTTTGCACTCAGACTGAAAGAAAATAGGAGTTGCGGAAATCTGGGATGAGACTTCAAAGGCCGCTCAGCTTTTTGTCACTTATTTGTTTGTTAAACATTTGGAAAATACCAAAAATGCGGATAGGGGAGGGCGCGCTGACGCATTAATTTAATTTTTTTGCAGCGCGCGTTTTGGCATGACTCTGCTCGCACTGTATCGTGTTTACAGTTAAAAGAAGGCGTCATCGTACCTGTTTTAAAGAAAAATAAAGTTTCTCAGGGGCAGTAATGTCGTGGACGCAAGGGCCAAAGGGCTTGTGGCGTTGGTGGTATTCGAAGCTGGAGCTGAGGCTAAAGGTTACTGCGGGCAGTGTTGGCTCTGGCAAAAAGAACTGCAATGCTGTGCAAAGTGGAAAAAGAACAAAAGGAGCGCTAGAAAAGCAAAGAGAGTGGGAAAAAATGAGGGAAAAGAACAGCTTGGAAGAAAATGGAAAACCGAGTGTAGGATGAAGAGAGACAGAAAGGACAGCCAAGGCCCTTTGCTGTCTTTTTTTTGGACAGCCAAAAAAAGGAAATAAAGAGGCAAAGCTTCCGTCGTCATCCCTCGAACGAAGCCAGCCAGCTAGAAAATAATAAAGAGAATGATTTGACCTCGTTCAAAATGAATAAATAGCTCAACTCAAGAATCGACTTATTATCCTCCCTCTTTTTTTCTTGTTTTCAGTAATTTATGAATTTTCACTTTTGCATTTCAGGCAGTCCATTCAACACACCCTCCCCAATTTTTTAAAATAAACACCCGCTGTCTGCTGCTTATTGTATAAATACACCATGTCGAGCAACATCACTGACGTTGAGGCCAAGCGTGCCCAGGGCTTGAAGCACAAGGACGCGGGCAACGCTTTTTTCAAGGGGAGCGACTTTACAGGCGGTAAGTGCGGAAAAATACAGATTTATGCTTGCAAATAAAAGTCGAAGCGAGCAAATAATAAAACTAAATCAATTATGCATTTTTAAACACAAAATAGCGCTCCGCGAGTACTACTACGCACTGCTCCATTTGCGGGGGCTCGACTCGAACGTGATGAATCTGTCACGGCCCACCGATCCGAATACCCTCGAGGAGTCCAGAGTGACAAGCCTCGACAAGGATCTCTCCGTAATTAATTCCAACATGGCGGCATGCCACCTGCGCCTGGAGCGGATCCCGCGCGTGATCGAGTGCGCCCAGGCAGCGCTCAAGGCGAACCCGTTCAATACGAAGGCCAAGTTCAGGCTGGCGCAGGGGTACGTGCGCGAAGGGTCGCTGGAGAAGGCGCGCAAGATCCTCGATGAACTCGAGAAGAATGCGCCCACGGACAAGGCGTTTGCCAACGAGCGCAAACACATTGTGGAGATGGAGAAGAAGGCCGACCAGAAGCAGCGCGAGACGCTGGCTGGCATGTTCAACCGCGCAAAGAACTAAACCAGGGGCATTGTGTGCAAAGCTCCCCCCTGTCCCCCTCCCCTTTTCTCACCTTCACTGGCCCTGCGAGTTTCGCTCGCTGCGAGCCTGCGTGATGTCGCTGAGGTTTTGTAAAATGTATCTGTTGAACTCTACTGCAGGCAAATAAAGCACGTTTTGTTAGTTGTTAGCATGGCATGAAATATTGTCAGCGCGAAATAAAAGCATTTTTCTTCCATTGTTTCTGTTTCGTGATCTGTGCGTGATCTGCATTCTGTACCTTGAATCGAAACCTTTGTCGGAATAACGACAAACCCCGGATACCGGCTTGCCGAGCCCCGGAAGGCGTGCCGCCAGTCATTGACTATCATCAGCGGCAGCGAGCACCATCGGTCATAATGCAAGTTGTGCAGTTCAGCTTCGATGCGTTCGACGACCCCAGCGTAGCGCTGCGGATTGACTGAGCTGGCGAAAAAGACCTTGCTGCGATCGAGCTCCAGCCGGGCGCTCTTGGACCGCTGCGCGTCGTCCGGTGACCAGGACGCCTGCCGCAGCCTGTCCAGCAGCGCCGCATGTAAGTCAGGAGCCGCACTCCTGCGAGCGTAGTTCTCTAGGGCTTCGCGTGCTCGCGCCGCCCGTAGCTCCCCGGCGCTGACAGGCGCCGATGCCGCTGCGGCAGCTAGGCTGGGCCCGATGGTTTTTTCGATCTCGGCCAGCGCCTCCGTCGACGTGGGCACGCTGAGCTCTCCGCATAGCGCAACCAGGTCGCGAGTGCGCTGCGCGACCAGCTGCTGATGCTGCTGCTCGTGGTGCTGGTGACGGTGCGGGGCACCGGTGGTGGACTGGTGGATTTTTGAGAATGCAAAGGAGATTGGGTTCTGCGTCGCGTCGCTGCTTTTGCTGAAGAATTCGAGTGGCGTATCGACTGGCCCAGATCGACTATGCTTTTCGCTGGGATCTTTGAGCACCGGGGCGAGCAGGTCCTGCAGTCGCTGCACTGAGGCTTGGTTGATGCGCTTGGCCACTGGGTCGTGGACAAAATAGTCCGGATGCACCTTGAGCAGAACACCGTGCACTAGTGGTTTGACTAGCGTGCGCAGTTTCGCCGTGTCCATTGTTAGTATTATTCTTTTTTGTCGGCTAATATGAAAAGTATTGAGAGAGCTGAAAGAACTGAAAGAAGTGCATCCTTTTAAAATTAATTTTATCTTGCAACGCTGAGAAAAAAATCGCCAGGCATTGGAGTTTTCAATACGATCTTATGGCTTTGCAAGTCGCTTGCTTTTTTTTGGGCGCAGTTTTTTCTCTATTTTTGTCCACTCAGCATATTTTCCGAGCTGATTGCGCAACTAACCGAAAAAAACGACTATATGCTTTTTTTCCTTTGAGCATTTCTTCTCGCCCCTTTTCGCCTTTTATTTTATTTTCATTTTGCTGTTTCAATTCCCCTTTTTATCTTTTTTTCTTGTTACGAATTTTCTGTTACCACCTTTTATCACGCACCATTTTCATTTTCATTTTCATACTCTCTCTTTCCTTTTTTTATTTGACACATGCACAACTACAATTCCGCCTACATAGCTCGGTTGGCGCACGGAAAGCGGCGACGCTCTGATGCTGACGAGCTCGAGTATACAATGCCCGAAGAGCCGCTGCGCTTGGACAATGTCAAGCGCCTGCGCAGCTCAGTGTTTGGCCACTGGAAGAGCCAGCCACACGAGCTGACACTGCCACAACAACATGCGCCGACACCACCGAGCACCACAGCTGAGCTATGGCAGCAGCAGCAGCATCAGGCGCAGTATTTACACCAAATGGCGATGGCGCAACGCAGCGTCAATGACCATTCTTACCATCACATGACTGGCGCCAACAATTTAAACGAGCTACCTTACTGTGAACCGCCCATGAATTGCCCGCAACAGCTAGCACAGGGCAATGTTGGGGTTGGACCCACTATTTTGGCCACGCCGACCATATCGCCCGATAGCTTTGGCTGCTGCGACAGCGATGGCGACGATGAAATGGAGGATACGGGAATTGATCCTTCCAGTGAGTACTACCACATCAACACACTACTCAACCAGCTACACCGCGAGCGCACCCTGCGTCGGAATTATCAGTAATCGCTTATGGGTCGGGCTGGGTTGGTCTCCCGACTTGTCTTTTTGAATGTGTTTCTCAAGACATAAAAAAATAAAAACTAGCTTTGTCCCTTCCTCCCCTTTTCCCTCTTCCTATTCCCCTGCAAAGGGTTGCAGCATCAAAAGAGCACACAAGATCGCCGCAGCTTTTTTTCTGCATTTCAGTACACTCTTTCACATTCCCCTATTCTTGCTGTTGCAATTTGCGGGAAATAATAATTTGCTTTTTTTTGCTTTTTTTCGCACGTCCATCAACCCCATCACTATATTTGCATTTGCTTGTTTGTTTTTCTTTTTTTTCCTCTTGTCCAAAAAAAATCATTTTTCATCACTTTTTCATTTGTTTTTTGCTCTTATCTATCTTTTTTTATTTAAACCAACCAGTCAATCAATTTAATTATCTTGCACAGCAACTGTTCATCAACCATCCTCCATTCGCCAAAAAATGAAGCCTGGAGCCGTAAACATTTCCACAAAAGACATTGTCTGGCGCATCATCAACATTATCGTTTCTGTTCTGTGGATAGTCACCGCAGCCTTCCACTTTGTCGATGGCACATTCCAGTCAGTCATGCCTGGATTATTTTTGCTCATCGTCGGCTTTGCATCGATAATGTTTGAGCTTTGGCGTCCTAGAGTTGTTCTTGAAAACTGCTATTTCATGTGGAACTTCATGGGTCGAGGAATATGTAAGCACGCAAAACGGCTTGTTTGTTATTGATAAAGAAAATTGCAAAGCAATAATGCAATATAATATAATCGAAAATCTGCTTTGTTATAAAAAACGCATACCATGGAATATAGAACAAAATGATAAACTAACACACAATTACTCTTTTTCTTATTATTTTTTGTTTTGCGCAATGTCCCACTCATTGTATAAAATACAATATCCATATATATAGTTTTCTTATTGTAAGTATTCGTTTTTTGGTAATTAAACCGGAAACAGCTCTCACACACGTGTGCACGCACACGTATTGTGCATATTAGACACCTGTTTTTTATTTTGCTTTGCATATATATGCAATCGTTTATTCAACTTTTTAATTTTTCGTATTGTCAAATTAATTCCGTATATATTTTTTTCTGCAAGTAGGATTGGATGTGCCGCAATGGGATACAGAACGATTAATTACGTGGTATTTGGCTTTTCGTGGGGGTTGGATTTCTGTATATAGTATTGTGGTTCTCATCGCTTACGCTGTTCCCTGTTAGTAGCACCAACGTGGACTATTCGTAAATTACCGAATGTATGTTTGTTTTTAATGAGAAAGGGAATAAGATGTGGCGGAGGCGATTGTAACTGCGGAGTCATGAAAATATTAGTGTGATTTGTGTGGATTGACTAATCGTTATAGCCTTTCTGTTTTGAAGTCAGTTGTTAATTTATATTACTATTGTGTCGAATTCTGATAATAATTAAAATTGTAAAACATATATCTTAATAATTTGATACGCCAATTTTACATGTGAAATCAAGGCCGTCGTAATGACAAACAAAAAAGTACACACATGCGGGACACAAAACGCCGCTAATGTTAAAATTAACAACAATTCCATTCTCACAAACATTCATATTTGGAAATTATTACAAGCGCAAAAGTTGTTTACATATTTGTCATGAATAAAACCAACCGTCTAAAAAAATGCCAACACATTTTGCGCCTGTTGTGAACCAAACAAATAAATGACAATGACAATGGTAACAATTGGGATAACCATGCATTGGCTGATCAGCATTGCATTCTACAAATGTGCTAAGCCTTTTTATTATGCTTTTCGCACAATAGTTTTTTTTTAAAAAAAATTGTGAGGCTGTTCCCGAGTTTTCCCACTTTTTCTTCCTTATAATGCAATTTTGTGCATTGTCGGCCATTATTTTGTATTCATGCCTCCCACTATCAGGATTATTTGCCATGCGATGAATTGAGAAACAGTTTTTTATGAGTAATTGAACAATGATTTTTCCCGAAGCATGCGGTATTGGCAATTATTTAATGATTGGCGTCATATTGAATGTGTGCAATTTGCCGCCCATTCATTTTTAGGCATATTATTTTTGATGCGCTGTCAGGCGCTAAAACGCAAGAATATGAAATATATAAAACGTAGTCTTGGAACGACCCGGTACTTATTTCTTTATTTTTTGTAACCATTAATATTTCCACGTTTTCCCATTCCTCTTATACTAAAACGACCTGTCTTTTTCCAATACCGGCCCTGGCGGCGGTAATTCCTTTTAGCGCTGGATTCGCTCTCGGGGGGGGGGGGGGGGGGTTCAGAGCTGACCTGACCTTTTCTTTATTAGGCACTTGATGCGTTCAACACTCGGGCTGGTCTCACAATTTTTTTAGCTGGGCTCACAACATTGGGCGGGTCCCACAACATCATCGAGCTGGTCTCACAACTTCTTCGGGCGCTTGATGCGTCCACAATATCTTTGAGCTGGCCTTGCAACACTGGCGGGTCCCGCAATATCATCAAGTTGGCCTCTAACCTTTCTTTGAGCTGGTCTCGTATACTTTTTGAGCCGGTCTCGCAACATGAGCGCTTGATGTGCTCATATCTTTTTAGCTACTTTTATGTATATTTTTTTAATTTTATGCAATTTTAATGTTTTGTTTTTTTATTTTAATTAAAATAAAAAAAATAAAGATATTCAGAACAATTTAGTTTTTTTTACTCGAGGGTCTTGAACTCATACACGGGAGCGTCCTCGGGGAACTTGACGCCAAGCTCGAGCAGCTTAGCAAAGGCCTTTGCGAAATCAGCAAAGAAGACATCCTGATCCCTAGCATAAATCTCAACATACTTGCGGAACTGTGCATCACTCTTGAATGACATATCCGCGGGCAGCATCATGAATTGACCAGATTCCTTATCGACATACTGGTGCGGGCCATTCCACTTCTTCGGCACCCAGTGGTTGTTCAAAAGCTCAGTGTAAAAGAAGTTAGTGAACGAAGTAGGGGAGGCGTTCCAGGGACCTTCGAATCCACTCCTAGACGTATGGCAGCGACCAAGGGCATGGGCACCAACCAGGGCGGCAATCTCTTGATCATTAAAGCCCATACGATAGAAATGTCCCTCATATGGTCGGCGCCCTGAGCGGCATCGGGCAGACGGCCGTCAGGCGTGCATTCGTCCTCCTTCTTTTCCACACGGCCGGGTCTCCAGCGCACCGTGGGGCCGCCCAACTCCTGCACGGCAACGACGCCCGCGAGCGTGTACAGGTCGCCGTAGGAGATATACGGGTACTTCTTCTTCAGCGGCTCCAGGCGAGCGCGCGCAACATCTAGGCCGGCATTGGCACCGTGGCTGGACTCGGGGTGGAACCGGATAGTAGCGCCCTCAGAGCCACCAGTCTTGGTCTTCTTGTCAAAGGTACCCGATGAGTGCCAGGCCAGGCGCACAAAGATCGGGCCGTAGGAACCATCGTCGTAGTTTTCGTCTTCGAGGAGGTCGGCAATATCCTTGTAGACGGCGTTGTAGTCGACCTTCTTCCATGAGTCCTTGGTCGGTGTGATCTCCTTATTGCTGTAGAAGTACCAGCCGACGAGGGTGCCGAGCGCAAGGGCGCCCAGAGCACCGGGGTTGACGCCGGACTTGATTGTGCGCGGAATCTGCTGCTGTTGTTGGCGGTTAGACTGGCTGCGCTGCTGTTGGGTGGTGAGCGTGCGGATGGACGCGGTTGTAGGCTTGGGGGCGCGCAGGCTTGTGCGAGCAAGGCTGCGGGAAACAAGACAAAGCGAGGTAGACATTGGTTACAAGAAACGTTAAAATAAATATGTAGAAGATTTGTGCGATGATGATGAGATGAGAGAGAGAAGAAAGATAAAAGTGCAAGAACTAAATATGTTTGCTGTCTTTTTATAGCGGCGGTTTGAGCGCGGCTTTTTTCATGCGAGATGAGAGATGAAAAGTCGGCCTTTTTTCCCATGGCGTTCACAGAGCCAAATTGTGTACGCGCGTTTGTGTTATTCAGACGCAATCTTGTCATTCACAAGAGAATCTCTGACATCTAATTTGCTTGGCTCGTGTTTTTTCCGTCTTGGAATCGGATTGCGGCAAATATTGAAAAGATCAGAAAGAGTGTGCTATGGTCACGTGAAAAAGCCTCATTGTGTAGAATGCCATAGAAGGGAAGGCACATCACTCTTGGTGTGTTTTTTTATTATCTTGAACCTATTGAGTGCGTGTCAAAAAAGTCAGCACTTACCTTGGATTACTAATTTTTCGGCCCTTTTCCTGACCATATTAGAACGGGTAGTTCCCATTTTTGACTTTGTGCTTTCTTTGCAAAGAAGGCACATGGCAAAAGCAGAAAAAAGGACTGCTTTTTTAAAGTTTTGCACTGCACGATACCTGCAGCGTTTTTTATTGGCCTGTTTTTTCTTAGCACTTCTGCATCGATTACCTGTCAGCTGACAAATATCCGAAATAGCTTCGTTCAATTTTCGAGTTTGTGCAATCATCGCAAAAAAAGGCACAAGTACAATTTTAGCCTGTCAAGTTCAGCATTGATATTTGCGTTTGAATCTTTTTACTAACACCCTGGCGGACACTTCCACCGCCAAGAAATTAGACCCAAGTCTGGATAACTCTCAACCCCACTGCCCCTATAATACTTTTCGTTATAGGCGAATGTATCCAGGTCTCTGCAATAGAGCCTATGATGGACAAGGTGGCGTGGTAGACAATCAGTCTTAATCATCATTAGTTTATATTTTTATTTGTTTTATATTTCACGCAATGAATCTATTTTATTTTTTACGCTTGCGTATTGATATCTCGCTTATCCGCTCTTTAAATTCGTTTTACTATAGTGTCAAGTAGCCATGTTATAGACAAATACCTATTACATAGTGCGCAAAATTAAAATTGAAAATGGTTTAGCTTGCTGATTGGATTTGTTTTATTTAATTTGCTTTAATTTGTTTTTCTCGTTTGTTTGTGAAATCATGGCAAAGGAGTACATTGGAACTTTCTATTTTAATGACTTGCTTTTTATTTTTAAAAAGCGACAAAACAAAATTATTTCCAATGAGCTCAAGGAAAAAATTGTGTATTTAAAAAAACCTTTCTCTACACCTTTTACCATTATTTTCCAGTTTTTCATAACAAATCAAAAGCTTGAAGGCAAAAACTGCTATTGCTAACAAAAAGGGAGTATTAAACGCTCTTTTTAATTGTTTTAATTGTTCCTTTTACTCCCAGTTTACCTTTAATAAAAATGGCTTTTGCCAATAAATAAGTGAATATTTAACATTTGCCTATTATTGGTTATTTTGTTTTATTTACTCTAATTCCCGTTTAATATTTATAAATTATTTTCTATGGATCGATTTTCCCAAATTTACGTTCAATAAATGACAAATAAAAAACCACGAGGCCAGATTATTATTTACTTTCCATCACCTTTCCCCTCCTTCTCTTCCTCTTCCCCCTTTTACTTGGCAAATAAATTAAATTATACTTCAAAAAAACCCTCAGGCATTTTATTTATTTGCAAATACTTCTCCATATTATACTCGTCATGTTATAATAAGAGGGGGTGTGATGAGCACTAGTTGCCTAGTGTTAGAAAATAGGGGTGGTTTTATAAAAGGATTTATTACTGATGTTTCTAAAATACTACTAGGGCCGGCCTTATCTTATATATGTGTCTTGTCGCTTTTGTTGTGCACATTGCCAATTGTGCGCTCCGTTGGCAAAAACTAATTCTTCTGCGAGCAGACCGGTATCTTGGGGAGTCAGTGTTGTGGTTTTCTCGTGTGTGCGCTCATGAGGTGCATTGCAAAATGGGAGTATGTTTGGGCATCAATGTAATGCCTCCCTAATTTATGCCTGCATGGTCCAATTAGTGTCCTATCAATCGGCATGCAGGTGGAAACCTCTTTCGCGATTCTCAACCTCAACATCCACTTCCATATCTTCAGTCTGTCAACAATTGTTCAACTATAAATGATACGCAGATTCCTGAAACCAAAATATTTTTAACCCAATCAAATTTAATCAACTAAATATTTAAATATTTTACACATCAGACTACTATATCTCATAAGGAACTTCTAAATATCAAAAATGCCCTCTTATCACCATTTGTTTACTTCAAAATGGAAATGCCCATTTCAATAACGGTCCCTTCCCAATGGAAAAAATCTTAAGGACAACACCCCATCTAAGATCATGGAAAGATTACTTTAAAATATAATATTGTGTAAGTTTGCTAACAAAAATGTCAAATTATTACCATAGAAGTTTATTCAAACTAAATGCTTGCGAGTATAACATTGTATATTTCATCTATTTTGTTTTGCAGGAGAAAGAATTTCGAAAATTCAGGGCAGATATATCTGTAAATGGGTTACCTACAAACTTTGACACGCCTCCTGTGGATCTGGAAACAAATGCACATGCGAGGAAATTTCTAAAAGGAGCTTGATGCATATTATAATGATTATACGTGTAAAATGAAATATGAAGCTGTTAAATGCATGATTGTCGAGAAAGGAATAATGAATCACAAAGAGTATATGGCTAGGATTATGGCAGATCACTACAATGTATCAAAAGGTACACAGATAATAAATAAACAACACGACCGCTACAAAGGGCAATGTGACCTCCAGATTGAACAGGAAACGAGAGGGATCCTTGATGCCTGAGAAACCCCGATTGTTGATGAAAACTCCAATTTCAACAAACACCCGACTATCGAAGCTGCGACAAGATGAAGGCAATGGCCTGTCAAAGTGGCCACGGACAACAGCAATGAGGACGGCAGATATGCACACTAGCTATCTGGCCACAGTTGACGCTCTAGCTGGCAGATCGAGTGCCCGGGTTTAATTTTACTAAAACCCTGGCAGACACTTCCACCGCCAATAAATCAGGCCCAGCTATGGATAACTCCCAACCTCACTGCCTCCCTAGAATACCTTTGTTATAGAGGATGTAGCCAGATCTCTGCACTAGAACCCATCTTGGACAAGGTGGCGTGATAGAAATTCAGTTTTATCCATCAACTTTAAATAAATAAATAAACCAAGGATATGCGCTCTGATTTGTGACTGATTTATTGATAAAAATGAAATCAAGGATGCGCGGGGATGTGTATTTTCCTGTTCCCGAGAAAACGAACGAATGTAAAAACGTGTTTTTTGTTTCTTTCTTTTTTCTTTCTTTCTCATCTAGTTTTATTTTTTATTTTTATTTTTTTATTTCTTCAAATTATAAGTCTTCAAAAAATGGTTAACAGAGAGAAGTCTACCTAGTCGTTGGCGGCGAAGGTTTTCTCGGCCGCGCAATCGTCCAAGCGCTCCTCACCCGCCGTACGCAAACCTCTGACAACTCCATAATCCGAGTTCTCGACATTACGCGTAATTTCACCGACCCCTCAATCGAATTCATCCAAGGCGACATCACCAACGCCTCCGACGTCACCTCGGCACTCACCCACAACAACCAAACAGCTACCACAGTCTTCCACACAGCCTCACCTCTAATGAAATCACCCGAACACCTCACACGAAAGTAAATATAACGGGAACCCGGGTATTATTGGACGCAAGTAAGCGTGAGGAGTGGCCAAGTTTGTGTACACTAGCAGTGCTAGTGTGGTTTACTCCGGCGGTGCCTTGGAGTATGTTGATGAGAGTTTGCCTTATGCAGAGGTGTTTGCGATTATTATTCGGAGACAAAGGCGGCGGCGGAGAAAATGGTGCTTGCGGAGGATGCGTGTTTGGAAGGGATGCGGACGGCGGCGCTGAGACCTTCGGGGATTTTGGGCCCGGCGACAGGCAGGTGACGCAGGGTGGGCTGGCAGCGCAGAGGCGTAATTTCCCAGTACTCGTGCAGGTCGGCGATAACACGGCGATGTTTGACTTTACTATGTCAGCAATCTCGCCGACGCCCATCTTTTGTGCGCCGATAAGCTGCTTGATGATGAGCAGCGGGTTGGTGGCCAGGTGTTTTTCATCACTAATGATGAGCCGATTGGGATGTGGTCGTTTATGCGGCTTTTGTGGGCGGCTGTGGAGATACAGGAAGCCAAAGCTGGTTATTCCGACGGTGGTTGCGGCGGTTATCCTGGTGGTGCTCAAGTTCTTGGCTGCTGTTAAGCTGGTCACTCATGATGTGCCGTTTGTTTTTGGAATGACCTTTACCCCCCGTTATTTCAATATCACAAAGGCGAAGAACATGCTTGGCTATAGGCCTGTGGTGCCGTATAGTGAGGGAGTCCCGATTGCTGTCAAGTCGTGTCTCGAGCGCTGGGCCAAGGAAGAGGCGGAGGCCGAGCAGAAGCAGAAGCAAACCTAAAAAGCTTTAATTTTAATGGGTTTTTTTATGGATTAAATAGAAGGAATATTTTTTCTTTTTACATTTGTCCAAGCACGCTGGTCAGCCACAAAAAGCCCGAAACCTCGATAGCCAAGACAAAGATGCCGAGGATATACCCGTAGAACAGAATTTCCGCAGCCTCAGTCTCAAACTTGCCCGTCGCCTGTGACACCGTAATCAGATTAATCGCCGGCGGCGTGCCCGACAGGATCAGAAGCGTCAGGATATACACTGGGTCGAGACCATGATGGCAACCAGTGCGGGAAGAAGATGCGCAGCGTTGAGATCAGCACAATCGCCATGGTGGGCACAAAGACAAAGCGACCGGCGAGCACCAGAATGACGCCCTTGCGCTGCTCCGCTGCTGAAATAGCCGTCTCCGCATTGTCATCCTCCTCCGGCTCGGAAAAGCCCGGCGTGCCCAGCGTGTTTCTGTTTCCGGAACCGGTCGCCGACCGAACGACAATTGACGGGACCGAGCCGGCGTAGTTCCCAGCCAGCTGCGCAACCGACGGCGTGCGCGTGCTCCCAGGCGACCCCGCGGCACTGATGGGGTGCGGTTAGCCGCATGCATGGCAGGGTACTGGCGCTCAATATCCGGTGTCTTCACAGCCTGCTGCGCGGCAGCGGCAGCGGCATTGCGCGCCATCATCCCAAGCTGGCCGCCAAGGGAGATCAGAATCAGGGGCACGCAGGCGTCGCCACACATATCGATAGCCGACCACAGGGTGTACAGCACATTGTTGGGCTCCATAAAGGCGCGGTGCAGGGGCTCAATGGTGATGACTAGGAAGGCTGCGACAATGGCGTACACCGGCGGTGTGATCCCAGCCTTCACGCGTCCCACACGGCCGCACCAGGGCCACAGCCCTGGACACCGCGGAGGGCCGCCGCATGGCCTGCGCGGGCGCGCCAAGATAAAGCGGCGCCAGCTCATCGTCCGCCAGCTCATTGTCGCCGAGAATGCGCGCCCCGTTGCTGCCAGACGCCACAAGCGCAGGCGACTCTGGCAGCCTAATCCCAGCACCCGCCGGCGTGCGCGGACTGGCGTAGTTTGAATTAAACGCCGACTTGTTTTTCGGAGCCACGCCGCCCATCAGCGCGACGCCGAAACTCCACCGCAAATGTTGTTTAGCGTGGCAAATATCATTGCATAGGAACGCCCCTGGCGGCGACCTTCAGCGGCGTGTCATTCTGGTCCTTGAGCAAGAACTGCGAGCCTGAGCTCAGCGCTATGCTCTTGATCAGAGACACCGGGAGCGTGTTGGTATTGGAGAAGAAGGTGGCGACGTCGCAGAGCCGTGCGTATTCGGGGTTGAGCCCCAGAAACTGACTGCCGGTGCGGCTCCAGAGCAGCGAGAAGCCGCCGTAGATGAAATAGAAAATTGGCTCGTTCCAGAGCTCGATGAGCAGTGCGGGTCGAGGGTCTCGGTCATTTTGGAGAACAGAAGCGCTGGGGTCAGCAGATTAATGCTTATCAATGACAGGCTCTACTGGAAGATGATTTAATACAAGAAAAATAGTATTGCATCGTTTAGCCGGGACAGTAAAGAATAAAAAAACTCTAAAATACAGAAAATATTGGTTTTTATCGCTGCTTCTTCTCACCTTGAGTGTTGGTTTGTTGAGGGTTCCGTTGCGCGCAAAGATATAGCCGCTGAACCCAATGAGGAAAACCTCGAGCAGCGCTTTGACGGCTGTAAAGACAAAGCCCAGCAAGTTTGCCGCTGTCATTTATAAATAAAGCTTTAATAAAGTGAATTTGGGAGAAATAGTCAAGTTGAATTGAATTGGTGACAAGCAGAAAAAGAAAAGGAAAAATTAAACAATGTTCTGGGTTTTTTTATTAAAAATGCGACTGAATAATAGAAAGAAAAGGCGGAACACGTGTGTTAATTTTATTTTTTCCGTGCGTACGCACAAACACGGAGCAAAAAATTAAAAGAGCAGATGATAAATTTCATTTGCGCATAATAATATATTTATTTGGGTGTGACTGGCTTTGTCACTGTCACTGTCGCTGTCACTGCCACTGGCCTTACTCATGCATGAGGAGAGGGGAAGTAAATACCAAGAACAAAAATAATAAAGAAATAAATCGAACTTTCTATTTTCTATTCCTCCCCCGCACTTTCCCGCAGGTATTGTGTGAATTGGAATTGGGTTGGTGGGATTGGATTGGGCCTTACGGCTCGGATGCGATTTTTCTAACCGCGCCGCAGCCAAAGAAAAAAGAGCAGTATTCGAAATCACGCGATTTATTCATGACCCCAAAAAAATCATGAACGCTGGCTCCAATTTCTGTGAAATGTCGCAGCTTGTTTTAAGAGCAAGACCAAGGCTACAGTCAAGTCCAACATCATGACAGGTGTTGGAGCCGCGATAATGCATCACAAACTGCAAGTTCATTCCAATATTCCTATACCGTCGCCAATCTGGTTAGCAACCATCCTGCTTTCAAACGCCCTGTTTGACTGCCAAATGATCCGAATGCCACGCCCCAGCAAAATATGGCTGGATAAGCCTTTATCTTTCTCATACCATGGGCAGGCAGCAGCTCTATTGCTGTCTGACAGCTCAGTCCTACTTGGTTTTCAATGACAGCAGATGGGGGGGAACTTAGGCCCTTTGTCCAAAGCCCCAATAATAAAATTATTATTAATTTCTTGATTACAAGTAATGGTCCAAAAAAACCGCACGCGTCGTTATTATTTCATTGGTTTCACATTTCCAAATCCCTTCTTTTATTTCATTTTTATTTACATTTCACTTTTTTTTATTTACATTTCACCTTTCACCTTATACCTTATACCTTTTACCTTTCATAATTTGTAGTACTTACCACGCAACACATTTCTTTAAAAGATGAATGCACCGGAGCGTTTCGAAATGTTTATGATCCCCGAGGGGGCGCGCAAAATCGACATAATAAAGGATTCAAAAATGGCCAACTGCCTTCAATTCAATATCCAGCGCGAAGACCACACAATCGCCAATATCCTCCGGTACCGGCTCCTGAATCACCCACATGTGCTTTTTGTTGCATACCGCGTTCCGCATCCACTAGAATACTACGTTGAGTTGAAGGTGCAGACGTCGGCTCGTACGACGCCGCTGGATGTCGTGAAGGAGGCGATCCAGTCGCTGATGCTGGAGTACGGGAATATTCGGAGTGCCTTTGATAATGAACTGTTCAGATTGGAGGCGTCGACGGAGGGGAGGCGTGGGGCCCAGAGGTATGGGTTTGGTGCGATGGATACGGGCGCGTCAGAGTTTGGCGCCGCAGGGGATATGGGCGGCAGAGGCGACCGGGCAGACGATGTGGATATTGACTTTTAAAAGAGAATGGACATGTTTTTTTAAATATAAAGTGCTTTTTGTATTCAATCAGGCCTCGGGCTCAAACAGCGGCTCGACTATGAGCGCAGCCGACGGCCACAGGCCCTTGGCTGCCAGGGCCTCGCCAAGGCTGGCGGCGCGGTCATCGAAGACAGCGCGCGGAAACTGCGACACCAAAACAAAGTCATGCTCGTGCACGTAACCCTCGGGCACGTGCACCGCATCCAACGGACCAAAGGGCGTCTCTCGCACACGCTCCCACTCGCAGGCCACGGCCCTGGTCTCGACAAAGTCAAACAGGCCCTGCACACTGTCCTGCGCACGCACCATAAGCACCGCGCGCTCTCCGTCCTCCAGCCGCAACCCAACCCTGCCAACCTGCGGCTCCCCACCTTTGGCAACGGCGGCGGTGACGGCAGCAGCAGCAGCCTCATCCTGCTTGTCCCTTCTGGCGCTGCAGCCTGCCAAAAGTAGCCCACCTCCACTGCTCCCTGCGCCTCTGCTCGTCCTGCTCGCACTGCAGCCGCTGCTGCTCCTGCACTTCGCGCAACCGCGCCTCCTCCACGCGCAGCCTGTCTCTGGCCAGCGACGCCTGATAGGCAGAATCCTGCTGCTCCAGAATGCGCCGCGCCTCCGCCTGCTCCTCCCGCCTTCGCCTCACCGCCCGCATCGCCTGGCCATGCCGCTCCACCGGCACGCGAATGAGCTCCGCCAGCGCATCCGCCAACGCCGCCACCGACCGCCTGCTGGGCACGCCGCTGCACCGCGCAACAACCCGCATTGCCCCGGCGTCCTCCTCCTTTGGAACAAGCACGGCCACAAAGGGATACGCCACAGCGCCCACCACCAACCCCACGCCGGCAGCCTCCTCCGTGGCCACATCGCCTAACCACAGCACAAAGCCGTCGGCCAGCAGCTGCATTAGACGCTCGTGCTGCAGTGCGCGGGCAAACAACGCCGTGTCATCATGGTGCTTGCTCCAGAATACTGCCACGAGGCAAGCGGAATCCCGCAGCGCCTGTGCCTGTGCCTGTGCGAACGTACCGGTGAAGAACTCGGGGTGTGTGCTGCCGAATGTGTGGTCAAAGTACTGCGTGGATGTTTCGGTGGCCATTTGCTGCTGCAGCTGCCGTGGGACGCCTTGTGAAGCTATGTGTTGAAGCCCGAGAAGCCCGAGGACGAGGTGGATTATTAGCTGGACCGCTTTGAAGACCAGGTCCAGCGGCCATATGAATAGCGGTCGCCAGCTGAACCCAACCTGTGGTGTTTGCTGGGGTGCGCGGTGTGGCTCGCTGCTGGGCTCATCTGAGGCGGCTGCGCGTCTGCGCCGCAGCTGCGACTGCAACTGCAACTGCGACTCTTCCTCTGCTGCCAGTGGTGACAGTGGTGGGCCAGAATCCAGCTGCTCGGCGTATCCCGGCTCGTAGTATGCCTGGATGGCCATTGGCACGCTCCAGTGCTTTGACTTTAGCACCCGTACTGCTGTGCTGAGATCTTCCAGGTTGGTGACGTTGCAGAACTCCTGCAGCTGCTGCCGCTGAATGTCGGTCAGCGTGCCCAGCGTGTCGCTGCTGTGCTGCTGCCAGGCCCAGCCGCTGTGCTGTGTGCTTCTGTCATTTTTGGTTAAATACAAAAAAAGGTTAATGGACAAAATGAATAGCAAATGTGTAAATGTGTAAATGTTTAACTATTTAACTATTTAACTATTTAACTATTTAATAGAATAATATGAAAAAGAAAAGAAAAAAGAAAAAGAAAAAGAGAAAACAAGTATTGAATTCAAATAGAAAATGGACTTTATCCTTTATTCTTATTGTCTTGGGAAAAATATTCACACAAAAACAGTAGCTGAATTGAAATAAAAGCAACCTGCGTCACTGCACCAAAGCAAATCCGGACGCCTTCTCCTCCGCGCCCATCATTTCCGCCGTCTCCTCCTTGAACCCCTCCTCCGGCTCCCTCACAGCCGAGTCCGCACGCGGAACGACAGCCAAAACATCATCACCGCAGCCAGATCCAACAAGCACCAGTTGACCTTTAGCTGAACATCAAACGGCACCTTCCCAGAATCCAACTGCCAGCTAACCGCTGCGCCCACCGACTGCACAGCCTTATAAAACCCAGCATACCTGGCCAATTTCCCCGCATCATTGCTGATAGTGCCCAGGAGCCAATACGCCATATTATTCCACAATGCGTCCTGCACCCCCATGCAAGCGTAGAGTATACAGGGCCAGAGCGCCCGCTGCGTCTGCGTAAAGTCAATGGCTCCTCCCGGATAATCCGTCGCCACAATTTCTCCGCAATACCCCCGGTGGTGCTGGCCCCGTGTGTATACTTTCCCTGCATCCGTAGCGCCCCGGCCCACACAGCATTCACCACAACAAACGTTACAATAACCCCGATCACCGCACGCGTCCTGCGCGCCAATGTCTGGCGGTCCAGCAGAAACCGCGTCAGCACAAAGGACGCTACCATCTGGGCGCCCCAGTAAAATATATTATTCAGCCCCTTTGTTCTTGTCGTAAACAAGGACCCGTTGTAGGCACCGAACTGATACGAGTAGTAAAAGTTCGAGCTGAACATCATTGGAACAAGAACCAGCATCCATGGGTCCATGAATAACCGCAGAATCGCCCTTGCCTCTTCCAGGATATTGTCTACCTTATGGATAATGATCCCGGACCCGTCTGTGCGCTGCACCCGCGCGGGCGGCGCCAAGGCCAATGCGCAGAGACTTCCGCATACCTCTATTACGACGAACGCCGCGTATGCGGCGTCGGATAATGGGCCCTCGTGGGAGTAATTGGTTGCCAGCAGCACGATGCCGCCGAGCACACCGCCTAGATTGAATATGACCCAGAACACAGTGATAAACCGACCCTTCTCGTTTTCCATTGGATATGCCATCATAACCATTCCCTGCGCCGTCCAAAACACCCCAGCGCCTAACCCCAGAACCGCCCCCGAAACCACAGTGAGCCATTGTTTCTGCGTGTGGTTGATGTAGATGTAGGATCCGGAGTATAATGCAAAGGTCAGTCCGCCGAGAAACATTGTTAGTCGGATACCGAATCGGTTGATGATGGCGCCGCCGAAGAGTCCGGAGATTATGAAGCTGGCGTAGAGTGCTGTGTTGGCATTGTTGCCTGCTGTGCGGTCGAGTTGTCCGCCGCCGCCGGTGCCATTGAGTGCGTTGAACATCCCTGGGCATCCGAAACAGACGAACCCGAGGATTATTATTTGCGTCTTTGACGCATAATAAGGAAGCAGTTTGCCCATACAGAAAGAATAAATAACTGAAATATTTGGAAATATATAAATTTAGGTGAAAGTAAAGGTTAAAAATGTATACACCATTAAGTTACGGTTAGCCTGACCAATTGCTTCCACACCTAATTATTTTATTCTCTTTCTTTTTCTTTTTTTACCCCCACACACATACACACAAGGACGGCGCGTTTGGCAAGAAACAAATTAGCCGTGTTTAAATCGTATTGTGGAGAATAAAATAACCCCTCCCCCCGACCTCTCATGTAAATTCTCCGAAATACAGAATATAGAAGGAAAACATGTTCGAGGCGTCAGTTCAATGAACAATACTCACATGCTTTTTCCCTACAAAATGTTTATATTTTAGAAACGTGGCATCTGCATATATTCTGGCTAAAATGTTTTAAATATGAATATTATTCTAGTCTAGTCTATTCTGATCTAAATATCTTAATTCCTGTTTTTTTTCAGTTTTTAGATCCCGGTCAGCGCCTCGTTCAAGCGGTTCTCTGAATTGAAAACCCGCACCTCGAGCGCATTCTGTAACGAGTACTTTTTCGAATCAGCCCAGTTTGGCGGACAATACCCCCACTCCGCCAAACCGCAGCTACTACCAGCAATGCTGTTACTGCTGCTGTTCTCGTAAAACCTCAGTGACAAATGCTTTGACCCCTGTACCAACCTCTCCTCTACCAAACACCCTGGTGCAGCAAACAAACACCTATCCTTCGCCTTATTTTCGCCACCCAATTGCTCGCGTTTCTGCAATACCATGTTTTGTGCGCACGGTACTCGGCGAGCGACAGGAATGGTGGCGAGCTAATGGGTTTCCCGCCCAGGGTGCATTTCCACTGGACACGCGCCCACTCCACCCAAGTGCTGCCGCTCGGATGCGCTGTCAGGTAGATGTTGCCGAGTGGAATCTCGACATCGCGCCCAAGTAATGGTCGCGCTCGATCAGAGGAAGCAAGCGCAGGACACGCAGGAATGAATCGGCAGCCACCAGAGCCAACCCATCGACCTTGCCCTCGTCCACGCACCCTGGCTTTGGCTTTGGCGGCGGAGCCAGTCCGTATATGTACGATGGTCTGGCAAGCTCGCTTGCAACACAGCCCTTAAGCAAAAGCAGCAGAGCCAAGTCATCGTAGAAATGCCCGTGCCTATAAGGCGCACACCCCCCTGAGCTCTAGGCGCAAAACCCGTCATCTGCCCAATGTCCCGGTCAATGTCCCATGTAGAACCTCGAGTCTTTCTCGCGGAATCTTGCTGAACAAATGCCAGCTGGCAACCAGCTCTAGCCCAGGCCGCATCAAAAATCCGCCCTGCTCGAGAAACTTGCGTGCCTTCCGAATAACATACTTCTCAATCGGAAGCGACTTACCAGCAACCTTGCGTTGCAGCGCAGGTACGGACAACATCAGCCGGCGTATAATCTCAACCAATTGCTCCTGATCCTTGCTGCGCTCACCCCTGGTAGACGGCACATCGTTGTTCTTGCTGCTGGATATAATAAGGTAGTGCTCCCAGAGGCAGCTCGCGAGCGAGTATGTGTATACGGCCTTGTTCCAATTGTTCTCCTTGCGCAGTTTGTTGAATCCTTGGCCGCGGACATCCATTGCCCGAGGGACATAAAGCAGAGCGACCGCTCCCAGTACCCGAGGTACTGCAGCTGCCGCCAATCGCTCGCGCCCTTGGCCCTCTCGCTCCCCTTGGTCGATCTGCCAATGGACTCGAGCTGCTGTCCAGCTCCGTGCCGTTAACCCCTAGGCTTGCCAGCTCCGCAATAAGCGCATCGCCTACGCCGGATTCATCACTGTCAAGCTGCGAGCTTTGTTGTGAGCCTTGCGTGGGCCTTGTTGCTTTCCAGTGGCGCCTTGCCCAGCGAGACCAAGCTGCTGAACCGGCCAATGGCATCATCCATCCGCGTGCGCGTCATCATGAGCAGGCCCTCAAAGTACATATAGATCAGGCCGTCCGGGTGCTTCTCTGTCGCCTGCCGGAGCACCTCCTCGATTAGTGGCATATTAGGTAGCCCAGGAACATGCTGCTGCAGAGGAAAACATGGTAGCCTTGCAGAACCACGAGCAAAACTCGGACCGCAGCCCGTACCCGCACGGATGTATCGACCCTGAACCCATCAACGACGGCGGCGGACCCATCAACCCGGCCAGCACGGGATCCGACCGCCACCCAGCGGCAACGCCAGCAACTCAAGCCCCAGCTTGCGATCAGCCGAAAATCCAACCAGCTCAATAAACCGCAGCAGCTTAGCCGGCATCATACTCAAGATCAAATTAAACACACCCATTCCGAAATAAGTGCCGCTGACAAAATGGTCGTCCACGGTTTCGCCAATTTCGTGCGCATACTGGATGAACGCGTAGCAGGAGCGGTAGATCGAGTAGGCGGAGCGTACGTGCCAGCTCTCTTTGAGTACCGCCAGGATGCCGTCGCCGCTGGCTATGCTTAGCATGGCACGTATGAGGTAGGCTTCGGCGTGGACTAACTCGGCATGCCGCTGGGTGGCGTCATGGTTTGAGTGCGTGCCACTCAGGCTTGCTGACCCGACCGCTTGCGTGCCAGCCTTGACTATGCCGATGAGCGAGTCGGCGATACCCGTCAGGCCTGACGCCCATGACCGCTGCGGCGGCTTATCCAGCCGCTCCTCTTCCTCTTCCATATTTCCCCCTGCCTCTTGCTCTTGATCGTCGGGAACGGAGGCAAAGGTCTCGATGGAATTGGATAGCTGCAGGTCGCTGAACTTGGCTCCGAGCAGCGCCGAATTAAATGGCTCTTTGTCCTCAGATAATGCCGACGCAGGAGAGGAGCCGGTGCTGGCAATGGATCCCGAGAACAGATCCTCGCTGACCACCGTACCACTGCGCTTACCCTTCCTCCCGCGCAGCGACAGCCTTGGCGACTCCCTATGAAACCACCCGAGACCTTCACCACCCCTCTGCCCCGCATCCTTACCGCCAGAACCACCCTCATCCGCTCCCATCGACTCGTAATCAGACCGCAGCCCACCACTGCTCTTGCGCATCCGAAGATAATTTAACCCAGGACTGCTGCCACTACCATTCGCAGAGCTAATCCCTGACCCAGTTTTGGTGATTGCGGCCGCGACCCCGATCGCGAAGCCGGGCCCGAAAGCAATGCGCCCATGCCTCTTGGTTTGCGATAGTGCGCAGCCAGATTAATCGTACTATCGGCTACTATTTGTGCCTCCCCCATGGCCTCCTTGGTAAAGGACATTATTGCACGCATATACTGGATTGCCGCGTAGCCCTCGGATGCGTACATTAGCGTGTGTCGTTTGTTGTGTAGCATGCCCTCGATGTTTTCGAAATCAGAGTCGAGGAATAACCAGACTGCTTTCATCGCTAGGTCGACGCCTACTTGGAGCGGATCGTCTGAATTGACTCCATGGATGGGGCTTACCGCGGGCATTCTGCTGCTGGTGCTGCTGGTGCTGCTTCTCAGTGGTGTTGCGAATGCTGATAATGAGGTACTTGATATTTGCGTATCAGTATTTGCGGCGGACTCGAATATATGGCCGGTGTCGGAGCTGCTGTTGTTGATGTACGGCGGAGACATGTTTTTTGTTGCTAAATGAACTGCTACTGTTGATAATGACTTATACGCGTGCAAAAATGAAGTTACACACGGTTTTTATTTTTTTAAAAAAGGTTGAAAAATAATTTAGAAAAATTCAAAGCTGGAAAGACGCAAAGTTGATGAATGAAGCAATACAGAAATGAAAGAAATGTCGGTGCGCATATTGCTCACTGCACTATTCTGTTATGAACTGAGGTGGATGGGGGGGTAGAGAGAGTGTAAGCACACTTTATTTATGCAGGAAGCATGAGGGTCTGGATGGGGTCCCTTGCAAAAAAACCACTATCTCCAAAAAGAAGAAGAAAACAACTCTCCCATGAAGACTATCAGGAGGATGAGGGCGTGTAACTTGTCGGATTCAAATACCCGCACTCCTTGCAAGTCCGCAGCCGCTCACAGCCCTTGTACTCATCAATAACTGGGACCAAATCTCTCTCCAAGCTCTCACAAAAAAACCACATCTCATGCACAACCCACCACACACCTCACAATACCAGCGCATAGCCTCCCTCTGCCCCGGTCTCTTGCGCTCAATCACCAGTCCGACCGTATCGGCAAACCGATTAGGGCTGTGGGGAACCATCGCAGGCAGTAATAGCATGCCGCCCTCCTCGATATACTCGTTCTTTATCTCGTGTGTTTCTGGGTCGGCCATTCGCAGGAGCATGCGGCCGTGTAGCTGGTAGAACCATTCTTCCGTTGGGTTGATGTGGAAGTCTGTACGCGAATTGGGCCCGCCCACTACCATTATCAGGTAGTCGGCGCCTTCTTGGAACACGCTGTTGCAGACGGTGGCTGTAAACGGTGCTTGTTATCGGCAAGCCATTGTGGAAAGTTTAGAGAAGATGGCAGCATGACCTGTTGAAATAAAAACGACTTTTAAAAGGAAAATTGTCTTGGTAGCTGTAGGAAAGAGATAAGTGGCGAAAGAATATCTAGAAAATGTGGTAATCTCGATATCAAATTTCATTGTGTCGTCATCCATTGTTTATCGCGAACGAGACTATAAACAGACAAAAACAAGAGCAATCTGCTGCCAAAAGCTTGAGTATCTCACGTGTGTGCTGATTTCCCCCCTACCTCTGGCGAAAGGTGCTAACAGTGCGCAAACATAATCTCCAAGGTTGCCCTGCAGGTTGAGATTTGTTAGTGTGGTTTTTCTTTTATTTTTCCCTTTCTCATGTCTCGAAACAAATTCAAATATACACTTTTTCCTCCCCTTGAATTTTCTCACAACAAAAAATGGCAATTGGAAAGCTCGTTCACATTACCGTCGACTTGGTCCTCCTTTCAACAGCGCTCGCAGGCATCCGGCGATCAACCGGCCTCAAGTTCAAGCCTGAAAGCCTGACTGATAGCAAGGACATTCAGGGCTACGTCGACACCTATCTGAACATTGGTGAGAAGACCGTTGACTTTGCCGCATTTCAGATGAGCACCAGCAGCAATTACTTTGCAAAGGGCAAATGATAAAATTGAATAATAAAAACAAATTATTTACTCATTTTTCCACAATAAAAAAGTACACTTACTATTCAGATGCAAATAAAAATAAACAATCTGACCAAAAAAGTGATTTCTGCCAGGATTGAACTGGCGACCGTCTGCGTGTTAGGCAGACGTGATAACCGACTACACCAAGAAATCACGTTATACTGATTAAACAAGCTAATCAACCAATCTAATACTGGTTCGCTACTAACATAGATAATAAACTGCCAACATTGAAATGCCATTATTATCCTTGGTTGCCATTTACAAACCAACCCCGCGACACTACCAGCACACACTTATCAAGACAGATCAAGCTAGCAATAGCCTTGTCGATGTTTTTTAAGATTACATGCACACCGGTGGAATATTCATATGCTGTCGACTAGCAGACAGGGCGTCGCAAATGCTATTCCGACCTCATCTCCTGGCAACTATAAATAGATCACGTCCCAAGCCTCAAGACAAGGAGATCAGACTTAGACACAGACAGATAGATCATATAGCTCTTCCCTTGATTCCAATATAATCAATTACTGCCTTTGAATGCTTTATTTAGATCCCAAGGTTATAGATTTAATCCCGAACCACTTACAGCTGCCGAATAAGGCAACTAAGCAATATTAACAATGTTATTAACATAAAAAATTATCAAACCTGAGACGTCATCACCAACCCCGATTGTTTAGTTCTGTCGAACATTATAAAACCAGAGGCTTGCCAGACACCTGTGTCGCCCCTCTTATCAAGACATACTAATCAACCCACATTCGTGGTGTCCTAGCAATTTCTATGAGATCATAACTGTCTAGAAACGTTCCATTTATGTTTATACCAAGCTCATACACACTTGTGGAATATTATTACTAAATTGGAAAACAGACTAGATATTGCAGGGTGCACTTCAGACCTCACCTCGCAAATATGTGCTAACTGTAATCTAAATAACAAGAAATAAAAAATACATTCAATAAGCGAATTACTACGAAGGTAAAAGCTAAATAAGTATTATCAAAAGTATGTATTGGTCAATGACTGAATCTGTATCTCCTTATCTGGGTCTTTTCTATTTGGGCATGAGCGTGTGTGCACGACAACAATAATTAAACCTGTTCTAGTAAAGTTTTTTATAAATATATTTATTATTTAATAAGCCTATATAAAATAATTAACCGAATGAGCAAGAAAATGACATTTACATGATGCTGCAACCGACACCACAGCATCCGCTTTCATGAGCGGGGCAGCATGATTCCATGCAATCATCGTCCTCCAGGTTAATTGCAATGTCATTGCCGGTGCTTGCTCTCGAGTATGCAATTTGTTCGAAATTATCTGTCTGAATAAGCTGGTCGTTAGAATGCATTGTTTGATATTGTAGTTACTTATTGTTAATGTAGTTTTGTAGTTGAGAATAGTGTAATATCAATGTTGAACAAAAAATCTAGTCGCCTTTTATATATATTTTTTAGTCAGTAAAATATTTTCGAGAAACCTCACTAATAATACCATACTTATAGATATTACTACTGTAAAAATCAGATGTACTCCACTCAAGTGGAGGTACAAGTGCCACATTTATTTCAAAAATTTTTTGGAAGGCATTAAAGTCTACAGGAAGTACTTTAAGTGGAGTAGCTACAAGACTTTGGCAATTTCTAAACAATCTATTCCATCATTTACTTACTATCTATCTAATTCACTTTTCTTTATATTCAATTTTTAATCTGTTTAATTTTAAATTAAAAATGCACGTTTACAGGCCCGAAAATGAATAAATGAGATGAATGGTACTTGCGAGTAATATTTGCGGAAAGCCTGATTATACCCATTTTTTAATACGGCATGTTCCTTGCGAGCAAATAGTCGACCTAAAATTTTATCTACAACATTATGTGCATCTAATTATGATTCCAATTTTCTCAAATAGAATCATCTTTATCCAATATTTTAAATTGTATGCGATAAAAATGACGGCTAGGATACTGCACAAGTTAACAGACCACATTGGATCGGTCAACACAGCCATATTTGACTCTTCGGGAAATTATGTGCTTACAGGCGGACAAGACAAAGTCATTAGACTACCAATGCAAATAACGGACGGCTAGTGCAGACATATGAGGGTCATGGCTGGGCAGTCCAGGGTATTGCCATTAGCAACGATAGTACGCAGATGGTCTGCTGTGGTGGGGACCGGTCTGTGACCATGTGGGATATAAACACCTGTGAAATCAAACGCAGGCTGACATCGGGTCACAAGCAGCGCGTGGACTGCGTTGCAACCAATGCCGATGCATCTATCGTAGTCAGCGGCTCGTTTGATAAGACTGTTGCGGTGTGGGACACTCGTTCAATGCAGCGCACGCCCTTGCAGGTTCTAGACGACGCAAAGGACGGTATATCCAGCGTACTGCTTACGTCAACTGAGATTATATCTGGATCAATTGACGGCTCAGTCAGGACTTATGACATGCGCGTGGGAAAAGCGGTGACTGACTCGCTAGACCAGCCGGTGGTATCAGTGCGTGTATCTCAAACCAAAGATTCTCAGAGCCTTATCGTGGGATGCATGGACAGCACCGTTCAACTAGTGGATCGTAGCAGCGGCATGGCATTCGGAACGTTTTCGGGCCACCAGTGTGCGAAATACCGGATTCAATGCGACTCTAACGGTGAGCTCGTGGCCAGTGGCTCAGAGGATGGGTTTGTATACGTGTGGGACGTCTTGGCTAACAGCGAAACTGGCAGCTATATATCGCGACTGTCAGGTCATTCTGGGATTGTAAATACTGTTTCTTTCCATCCACACTCAGTGACAGACTCGGCCAAAAAGCAGGCCATGCTTTCAGCAGCTTCAGACGGCAGTGTGATTATTTGGGGATGATATAGCTTGTATTTCAGTGTTCTTTTCTGTACAACTTTTCTATTTGTGAACCCCGCAATTTTTTGAACAAAATTTTATTATCGTGACATTGCTAATCGTGTTAGTCAAGAATATGCTTATTTTTAGCATTCGCTTCCTGTAAGCAGTTTCTGGCTGTGTTTCTTTGGATTGTTATGCTTACCAAGAAACGCTTCAAAGTTTTATATATACTTTTTGTTCATTTGATATTCAAATTTGTATATAATTGTTTGTCCCCAATGCCAGAATAAAAGTAGCAGGCAAATAACAATAAAATATAGTTTATACACACAATTTGCGCTTTATTATACCTTTATATTGGTAATCTATTGTCGTCATGAGGACGTTAACAGGATTTCGGTCTGCGCACTGTTGTTTTCAATCAGGCTCGCCCATGGAAGCCTGTGCCATTCGGCGTTCTGGAGTCAAAGCTGCAGAACAAATTCCTCGTAGAGGCCACAATGACTTCATCGATAAAACACCGGCACATATATTACAGACCGCGCTGCAAACCATACAAGATTGTGCATCAGGACGAGGACGGCAACAACGACGGTTTGGACCTAGAAGACTTGAAATGGATAAGCCGCGGTCTCGAAGGAAAAACAAAACCATGATCAGGCTCAAGGTACCGTCGATGAAGATAATCGGGTCAAGAGGTCGAGTGCGGTTGCGACTTGGCTTCAAAAAAGTTTATTATTATTTAATTATTTTTGTAACAGTTTATATAAATACATCTCACACCTTAATACATTTTACACACGCACACAGCACATCGCACAGCGCATTACATATGTTGGCAAATCAGTTGGTGATTGCCAAGTTTTTTGACCGTGGTGGGAGATAGGCGTACTGGTTTCCTGGCTTGTTCACGCTGGGTGTCAGTCCATTGATAATATGCATATCATCAGTGCTATCGTAGCTCTTAATGCCTGCCTTGTCTGCCGATGCAGCGATGGTGGTCATGGATGAAATACTGGAACGAATATCACCCTGGGCCAGCGGTAATGGCGGCGGATATTTGTAGTATCGAATCTCGGGAGTATTTGCCACATCATCTCCCTCTGGAGTCGCTGGCAATGACAGCGGTGTGCAATATGCATGGCCTTGCGATAATTGTCGGCCATAGCTAATCGAGCGCGGAGTCGACAGCCGGCGGTCCTGCCTGCCTCGAGTTCCCAGGGCCTTGCAATCCGCATCGAGGTCATTCTGAGTGACTGTTTTGGTGGTGTTATTGCGCTGGAGCGTCGAGCTAGCATACCACCCGCATTTCTGATGAAGCTGATGGCAGGCGGTTCAGTCTGATAATAGTCGCCATGCGTTTTCAACAAAGTCGGTGAGTTCACAGTGCTGCTACCATTGCTGCTATTGCCACTTACACTGCCGCCGCGCCGCCGCTGCGAGTAAGATCCCGGCCGTTCCTCTTCCATATACGCGGCAGTGGTCGACGAGACTGGATAGTATTTTTTTGGGCAATGCAGAGCACTTTCAGGACCTTGCTGATAGCATACTGTTGCTGATAAGCGGTGCTTGCCGCTGATGTGGCCCGATGGTGTAATTGACTGCGGATACTGGTACTGATACTGCTGCTGTTGCTGTTGGTACTGACAAGTTGGTAACAGTTGGCATGCGAATCGTTCGATCGGATTGTTGTCGTTGACACCGGTATACATGGCGGTGCGTACTGGCTATTGGTGCGCTCATCGAGCAAAGGCCACTGCGGCGTTTTTGTGTGGTAGTAGCCGCCTGGAGTGTGCATGCCGCCTACATTTAAATCAACAGACAACCACATACAGAAAAGCCCATTTATTTAGTTTAATTGATGCCAATTCGTCAACAAAGTTGTTTTTTTCGGTCTTGCTTGCTTGCAGCTTGGCACTGCACAGTAACGTGTGCAGCATCTTTTTGCGTTCATTTTGCGTTTCTGGAACACAGCAGTGGCAGTCAGCAGTCAGCAAAAACAGCACGTCTCTGTGTAGAATTGTCCACATAGATGCACTTCCAAGTAAATAAAAAGAAAGGGCAAGAACATTGATGCTGATTATTGCTACCAATACGCACAACGCCAAATGACTTGTTGGTAGCCTGTCAATGGGAGGGAATGCAAGCAAAAAATAAACAAAAGTGGATTTTTTCCACTATCAACGGCAACATTAGAAATAGTAAACATGCACGGCAGCCAAACAAATCGGAGCAAGGGAAAGGAAAAATGCAATTCTCACTTTTGTTGCTGAAGATGGGGGAATTCAAAATTTATGGTGGAAATGGCACAACACACGGAAAATCACTTTTTCCTCGGACTCCTCTTGTGGACAAACTTACCGCTATTTGTTGGGGACAAGACAGGCAGGCAACGGGGTGTTTGCCGTTTCGGCGAAAGAGTGGAGGTTGTAGAAAATGTCGATCCGTTAGAGCTGCGTCTAGGCCCGATATTTCCTTCATGAAAGCCCGTCTCCGATCGAGGCTCGTGCCGATCCTGCATTTGGTTTCCAGGTAGCACGCCTAGACTCAATAGGTTTACGCTGCCCGCGCGACGCTGGTATGTTTCTGCAGATGAGTTCAGCAATTTGTTGCCAACCTGAGAACCGCCACCAGCGTGGAATCCATGTATAGATGCTGTCAGGCTAGTTTGGTAGCCAGGGAAGAACTGGGGCACAACCTCGCATCCGTCCTCAGCAATTGGCATCACTACAACCGCCATTGGCAGCGCACAGGGCGGGTTCGTGCGAACGAGAGAGCTCTGGTGACGCCCATTGTTGTTGCAGCTGATGCTTGTCCGCGGGGTGGCGGCGTCGGTTGCCGAAGCAGTAATCGCTTCTCTGACTAGTTTGCTGTCATTCGACTGCTTGGATGAGGACCGTTGCCATCCAAAGACCATTTGAAAATACAGAATATGCAAGATTTATAAATAGGCAATGGAGCTTAATGAAAGAAAAATACAAAAATACAAAAAAGTGAAAGACAGCAAAGTGACAAATGAAAAATAAAAAATGAAGAAAAATGTGTTGCTCAGCCGATGGTTAAAAAAGGCAAGGCAAAAATTTTCAAAAGGGGAAATGATGCAGAAAAACGTCAGACAAACGATGGGGGATTGCAATTTCAGGCCTTGACTATGCGAACGTGCCCATCTTCTTGGCTGTTGTTGAAAACCACTGCTTGTAAAAGGAAATGATGATTAAATGTGGGGTGAAAATAGTTCAGTCACCCACGCAATTATTGGGAATCAATTTCTATTGTCCAAATCCTGTTATGACCATCGCCTGCCATATCGCTGTCAATTCCAGCTGGGGGGGGGTTGTCACCATGATGATGCGCAGCTGCGGTGACATATTTGCCACTGCACGCAATACAAAAAATGCGCACAAGCAGTGCGTGCAGCGACAATTCAAATAGAAAAACTGAAGAGCGCCGTGAATGCAAGTGCCGTGCATTATTGTATGCCAAGGTGCGAGGGTGCTGGCGACAACAGCAGATAGTGTAGTGGGGACAGGTTGAATTCATGTATGTCCTTATTTAAAAGAATGACCTGACAATGACAGCGTGTGACCCGAGTTAACAATTCAGATGAGGACATGTGCATCATTCTTTATTCATCGTTCTGATTTCCCCTCCTCTCAAGTTGAAAGAGGAAAAATCAATGTGAGTAGGAAAAATCAACATATTTAAAAAATGGGGTACAAAATCCACATCAAAGATTCATTATCCGAGAAATTACAATTTCGATTGTTTTATTAAACAATATTTGTGCGCCTTTGGTGGCGGTGGAGTAGCACTCATAATGCAAAATACAGCTAGTGGAAATCGCTCAGATTATGCAGGCCGCCTCTGCTGGCAAGTGTAAGCAATGGCTTGACTGGAGAAAAATAAGGCACGAGGCGTAGGTGTTTTCTAGAGTTGAAGCCAAGTATAAAATACAACTCTAGACAGCAGCCGAGTATACACGCGTACTTTCAAAATCAAATATATTTTATGCTATAAAATACGGAGAAAACCCTGGGGAAGCCAATCTGTTTTGTTTCGCTGTTAAAATTTAATACTTGAGCTATATTTCAGCTGGTAACACATTACTCGTCATATATATTTGCAATGAGGTTGCTTTCTGGATTTACATTTGCCTGCATGGTGTTCACAGCTCATGGAGGGACAATTTACTACCAGCCAAGCGGAACTTTGTGCCAATTTCACTCTCAATGCCTGCTATGATCCAGCAGCAGCAACAACAGCAGCAATTAGTTCAAAGCCAGACTCAGGTTCAGCCGCAGGAGCCGCCCAGTAGCAGCACAAGTGTGTCGAGTTTCTGGAGCCTATGGACACCGCGGAACTTTTTGACAAGACTGCTGTTTGGTTGGAACGAGATGCAGGAAATTAACAGAAAGCAGACCGTTGATATACCAAGAGATGGCCTGGATAAAGGCAATCCGAATCCATATGCGCTCATGCTCGTTGAGATGATCCCTGCAATGAAGGTTGTGGCTAAGGATTTCCTCACTGGGCTTGAGATTCAGCTGAAAAAAGCAATTCAAAGGATATTGCAGATATCATTAGAGGCCCAATGGCCGACACCAAACAATTTTTGAAAAGTATCTGGCCGACCCTTCCGTCGGGAGGAGAGAAAGCACAATTGCTGTCGTCATTAATAAAGTCGCTACCGCAGTATCCTTCTGTAATGTCGCTGCCACCAGCACCACCAACAAAAAAGCGCATTACAGTGCCCAATTCTGCGATGAAGGCCAGTAATACCTGTACTGGCACTATATCTGGCTTTCACGTGAGAGGCTTGATTCCTTAATTTAAGTTGTGCCCATTTTCAAGCTTCCAATCGATCAGAGGATATGTGATCTCCCAGCGCATAACTGGCCACGTTAGGGTAATGGGTGTAAATTCTCAAAAATAAAATTGAAATTTGCGCTTATCAATTCAAGCTACTCCATTTTTTGCTAAACCATACGCACATCATCGATCCTTATTTATTTTTCCAACATTATTGCTTGGGCATCCCTTATTTTCACATACACCCCTTCTTGCAAAATGTCCAGCGGCTCAAACACTATTATCGGACGGCTCAAGGAGGAGCCGCTTGTGCCGCTCGGCTTTGTGGCAACGGTTGGCGCCTTTCTATACGCAGCGCGTGGCATGCATCGCGGAAATGTCGGGCAGACTCAGTGGGGCATGCGCGCACGTGTGGTAATGCAGGGACTGACCGTCGCCGCGCTGCTCGGATATGGCGTGTTCCAAACAACAAAGGACTCGAAGCGGCCGGGTATGATGGATGATATTCGCCAAATTGACTGGGAAAAGTTGGAGCGTGACGCCTTGGCTGCCGAGAACGGCGAAAAGCAGGCGGATGCGCCAATGTCACCATTGGACAAGCTTGTTGCCAAAGCCCACGCTAGAAGGGCTAACGGAAACGTGTTCGCTTCCGAGTCTAGCGATAAAAAGGAGTGAATCGGGATCTGGTAGCCTATAGTCGTTAGTATTATTCCCTTTTTATGTTAATATTCTTGATTAGCAGAAATAGTATATATAAAATAGCGTGAGCCACTCATTATAGAATTTTTAGATTAGCACATAGCTGGAATTGAGATCCAATGAGACTCATTATCCTATTCCTCAAACCCAGGGTTTGCAATGGAATGTTTTCGTAAGGACTCAGAGCCCAGACAAAAGCGTAGTAAGGGCGCCACAATGTCAATCATTCTTTTTTGGAACTTCTGTTTCCATATTTAATATTTAATTGAATCTTTGCTCATATTTCTTTGAATGACAAGGCAATTGTGTTTTTTGCAGGCGATTTCGAGTAGCCCACATAGATAATACACATCATGCGAACGAAATTTCAAAGATAGTTTTTATTTTTCGTGTGGGAGTTGTTCAAATAGTAGTGTTATTAATATTAAAAAATGAAAATGAGAGATGGTGATTCTACTGCGAAATGTTTCCAAAACAGTAAACAATTAAATATAAGGATATACTCCCGCTGATCATAAAGCCACAGTTCACCAGTTTAAAGGGATGTATTGGCCATTTCAGAAACACGCAGTGTGGCTGTTTGTAAGCAAACATGACTCCTCAAACTCTTTAAGATGGTTGCAATAATAAAGCTAAAAGATAACGTCTTTTGTGAGCTTAGTCAGGAAAAAGCACAAATTAAAATAACAAATGTTATTTTAATTTGCGCCATAAAACACAACAATGTCTCGAAGAACAAATTGTCCTTATTTTTTTCGATAACAAAAAGACATGAAAAATAAAGAGGGACTGCTATTCCATTATTGCAGTTAGGGAACAATAAGCGAATAAGCAAACAATTGCAGTTATAGAACAAAATAAATGGTGCCGGAGAGTGAACTTTGCTGGCCATATTTATTTTCAAGAAAAACTGTGCCACAGTAATAACTGCTATACTTTTAATTATCACTTCTAGCTGGACCGTCTTGCTTTATCATTATTTAAACAGCTGCCCATTTATTTCATTTTGCACGCGCAAGCAAGCTATCCAAATCGTGTTTTTGTCCGCACTGCATCTCTGGCTTTCAATATCCCCATTTTGATTTTGTTTGGTTGTTTTCTCATACACACCATCCTGTTGGACGTATTTTTTATTCACTTTATTAATTTACGTACTTGGACCAAAATCTCTGTTCATCCCCGCACGGCCTTATATTATTCGCTTGCATATTGCGCTTCTGGGAATCCATATATAGTTGCGCTGGGTCACACACTTTTATCATCTTCTAAACTACTTTATACTATTTGGCATTAATATTGCACACCTAGTATACAAGGAATAAATCGTAGGGTACCTTTCAAATAATATTTTTGACAATGCATACAAACCATTTGTCGACGCAATAAAGCGCCATAGTAAGCGCCATAGTCAAAGAGTGTCGTTGGATGGAGAGGATGTCGACCTGGTGGATTTTGGTCGTGCTGACTGGCCATATGACGCAATGATTGGCACAGAACCCGCGGTTAGTAACCCCAGAAGTATAACGGCATGGCCAGCATGACATGTGTCGGCCAGACCTCAGCAGCAACAGTAGCAGTATCAGGGGTAAAGGTAGGCGCGCGCGACCAATTCTGGCGCGGCTGTCTAGCGTCCAACACAAGGCTCGCAGGGACAATCAGCTCAGCTCTAGGAACAACGGCAGGCAAAAGTCACATTCTCACGATGGTATTCTGGTACGAGAGTTATCTGCGGCCTGTGACAGCGAGCCCACCTACTTTGCATATAGGCAGCTGATTCATCAGGGCGCGCAGTTTTGCCAGCAGCAGCAACAACAACAACACCAGCAGCAGCACTATTGTCACAAACATTGCACATACCAAACGCTTCCCCCGACTTGTTGAACTCACGGCAGCTGCGAAGGCAAGTGGCACGCTACAGCAATAGCGTCCCGACTAGGCTAGACGAAGAGCAAATTGCGTCGTTCAATGGCAGCGGAAACATCAACAACAACAGCACAGACCGATGCAGCACGGTTAACAGTGTTTTTGCAAGGACAATCCGCTTACAGTTTTAGGTTCACTCAGAGCGCAGTGTTAGCGTCATGGCTAATGTCCTGATAATTTTTGTGCCATTGGGGTACATTGCGCACTACTTGCAATGGCCCGTGATTGTCGTGTTTGTGCTCAACTTTTTTGCTATCATCCCACTATCAGCGCTCATGGGGTTCACGACCGAGGAGGTCTCGATACGCTTTGGCCCAACTTGGGGTGGCGTGATGAACGCTACATTTGGAAATACCGTCGAGCTGATCATCGCCGTCATCGCGCTCATCAAGGAGGAGTACCGTATAGTTCAGGCAGGGCTGATTGGCAGCGTGCTGTCCAATACGCTGCTGTGCTAGGATGCGCATTTCTCGCAGGCGGTCTGCGTCATCGGTCCAGCTGTACCATGCGGAGGCTGCTCAATGTGCTGGTGCATTGCTGGCGCTGAGCGTCCTGAGTATGATAATACCTGCTGCTTACCACAATATGCACGCATCGGATGGCAAAATACCAATGGGATCCTGGTAATGTCGCGGGGACGGCGCTGATTCTGCTAATTGTTTATATTTTGTTCCTGGTGTTCCAGCTCAAGACCCACAGCGAGATATTTGACGGCACACACATGGATGCCAACAGCGACATCAGAAACCAATGCCCCTACCATTCGGAAAAGCATGAGACCGTTCAGATGGAGTTCGACATGATAGATAGTAAGCCTAGCCTGGGCCTAAATACGCACCCGGTTGATACCAAAATTCCAAGCAAGAACAACAGCATCAGAAAAGACAGTGGCGCGGTGATTGACGCCAAATTCATAAAGGAAACGCGAGAGTGCCATCTGCGCCACTCGGCGCCGCTCATGATAATGTGGGTGGCTATCCTGTTGCTCATTGTTGTATTTGGACTGGTGGTGCTCTCGTCGGACATTCTGGTCGATTCAGTCGAGGAGCTGACTACACACTACAACATCAGTCACACTTTTGTCGGCATGATTCTGCTGCCCATTGCCTCGAACGCTGCAGAGCACACAATGTCCGTTACAGTGGCACTGCGCAACAAGATGGACTTGTGCATCACTGTTGCTGTCGGGAGCTCAATGCAAATGACCCTGTTTGTGCTGCCATTGCTGATTATCATAGCTTGGTTCCTCAGCCGGCCACTGACATTGTTCTTTGACGATTTCGAGACCACAACCATGTTGATATCGGTACTGGTGTTCAATTACCTCATTATGAACGGCCGCTCCAACTGGCTCAAGGGCGCCATGCTGCTGTGCTCGTATTCTATCGTCGCGCTGGCCTTCTTCCTGTACCCGAACGAGTTGGACAATGTGAGGGGCAACGTTGCCGCCAACTTTGTATCTTCCACTTCCTTGCCTATCTCTGCTGCAAAGCTCACTGAGCCAACTCTCAGCTCATCAAAACTTAGCTTTTTGTAATTAAATTTTCTGAATGTAAAATAGTAAATCATATTAATCATAGCATGTTAGTCTTTATTGTCACAAATCGCGTGGACGCGTGTCGTTGGCGCCTTTGATCATCCGAAAAATATACTTTCAGGGATTGGGTAGACTGTTTAAAATTTTCTTTTCGCATACTCTAATTTTTTAGCTTGCCGGGCTCCAAGAGAATTATTCGTGCCAATTGAGCTCTCCTATTAATATCCGTTGCACTGGTGGTCATCTTGAATGCGATGTAACCAGAGCACACCACCGTTATCACAAGTCAGGGACCAGATTATTTCGATAATTTTTTGCACCACATTCTTCACCCTTCTATTTTGGCTTGGTTTTTATTTACCGTTTTGTCTTTCGTTTCTGCTTTTTCTATTTTCCTATTTTTCCATTTTCCTATTTTGCGATTTTTCATTCCTTAATTTTCATTACTTAATTTTTCCACATTTCCTTTTTCGTTTCCTTTCACGCATTTCCAACGTTTCTCGACAGCAACAAATGTTCGCCCGCAATTCGGACGAACCCGATACCACAAAACCAGTTCCTAGTAGCAGTAACAGTACCAAAATGAAGAAGCGACCACAGCCACAGCAGCAGCGCCAGCAAAAGACGAACAAGGGGCGGCCAAGCAGCCGCGGCAGCCGCAACAAAAGGGCAAGGGGAAGCGCGCGGCCGCAGCTTCCGACAGCGCGGATGTCGCAGAAATGACTGCCAGTTCCACCGTTACTTCAACAGTAACAGCGTCGACAGGCACATCAAAAGGATTAACTTTAAGCGAGGAGGACAGCCTGATTCAGGAGCTGTTGGCCGGTATTCCCTCGACAGCATGGTTTCCCACAGATCCATTGACGTCCGATGGTTGGTTTGCCGATCCATCGTCGTCCGTTATCACCCAGGACAACCTGTTCCATTACACCAATCTTCCTAAAGAGAGCGGCACACATCACGTATCTGGCAAGAGCCAAACACAGCAACTTGAGCAGCAACTTCAGCAACTTCAACAACAGCAACTCCAACAACAGCAACTTCAGCAGCTTCAACAATTTCAACAGCTTCAACAACCTCAGCAACCTCAGCAGCCGCATCAGCCGCTACAGTATCAGCACCCAGTTTCGTTGCAGGCGTCCTCAGCGGCAAACATGCCCAACTTACATGCCAAGGATTTGTTGGACTTTCATGCATTGCTTGCAGAGGCATCTCCAACATTAGGCTCTGGCAGTGGGGTTGCCAGCTTGACGGCTGCTGCCGCTAACATACTGACTAGCGGCGCCGGAAATCAGCAATTGACCACGCACAGCAACGCCAAATCTCAACTCTTGTCTGCTGCTCGGTCCAAGCACGGGAGTCGACTGTTGAGTCGCGGCAGTGCATCCCAGAAGGGACACCCGCTAGACGGATTTGCCAGCAAGCATGCTATCGGGTATCCGGTCGGAAACCAAATGATGTCGGTTTTGTCGCCTGCCCTGCTGTCGTCATCGCCGCCGAATGCAAAGCAGCTGCGCACAAACCCTTATAAATACTACTCGCCGCCAAAGCATACGCACCGCCCCCTGGTGGCAGACCACTCCAAGGCGCGCAATCTCATGCAGGGCTTGGCTGCTCCTACTGCTCCTGCTGCTGCCACCAATGCTCCCACACAGCAGCAAAGCCAGCTGCCGCCTTCGTCCTCAGCTGCACCGGCATCTATACCAGTGACACTTACCCCAAATGCGCAGAAGAGAGCACGGTCTAACACGAAGGGCGTGAGGTGGGATATATCACAGGACAGGCTTTTTTTGCGAGGCGTGCGTCATCAGCGGTGGCAGGTTGGCAACCCGGGCCGGGATCCAGACCAGTTTACGAGCGACGACTGGGACAGCATTGCGCAGAATGTGACCAGCGGGGGCGTGACCCGCAGCGCACGTCAGTGTCGGCGGCGGTGGGCAGTGATGCACGCGCATCTCGGCGCCACAATAATGGACTTTGTCGACAGCAATCCCACGCCGCAGTCGAGCGCACAGTCTACGCCAATGTCGACAACATCGCAGACCCCAATGTCTAAGCAGCGGCCTGGCATGGCTGCAGGCATTCCACAGCATATTCGAAACCTGCAGCTGGCCAACTTGCCCATGTCATCGCCGCCGTTTATGCCGTCATTTGCTCGAGTGCAGGAGTCGGAGTCTGGGTGTTCTAGCAGCGTGCTGTTCTCGTCGCCGCAGCATAATCCCGTCGAGGATTCGGCTCTCCACAGCTTGCCCAAACCGGTTAGTTCGCCCAAGATGGTTAGCCTGGATTCAGTGGATGTGGATAGGCGGTGGCAGTCGCCGGCCTACTGCCAGTTGCTGGCCGATGTCGTGCAGGCTCTGTCCAACCCGCAGTCGCAGGCAGCGGAGGTTGTCCGCAAGTGTTCTAAGGCAACGACAGCAACAAAGACGAGGACAGCAGCCGAGGAATATACGAGAGCTAATAACAACTTTGTGCCTACCGCTTTGTTGCCCGAAGTCAGCTTGGCTGATACAGCACCTTTGGCACCTTTGGAACCCGCAACTGTGTCTAAGAGTATGTTTGTCAGCACTGCTACCAGCATCGGCATGCAGGATACTCCAACTTTGGCCGCCCTACATAACACCCTGTTAGAGCGACAGCAGCGAGAGGCAGAGTTAGCAGTATGGGTAACCCTGTAATGCCCGTGCCGCAGCTGGATATTAAATCAACTCCGGTTGCTGCCACCTCAGCCGCCGGCACTGCTTTCGGTTCTGTTTTGGGAGACAACCTGCTGCCCGCTAAGCTGGACATTGGCGCGCTCGATCCAGACTTGAACATATACAACCAGTTTCTCCAGAGCCTTGTAAATACGCAGCTCGATTTAAATAGCAACTGGTCTGCAATTTTTGGCGACCCATCGGCTGCCGCGAGCTTTAGCCTGGTGCAGGCGACCAGCGGCGCGCCATTGACAAGCATGCTGGGCCCGGCGCTTAACTTGACATCAACGGTTGGATCTGCGGGCATTTTGACGACAAAGCCCGCCGTCGCGACGTCTGGTAGCGGCGGGCCCGGAGTTGGGCGTTCATCTACCCAGGTGATTGACGATGACGACGCCAACGACGGTGATTTTATTCTTAATGACTCCGAAGACGGCGATGATGATGGCGATGATGACGACGAGGATTCGGACTCAGACTCTGACGGTGATCAGGACGATGGCCAGGGTGAGGGCGATGGTTCACCCGCCAAAGTACAGCCTGAATCTACAACAATGCATTCTGCTGGCATGGCTTTGAATAGTTCTTGGGACAAGACTCTGAGTCAGCTGGGGCTAAACACTGGTACTATTGTTAACTCTGGTATGAGCGCTGGTGCTGGCAGGTTATCGGCAGTCGGGTCTTTTTCGAAAGTTGCGCATACTGGCCTGGGCACCGTGGGAGAAGGTGATAAAGAGTCTGATAGCGCAGCTGTTGCGTCGGATCTCCCCATTCAGCAGCCTTTGCCAGGCTTCGCGGGGGCGGATGGCGAATGCAACGTTGTTCAGGATGCCTCTCAATCGGCGCAGCCCTCGGACATTGTTGGCGCTACAAATCTCCCGCTGCTGTGTCCGCGCAATAGTCCATTTGAACTCACTGGGACCACGTCGTCAGCGAAGCGGCGGGGGAAAACGGTGGTAAGCGGCAGCGGCGGCGCCCCAAAAGCGTCGGGAAACACTCCCCGCGGTGCTAATCGCGCGAGGTTGTCTGGCCTTTTTATAGAGGGAAAGGCAGCACAGCGGAATCCACTGCAGTCAAACCAGCTTAATGAGCCGCTTCTGGACGACCCAAATGCGCCCTTGAAGCGCAGGAAGTCCATGTCGCAGCGCAAGAAGAAGCTGCTAAAGCGGCCTCGGCGACCATTGCCAGGGCGATGTCGTCAACGTCGAGTATTGACGTACAAGAATTCCTGTTAGCTGAGGCCGGCAGCATGGATACAGAGATGAGCGGGTTGTACCAGGACGCACTGCAGGAGGGCGAGGAGTTGGACGTACAGGAGAAGTCGCTGCTCGCCGATAGCAGTGAGCTCCTGTTTACCATCGAGCAGATGCAGGAGCTGCGCAAGCAGCAGTTGCAGAACTTTCAGATTGTCACGCAATCTTTGCTGTTATCGATTACAGATTCTGGGCCGCACCACCAGCGGTCGTTGCATTGGAAGCGGCAGCTGGATAATCTGTCTCTATGGCACTCATTGGGCACGCGCGAGGCATTGTGTAGCCCAGCGGTCGCCAGCACTTTGCGCTCATCTGCATCACTGCTCGACAACTCGGTGCCAATGCGTATGGCAGCGCGGTGCCCAATTTGGCGTCGTTCTTTGCTATTCCAGGAATAAGCACCGTTTTGCCCAGCCTGTACGAGGCTATCGACGAGATCCACCGGTCCACACAGCTGCCTCGTCAGCTCCGACATGAGGATTGACAATAGCAGTTTGGGAAGCAAGAGCTCTGGTTCCTCAAAGTCGCTGGCGTCAGGACACGAGTCGTCGAGGTGCGTGCGCTCGTTAATGGCACGGTGTTTAAGGACACGTGCCAGTGCACGCCTACGCGCAATTTTAGTTCGACACTTTTGGTGCAGTGCGTTTTCCCTGCGATGCACGAGCAGGCGCGGAAAAGTACGGATGGCTGGTACGCCAAGCGTAAGGCGATCGAGGCTGCAGACGCGGATGCAAGCAGGGTCAGAGCAGTGGCAGCATCAAGCGGCTGGCAGCGATTCGTCCACTTAATGTTGCCAGTGCCGGTGCCGGTGCTGGTGTCGGTGGTGGTGGTGCCGATGCTGTTATAGTTGATGGAATAACGGCAGCGCGCAGGAGCAGCCGGACAAGCCTGTTTCACAGAGCGTCTCGGGGCCGTTGCTCAGCGTACACGACGTCAGCGCCTCGAACAGCGAGCATCCACCATTGCGCCGCTGTTTCTTTGCAACAACCTGCCGGTTTACGCCGGTTCCGATGTGCGCGCAATAGTAGACGAATTGTGCGTGCAAGTGAAAGCCTTCAAGCGCGACCTGCACCGGGTACCGCGATCACGGCGGCGCATCTTTGTACAGAGCGACGAGGGCGTGGCGCAGTTCGGGTGGATGTCAGTTAAAGTCGTCCCTATGCGACTGCCACCGCGATAGTTAGTCTCCTGGCGCCGTTCATCCGCCACCTCGGGTTCAGCGAGTCCATGCTTCCGAGCATCATTGCCGTGCGCAAGCCCAATAACCGCATCCATTTTATGGGGTCCGAAGACTCTCTTCTGCTCGAGGGCCTGCGGCTGTTCGGACCCGAAGATGTAGCATCTATGTCTGCGCACTTGATGCCTTGCAAGACAGAGGCGCAGTTGCGTAACCGGTTGAATAATTTGCGCGCTCGGAGGGCGCATTCCAATCCAGTGAAGGCGTTTTGCTTGCGTCGGATTGCGCCGTTCACGCTGGAGGAGGAGGAGATTTTGCGGCTGAGCGTTGTTGTTTATGGCGAAGAGTTTAATCAGTTTGACCAGGATCATTTTGTTAATCGGCCGGTTCTCGCTCTGACGCACGTATGGAGCCACCTGCGCAAGGCTGATTCGGGATAGAAAAAGGCTGTTTTCCGGAGATGATTCCTTTTTAAAGTATTAATACTTGATTTATATTTACATTTTTTGTTGTATTGTGTAGTTACATGTTTCCCGAGAGAGAAAAAAGTCGCGGCCGACTGGAATTGTCAAAGTTGCTGAGCGGGCGATATGCCAGGAACGTGCTTTTTTAATTTAGGCAGTTTTGCAGCGAGTGCTTAATGTTTTTTGTTCCTTGTAGCAGAAATTGATTTTCGGCATCTGGATCTTGCTACAAGTCAGTTGTCCCGGCTGCTTGCTTGCTTAGCTGCAGTACCTGCTGACTCATACATCTTGGTCAGGGGAAAGGGGAAAAGCAGCCAATGGGAAGCTGGAAAAAAGAAAATGCAAGCTCAGGTGAAAGAATAAACAAAAAAGAGGTATTTTGAACATGTCGCACATGGGACGCAGTCACCGATTTATACACGCTATTGTAGGGATGAAAAATTCATTATAAAAAGGAATCCCAGCTGTAGTAATGAGAACAAGCGTTTACTTTCCTCTTTTTCTCTCTTTTTTATTTTTACATATTTTTCTACGTATTTGTTGGGGTCTAGCCTTAGTGTTACTTGTATTCTATTACAGTATAGCAAAAAAGAAAAAGGCTCTATAGTTTATCCGGAATCGATGCACATCAAACTTTGCTGATTCGCACAACAGACATTTATTAAATATTCACAGAAACTCTAGCCGGCTCTTTCTCGCTCCTTTTTCCTCGTTCTAATTATTATTTCCCCCTCTATTATTCGACGTGTTTGCTATTTTTCTTTCTTCCACATGCTTCAACACACAGCACAACCACGGCAGGCGCCTCTCACATGTTGCGGCGGCGATGTGCCAGCAGCATGGCGAACAATGCGGCCAAGTATGAGTCACACAAGCTCAAGACGCCCACCACCACAGCATCAGCCGCAGCTGCAGCAGCATTAGGGGGAGCAGCCACAATACCCGGGGCACCGACCCACACGCGCACAGTGTCGGTACAGAGCGGGCGCAGCCTGCAGCAGAAATTCTACGAGAACCGCATCCTCGACCGGTACACGGCACAGGAGCCGAAAAAAGTAACCCTCCGGCAGCTTGTTCTCTTCGGGCGGCAGCTGACAGAAGCCAAACTCATTGCGTCCGCCAACTACGTGCGGTCCGAGCTGCCCGTGCGGCTGGCGCACCGGATCAGCGACTTCCAATACCTTCCGTATATCGCCGGCACCAACCCGCATCTCAAAATGGTCTACGATCTGTATTGGCGCGCCTTTGACGAGTTCCGCAAATTCCCGGCGATCAAGTCGCTGAACGATAACCGGAGATTCTGCGATAATGTCAAAACCAATTTGCTCGAGCATTCGCAAGTGATCCCTCAGCTAGGCATGGGCGTTGCTGAGTGCGCCGATCTCGTGTCCCCGGAGGAAATCGACCGCTTCATGCACCAGATGCTGGTCTCGCGTATCTCACGGCGCACGCTCTCCGAGCAGCACATTGCGCTGAGCGAGCAGTTCGACCAGGATCTGCGCGCACACCTCGGACTGACTGCCTCCGAGGGTTTTGCAGAAATGAGCGCCGCCCCGCCGGGTTTGCCTCGCACCGCATCGGGATTGTGCGCGCCGACTGCAGTGTAGCGCAGATCATCAATGACTGCGCAATGCACGTTGCCAGCATCTACGAGGACGCCCATCAGCTGCCGCCGGGCACTGCTCCGCAGGTCATCGTCGAGGGCCACACCAATGCGACGTTTATGTGTATTCCGGCGCACTTCAGCTACATCGTCCACGAGCTGCTCAAGAATGCTACGGGCCACGTGATTGCACGCTTTGCGTCGCGCCTCGAGAGCGACTCGGCGGCGGAGGTGGCAACGAAACCTGGCGAGCCGCTGTTTCCGGCCATTCGCGTGACCATCTGCTCGAGCCACAGCGACATTGTCGTGCGGGTGTCCGACGAGGGCGGTGGCATTAATCCCGAGATACTGCCGTATATCTGGTCATTCACGCATCCGCTCAAGGCAAAGTGCTTGCACAATTTCCATTCCGTGCATCGCATGGAGGCGCGAGTCGACGAGGATGATGCGGTGCCGCCGCTGATGTCCTTTGGGTTTGGCTTGCCCATGTCCAATGTTTACGCAAAGTACTGGGGCGGCAGCGTTAATGTGCATTCGTTGCCCGGGTATGGCGTCGACGCCTACGTGCAGCTGCCGCGTCTGGGAATGTCGTCGAGAACATTGCCAACCGGCGGGCGCATATCGCTTTGGACTCATAATTAATAACTAAACCTTTATCATTTTCTTTTATGTAATGTAATGTATATTTTCCTTTCGCCGTTGTAAAAGAATGGATGAAAGAAAGAAATTGACAGATAGATAGAGGTTTAAATTTTTAAACTGCTATTTTGAAGTATTGCTCTTTTTTGTTCATTGTCAACACTGTCGTTTGCGAACACAGATCCAATGGACGGCCGAGCATCATCAATCATCTTTGTCAAACCACGCTCGCCCAACACTTTTCTCAGACATGTCTGGTATTTCTTAAACACCTCTGTGCAGTCATTTGTGCGCTCGCCGTTAGGAATTTTTCACTGTACCATTTGGTGAAGCACGCATCATACTCGCGCTTGAGTGGCGTGCATTCGTCGCCAATGCTATCCATGTTATAGCAATAATAATAAATAAATAAATGGATAGGCTAAAAAAACGAAATTTGTAATAAATAATAAAAAAGGTTAATTTCTAATTTTTTTGTGCTGTGTTGAAGAAAGAGAGAGAAAGGAGGAGGGTGAAAATCAAGAAAAATGTCGAGCTTTGCAAAAAAAGTTGATATTTATCATTTTGATCACGATAATCTTTATTTTTCTTTTTTGTCCGATAATTCAAAATTCAAAATTCAAAATTCAATTTTTTCTCTTTCTTTTTCGTTATTTTTTGTATTTACCAAATTTAAACCTCAAATCAACTCACCAAATGAACGATTCAATCAAAGAGGTCATTATCAAGGGACGCCGTTGGCAAATTCCTGTTGCACTGGGGCTACATTCCCTTCATTATCTATGTGGATACAAGTCCAGCAACCCCCGGCCTCCTCTCGCACGCATTTTCAGCCCCATGGCCTAAAAAACACAAAACATCAACCACCAAAACGCAATATCTTTTTTAATACTTTTTCTTTTTCTTAAAGCATTAAACAAAAGAGGTGTAATAAAAACTATTTCAATATATTCATCCTTTCTTGTCTTTACAAATAAAAAACATGCCGGAACAAAATAAATGAAAAAGGTGGTAGAAAATCTAAAAAAATTGTCACAAGTCCTCGGTCACTTCGTCAACTGAAACAATGGGCTGTAGAATAGTTGCCACAGCATTGTTAGGTCCAACAGGAACTCCCTGATCGTGCTTGACGCAGGCGTATGCTTAGAAACACTGCCAAAGCTACTACCGCCAGCAGCCCCGCTATGCTGGTTCTGCTGCTGCTGGTTGGGCAGCGGGGGCACCGGCGGCTGTTGTTTCTGGTACTGGTACTGATGATGGTGGTGGCGAAGATGTCCGACACTGTTGTTCCTCGACAGATTCTGGGCAAAACCTCGACGACGACGATTATCACCATTGACTGTGCGCATCTCTTTAGCCAAGTATCGAACAATCGACTGCGTCGGCAAACCCTTTAGTGTCGAAATGGCATATCCAGTTTCAGGGCTGCTGCTGCTGCTGCAGTGGCTGCTGATTCTGGGCATCGGTCTTTGCACGCGTGGTCCTGTCGATGTGTGCGGCACGGCTGGTTCCCTTTGCCCGCAGCCACCTTGCTCGTCGAGTACAGAGCCTCGGTAATGATATTGGTCATCATGTCGCGCAGCACATTCACATACGTGGCATCCAAAAGCTTGGACACCCGGGCCGGCACCGGAATCTGTCTAGTCGAGTCGCCATCCAATCACCACCCGCCTCTTCCTCGTCATAGGCACCTGTGCCACGACCGGCGTCGGCGGGCGAGTCCTGACCCCGAGGCTAAGCTTGATGGCGTCAAAGACCGACTCAATATGCGGCTTGTATTTTTTAAAATCGCCGCCTAGGAACTGGTACAGCGCAGCCAACTGATGTGGCACAAACGAATGGTCGGCAAGATCCTGCGGAACCATTAGCATCCGGTGAATACTGCTGGCCACCACTGTTATCTGGTTGATGACCGAGTAATATTGCCAGTGAGCATTGATGCCCTTGCGTTTTTCCTGCGAAACAAAGTTCTTGACAGGCACGGGGCGCCGCATAGACATCGGGATGGTCGCTTTGCTGAGCACGTCCTCTGGAGGCAGCGGGCGGCTGAGCATCGGGGGATCTTCGCCAAAGCTGGACACGTCGCTCTGCGATCCGCTGTCATCGTCGTCGTCGGGGCCGCGCGCATCGTCTTCAGAGTCCTTGCGCCAGGGGAATGGCCGGTCCGGATGGCGCGTCAGCCAGTCTACCCACTTGGCTGAAAACGGGAAAACAAGGTTGAGCCCTGACTGGGAAAAGTACTGCGACACCTCGATGAGCATGGCCTTGAGAGCCTGCTCGTAGTCATCGTAGTGCGTATCCATCGGGTTCTCAGCCAATCCATTCTGCTCCTCGCTACTGCTGCTACCACCGCCGCCATTGTTGGTCGTTGCAGCAACCCCAAGGTGCATGTTGCTTTTGCGCCGCAGGAGCTGCTGGCGCTGGGCCTGGCATTGCTGGTGCACAGCCTTGCCAGGTTCTGCAGAATCATCGGGTCGAGATTGGCCTGCGACACGTTGTCCGAGTAATAATCTTCCTGCTCCCGGGCCAGCGAGATCTCCAGCTCGCTGGCATACTCCATAATATCCAGCGGCGCAAGTTGGCAGGCGAGCTAGCACCTACAACAATGGTAGCAGAGGTGGCAGCGGTTGCAGCAGTGTCAGTCGCTGAAACTGCTGCTCCTGGGCCCAAATCGGCATCGGCATCGGCATCGGCATCGGCAGTTGCCGCAGCAGAAGCAGCTTCCTCCTCTGCGGCCTCGTCGTCATATATCGCCGCGACGCAGCCTCTTGTTCTCCCTGCTGTTGCTCCTGCCGGCCTCTAAACTCCACTGAAGGCGCCAGCAAGCTAGCATGGGCACGCGCCGACGGAAACTGATGCTGCCGTTGCTGCTGTGACAATGCTCGATCCCCAAAGTCCCTCTCCGCACCGAACGCCGACGTGCTCAGCTGGTGAATGACAGTCGGCGCCATGGACACGCGCGAAAAGGGATCGACCAAATGCAACACGCCCGTCTCACTCATCTCTGCCACAGACCCATGAACAGCCAAAGTCTTGGAAAGAATGCCCGCATTGTGCTCAATGGGTGCGCCAAAGCTGTCAACCGAGCTGTTCGAGGACGAGTACCCGTAGTCGCTGCTGTCATTTTGGTTGGATAACTCCAGGATATCGCTGAGCTCACCGAGCTCGTCAATCGACTCCATCTGCAGCACATCCTCGTCATTATCACCAAGTCGTCGGGCAGATCGCGGCTGGTAAACTGCGGCGAGCGCTGCGCAGATGCCGCTGGGGGCAACATCAGCATGTCATCGGGCTCAGGAAGCTCATCCAAGACAGCGTAAATGTCGCAGTATGACGGCACGGCTTGCTTCTGCGGAAACGACAAGCCGTCGGAGTCGCTAGAGCCCCAGCGGCGGGGAGACATCATATTGCGGTGTTATTGGCCAAATTGCTCCTGCCAACGTTTGCAGGCAGTGGCGTGTCAGAGTCTGCTGACGATGAGCTCAAGGAACGCGGGCGTATCGGAGTGGTGGCAGGCGTGCTCTCGTATGAGTGCAGGTGCGAGAACGTGCCGAGCAGCGAGCTGTCGTCCGGGCGCTGGCTTTCCCTGGCCTAATGTCGAATGACGTGCCTTGCCCAGAGTTCGAAACATGGTTGTGCTCAGTACGAGGGGTATTAGGCGCCAGTGGCCCTCCTACTGGAGGAGGCGGTGATTACGTCAGTCAGTGGGTGGCCCGATGCGAGATTGTCGGGGTTGATGGCTGACGAAGAGAACGAGGTGCGGTGGTAAAAGGGCTTTGTTGCGCGTCACGGGACGGATAGCAGCTCGAGTTGAGATCTGGGTGCCGAGAATGCACATGGTGGTGCGACGTCAAATCAAAGGGGCTGACGGGGTGCTCAGCAGCAGCCAGCGACTGCTCCTGCGAGACGCTCTCCTTGTAAAAGGGCTCGTTGCTGGGAGCCTCCCAGCCAGGGTGCTTGTCCAGCACATCCGGGTGTGTGCGGTAATACTCCAAAACATTGTCTAGCGACTCTGTGGTGGCCTTGCGGCCGGGATTCAGCGTGCCTCGGCGGCCGACCATCGGAATAATGTATTCTGCTGTGGAGTCCGCAGCACTGCCGCCCGAGTTCTCATCATCTTGGCTGTCATCGCCGACCTGCACCAAGATGCTGACGGGTTTGGACCTATGATCATCGTTGTCGGCACTGCCCTTGCTACGGTAATACTTAAACTCGAAGCTATCATGTTGCGAGGCCGACGGCGACTTGGATTGTGTAGGTGCGAGCGATGCAGGGATTGGTGGGAGCGGGTTGGCGTTAATATTACCAAAGTGACCGTCGCCCGCAGAAGTGGACCCGTGTCCGGCGCCATCAATGGAGCTGAGGCTCTGTTGCGCCGTGGCAAAGTCTAAATTGACCGTCTCAGCGCGTCCTGGCCATGCCGAAAAGGCTGCGCTATGATAGCTGCTGCGTGACCCGGGGCTGCTGTCATGGGCCGCAGCGTGTTGCTGAACCAAGTTTAACGAGGCAATGCTGTTCTGGCGGTAGCGTGCGTTCTCCTTGGCTATGTGCTGATGTATGTCTCCGAAGAGCCAGCGCCCGCTTGGTCAGGCGAGTTGAGCAGCGACTGAATTGGAATCGATGGCGCCGATTGAGCCTCGTGGCCGGGACTCGAGCGATGCTCTCGCATCTCTCGCATCGGCTGCGCAACACCCGCAGACAGCACGGCGTGCGCCATCGTGCGGTGGTAGCCGGAATCAAATTCGTAACCGTCCCTGTATCTTGGCTCGGTCACGCTCTCCACTTGCGCTGGCGGCGGCGGGGGCTGGGTAGAGGTTGGTAGCTTTTGTTCCATCATAGGCGACTGCGACTGGCGCTGCTGAAACTGGTTGTTCTGCGCCCATATGCCTGCGACAAGCTGCTGCCATCGGTGACGGATCCCGACATCTGGTCGTTGCTCTTTGCTGATCCTGCGTCAACCCACTGCTGCTGCTGTCGCTGCTGGGTAGATCATGTGTTGCTGCTGCTGCTGGTGGCTGATACGGGCGCTGTTGGTACTGGTTATTATGCACACCGTAGTGCGGCTGCGCGTACTGCTGGAGCGGTGCGCCTGTGGCGGCGATGTAACAGATGTGTACGTGTATGCAGTTGACTCTGCTGTCGAAAAGACCTGGATATCGTATGCTGGGGTTTGCTGGGGCGCCTGTCTGGGATCCACCGCCACCAAGCCATTAGCATAACTACCAGCATAGTGGCGATGGCCGCCATGCTGGTTTTGCTGCTGCTGCATGTACCCGGGAGAAGTAAATGCCGACGGGAGATGGCCCTCGCCTGCGCGTGCCGGACGCTTCCCGTGCTGCTGCCGTCCATGTACTTCCAATCCTGGTTGGCAAATTCTGGCAACTGCAATGATGCCGGCGACAACTCCTGCTGATGCTGTGCCAGCTGCTGATGTTGCGCAAATCCCGGGTAATAATGTCTCTGAGACGCGCCTATTGCACCGCTTCCATAACCAGACCCATGCCCAAGGGCGATGTCTCCTTCTGTATGCCCATAGTCGGATTGTGACTGTCCGTAGCCGCCGGACGGTTCACCTGCTCGCGCCGCATGCGCTGCTTCTGCAATGCCCACAGGTCACTACCCATAGCCCGCTTCAGCGACTCTATCTCATCCTCAGAGCTCTCATCCTTGTCAACTGACTGCTGTTGCTGCTGCTGCACCCTGCCATCCGTATGATCCGATAGGGTGTTAGATTCTCTCCGTCGCCGCTGTTGTTGCTGCTGTTGCTGGTTTTGCAATAGGGCTCCGTACCCGATGGCTGCAGATGCTGCCGCTGCGGGCACTGTATTTAATGGGCCAGCCCCGGTGTACCTCTGTTGGCCCAGAAACTGGTCGGACGTCGCGCTACTTGTGCCCTGTGGTACTGGAGGCGACCCACTGTAAGCATACCGTTCTGTCATTTTGAGCCCAATGCAATAATATAAGGTGGTTTCAAGGTGTGGATTTCTAAATTGTCCTGCCTGAGTGTAAGAAAAGAAAAAGAGAGCTCCCGGTCTCTCTTAGAAAAGCGAAAATAAAGGGTTTAAGAAAAATTAGTCAAATTAATAAAGAGCAAATATTGTAAAAATGACTAATTGCAAAGGAGAACCAAGCAATGGGGGAAGCGTCCTGTTTTCTTGTCTATTTTGGAAAACCGACAATGTGTTATTTCCTTTCTTTCTCCCACATCAAGCACAATGCAGAAAGGGACATGAGCAAGACGCACGAGCATCTTTTTCTCTTTCGCATCACCGCCCCCACCCAAATCTGTTTTGTTCATCCACCTCCCCTATTTTTGCCTAAAATAGGGATGGATGCTTGGAGCAACTGGGTACTCCGCTGGGCTGTGTTTGAATTGTCCTGCTATCAAGTCTATTATTTTCATTGCGCTTGGTACGCTCTACACGGTTTCTGTGAAGAAATTAAAGCAGGATGTAAAGTGCCGAAAGATAAAATGTCCCTCAATACTACCAAGCGCACATTTTTCATTCTTCGCAATCATCATGCGTCTCTCTCTCCGCATCTTGTGATTTATTGCATATGCGTGCTTCTGTGAATTGCATTGGGGAGCAGAGGGAAACAGCAAAGTGTTTAAAATGCAACTGCAATAAACAGAGCGTTTTGTGTGTTTGTGTTTATGAAGGGGGTGAGCAAATTGTAAATGATGAGCAAAAATAGTCAAGCGAGTTGCCGAGCGTGTGATTTCTTCGTGCTTGGCTTTGCCTGGACAATTTCTCTTTGAAAACTAAAATTCAATAAGACATGTTACTTGTGTGTATGTACTTGGCCATATTAGAGACATATCAACATGTATTATATTGTCATCCGGATACATGCACTATAGCGTTGATTTAGAATCACCACGCTATGATCAGTACAAGCAGCACAGACAGTGTGTGCTTGCCAAAGTAATTTTAATTATTTTTTAGGGCCATCTGCGTTCAGCTAATAGCATTATAAGAAAAAATGAAGCTACAAATATACTTCAAACGACATCCTTCCCCAGATAAATGTTTAAAAACTAGTGGCAATAGACCACTATGGTTGCGATATTAATCAGTTCGCTGCTTTTTTGAAGAGAAGAAGCAGTGGAAAATGTATTCTTGCGCACACGCTTGGGCTTGGGCTTGGGCTTGAGCAAAGTGTTGGGTGTCGCTGTAGACTCGGGTTCAGCCGACTCTGACGATGCATTTTTGCGCAAGAAACGGAGAGGACGCTCGCTTGAAGCAGGGGATTAAAAATGATGCGAAAGTTTAGCACCACAGCCATGTCGCGATTCCACTTCCGCCTGCCTGATGGCACTTTTTCGCCATTTCAAGCTTGGTTCCGTCGGCCCTGAAGGTTTGCAGGCACTCTTCCAGTATGCACTGGAGCAAGCTGTGTCATAAAATTTGGCGAGGTTTTTTTACTGCCAGAATTATATTTATGCCTGTTGTGGCTTCCTGCTTTTGCTGCTGCTGCTGCGCGGCCAACTCGTTGCGCATCCTCTGTCTGATTTTGCGCTCAATTTTTGCCTTGCAACCAGCCGCTCAGCCTGACAATGCACTTGATATTATCGGCAGGTTGGATATTGCTGTACTGCCCCCGATTCCGCTCAGCCAGCTGATCCCGCAACTGCTGCTTAATTATGCAGGACATTTTGCTCTTAGACCAGCCCTTTTCCTCCCCTACCCACCGGATGATATTGGCAGACTGTGGGAAAATAGGCACCCATTGGTTGCAACTCTGTTGTGCATTTTCTGTAATAATGTGGCGTTGGTGGAAATTGTGGTTGCAGCAGGAACGGCGGTGGCTGCTGCTGCTGCGACAAAGTTAGATACTGCTGCTAGTGCCATTGCGACATGGTGCTTGTGCTTGGGATTCTTCAGACAAGGACTATCAATTTTGTGAAATTTCTTCATCCTGCTCCAACACGCTGGGAAAAACGTTGAAATACAGTACTGTAGACCAAATAAACAGTGAATCCCTGACCTATTAGCATCTCCCACACCCCTTGCCACGAATTGGCTCATGGTAATGGGCCATGCCTGGGGTCCAATTACCAAGAATAGGAACTGGATCTGACCCAAATTTTGGACGCAAAGATTTTGTGAGTTCGACGTCAGCGCGCTTTCTGTTAACAAAGGAAACATAGCAGAGCTTGGGGTGCAAGGGGTCGGTTGATTGCTGCGTCATACTTTCGACTCTTGCCGAAGGTCTGTATGTTGTGGTAATGTTCTCCCAAAACAAAATCCCCTTTCCAGTGCTCAAGGGGGTACTTGACATACAACTTGCAATCAAATGTACTGAAGCCAAGGTGGTTGAGCGCGCGCTCGACATCCTCAACAGACATATACCGACCATTTGTTTTCGCTTTGGCGAGCTTTACGGGGTCAAGCTGGAATACCTTTTTTGCATTTTTGTGGATCCGTCGAAACACGCGTTCACGTCATTTATTAGCCTCTGAATTCCTGGTATAGCTGAATATAACTTTCTCACCCCTTTTGTAGCTGCTTTTATATCCCAGACAATATAACATATCCCTGCAACCTGGATCACAAAGCAGCGATTTACCAACAATACCATGACTGTCATTTTTTGGCAAAGTACCAATGTATTCGGGAGAAGCGTTCTTACTGCGGGGTACACCATTTGCAGGTGTGTCACTATTGCTGTTGCTGGTGCTGGTGCTGTGCATCTTGTAATTGTAAATTTTTTGTTGTAATTTTTGTTGTTATCATCGTCGTCTGTGTTGGTCAAAGATGCTGCAAACATTATTATTATTAAAGTACATACTTGATGCCGCAGAAAATCAAATATACATAGCATAGCAAGCATAACGTCTTTGATAATGCCGCAGAATAATAAATGTTGCAGAAATAAAAATAAAATAATTCTCTACATTTTTCTTTTCCCCTCTGTTTCATTTACGATAAATTGCACTCTATACAAAACTATAAAAATACATTTTTACTTTTATACTTTTACTCGCTCAATGGACGCAAATAGTAGTGTATTTTCGAGTGCTTCTCAACATAACAAGTGTACAAGCGCAAGGTACAATATTATTTTGTGTGTGTATATATACATAAATACATATATAAACTGTCTCAACAATACGCAAAGTTTGGCGTATAGAATATGTGTAAGTGTTTGACAAAATTTTATTCACTTTAATGCATTGACTGGTCTATTAAATTGCACTCGCTGCTGTTACTCTGTCTCTCATTTTGCCTTGCGCTCACCATTATTCCCCGTTTTGCATATTACCTTGCGCTCACCGCTGTTATTTAGTCACACACGTTGCCTTGCGCCCGTCTTTCAGCTTGCCGCTGCCATTTCAACCTGAGATCTACACCAATATTGCCACAGCAGAACTGTTTCTGGTACGTGCACCAATAGCAAGCCTGGTTCTGCTATGGGTGCTGGTGCTGGTGCCAGTGCACGTAGCAGATCCACAGCATGCATTTTATAGAATTTTATTTAGCATTTTATAGAATTTTTATTTAATTCAATAAATGCAAATGATTTCCAAAAATATTATTACATCGCTAAGCGTCACGCTTAACCTATAAACAAAGCACCAGTCAAACGCAAACCCTAAATACTTCTCCGCATTTTAAAAAATCTGGACTTTCTGATATTTTAGGCTAAAAATTGGAAAAAAACGGTCTGTGAAAACCCCCTGCTTAAAAATCTGGACCTTCGCTATAAATGTCTGGAAATTCCAAAATCGATTTTCAACAGTGAATTTAATTTTGACCAAGCGTGGAGCTTTTCCTATACCAATCGGGCAAAAGCTTGATTTTTTTTTTTCGTTTTTGCAAGCAACAAAAAAAAACGAAATAAAATTGTATCCTGTTTTTTCCGTTTCGTGTTTCGTGTTTCGTGTTTCGTCGTATATTATTGATTTTTTATTATTATTTTTCAATTATCAAGAACAAACTCAAACCCAAACTCAAACAAACTTAAAAACCCTACCCTACGCACTACACACAAAGCGTGTCTCATCAGAGGGGTCGTTGTTGTGTTTAAACAAACACTTTATTCGTTTTATTATTTATAAAGGTGTAAAAAAAGCGCCAATTCATATATATTATTTAATTCCCCAATATGAATGACTCTAACGACGATTTCGAGTATGACAGCGTCGTTTCTAACCCGGACCTCCACGACGGAATCATTGATAACGACAGCCAGCTGGATGCAGCCCCCAACCGGCGGCAGGCGGGTGGTGCCGCTAATGTGAACATACTTACGCCAAATACAGCCCGCGACGATACCCTGCCAATAGCTGAGCGCCGTGGGGCCTCGGACAGCAATTCCTCGTTGGCTGCTGCTGGCACACCGAATGCTGGGAGGTTCCCGGCGGAGTACGATATGGAGGAGCCGGATATGTCAAACTTTTCAATGAGCGTTCAGTCGCACTTTGGCCAAAAGAGCGGCATGTACGCCAAAACCGCGTCTTCAGCTGACTTTGCAGAAAGGTAAGAAGCATTTTTGAATCAAGCATTGCTACGCGTCGCACGTTATTTTATATAAACGAGTCTCAATGGCACTGTGACTAACAAAAAACAATGAATGTTTTTTATATAGCTTGAAGGGCGATATCGTTTTTTCGAATAAATGGTCTGCAGTCGGCAGCCAGCAAAAGCAGCAGCAGCACAATGCAGCCGCCGCGGGTGATGCCACCTTTGATATGTCATCGTTCAACGAGTCCGAGAACGGCACAGTGTCTCATGGTGCGACTGGAAAAGCGCCCTCAATATTTTCGATGCCAGCACAGGAGATGGAGGAGCGCAGGCCAGCCGGAAACACGCCTTATGAGAGCACGCCACGAAAGGTGTCATTTGCGCCACCATACACGGCTGGGGGAGCAGCAGCATCGTATTCTACTAATTACGCCGAGCAGAGCGACGCCACGCAAGAGTCTATAGTCTTCCGCGAACAGCACCCCCCGCTTGCCCAGGCGCGGCCGCCATGGGACGATTCGCATGCTGGCAGAGGCGAGGATTCTACAGAGCTGATTCCCAGCCAGCTCCAGCGCAGCATCTCCCCCATGATCCACTTGCCGCTAAATGCAACCAGGCTGAGCATGGACGGCATAGCAGGGGTGGGCGGCGTTGGCATGGGCGGCGGTGGCTTTTTGAAAAGAATGGTCGGCTGGACACGGTCCAATATGTCGCCACTTTCTCCAAACCCGGGGACACAGGCTTCGGCGGACAACGATCATGACGACGACTTGATGGCGTCTGGTGGAAGCGAGGACAGCGGCAGCGGCAACGAGGATCCACCTAAAAAACCGTTTCCCAGCAATATGCAGCAGAGGCTGAATAACAATGCCACGGTGTCCAGCCATGCCTCGTCGAGAATGTCCACGTCATCGACGTCTCCTGTCAGGACTGAACCCATGCGGTCGCAGGTGTTCTCGAACCTTGCCACCACGCCGACATCTGCCCGAGCGAGCGGGCTGAGCCGAGCTTCTTTTAGCTCCACCACACCCAGGCGTCAGCCGCGGTCTTCTAGAAAGGTCTCAAACACACCCCTGCGCAGCGTCAATCCGCTTGCACGTCACCTGGCGTTAAAGGCTATCAGGTCGACGCCCACCCGCCAGCGCCGTGTCAGCTTGGACTCGGCTTCCTTCCAGTCGCAGGTGCTCACGCCCAACAGCCGCAGCAGACAGGGTTTTCGTCGGATGGGCTACAACAGCCCAGGAAACGTCAGCATAAACGGGGACGCGTCGATGGCTGAAGCATCAGTGGTCAGTATGACCGACATCCAGCAGCAGCTAGATGGGTTTGCCAGCATGCTAAAGCACGATGCCTCGGCCGTACAGGCCGACGTGGTCGAGAGCGAGCAAGCGTGGCGCCAGATGCAACAGGAGATGTATGAGCTGCGAGTGCAACTGCTCGAGTCCGAGAACAAACGCGACCTGTGCCAGCGCCAGGTTGAGCAGGCCGAGAACGACCGCGCTGAATGGGAGGCAGAGCGGCAGCTGCTGACCGAGGACAAATTCCACCTGCTGTCTAACATCGAGCAGTGGCGCAAGCGCATTGGTTCTGCCGAGAGCAACCATCAGGGTGGGGAGGCGGACGAGGCCGAGGAGCGCGATCGGCTATTGTACGCTATTGTGCGGCTGGAGGACGCCCTTGGAGTCTCTCGCCAAGATGCGAATGATGCCCGGAAGGACGCAGGCGTAATGGCTAGCAAACTGCGTCAACTTGAGACCGACTACGAGGATGTTTGCGATGATCTGGAGCAAGCGATGTACAACTACGAAGATAAGATCGACGAGTTGAGCTCAGACATCAGCCACATGCAGGCGGAGATGTTTACGAAGAGTGCAATGTTGGTGAAGTACCGCGATCAGGCGAAGTCGCTAGACATGGACTTGCAGAGGTCGAGAGAGGAAAGCAATTATTTGGGCAGCAAGCTGGCTGGGCTTGAGCGGCAGTTTGAGCTCGCACGCGTCAACCGGGCGGGGATGGTCGCTGAGACTCTGCGGGCGAGAGAGTCGGGCGAGCAAATGCGCAAGCAGCTGGAAGACCGACAGAATCGGTCCGAGGATGTGACTTCCCGCGAGTTTGAGCTGGCTGCTGAGATTGCCCAGCTCAAGGAGGCTAACACCGCGCTGAAGGGTTCTCTGGAGGACCTGCTCGAGAATAACCGCGAGCTCAAGGGTACGGGCGCCCACAATGAGAGCCATTTCTTTGCCACAGCGATGGTTGAGACCGGGCTGCCTTTGCCGACAAGTGACGATGGTGCGCCAAGAACCGTCGCCACTAGCTCTGCTCCCATTGTATCCATTTCAGAGTCCGAGGCCATTAGTAAGCTCAAGGCTGAGCACCGTGAGGAGTCAGACAAGCTCAACAATGACCGCGAGCTGCTGGTCGACCAGATAGACACGCTAGTCGAACAGGCAAGGTCCTACAAGGCCGAAATTTCTAGGCTTTCAGAACAACTTCAGGACACAGCTGCTTTGGAGGCGCAGACCGGGACGTACAGCGATGAAATTGCCAGCCTTAAGGAGCAGCTCCAAGATATCAACGCTCTGAGGGCGAAGAAGGACGCGTATAAGGCCGAGACCACCGAGCTCCTGGTGCTTGCCGAGGAAGCGCAGACCAGAATCGAATATCTCGAGAAGCAGCTGAATGACCTGCGGTCCCAACGGGCTGCCAGTGGTGATGGTGTTGGTGATGGTGACGGCCGGCTTAGTGGCACCGACGAAGCGGAGGGCGACGACCTCGCGCAGCTCAAGGAGAGCGAGGAGCAGCTGCGGCGCGAGCTGGACAGAGCTGAGCGCATTCAAGAGGGTATGACCGAGCGGCAACATGCGCTGGAGGACCGCAACCACAGCCTGACCTCGCGCAACGAAGAGCTGTCGCAGCGTATTGCGCGCTACGAGACCGAGTTAGATGACTTGCGGGACCAGCTCAATGTCAATGGAACTGACAGCGCCGATCCCAGCAATGCCGAGCCCTTGCGCAAGCGGATTGCCTTTTTGGAGAGGACAATCGAAGAGCTAGAGGATGACCTGAGGCGCAAGGACAACGACAACGACAACGACGGACTGCGCCAGGAGATCAGCAGGATGGATGCACAGCTGGACGATGCGCAGATGGAGCTACTGCGTGTTAATGCGAGCCTCGACTCCAAGAAGGCCGCGCTCAAGTCTGCCCAGGATTCCATTGTCGAGATGCAGTCGGCGACGGCTCGTGTAGCCAGCACCGTCGCGACGACATCGCCAAACACAGATTGCCGCGAGGTTGAGCTGTCACAGACCCTACACAAGGTGAAGGCAGATGTCCTTGAGCTGGAGGAGGACATTGAGCGCCACAGGCTGCGACAAAGCAAGCTGAAGAAGGAGAAGCATTACCTGGCCCACCAGCTGATGCAAGTGCTGAACCACAATGCCACGTTGCGCCAAGAGCTGACCGAGTTCTTGCTGAGGCGCGCGGGCAAAGTGAGGGAGCTCAAGCTGCTCCAGGATGCTGACCAGCGGTTGCAAGGCCAGCAGTCGAGCTACATGACCTCGATGTCTGACGATGGCAGCGGATCGGGGGGCTCGAGCTTCTTCAACATGGTGCCATCGACTAGCATGCTCATGGACGGCAGCAAGCCAGACTTCCTTTGCCGACTGGACAAGCACTTGGTCGAGATGGAGAATATTATCGACAACGACAACAGCGACGACAAGGCTGAGGTCGAGGCCACAGGCAGTGCCAACGTCCAACGCGTGCAGCAGCTAAAGTCATCGTCGCTCAGACGCAGCAACAGTCTTCAGCCGCCATCAGGCCTCAACTCGCGGTTGCAACGGAAGGTGCTGACGCCGATCAGGGAGGAGTTTAACATTTCAAACGCCATATTCTCCGAGTCCGGCGTGCAATGCGACCTTATTAGTGACGAGCTGATGGCAAAGAAGATACAATTTGACGAAGAGCTCAAGGCAGCGCGCGATACGGTCTACCGCCTGGAGGAGGATGTGCGCTCGCTGCGCACGTCGGTTTCAAGTGCCAGGCAAGAACGCGATCAGTTCAGGCTTTCGCAAGAGGAGGCAGTCCAGCGCGTGGCCGCTCTGACTGGTCAAATAGAAGACCTCAGCGAGAGCCAAGAGCGGATGAAGGCATTCAACGACACCACGGCGCGCGTGTCCTTAAAGGTTAATCGCCAGTTTGTAGTGCTCAACAACGTGCTGCGCCGGCTCAAGGCGTTCGACTCCGCCCAGGGTGGTGATGACTCCCTTTTGACGCAGCAGGAGATCGACGACAAGGAGTATGATCTTGGAATTTTGGAGGATGACAAAATGCGCCAGGCCGTCATCGACAGGCCGCTCGAGGCCGTAGACTTTGGTATGTTCGGGCTGTTGTCGAAGAACAAGGCCAGCGAGGGGGGGGCTCTGGAGCTGAATACAGACGAGGCCCTAGAACAGCTCGTCATTTCGGCCACTGAGACTTACGGCGAGATCAGACGCCTGCGCGGTGAGATCATTCGTGCAAATGCCATGCGCTCCCGCTTGATGAAGCGCGCGGCCGAAAAAGCACAGCGCCAGCTCCCCTCGTACGAGCTGTCGTCGCAGTGGACTCGCAATATACGCCAGCGCAGCTACACGGACGGCCTGGTCATTACGCAGGCCAATGCAAACAATGGTGCCAGCGCAACGGTTTTCGGACCCCGCCGCGACGATACTGTCGACGGTGACAATGCCAGCCAGATATCGGGCTCGCTTCTTGAGGATACAGAGCCGCCGACCTCGCCCGACCTATCCGATGAGTCGGCAGCCGCAGCTATCCAAACTGCATCGGCGCTTCAGAACCGGAGCAACGAGAGCAACTCATTGATGGCGAACCTCGCGTCAGTGCACAGCCCTGCTGCTGCCAGAGCCGAGCTTATCCGGCTGGAGGATCTGCTCAAGGAGAGAGACCACAAGCTACGCAAGTTGCAGGTGGAGTGCACCAAGCTCGCTGAGTTTAACACCGAGTACATCCAGCAGCTCGACAGGCAGAAGAACGAGAACAACCGGCTGAAGCATGATTGCATATCGCTGAAGATACGCGTTGACAACCGGTCTGCCAATCGCACTATGACGCCAAGCCACGGCACCGACTGGAACAATCTCGATTCTGTCGAGCGCGAGATGGAAAAGTGCAAGGGGATGCACGCGGAATATGTGGCCGAAGTCAGCGATCTGCTCCGGGTCCTCAACCAACAAACGCTCGACCAGGCACTTGTCAGCGACGCTTCTGACCCTCAAGACAACACCAGCTCCTTGCCAGAGCCAGTCGGTGGCCATACTTTGGGTTCGCGGCCTGCTAAAGCCACTAATATGTTCCGCACGCTGTTGATGGATTTGGCCGACAAGCTTGACGCCAAGCACGAGCTGGAAGATAGCCTGAGTATTGGCAAGAACTTCGAAAACATAGCCACTGTGATTCGTCAGCGTCTGCACCAAAGGGACGCGGAGATAAGGGCACTGCGTGACGACCTGAACAAGTCCCGTGCGGCCGCGGATACCGCGTTTAGCAATTCGATGATGGTTGATCAAGCGGCTACGACGACCGAAAGACAGCTTTGCGAGGCTCGGGCTGAGAAGCAGTCGCTCGAGAATATCCTGTCTTCCCTGGAGCAGCAGCTCGAAAGCACTTCGACCGACAACCAGGCACTCAAGGGAAATGTGGCTCTGTTGGAGGAGGAGCTCGACAGGGCCTCGGCTCATATTGGGTCGCTCGATAACACTGTGGCTTTGCTGAAGGACCAGAACACGGCCATTGGCAAGGAGGTTTCTGACCTTACAAACGAGCGCGACGAGTGGTACCATAAGCACCAGGAATGCGCGAATTCGCTGACCAGTCAGGAGAAAGAGTGCGAGCGGCTCAACCGGGAGCTTCAGCACGCTCACGAGCAGCGCTTGGGCTACCCCTGCGAGGTGGTCCGGGGCCAACGTCTGAACGTTGGTGGGAGCCAGGATTCTAGGGCGGACGCCGACCTGCAGCTGCTGCGCCAAAAGTGGGTTTCTGAGGCGCAAAGGAACGCGGCTGAGGAATGGTGCAGCATGGAGTCTGCGCTGCGCGAATCCTACGACTCGCAGATGGAGATTCTTGAATGGGCGCGCGACCTGTGGATCGATACTGTGATCTCCATCATGGACCTCGCCGAGAAACACATCAACAGGCAGTCGGACGGTTGCAGCGAGGATGTTCGGTCGGCGACAGAGGGCTTGCGCATTGCTGTCGACGAGCTCGATGTAGAGGTTCGGTATGCCATGGAGCAGGTTGAGTCAGTGCAGAATGGCCTGAGTGCGTCGATTAATGGTGGCAGCAATGGCGCAGTAGGTGGCAGGTTTAACCGCGCCAAGGTCCGTGACGATCTCAATAACATTAAGCGGGGGCTCAACGGCCACTTCAACGACCCCTGGCGTATCAACTTGCGCAAGTGCATTATTGTAATGACGTCGATTCTGCATGTGGGCACGAGCAATAGCTCTCGAGCCCGCAGCGACTATGGCAGGGAGAACGATGACAATTCTCCGCCCAGCACCGCGGCCACATCGTCAAACTCATCCGAAAACCACCCTCTCAGCCATGCGCAGAAGGAAAGGCTCAGGCAGCACATGGATGAGCGAGCTGATCGTGACCGGCGCAGGCACGAGAAGGAGAGGAATGAGCTTATCAAGAGGGAAAAGGAGCTCAAGTCCAGACTTAATAAGATGCAGGATGAGAAAAAGGGCTCTGAATACGAGAGCAAGTACCGACATGAGCTCCTGCTTATAAAATCTGCATGCGTCATGGGCCTGGAGTTCAAATTAAACATCGCCATGCAGCTCATCGGTGGCGTCGACGGGCTGTGCCGGGAGATCGAAAGGCGCGTGCAGCAGCAGCGGGCGTCTATGCTGATTACGTTCCGCGGTGAGGACACGTTTAGTCGGCCAAGGAAGTTGTGGCGGCGGGTTTTGTTGGCTTTGCGCATGGTGAACAACCTCAAGGACATGGCGGCCACAAGGAAAAAGGCCATTGAGTTCAAGTCTAAGGGCAGAAAGTTGGTGGATAGGTCTTTGAATATCCTTGCGAACCAGCATCAGCATCAGCATCAGCATCAGCATCAGCATCAGCATCAGCATCAGAATCAGCATCAGAATCAACAGCAACGCCCACCGCTCCCAAGGCCCCAAGCAGCGGCGGGCTTTGAAAATGGCGGCGGAAGCGGTCGCCGCATACACGGGGTGCAACAGCAACAGCAGCAGCTGCAATATCACAACAGCAGCATGCGTGCAGTACCTGTCACTCCTTCCAACCTTCGCAACCTCTCTTCGGACATTCGGTCCAGCAACGGCTCCTCAATGGGCCATTGAAAATTCACTTTTTTATTCTTTGTTTTGTTTTCACGCGCTCGTTTTTTCATTTTCAATTTTATGACCTTATATTTTTTTGCTCGATCGCACAAGGCCACACCAGAAATGACTATAAATTAGCCCACAACTGACAGCCACTTGGCCTGCCAGTGCCCGATCAGCGCGCAGCTGGTCCGCTGTGAACGCGAAAACCGAACACATCCAATCTTTTTACTATTTATTTGTTTAGACTGAGCAATGGCAAACGAGCGCAGAATCTTGGTGGTCCCCAAGGAACAGTCGTCAAAATCACTGCAGCAGCTGCGTCTCCCTCACCCGCGCACGGGTATCCTCAGCAGCTACTACGCAGATGTGCAAAACGAGGCACTGCTTGAGGCAGCGACCATAGACATGAAGGGTAAGCGCTCCTGGTTGGGCGACGGCTGGGTGCTGGGCAACGGATCGGCATCGATACTAACTCCTGTAGATCCGCTGTTCTTGTATTTGGCTCTGATCACCAAGTTCTCAAAGGCCGGCGAAGGCGAGTGGAAGTTTGTCGATATTGATAGTTTGCAGCTCGAGTCGCACGAGCAAATGGATGCCGCATCACTGATCGTGTTTTTTGGAATGAAGAGTGTACAGTCGCGGGCACTGGTGACCCTGTGTGAGGTCAAGATCATTTCGAGCGATATGCAGGTGGTCAAAATCGATAATTCCAAGGTCATCGACTGGCTCAAGCGCAAGTGTGATGTGTCCAGGTTTCCAAAGTCCTTGGAGGGAGTTGTTTCGAGTGCGGCGGGTTGCGAGGAGTTGGTCAGGCAGGCAAAAGTGCGCGAGATGGCGCTGCTGGTTTCAGAGTACTTGCCACAGTACTGGGCGACCAGGCTTTTTGCCGAGTTTGGTGGGTTTGCCGAGGTGAGTGAGAACGAGCAGCTGCTTTCGAAGCGTGTGCAGGCGGTGGTATTCGACGACCCGACGAGCTACACAATGGGCGTTTCCAGCCCGCAGGCATCGACAGCAAAGCCGGCCAAGCCAAAGTCAGCCAAGGAGAAGCAACTCGAGAAAGCGGCCAAAAAGTCAAAGCCCATCACCAGCTTTTTTCAAAAGAAGGCGTGATACAATTTTTTTACATGGATGTATGGACCGCATTATTTAAAATAGCAGAATGCATGAATGATGAATTGAAAGCGTGGCAAAACAAAGTAACCAATAAAAACAAAATATAACAATAATAAAAAGTAAACAAACGAACAATATGAATGTAATTTTGTCGTGGTTTGTCTAGAATGTGCCATCAAAGACATACTTTCTGGACAACGGGTGCGCCTCGGTGGTAAATACCCACTGATCGAGACTAATGACGTCCTGGTTGGTAAATGTCAGGTACAAGTACAGGAATGTCTCGGCGTAGAAGAAAGATTCGGTCGAATCGATGCTGTTCACAATTCCGCTGACTGCGGCATCAACGGAAACGTCAACAGTACCCACGTAGCCATCCGCAACGCGGCAGTTGCGCTGCATGCCCTGCCAGATGCTCCACACGCGGTCGGCATACATTGACTTTCCTGTCAAACGGTACATGTAGAACAGCGACTCAATAAGCTCTGGCCGCAGGAGGTAGTACGGCCGTTCGAGCGAGAACCCGTACTTGTCGACCTCGATCCGCGAAGAGTTCTTTAACAAGAAGTAATCTGTGGGCACGTTTTTGCGCACATACCTGATAGCCTCAGCACCGAGCGCGCTGGGCATACTGTCGAAAACGCTGTATCCACCCTCAAGGAGGTCCTCAGCCAGCTTGAAGTACGAGTCGGAGCCAACAAGTTTGCTAATAAGGCCCAGGGTTCCTGGTATAAAGTTTGTGAATGTGTCAGCGTAGGGGTAAAACTTTAGGCCATCGACGAATCCCGGGAAGAGCTCTCCAGTAGAGCTCTGGGCAACAGAAAACCGCTTAAACGACTGAATACTCTCACTCCACATGTCAATGTTGCGCTCGAGCATAAAGTCAGACAGGATCCAAGTTTTGGCGAGGTACTCGTAGAAGGAGTCGCCGCCTCCACCCCAGTATGCAGCGCTGCCAGTGAATTTGCCGGAGATCATATCAAAGTCGATCGGGTAGAGACCAGGAATAACGTACTTGGAGTTTTTGTCACTGGGATTGTTGTTCTCTAACATGACGGTCAGGACCTTCTGCGCTGCCTCGTGATAAGTGGCGTTTTTTGTGTGCTGCGACAGTCTGTAGAACTCCATCTGGAACGACCCGATCTCGGCAAGGTTGGTTGAAGCAGTTCCCAGTTTCTCGCTGGACCCCTCGCCTGTGGTCACGTTGAGCATCTGCCACGGCAAGCCCAGGGGCGTATTGAAGGCCGGCATCAGTATGTCCGTGAGCTCGACGGCCTTTTGCAAGAATAACTTGTCCTCAGACAGCTCATACGCTGAGAGCAGGCCGCCCACGTAGCGGATGTTGGTCTCGAAAACTTTTGTCAGCTGGCCGCCGTCGTTGCGGAAATCAAGCTTGGCCACAAAATCACGGGCCTCCCAGAACTCGTCTTTCAGATCCATAATCCACAGCGTGTCCAGCGCGTCGACGAGAGTGGCGCCCCAACCGTTGCGGGTGGTCTTGGGTCTTTTCCTGAGCACGCTGATTTCGTCAGCGCCATACGCGTACTTCTTATACCCATTCCAGGCGTAAAGAAAGCCCTTCTTGACTGCATCGGCGCGCTGGAGGCGAGTGTGGCGCTCTTCTGGAGTCTCATCTGAAAAGTCGTGCTGAACCGTGCGCCGGCGCAGACTACTTACTCTGGCGGGATTTGCAGCCTGGCCATTGCGACTGCGCATTCCTCCAAAGGCGGAAACTGGCTGTTGATTTACTTTGGGAATAAATGGCGTAGAGTCAAACTGCGCACTCACCAGGGCCATGCCCAGAGTGTACATAGACAGTAGCAGTATCCTCATTGCTTGGGGTGCTGTTATTAGAGCGTTGGTGCTAAAAGAAATATGCGCCTGCAAGGAATAACAAAATTAAATGTGAAAAGCGGTCCGTGGACTAGTAGGGAATATTTGCTGTAGATGGGCGGGGATGTAGATAATACGAGAGGGAGAGAAAATGATAGCAGTGGTGTCAGGACACTGCAGTCAGCAACTATCGGAATGGGTGTGCTAGTTTTAACAAAAAAATAAAAACTACGAGATGAGGAGACGGTCAGGCAAAAAATATTTAAGTGAGCGGGCGCGGAGGGGGCGGGGCGGTATATGGAGTAGAAGGAAATTTAAAAATGGCAATTTAAATAGAATATAGAAAAGGCGGAGTGATGAGGGATGGAGTGAAAATGATATTAATTTTTATTTAAAAGAGATGAATATCTGGCGGACAGCAGAATAGATATATAGCTGCGTGAATACAAAATATAGACGAGGTTGCAATACAATTTGCACACTGTTTATTAAAACAAGGGAGGCAAAGGCAATTGCATTTGTGTTGCGAGCGTGCTGTTTACATTTTCAGTGAGTTTGGCTTTAGCGTTTTGGTTCATTCTTTGGATCTCGTTGTTCATATTAAATGAATTCGACTATGCCATTGTCTGTTAGTTAAATAAATTGTTTTCTGTATTTTGTATGGCAAATCACCCTTTGTTTACGTTATTCCAACTCATATTGACAGTAATTTAATAATAGCAAAAATACTGTACAATTAGAAATTGTACTAAAGTGTTTCTTTAAAAAAAAGTAATCAGGGCAATTTTTTTAATACGAAAACCGTTCCTTACAATAGAAAGGGTTTATTATACTTTAAGTTGAGTTCAGCAAATCTCTACCGTCTTTTCCCACAAAAATCAAAGAATGAAATGAAAAACGTTGTGAATAATAGAAAAATGAAAAATGAAAAATGAAAAATAGTAAGTGCAATTTTGTGTTTTTTTGTGTTTGGTAAGCAGCAAATTTGGCCAACATTAGTAGCGGCAAAAAATGAAAATGCCAAGTTCCAACACGATCAGAAAACATGATTCTCAGTTAGAAGGTGCCATTGAACGGGATCGAACGCTTAAACGGGTGACCTTCAGTCGAGAAAATGTAATCGTCCAGCGATATGACATCGGGATCGGTGAATGCCAAGTATATGTACTTGAAAGTCTCTGCAAACACGAACGACTCCTGCTTGCCAATAAGGCCGCCCTTGCGGCCAACACGCACATCGCGCAGACCAGCAAACCCACCCTCAACCTCGCAGTGGGCCTTGATTCCCTGCCAAATCTTCCAAATCCAATCGGCGTACATCTCGTCGCCAGTGATGCGGTAAAAGTAAAAGATGGACTCAATGACCTCTGGGCGCATCAGGAAGTAGGGGCGCTCTAGGTAGAACCCGTATTTTTTGATCTCATTCCGCTGCGACAGCAGCAAGTCCGAGTCATCATCGCCATCAGGTAGGAAACCAAAGTTCTCGGGACCAATATGCGTGGGCATGCGAGAGAATGTATTGTAGCTAGACAGCAGCAGCTCATGGGCCAGCTCCATCGTCTCTTCGTCGTCCAACAGACGAGCGGCCAGGGCAAGCGTGCCCGGGAAGAAGCATGTGAATGTGTCAGAGATGGAGTCAAGGCCTTCGTCGTCACCAATGCCCATGTACATCTTCTTGTCGGAGCCGCGCGTGACAATGTACTTTTTGATGCCCTTGAGGCTTTCCTGCCACATATCCAAGCTCCGCTGCATCTTAAAACCCGAGAGGGCCCAGGTCTTGATGAGGTACTCGTAGAAAGAGTCGGAGCCGCCGCCAAGGTTGGGTTTTCCGGCAAGGAATTTGCCGTTATTAATGTCAATGAAGATTGGGTATAGGCCGGGGACTGAGTATGTCGTACCCTTCTTGGGCTGGTTTCTGTCTAGAAGAACGTCATAGACGCGCTGCGCGGCCTTGTGGTAGACAGGGTCGTGAGTAAGTTGCGACAGGCGGAAAAACTCGAGCTGGTAGGTTCCAATCTCTGCCAGGTTGTTCATGGTCATGGGCCCGGACTCTGAGCTACCCTTGCCCGTCTGCACATCCCACATCTGCCAGGGGATTCCGGTCGGGGTATCAAACGCCTCAAGCATAATGTCAGCCAAGGCAGTGGCCTGCTTGAGGAACATTTTGTCGTTGGACAGCTCATAGGCCGAGATCAGACCGCCGATGTACCGGATGTTGGTCTCGAAGACTTTTGAGGGTTCGCCGTCGTTCTTGCCAAAATTGACCTTTTTGACCAGATCTGCCGCATCCTTAAACTCCTCCTTTAGCCCCATGATGTAAATGGTGTCCAGGGAGTCAATGAGTGTGGCTCCCCAGCCGTTGCGCGTGGTTAGGGGCTCCAGGGTAATTGGATTGATCTCGTCTGAGCCAAACGCGTACTTCTTGTACGAATTCCATGCCCGGAGGAATCCATCGCGCACGTCATTGGCGCGGTTAGCGCGCAACTTTTTGAGGGCCTCGCCGCCGGTGAAATTCCCAGCCTGCACTTGGTTGCCCATGAAGCGCTTGATGTCACGCTGTCGGGGGGCTTGTCCGTTGAGGCCGACCATGCCGTCATGGAAGTTCTTGGAGGCTGTAGCCATGTTGGCCACGTAGCTCAGGCAAACAAATGCCGACAGAAGTTGCTTCATTGCAGGAAAATAAGGAGTGAGATGTCTAAATTAAAAAAGATAATAACTAGTAACAAATGAGCATGCAGGAGTAAATCACCCTCCTATTGTGCAAGTGAGATTGCGATAACAGATATGCAAAGAATATCAGCGGTAATGGCAGTTCATAAAATAATAATGGTTGTTATAAATAAAATTGTTGGCGGTAGGAGAAGGCACTAATACTGGGCTAGTGTGCATGTAAACTACAAAAAGCAAAGTTGTAGGAATTGGTGCGGACTCGACTCTGTTTATGTGGAAAACATTATGCATTACTTCAAATGCAAAAAAATTATATTTTACACTGCTCCAGTGCAGAATATTCAGCAACTACACTCTTTTGTTTTCTAAACTTGGTTTGCTGAGAACAAATATTTTTGTCGAGGGAACAATAAGAAACATAGGCATATAATAAAGCTTCTCATGGAATGCGCTGTACTCAGCCCTATGTTTAATTATTTGGAGGGGGAAGCCAGGGAGCTTCGAATCTCGAAAGGGCTAATGAGAACGTCACATTTCATTTTACATAAAAACATAAAATTTGCTTAATGTGAGGATACTCAAATACTAAAGCGCGGGGGAGAAAGAAAAAGAGGAGAATCTCTGGGTGAGTGTGAGAGAAGAAAATGATATTTCTGACGTATGGTTGTTTTACCAAATAAAGAATATTAGAGAATTTTCTCTTGGTACAAAAAAAGTTCTTTCCAGGCAAGCATTTTTTGCAAATATAGCAATAAAATAAGTGTGCATGTATGATGCGGAGCAAAAGTCAGTAAATGTGAAATATTAATTTGTAGTTCTCATGTGGAGAAAAAGGAGTAAGTATTCTATGCCCGCGATACGCAAAACCCGCCATGCTACTGCTATTTTTTGTTTACACTCGAAAATATTTAAATTTAAAAATTAGCACATTAACACATGTCAATCTAATCAATAATTAGTTTAATTACTATAAATATCCTCTTACAAAATAGCTGATCAACATATCTGCCAGTTTTCAGCACAATACGCAACCAAAAGGCGAGGGCACAAAAACGACTGACTCACTTTGTGCTGCGCAAAAAAAATTGTGCAGAAAGGAAAAACAAGATAATAGGCGTGGTGCCACGGATATAAAAACTTTGCCATGTCATCACCATTCAATCCCCTTTCTCATTTCATTTTTTAAATGTACTCTTCCTCTTTACATTAAACCTTTTACTATCAACAATTCTCTTTGTTTATCTGCCTCAATGTGAGCGCGCTTTTGCCATTCCAAACTCTGCCCTGGCACATTATCCAGTCAGTTGTTGATTTTTCATATTAACGCTATTAGCGATAACCACAATTCTGGCAAAACTCGCATTAGCTATTCTCCACAGCTGCCACAATTGGCGCTCCATTTTTATAATTAAAACCTGCAGTGTTTTCCAGTTAGACATTAAAAAGATTGCCCTTTTATTTTCATTTCCCAATTGGCCCAAAGCCCTCAACCAGCCCGATATTCTGGCAGGCCGTTTTGCAAAGGCTGTTCATATCAATATGGGCGTGAATATGTTTAGTTCAATCACGGATGATCGCGTGCTTACTCAACCCCTACAGTCACTCCTCGCAGACGTTGTTTTCTCAGCTGCACTCACACTCCGCTTTGCCGCACGCTGTACTTGTACTTATTTGCCTTTCCCTATTGGTATATATGCTGCTGTGCAGAATGTCATTGAAATCTTGCGCAAGGTTAGGCAGATGACACCGATTATCCAGCAAGTTGACATATCATGGCCCAACCTTTTCTATCGGTATACCAGCGAGCAGGTTAGCACAGACTTTCGTCAGATAATAGAGAAGATGTATCGGGGAGTGAACGGGGTTTCCTTTGAAATTAACCACTGCACACGCTTTATTCCTCATTTTGTACCCGCTGATCTATCAGGCACGAGTAATCTGGCGTTTGGCGAGATTAGAAATCGGATGTGGGTTATCGAATCCATTCAGCGCAATGCGGGGTCACTGAAAACCCTTTCTTTGACGCCTATGGATATGGAGACGGCAACCGCGCTGTTACGCAACGCCCATGGAGGACCTGTTGTTTATCAATGCTTGGAGTCTTTTGAGATTATAAGCAGCTACCGCATGGCTGTACCAGTTATGTCGAGGTTTTCAGCAGCAGCGCAGACCATCGATACGACTGTCTACTTTCCCGCACTCAAATCATGCAAAATTTGTGGCCATTATCTGTTCGTCGACGATGCTCTGTTTAGAGGCAACAGCAGCACGCTAGAGAGACTGGATATCTGCATAACCACAAATTTTATTGACATTGCAGACAAATTCTGCATTTTTATAGCCAGCCGATTCACAAACCTGCAGTCTATTTGCCTAGCACTTGTCGATTCATCCTTGGTTTCCAGTCAGCAGCGAGGAACAAGGTTTCAGTTTATTTTTCAGGCTTTACCAGCACTTGGCGCTTCAGCTTGAATCCACACATTCAGACTTTCTGAAGGCGTGGAGAAGGATACAGCGTTGAAGAGTATACAGGAACTCTCAGTATTGAACCGTCTGCGGGTCATAGAGATCCCTACGGTTTCTCTGGAGTTTGAGGATGTTATCACGGTTATGCGACACGCGCCTTATCTTCAAAAACTCAGTTACATGCCGGCAAGAGCTGCACCCAGTACTGACAGAGTAAGTGGAAACAAGATCTGGCAGCATGTTGATAGCATGGGCGGTACATTTGGCAGGCATTTCCGTTGCTTGACGTTTGAATGCAGAGTTGGAATGTCAATGCATAGAACAAAAGCTATTGTGCTTATTGCAATTGGTTGTCTGCAATCTATACGAGTGAAACTCGATTTACATGACAAAATTCAGTTCAACAAGCACATCGATCAGTTGGCGGGCTACAAATATTTATCCAAGTTTGCAGATCGCATCAAGTCATTAGCAGTTTAGTTTTGCAAATAATATTCAATTCATTTACTTTTTATAATTGATAAAAATAAAAAATGCTTGCAAGCGGTTGTTCAAAAAATAAAATAACATTTAAGCAATGAATCATACATACAAAAAAGTGCGGTTTAATCAGCTGTGCAATAAGTAATGCAAAAGAAAGAAAGCTAACAGTAGTAAAGGCAAGCTTTAGTACGTGTGACAATTAAATTTTACGATGATTCTGAAATTTGAATTACACCGATTGCCAAGAAAATGACTGTTCCTTTGTAAGAACGCTGACAAAAAAAACATTTTTCGCTGCCTCTTTGTTAAATAAAAAGTGGGCCCTTTACTTGTGCGCTTTCCAGGGTAACACATTTTTCTTGGTAAACACTGTTGTGATTTGAGGGGAGCACTAGTTCCCTAGTGTTAAAAGTATGTTTGGGGGTTGTTATAGTTTTTATTATCAAGGGAATCAAAGGTAGAACTAGGGCCAGCCTCATCTTATATATGTATCTCGTTGCCTTTGTTGTGCACTTCGCCAGTTGTGCACTGTTGGTAAGGACTGGTTCTTCTGCAGATAGACTGGTGTCTTGGCATTGTCACGCTCTAAAAAAATGTGGGTCTAAGCTAATATATTTTTAAGTATCAAAAATCACTTAAATAACTACGAAAGGGGACAGCGCTGTGAATATAATGTTCCTTGATGTCGGCCAGCAATAACAGAAATGTATATAGCAGACATGAGGGTGATCTTGATTCTTGAAAAAAAATAGTGGCTTGGAATGTGTGTTGGGCACCACAGGCATCTAAAGGTTATGATCTTCGCATATGCGCATTCATGTATATACGTTATGAAGTGGGGGCATATCAGGGTATCATTATTATGTCCCCTGATTTGATTCTACATGGTGTCATCTATGCCCTGTTAATCGGCATGTTGATGAAAACTCGTTTCATGATTCTCAACCTCGACATCCACTTCCATACCATTGGTCTGCTCAACAATGTTATTTTTACTTTTTATTATGTGCGCATCAAACAGAAGTTTGTATATATATATAAATGAGCAGTAAGGAATAATTCAATTTATGTTTTCCCCCATCTTTATTCTGCAATTTTTGTACTTTTAAAAAACATTTTAATTATATATTATTTTTATCATGGTTAGCAACGCCTTTTTTGTTTACGGCATCTTGACATTGCTTAACCTGTGGGCCGCGTTTCTCTACTTTGCGTCGACCAATGCTGCTAATGATGGCATTTCTAGAGCTCAGCTTAACAAGATGAATACAACGACTGCACTAACCGCTGAGGAGTACGCATTCTATAGCATAGTTTGAGGCAGCGCCCTATTCACTATAGGTGCTATTTTTGGTATTTGTTTTGCCAAGATTAAAAGTGACACGGATGTTGTTTGCAGACCAAACAAAGGCAAGATTGAACTTTGCGCTTAGTTTAATGCGGTTTGTTTTTTATAACTATTTTTTAGTTTATTATTGTAAAATATAATATTATTTATTATCTAAACATGCTGGAAGTAATGTTGCGCAGCTCGAGGACATGGACGTGAATGATGAGGTTGAGAACCTTGAAACAGATTTCCATCCGCATGCCGATAGATCGAATATGGACTAGATCATGGGTGATCAAATCAGGTGCTAATATTGGCATCCAGACACACTCCGTTTTGCAATCCATGCGAATGAGCGTACACACGCAAAGACCACAACAATGACATATCAGACACCCAGGCTACTTTTATAAAAACCAGTTCTTGTCAACGGGGTGCACAACTGGCGGAGTGCACAACAAAAACGATGAGACATATATAAGACGAGGTCGACACTGGTAGCACTTTAAAAAATTAGTATTAAAACCATTTATAATAATACACCATTTTTCTAACACTACTACAGTAGTAGTCACACACCCCCTCCTCATCACAATAGCACTAATAGGAAAATGTTTGAAAATTAAAATGTTAGAACAATAAATAAATAAACATTTAATTTATTGGATTGAACAAATGGACTCGTGGTGTTTTACATCCTTCATAACGCTACTCTATTTTCTATAGTAATATAATATTGTGTTCCACCGTCTAATTTTGTACAACACTCTTAACTGAACTTTCATTCTACTAGCAATAAGATTTAATATTAGTTAGTAAATTGTTGATAATTTATATAGCAATTTGTTAATCTAAACTAGATTATATTAATCGAGAAAAGATTAATACAAAACACGTAACTATTGTTGGAGTTTTGGACAAAGGCTTTAATTTTACATCTACTGGCATTAGGAGACCAATGATGGTTGAGCTTCCAAGCAATGATATTTGCCTTGATAATATAAAAGAATAAAAATTAGCAAGTCTTGTTGCGCTTGGATGCCAAACCGGGCTTTGGATTAGACTATCTTTCGACTGCAGCTTTTAGCTTGACAGCTGTTTTTGGATTATTTGGCAGTCTATAAATTTTTTTAGCAATCCCAGCAAAAGACGGGTGTAGACAACAATCCAATAGAAATAATTTTTTGTTTCAAACCTTTTAATATATAATGTGTGGTATTAGTCAAAAGTGATTTAATTTGATTTTGCATAAAATATTGTAAAAGACAAAATTCTATAGTACAAAAAAATTTTAAAGGCTTATTTTTAAATAAAAGCTAAAAGGAATAGCAGTCATTTGCCTTTTATATGCGTCTTTTTGTGCCAAAATAACATATAGTAAACGTAAAAATAAACCCATGTAATAATTTTGTTTTTACTTAACACATTTTTATTCAAGCACATTATACTTTAAAAATTTTTAACAAGCACACGTTTACAATGAGCAAGCTAGTCAACATTATTATTAAAAACAAAGGAAAGGAGGAACAAGGTGTTATAGTAAGAGGGGGATGTGAGGAGCACTACTTGTCTAGTGGTAAAAGCTAGGGGTGATTTTATAAAAGGTTTTATTACTGATGTTTCTAAAGTACTACTAGGGCCAGCCTCATCTTATATATGTGCCTTGTTGCCTTTGTTGTGCACATTGTCAATTGTGCGCTCCGTTGGTGAAAACTGGATCTTCTGCGAGCAGACCGGTATCTTGGCAAGTCAATGTTGTGGTTTTCGTGCGTGTACGCTCATGCGTGTGCATTGCAAAATAGGGAGCATGTCTGGGCATCATTATAATGCCTCCCTAATTTACGCCTGCATGATCCAATTAGCGTCCTATCAATCGGCACGCAGGTGGAAACCTGTTTCGCGATTCTCGACCTCAACATCCACTTCCATATCTTCAGTCTGTGCAACAAAGGTATGTCTTACTAATTGGAGCAAAGTCAATGTTAAATATCATGTCAATCTCTTGGGAAAATGTTACGAAGATCACTGTTTTTATGATTTGGAAAACAAGGAAGTATTGAAAATATGTTTGCAAGACTGAAAACATCAAGTAATATAGAATTTGCAGTAGAGACTGAAAAGGTAAATGTGCGCGTATATATTAAAGATGTCACTCTTTGGAATTACATATTGTCTGTTGTAGTGGGAGCAAAGACAACAGTAAAAAAAGTTAGACCAAATTAATTTAAAGTATCCACTTAAAACTCTTGATTATAACCTAGAATGCAATGCAATAAAACTTTGTGATACCGATATATTCTGCAATGTTTCAAAAGCAACAAGCCCGAGTTTTAAAATGGTATACTCTTCCAATGACCGCAAATTTATATCACAAAAAACAAATATTTCAAAACAGCAAGCTCACTTATTTGTGTATTATATCTCAAAATGTAATTTAATACAAATGTGTTTTTACTTGTTATATATCAATAAAAACCATTACTTTCTATCAGTTAGTTGATATGACTTACTAAAATGTGCTTACAAGAAACGTCTGTAATCTAGATATTCCGACTAACTGCTACGGCAACCCCCAAAAAATACGTACAATATTAGGTTCAAGCAATGGGTCAACAAAAATAATCAATGCTTACAAATACCAAGCTGCAGGATTGCTTTCCAAAATTATCCAAGATTCAATTGTCAAAAAAAAGCTTGGAACAAAGACATGGTTTTACATTTAACACATTTCTTATGTTTAATGGGCTATCCAATAACAATAATTTTCAGAATAAACTCCGAAAACCTTCTTTATTCAACACCATATATATATTTTATTTAAAAAACCATGGTTGAAATCTACGGCCAAACACTGCTATGTTTCTAATTCAGCTAAAGAGTATATTTCAATTCAATTAATTGTTTATTATTTAAATTGATAATTTGTTCGTAATTAAATTTACTTCTAGGCAACTCCTTACAGCTGGCCGCAATCTGCAATAGTAACCCTGGCACTGGTTCTGCCCGATGCAGTTCCCTTGGTTTCGACATTGTCAACAACCTTAAGGCCCTTGGTGACCTTGCCAAAGACAACGTGAGCGCCATCGAGCCAGGAAGTCTTGATCGTGGTGATGAAGAACTGGGATCCATTGGTGTTCTTGCCAGCATTAGCCATGGAAAGATCACCCTTGCCAGAGTGCTTAATGGCAAAGTTCTCGTCAGCAAACTTCTCGCCATAAATCGACTTGCCACCAGTGCCGTTGTGGTTGGTGAAGTCACCGCCCTGGAGCATGAACTGGGGAATCACGCGGTGGAATGAGCTACCCTTGTAGCCAAACCCCTTCTCACCGGTGCACAGAGCGCGGAAGTTCTCGGCGGTCTTGGGGACTATGTTGGCAAAAAGCTCCATTTCGACGCGGCCAGCAGGCGCACCATCGATAGCAATGTCAAAGAAGACCTTGGGGTTAGGAACGGAGGACATGTTTTAGATTTTAGAATAGCCTTGTTTAATAAAGTTTATAAAAAATAAGGGAGAAAAAGGAGTAAAAAGAAAAGAATGATGTTAGAGTTTGAGCTTGGGACGCGCGGCCACCTTTTTTTAGGACCAGGGGAAAGGGGCAAAATTATGTAGTAACTCGGATATCAGGCCAACAAACAAAATGAAAACAAGCCATTTCTGATTCCTTCGTTTCATATAAACCAAACCATTCTGTTCTTCATTTATAAACCAAAGCCATTTTCAAACCACATTCTATGATCAAGAACAAAACTATGGTTGGATCCTAATGTTTTGTTGGTCTGATCAATTACCAATCATTGATCTAAATATTTTATATTTTATATTTAAATAACAAGTTAAATATAAATAAAAATAGAGATGTTAGTTGGTTTATATATGTTCATATATGCGTGCAAATCAAATCAATCATTTGTTTCGATTCAATCTGTGGGATTATTATGTCCATTAATATTACAATTAAAGTTTGGGAATACGCAGGCGTCGGCTGATCATCAGCGTGCCGCTGACGGCATACATGAGCACCAACGGATGAAGTTCATACCCGGGGAAAAGCGAGACCTCTCCGCCCCACACATTATCGGGAGTAAACGCCTGACTGAACGACGCAAACGGGCCCTCATGCTGGTATTCGGGGTTAGCAAAGCGCCAAAACTTGCCGTTAAACACGCCATACGCAAGCACACCGACAATGACCAGCGTGGTTGGTATAGGGTGCCCTCAAAAAACTTGATCTTGCCATTGAAATCAGTTGGCATAGCAGCTACTGTGGCGTTGAACCTGGCCAAGCGAGCCAGTCCGCAGCACACGAAATACGTGAGTACAACCAAATCGAGCATCTTTTGGAATCCGCAGGCAAAGCCCAGAACTGCAGGCGCAATACCAAAGGAACAAAAATCGGCCAAGGAGTCGAGTTCCTGGCCTAATATACTGGTCGACTGGCGCCAGCGGGCAACGCGGCCGTCGAGGAAGTCGAAAAACACACCGGCCGGAATGCACCAGAAGGAGGTGAAGAGAAAGTCAGTGTTTTGTGTGAGCAGCGCTTTCATTGCAAACATGAGGCTGAGGCAGCCGCAGACGGCATTTCCGAGGGTGACAAAGTCGGCCAGCTGGAATGAGCGCACCATTGAGAAGTGCGAGGGAAGCGACGGGTCGCTGGTCTTCCGCTTCGGCCTGCGAGGTGACATTATTTTTATTGTTATATTTCGTGAACGAGAGAAATGAGCGAGAGTAAAGGTGGAAATTACAAAAAAAAGTAGTTTAGAAAATATGGAGAAAGACAAGGAAAGAGCACTCGCAAAAACAATCTTAGCTATAGTGGCGAAAGACTATTGCAAAAAGGGGGATAAGGGGAGAGCCCAAATCGCACAAACCCTTTCATTATCCGCGATCAGGCGCCAAAAATGGCCATCATCAGGTCGCGCAGCTTGCGCACGTCATACGCGTTTTCCTCTTGCACGTACGAAAAGGTGGTCAGCGCGCCCTGCAGCGTCGACGACACGTTCTGGTCGCCACGGATGGCCTGGATGCTGCGCGCAAGGATATCAGACAGCCGCGCAATGCAGACTTCCCACAGCGTATCGACGTCGGCGCGCGAGCAGAAGTCCGGGGCAGACGCCAAAATGCTATGCTCGACAACGAAAAAACCAATTATGTCGAACAGCATGGCGTCAAAGGACGCCAGCTGGCCGGTGACAAACTGCACGGGCGAGTCCAGGATCAGGCTGAGCTGGTTGCTGCGGTCCTCGGTAAAGCTGCGGCGGAACTCGGCACGGCGGCCAAGCTTCTCATTGATGTGCAGGCACTGGTAGAGAGGCATCAGCTCGACGGCCACGGGCTCGTCGCGGTCAAACTCCTCATCAAGGACAAACTGGACGGCCGGGCTGACCAAGTGGCGCTCGGTGGCAGTGGCGGCCGAGTCGCGCTGCACCCAGGACCGCTGCTTGGTGTGCATGCGCGCAGTGAGGTGGCGGCCAATATCACGCGTGGTTTTCTTCAGGCCGTAGAGCCAGTCCTTCATGTCGCTGAGCGCCGCGCCCTGCAGCTTGGTCTCCATGTGCGGGACCGACGCCTCGAGCACCTTTCCAAAGGCGTAGCACCGCACACGTGGCAAATACATGTCTTTGAGCGACCCCAGCGTCTTGATGGCTGAGTAGTACTGCCTGGCAGCCACCTGCTCGTCGAACCCCGAGACAAGCCGCACGACCTCCTGGCATCCACGCAGTGCATCGACAGCCACCTGGATATTGCGGTGCTCTCGCCGCAGGCTCAGGATCTCGGCCTTTTTCTCGTAAAGCGACTTCCCTGAAACCTGCAGCTCGGCATTGAGCCCGACGACCTTTTCCTGCAGCTCCGACGTGTTCTGGCGCACCTTGAGCAGCTGCGCGACGGACTGCACAAACTCTTGGTGGTAGCTGCCGCAGAGTTTCATGATTTCGGCATCCTTGCGCTGCGCAAAGAGGTCGACTTGCTGCCGGAAGAGCTTCTGCTTGTTGGTCCTGTACACCGAGTGAATGAGGGGCCGAGCTGCTCCATGGCTTCCTCGACTGTCGATACGCCGCCGGACCCGGCGCCTGCGCTGCCTGTGCCGACGCTGTCCGACAGCAAAACCAGCTGCTGAAGCTGCTGCTGAATCGAATCCGCCATTTGTGCTGGGATGCGAATTAAAAAATCAAAGGGAAAAAATAAATGAACAGAATGCGAAATAGGGAGCGAAAAAAGCCGAGCCCAAAGCCTGTTGATGTGACGACACACCAGAAATTATAAAGGAAAAATGGACGTTTCGAAAATCTGCTTAGCAAAAAAAAGCGCACTTTTTTTTGCTGAGATTTCAAATTTCAATTCCTTTTTTTTTTACTATTCCCCCCCTAAATTTTTGACGTGCACGCTTTCTCTCTCTCTTTTTTCTTTCATTAATCGAATTGACTCTTAATTTTTTATTACATTTATACCGGTTTTTTTTTTCTTCTTTCTTCCCCCACTCCTTTTAGCGTGGCAGATTCGAGCTTGCATATTATAAACAAATGGCAGGGGAAAAATCGGCTAACACGCCCGTGGGCAGCAAGGGCTTGACGGAAGTTGGGTCGCCAAACCGTATCCAGCGGCGAACACCAGGAGCAGCCAATTTGGCACGCCCTCGGCACGCGCACCAGCCAATACCTTCAGCACGCCAATGCCCAGCTCATCCTTTGCCGAGCGCGTGTACCAGAGCACCGGCGGAAGGCACGGTCGCACTACTACTCCTGGCTCTGTATTTTCAACGCCGTATTCCGACCTACGTGGTCCGACAGCTGGAGCATCAACCCTAACGCGTCCATCGATGCTTATCGACGAACTGGAGCCGCAGGCAGCTTTGGTACACCCGCACCGACAGCAGCACGCAAATTCGGGGTTACGAAAAATTACATTCCGCCTACACCTGCTGGTTCGGCATCGCCTGCGCCGGTGGTTAAGAGGAATGGCGGAAAGACGTCTGGCTCGGCGATTTCCGAGACCATGGTCGATCTGCCCAGCCAGCGCATCTACGCGCTCGGCGCGCTGGCGCTGCTGGTGGCATGGAAAGTGTACGATGCCATTGGGTTGACAGTTGGCGAGCCGGAACAGACCAGCTGCTTTTGTTTCTGAAATGGTCTTTGCTGGACGCCGCCGTGTGGTACTGCGCCTGGCGCCTACGCATCCCCAAGCTCACCGTGTCGGCGCCCGCCATGTATGCGCTTATAGCAGCGTCGATCTTTATTGATATCAACCTCTTTTTGCTCTCCTCCAGCCTGTTTGTGATGGCCGTCAAGCCCATGGCTGTGGGCATTGCCAGCAGCTGCCTGCGCACGCTCAAGGGCGTGCCCTGGCTGGGCCCGCGCTTGGTTGGCGACAGCGACCTTTTGATCGACAGCTTTGAGCTTGATGATGAACACATTCTGGGCCGACACACTATCCATATTCTGCCGCACAGTCTGGCGCACATGAACCCACAGACAAAGAGCTTCTGCATAAACGATCGCACGCTCAGATCCGAGCCCTGGTACAGGAGGCTCACGGCCGGCTTGCTCAGCAACCAAGGCATCCACCATCGCTCCCAGCAGCCAACCATTCCGATTCTGATCAACGGTACAGTGCCCGCGTCGATCCGCTACGTCTTCACATCCTTCGAAACCGGTGAGCGCCAGATCCGCGCAGTGGGGAACGTCGGCGCCCTGCGCATGGAGACGACTGCCGTGTACCCGACGCTGGGCAACTGGGTCATGGCCACGTACCACCTGCCAATCACCGAGATTGGTGCCTACGAGATTTACTCCGTCAAGGATAACAAGGGCTAGAGTTCCGCACGGCCCAGCACGCGCCGCCGACCATTGTTGTTGGCTGCCCGACTGCCCGTCTGCAGTGGCGCACCGACTCTGACTCGGCCGATAACTTTGTCGTCGGCAACGATGGCCACGCAAGGTATGCCAGAGGCTGATTCCGCCGATTCTGAGCGTACCAGCGGCCTGATCGAGGCCGTGGTCGAGGGTTATGAGCCTATTGACATGACTATCGTGCGCCTGGTCAACGGTCACCGCGAGGTCATTGGCCTCGACGGTGTGCAGCCGCGCATTTCTGAGCTTTCGGCCCGGGCAACCGCCATTGGAGCCCCAGGCGATTCGGACGAGTCAAAGTCAGCGACACATCAGGTGTGGTCGCGGTACCGCGCTCGCAGGTCCGTATACACGCTGAGCGACACGTTCCTGCGGCCAGGCGAGTATGTGTACAAACTGGAGAGCGTCCGCGATGCAGCCAACCACACTGTGGCGCTGGGTGACTCTGCCGCCATTGATGGCAACCGCGGCCTGTTCAATGGCGACAAAGCAAGTGCCGGCAAGGCCACGTCTTACATGGCTCGCATCCAGGTACACCGCCGCCCGACTGTCGGCTGGACTAACAGCCTTCTGGGATCCGATTTGCCTCTGCGCTTGTCTGACGATAAGCAGCGCAAGTCCCACTACTCGTTGCCCCTGAAGCTTGCCGGCGACGGACCGTGGACCGTGGAGTACGAGATGTTGATGGCGCCAGGTGGTTCATGAGACCAAAGAGTTTTCTACCGCAAAGGACGCTTATATTGAGGCGTCCCGGCCTGGCATATACCATCTGCTCAGTCTCCAGGACAAGTATTGCGCAGGCAAGGCCGAGTTGGCAAACGTCACGCTGGTGCAGACGCCCAAGCCCTCGGTCAACATCACATCGACGCCCATTACCGCACGCGAGTGCGGCGGCGAAATCGGCGCCCATATCGAGCTGGAGTTGAGCGGCCGCCCGCCGTTTGCCATTCACTACCGTGAACGCAACCTGAGGCTCCCCAACAGCCGCACGGTCACCCGTGTGGTGCGGTCGCAGCAGCGGCACCACTCGTTCAAGGTGTCGCCAGAGCTGGCAGGCATCTACGAGTTTGAGTTCTTCCGTCTCGAGATGACAACTATCCCAGCGGCCAGCCCATCTCAGCTGTCATCCAACAGGCCATCCACGCGCAGCCGTCTGTCAAGCTCGACACATCCAGTGGACAGCTTCCTCGGTCATCTGCAAGGGCGAGTCGCTCGAGATTCCCCTGCGCTTCAAGGGCCAAGGCCCCTGGCAGATCACCTACAATGTGGTTCATGAGAGCCGCCGCATGAGCTGGACAATCTCGGACATTGCTGACGACAGGTTTATTATTGAGCTGGGTGCCTTTGACAGCCCTGGCCAGTACACCATTGAGCTGGCGCAGATCAAGGACGGTAACCAGTGCAAGCGCGACTTGCTCGATATCGCGGCCACCATCAGGGTGCGCGAGGGTGGGCCGAGGGCCAGCTTCCAGTGCCCCGACGGCGGCATCCGCATACTGGACGGCGAGCAGGCGCGCATCCCTGTGCAGGCTTCAGGCGAGTTCCCCGTCGACCTACAGTACCGCAAGATCGGTGATCCCTCCGAGCGGATCTACCGGGCCACCCTTGGCCGTCGGACCAATAACAGCGCCCCGCAAATGATTTCGTCCAGGCACACGGCCCCGGCGAGTACGAACTTGTGGCTGCCAACGATATCTGCCCCGGCACGATCGACTCGCAGAGCGCCCGCTGTCTCGTCAAGGTCGAGCCCAAGCCCCGCGCATGGTTTGCCACGACCGGACTCAAGTACGAGGACAAGAGCAGCGCGCATGGTGAGAAGGGAGTTTGGCATCTGGGCGATACTTGCGAGGCCTCAAAGTCGCCCGGAGCATTTGAGCTAGGGCTCAGCGGATCTGGCCCGTGGAAGCTCGAGTACCGCATAGACTACTGGTCGTGGTCCAACCCGCAGAGCGGCAACCCGCGAACCGTTGATCGCACAACCACGCATACGTCGGTCGCCATGCAGCAGAGCACCCTGAAGACCGAGTGCTGCGACCCGGGTCTCTACCGTTACACCCTGGTGGCTGTCAGTGACGAGCGCTACCAGCGCCTGCAGCCGCTCGACCTGCACTCAGCGCCTGCAACCAAGGAGTCCCTGACTGTTGTCGAACACCGCGTCACTCGCAGCCCACAGGCCGAGCTGCGCGCGTATTTGCCCGACGGCACTCCACTCGATGTGTCCACCAAGGGTGCGTTCCGGCGCAAGCAGCGGACCATTAAGCATTGCTTGGCGCCGGGCCAGTCCCGCACCGAGGGTGATGCACAGAGATGGGCGAGTGTGCGCGAGCAGCTGCCCGTGTTCCGAATCGAGTTCGAAAAGGGCGGGTTGGCCCCGTTCCAGGCCTGGGTGAGGTTTCCCGGCTAGCGGGCCGAGCGAAGTGGTGGCCATTCGGGATATCCAAGGATACTCGCAGGCTGTCGCACTGCCCGACCATATTGCATCGCAGATTGGCCGCTACCATATGCGGTTGGTCAAAACCGGGATGCACGCGGCTGTGAGCATCAGTTCGTCGATCCGAGCGAGGTTGGTTTGGGCCGGCCTGACCAGGTGGGTGCGTCGATTTCTGGCGGCATTGAGATCGAGTACATCGAGGCGCCTAGTGCGCGCCCTGCATCATCCAGTCCATCTGCCAACCCCTCGCGCAACGTGTGCGTCGGCGACATCCTCTCGTTTGATTTGCGCGGTCTCAACTCCTGGAATGTAGATTACACGTACAACGGAGATCATCGCTCAACAACAGCCAACAAGAGGCTGTTCCGCAGACTGGTCGACGAGCCCGGAAACTTCACTCTGACCCGCGTCTGTCATCGGTCAGCCAATGACTGTTGCAGCGAGTTTAGTGACTTGGCTTATTCTGTGCATGATATCCCTAGGGTGCGCGTTAGCGGCGGAAAGAACGTTTATCAGGACATTTTGGAGGGCGATATGGTTGATATCAGGATGGATTTGGTCGGCCAGCCACCGTTTACGTTTACTTGGCAGCGGCGCGGGTTGGCCACGGGGGACTTTGGGGAAAGTGTTGGAGTCACATACGGTCAAGGATTTCACGGACACGCTTACACCATTTCGACGTCTTCTGAGGGCACCTTTGAGGTGACGTTTATTCAGGACCAGTTCTGCCAATATCCAAAGGCATAGTCTAAGAATAACAAAAACATTGGATTTTTTTTACAATTATAATTTTTATTTATAATAACAAAAATGTTTATGCTTCGGAGTTAGTGAAGAATAAAAGGGCATAGGATAAATTTGACCACCATATATACGAGCATTGATTAAAAAGAATTCGTTACGCATATGAAATAGAAAAGGTATATAATAATGTGTGTTGAGTTGATAATAAAAATTAGAAAAAAAGGGGGGGAGAATCCATACTACTAATAAACTGGTTAGGCACATATTTGATATTTTAAATTATAGACAAGTAAATTTAAATTTCACATATCTACGAAGTAAATATTGCTTTCTGGCAAAATATAAAGACAAACTTGTTTTTTTGATATTGGAAGGGAAAAAAGTTGGTCCAAAAAAACACAAAGGCAGTTGCCAATTTAGCTGTGAGACTCCAGTTTGGCAGCGTTGATATCGACAAAATATGATTGTAACGGATGCAGCACGCACTCGAGGTTCTTTGAGCTGAATGGCAGACGAAGAGCCGGCGAATCGCGCGGATCAGTATCGCCAGAAGCAGAAGCAACAGGTTCCAGCGCAGCAGCGCTCAATTCCACAACCCAATGTCAAACATGCCTGGCGACAAACACACTAGCGGGCACTCAGCCAACCGAAGCTTGCGGCCCCACTACAAGCTCATGATTGGTTTTGCCATACCATGACCACGCCGAGCGAGAGCCAGTGTAGTCCAGCCGGACTCTATCAGGCATAATCTGGTCCAAATCGGCCGGCGAAATCAAGTCGAGTGCAAAGTCGTAGGCGTACCGCCACGAGTGATTGTAGACTGTGACTATAATATCTGCCACGTACATGGCTGACAATGCCAACTCGCTGCTTGCACCCTGCCGGATTGCGCCCACACGCATAGACACATCTAACGGCCGCTCGTGCCGGTGCGTCAGGGCGTTCGGCCTATTGGCAATGCTCTGCACAAGCGCCTCACGTTCGTTGACCGTGTCGGCCAACCATGCGCGCGCAGCGCCCTGCGTGGGCGGATTGAGCGCCTCGTTGATGTAGTCGTGCGGAACGCCTAGGTCAATGCCCGTGATGGAGTGATGTCCTGAGCGTTGCATGCCACCAACCTCGTTCCAAAACAGAACAAAATCGATGCCAAAGGTTTCAAACAGGGGGAACAGCACGCGGTGGTAATTTTCGGGTATCATCGGATAATTTGCGCGCAGCATGTTGCGCCGGCGGAAGGCTTGGGAGCGTAGAATGTAGCTCTGCAGCGACGAGTGCACGCAATCAACGCCGCTGTGATCGCCCAGAACCATGTTGCTGTAGACTAGCTCAATGGGCTCGGGCAGCAGCGTGGGCTTATTGTTCGAGTAAATAAACTGCCGCAGCGCATTGATTGTGAACTGCTCTGGAACAGCCCGCGCATCGCCTGCTTCGACTTGGCGCGGCCGCGCCCGGTACATCATGCTGACAGTCTGGCGAGGACCGACCACCACTCTCCTTGACACATCTTCCGCTTGCTGTTTTTGCGCCAATATGGGCGTCAGCTCGTAGTGCCCACTGGAGAACGTCGTTTGGACAAGCTGCACGTTAAGGTCGGTCTGCATGTTCTCAATCTCAATGCCAACAGCCGCTCTCGGGGGCACCTTGCGCTCGGCCGAACAAACGCATTGACGCGCAGCGAGGGCGTGACAATCAGGTCAATATCGAATGTCCTCGAGCGCATAACCTGGGACTCGCTGCTCTGCAAAGTGGCGTTGCTGCTGGCGCCGACACACAGGCTGAGCGAATGCGCACCCACGCGGTCTCCGCGCGTCCACACAGGCACGACCAGCGTCTCCCCAGGGTTAAGGCATTCGACGGGCACTAGGCGCGACCATTCGGGACACTGTTGCTTGCCCTCGCCGACCAGCACAAACCGTGAGCAGTCTTGCAGCGTGTTTGGCACACGCATGACTTCGGCGGGATTAACTTTATCCAAGGCTGTGTACACCTCGTGCGTGTCTGCGCACTCTGAGCCTTCAGCCCGCGTGCGAGGCGACTTGACGTCAAAGAATGACGGGTGCGACAGCCACAGGACAATATTGTGGCACGGTAGGGCGCTTTGTTGACAATAATCACGGATGATTGATGCATCGAACCGCTCATGAGTGTGTCGGGGAAGCCCTCAGTGGAAATGTCCAGATGTGGCATGTCGGGGCTCACGCGGAATTTCAGAGTGGTATCGGGCGAGTACACCTCCCACGCCTGCTGCTCCTTTGTGTTGTTGAGTCGGCGCCCAGGCAGCTGAGCGGCTTGAACGTCGGCAGTATGTCGCACAGCAAGTACTTGGCGCCGGTGATCGACAGCTCGCCCGGCCGCTTCGCCACAACTTCCACAGTCACCATAGTCGTCTGGCCTCCCTCAAGGATAACCGAAGATACAGTCGTCACTTCAAAGGCAGAAGCTACCTCTTCTTCAACGTCATCGCTGGCAGTAAACTCGCAGTCCAGTGTAAAGTTGTTCAGGGTTACGCCAATGGTCAGCGGGTTAGTCACCACTAAAAGCACAGCGACTGCCTCTCCGACCGCACAGCAGCTCCCACGGCCCGGGTTTGAAGCCGGTGCTGACCCTAATGCTGATGCTGGTGCCGTAGCGGGCTTGGGTGCTGATCCGTCGAGGCGCCATTCCAGCAGCCCGTCCTCACCCTCGAGGCTTGGCGACATGATTATGCGAGCCATGTGAGGGTCGATGACGGGAATCGACAGCTGGATGTTGGACCGGCGCGCGCCACCCTCGGCAGAGCCCTTTGCCGCGCGGTCGTCGCTTTCGAGGAACAACTGCAGCAGCTCTTGTAAGTATTTGGACTGAAGCTTTGGTGGGATCTTGTCATCGCCCACCAGCGCCATAAAGTATTGGAGCGCCTCATCATAGCTCTGGACCGCTGAGTACTGCCGGCCGAGTTCGTGGTTAATGAACGAGTCGATAGCTCCCCAGCTCGAGCGCGCGACTGTACTGCCCACATTGCTGCTGTTGCTATCCTCAGCAATGCTTTTTTCAGCCTTGGCTTCGGTCTTGGACTCGGCCCCTTTCTCGCTCTCGTTTTCGTTCTCGCTGTCGCCGGCATGCCGCTGCCGGAGTTCAACGGGGGTGGCCAGGGCCAGCTTGACCATGCGCAAGCACCTGTGGGAAAGCTCGCTCATCCCTGACTTTTGATACATCTGGCTGGCGATCATCGCGTAGAACGAAAATTTACGCACCTCCGACCGCGGCGTCAGCTTCAAATACGCATACGCGGCCTGCTCGTTCATAAGTGCGCCCAGCGAGATAAAGCCACGCGGTATGCGCAAAAGAGCAACCGGGGCAAATGAGTGCATTTTTGGTGCTTGAGGAGCTCGTAGTACATGATCACTGAGCGAACGGCCAGGAACGTGCGAGGCACCTGTGTTTTGTGTAGATACGTGTTGATGGCGTCATCAAAGTTGCTGTCAAACTCAGCCTTTGTCGCCTGTACCTCCCACATCAACTTGCTGAGACCGACCATCTCTTGCGCGCCTGCATAGCACTTCCACGCCTTCTCCGCCAAAAAGTCGCGCCGGGCCACCTGGTACACGCTCTGCGCAAAACGGAAGTCCTTAAGCATAAAAGAATAGTCGGCCAGTTGTCGCATCATCGCCTCTGGGGAGTCGTACCGAAAGTACATGTCGCCATCAACGCCTGTCAATGTGCTGCTGGTCTTTGCCGAGGCTCCAAAGTACCGCCGTCCCGCCGAAAATAACCTCCCAGTAATACCTCGCCGCTGGCCAGCCGTCTGGTCGCTCAGAATGCGCACCACGTACTGCATGTGCGGAACCACGCTCCGCACCATCATCTGCTTTACAGCGTCGCGCAGCGCAGCTACATCCCGCATGGTCAGCATGCTGCCGTAGACCTTCTCTGACGGCGCCGCCAGCGGCTGCGCTGTTGCCAGGCTGCTGCTCCAAATGCCCGATATCTTGGCCCTGTCGCTGCTGTCTGCATCCAGCAGGTCTGTGTTGGAGTTGATTCGCAACAGCGAGCAGTTTTGCCCAAACACCTTGCGCACCAAATCAAACCTGTGATCAATGTTTTGCACGTCGGCCGTCCGGCGCTCGTCGTGCACCACGACATAGTAAAGCACCAGGTTCGAGCCTGTAAAACTCTGCGTCTGTGTCCGTCGCACCGCCGGGTGGCTGAGCAGGCTGCGCAGCGAGCCCACCGGGTCGGCGTCTGAGCTTGAGACTGCAAGCATGCAGGCAACTGGGTGCATAAACGACTCGTGCTCTGATGCTTGCATCTGGTTAACCCATTGCTGCCTGAACAGCGTGTACCAGGGGCTCCACGCGCTGATTTCCTCCAACGCCACAGCCTCTCGGTTGACTCCGGCGGCCCCGCCATAAACGCCGGGTCAACGTGCTCAGAAGCCGAGCTGCCGCCGATGCACTTTGTTACAAGCTCGTCGACTTCGGCGCCGCTCAACTGCCGCTGCTTGTGATAACAAAGTCTGTCGTGAACTTTACGTTGATTTTGTCGAGAAAGTACGGCGCCCCTTGGCCGTCCTGTATTGTGACTACCACCAAAAAATAAAAGGAAGAAGTATTGATATAAGAGTGTTGCTTTTGGTGTTTAAAAAGCCAAGGCCGAGCATGCATTCAACAGTTCATGCGGATTGCTATGAATTGAACTTACTCTGTGCAGAGACATCCTGGCCAAACGGGGCTAGTAGTTCGGCAAACGAGTCGGCACTGTTCACCTGCCATGTGTCGTCCAAGTCAGCAGAGTTGACCACTAGAATTCGCGGACATAGTGCCTTGGCCACAAACTCCTTTTTCTGTGCCAGGCCTGCACGCGGCATTACTCTTCTGGACGCCAGTTTTAGTGTCTAAAATGTATCAATGTAAAGGCCACAGCAAGTGATACAAACTGGGCAAACTGTGAGCAAGCGAGAATGAAAATGAGAAAGTAAAAATTAAAAATGCAGAGACGAAATGCAAAATGCAAAGTTGAAATTAAATTGAACTTTGTTCGTTTCCCAAGCACTCTCGTGACGAAGTGATATTGTGTAAAGTTGGCGTGATCGATCGCATGCTCTCAATAAAATCAAATCAACGAATGAAGCCCTGTAGCAGAAAAAAATGTGACTTTATTTATTTTTCTATACTTAGTGGCTGAGCTTGTCGGCCAAGTCGTTTGCGGCGGCCAAAACAGCCTGGTCGAGTTTCTTGTGAATGTGCTTGCACCCCTCAACGGCAAGGTCCATGACCTCCTCCAGCTTGGAGGAATGCAGCTTGGACTCCATCTGCAGCAGCGCAATGTTGCCATTCCTGGGCAAGATGGCCACCGTAAGGTCGGGTGTCTCAATCGACGACTCTTCGACGCCATTCAAATCCAGCACCGGCGTATCGTCCACAAACCCAGCCGTGCACGCGCACACATAGTCGATCATGGAAATACCAGCATCCACCAGTGCCAGTGTCGCCGCATTGATACACGTCTCCAGAGTTCCGCCATCGTGCTGCAGCAAGTGGATGTAAATATCAATCTGCGACCGCGGGTACACACTCGTTTGAATGGCGCCCTCGAATGTCTGCTTGACGAACGAGGCAATTTCAAGCAGGCGCTTGTCGCCCTTGGACCGCTTCCTCCGCTCGCTTGTGCTGAATGGCGCCACGTTAAACTCGACGTTGATGGTCGCTTGGTCATACATTGTCAATGATTTTGCTCGGGGCTCCCGGGGACCGTACACGGCAACAAGGACTTTGGTGTTACCCTGCTCGTAGTACGCCGATCCGTCGGCAGAGTTTAGCACTGAAGCGCGGCAGGAAATGCGACGCAGCTCGTTGGCACGCCGACCATCAACGCGAAGTCCCTCCGGTGAAAGTAGTTCTTGTCTTGACATATTTAGTTATTTTTGATATTTTATGAATCCAACGAAATAGTTCAAAGGGATATGAAGATATATATAAATACGCTGGGACGCGCTTATAAAAAATTGCGCATTTTCGCTTTCAAAGTTATTCTGGACAATCGACAAGCAAACATTTGTAAATGTATGGCCCAGTCACGTGGATATTGTCCAGACCTTTCATACTCAAATTAATGTATAAAAAAGTTTTTTTATTATTAGCAACAAACTTTTTGACGTTATCGACAAACTTTTGTACAATGGTATCTACCCGGAAAATAACAATGGATACTTTAAAAAATTATGAAGTTGAGAATAAGCTAACAGCTCGAACACAATTATCATGTTTACAAGCGAGCAAGTGAGAGCCGCCTATGTAGCTGCTAAAAGCAAATTGTTTATTGCTTCCAAGTGTACTTCAAGAATTAGTTATGTTTATAGGACTCATCCTGTGTCCATGGGTTTTGACGGCTGGGATTCGGAATGTTAATGTATCCTTTCCAACATACAAATAAGAAATTCATTTCTAAAATATCAATGATTCAGAAACAAGAGAGTATTCGAGTAGTCAATTACAGTATACATATTTGAATTTTTACAGTGACAGATCTAAAAAACATGCGCTTCGTTACAATGCATTAGCTGTTGAACAAATAGTGCATTTTTAAACAAAAAAAAACAATACCGTGACTAGTACACAGTTGTAAAAAAATCGAGCAAAAATATGCTTACTAAGTTAAGGCCGTTAAACCAGGTGTCGAATTTTTACTGGACATGTCATCATGCCAAACAATACGGGTTGGCCAAAGGTCAACATACACTCAAGATGGTTTAAACCCTTCTGGGCCACGCTTTATTTTTACGATATAAAATTAAGAAAAAACTGAGTGCCCAAGAACTATCCTTATGTCCTTTTTAGAGCCACGCAATTAGCAATAATTATTACTAGGCACCTAACTAAATAGCAATATTCTATATTCTATATTTTTTTATTTCTTTACCATATGAGTGGTGATAATGAATAACTTACCCACTCCATCCGCCAGCAGCTCCAAGCAGAGCTCGCTGCCGGCAACATCAGGCCGCCAAGGGTGTAACGGACACTGCAAAATTACTGGGGAAGATACCAACAACGAAGTCGGTGAGACCAATGCCCAGCGCGAGGAGCTTTCTAAGAACTTTGAGACCTCATCGACGACTCGCAAATCATAACTCCTGCTGAATTTGTCGCCTCCAAAACGGCCTCCCGCGCTACCAACACGCGTGCCTAAAGCCTATTGAACTTCAAAAAAAATTTCGACCACAACCGCAACCACAACATTACGCTCGGTCGACTTTACACCTTCGCTACAAACACCATCAACCACATGCACCGTGCAAGCAAGACATGCTCCACCATCCCACCCTCCTGTTCAGATGTCGAGATGGCCCAGCACGACTCAGATGCGAGCTCGACAACATTATCAAGACTGCAGTCATCACAACCAACAGCAGCATCACCATTGCCCAACACACCTGGGGAGCTTTTTACTGCCACCAGCGAGGTTGCCGAACTCCCTACCCACCTTGCACGCCAACTTGTCCCTCAGTACAATGAACGACAGACAAATATATCAGACAAATTCAGTGCTGCTATAACAAGCACCAGCAAGACAATCGACTATACCCAAACAGAAACAACGTGGACAAGGGTGCCATGGTCTCAGCGCACAACAGGGACGCGCTTACCACAGCGACTACCAATTCAGAACAACAGTCTCAGAGGAAAGATCAATTACTACAACAACCACCCGCAGAACAATCAGCGCCCATACAACAACAACAGAAACAACAACGGCAGCACCAACAGCAATAGCAACAATCCGGCCAACAATAATGTCATGCTGGTATCTGCCATGGTAAAAGCTGCGTCCCTGTTTGCGCTGAGACCATGGCACCCTTGTTCACGGTTGTTTCTGTTTGGGTATAGTCGATTGGCACAAAGGATATACGCGGACACAAGCCGTTTTGAAACAAATAAGCATAAACTCTGAATTTCGAGAAAAATTGATTTGTTACAATAATGCATATGATAATATTATATATATTGATATTGATGTGTAATATACTATAAAATGATAATCCCCGTAAATAAATATAAAAATTATATTTTGATATCTGCCTTTATAGGATTGCTGCACCAAAAAAACTGACAATAGAAATAAAATTTATATTTGTTAAACATTTTTGATTGATTATCCCTTATTGATTGTTGATTCTTATGATCTTTAATTTCGGGGCGAAGTGTGGAGATGCATAATTATCCAAAAATGGTCATTGAACATTAACAAATACATTTTTGACTGTTACAACCGTAACCAGATATTAATTAAAAACCAGCGTTGGAACTTCTGCATTAGACATAATGTGCGTTTCCGGCGCATTTGACATTGCAAGAACGTAAAATCAAGGGGAAAAACATAAGCAACAAGGGAAATGCGGGCATTTATGCAATCAGTCAACAAAACAACTAGTTTACAGTGTGGACTGGGGCTACTGGCTTGGTTGTAGAAAAATTGACATGCTTAATCAAGAAACTGAAACTGCAGAAATGGTGGAATCGGCCAGAGCTTTCTATGGATGTAGCAGTATCGTGGTGGGAAATGTGGTGAGTGGCTTTAATCATATCGATTATTGGTTATTTTTATCCCCCGAATTGCGCCTCCCGGATATACCCGATAGGCGATGGCTGTGGTATGGGCTTAGTGGGGAGAGATTACTGTGGGTTTTCTGATGTTTTTTCAAGCAACAGATAAAGGCGCAGGTGGTGATCCAACTAGCAGAAACAAAAATGAGGTTGCCAGCACTGGGATCAGGGCTCCAGCTGGTCCTCTGATTTTGCATTGTAGCTCTTGAAATAGTTCATTTGAAGCCAACAAACCAACCTAGTACCTACTTAGTGTGAGAATTTGCAAGCCTCTTTGCCTCAAATATCTGAATATGCTGCTTTGGCCTAAAAATAGTGATATTGGCGAGACAAAAAACAGCAGCAATGTGCAGATGTGGACAAAATTTCATAAGCGCTAATTTGTGCAGTTTTTCTTTTGTCAGCCGGTCCGTGTAAATGCTGTCAAAAAAAGCAACGGTTGTCAATCTAGAAATACTATGCATGCAGGATTGAAATATAAATTACTCGGAAGTATGCATGGCCAAAATGCCAATTAGCCACTGCACTATCGCCTAAATCAATTCCATTATGATTACCAAGCACCAGAAAATATGACTGGACATAGAAGTGTGTGTGTGTGCATGCAGCTTGGGCTTTTCAATATGCATCTGCACTTATTTATTGCTAAAAAATATTGTGCGAGCGCATTTTGCACTGTGGTTTTAAGGGTGTGTTTGAAACTGATAATATCATGGTGTTACATCATTTGCACTTGCTAGCGTTTTTTCCCACCACCAAATTTCAAAATTAACCACGGGAAATGAAACGGGAATACCCGAGCATTAAAGCGAATGAGCAAATAAAATGATTGCGCGCTTTCACAGTGTGCATATCTGCTGCCCGTATTTGTTTTTTTTTGCATTGCCACATTCGCTACAGCGGGTTATTCAGAAAATGGTATTCAGCCTCCTTTTTTCCAAGTTGGCTTTTTTGAACGCGATCAAGCATTTGTGAGCCCGATCCTGTGCTTTTTCGTTGGAACGCGTCAGAAATAACGCGGAAATTGGTTTTCCAAAACAAATAATACGTTTCAGCATTATATCACAAAAACAAGCCTTACGCCATTATCAACTGCGAGTGTTTATTATTTTCCTCATCTTAATATCCATTTTTTACAAAAGAGTGCTTTAACACCCGAATACTTCAACACCCGAATACTTAAGCACCCAAATACTTCAGCACCCGAATACTTCAGCACTTTGGACTTCCACATTTTCATATTACTATTAACACTTATTTTTAAAAAAAACACCTTTAATCGCTTTCGCCATGATTGCGCTTACTTTCCCCCTGCCCCCTCTGGTTATTGCCAGGGAGCCTAACTACATTATCACTTTGTACATTCTTTTTTTTATTTACACCATAGGCCTCATTACTCAGGCTGTCAATATCACTTTCTCGCTTGTCTTTTCCTTTTTTTCCAAGTATCCCGATAATATTCAAAAATTTCGTTTTATTTTTATTAACCTCATTGGTGTCTTTCTTTCCCTGGCCATTATTACTCGTCTCTCCATTAATATGTCTGTTTTTAATCTACAGTCAGGACCATTATATGGTATGTACTCCATGGACTTTAATGTCAAGAGACCTGTGCTACGGTTAATTGAAGTTTTATATTATATTTTTCTTTCTTTCTTTTTGTGCTCGGTCGAAAGGAACATCGACAAGGTCAAGAGGCGTGCCAGAGAGGAGATCAAACACACTAAGCGCGCCACAGCAACCAATGCCACAACAACAAATAATGCTATTGTGACCACAGAGACTGCCACAATTTCAGCTACCATTACAATTACCACGGACCCTACCACAGAAACAGCAACAGCGACCACAATCATTACCAAGGACGCAGGAACAGCTACAGAAACGGCCACAATCATCATCACATTGGACACCAAAATAGAGCCAGCTGCGACTACGGCGACGCTCACAAGCGACAACCTTTCAACCCCAAACTCATTCGTGACTACTGTCACTAACACCACCACCGACACTAACACCACCGACGCTCCTTCTCTCCTTCATCATACTTCCGGCATGACAACGAAAACTCTTCCGCCATTTCTTCATCAGAAAGCGTCCATTCAGACAACTCTAATGATACTTTGGTCCCAACTGCAGATATCAGCACCATTGTTGACGCTGCTGTCAATTATTTTAAAAGGGTGGTAAAAACTGCTATTTTCTCTTCTATCTCTCTGGCTGTCTCCAGCGCCAGCCATCCGATTCTCCTCGTGCTGCTTTTGGTGCTGCTACAGCTGCTTTTAGAGCGCTTGTTTTGGATAAAATAACTGTCCTTGTTGCCAGCCTGCGAGCCGAACCCGACACTTGTGTTGAACACGATGCAGCGGCGAAAATAGCCACCCAAGTTATTGATTTAATCAAGACTGCGGCTCGTCATTCCATCTCTGATTCTGCTGGCAACCAGCCGTTTGCCTCCTACTTGCTGTCGTTTTTGGACAATTATTTTATTCATCTCTTGGACACTGTACTTGACAAGGTAGCCGATCTCACTAAAAATGTCTATAATCTCGAGAGGTCACAACAACAACAACAACAACAACAGCAGCAGCAGCAGTTTGATGAATTAAGGCAAAGGTTATTGGAATTACAACGGACATTATTTGCCAGTGTTTTGCTGATGCGCTCAGTCCTCTGCGCGCTTGCCGGCTGGGAGGTTTGGACCTTATTCGAGTTACAACGATTACGAGACCGCTGCTATTCGGTGCATTCTGACACTAGTGGGCACACAGATCAGCGACTATATTTATATCCTCGAGGATGGCGATAAGGCGAACAATTAAGGATCATTAAAATTCGAAGGCACAACACGATGTTGCCACACACAAAAAAAAAGTGCAATTCTCAATTATTTTATTTTATTCTAGTTTTTTTTTATTGTTTCAAATCTTGTAAATATATATAGTGAATATTGTTTATTAAAAAACATAAATTAAACAACGCATTAAAAAATTTATGTATTTAAAGCTGAGATGCAGGAGAAGTGGGCAAACGACGGGTCAGCACCTCACATCCATCCTCAGTGACCAAAACAGCATGCTCAAACTGAGCACTACGCTTTCCATCAACTGTAACAGCAGTCCAATTATCTCTCCAAGTCTGATCATTAAACCTTCCCTCATTAATCATTGGCTCAATCGTGAAAACATGACCGGGCTTCATAACACCAATAGCCTTATTCTGCGCATAATGCGGGACATTCGGCGCCGAATGGAATAATTTCCCAACACCATGGCCGCAATACGTACGCACGACGGAGAATCCATTCGCCCGAGCATGGTTCTCAATGACAGAGCCGAGATCGCGATACCGGACGCCAGGCTTCACCATATCAATAGCTTTCTGCAGGCATTCGCGGGTAGTCTTGACTAGTTTCTTCGACTTGTCATCGACATTTCCAACAAAGTAGGTCTTATTAAGATCCGCATGGAAGCCATCCTTGTACAGCGAAATATCGATATTCAGGATATCTCCATCCTCCAAGGAGCGTTGGTCCGGGATACCATGGCAGACAACCTCATTGACGCTCGTGCAGACGCTCTTAGGAAACTGGTAGTAGTTAAGGGGCGACGGATACGCCTTGCGCTCAATCGTAGCCTCATGCACAATCCTATCAATCTCGTCCGTAGTGACCCCAACCTTCACCGCCCTCGCAGCAATATCCAGCACCTCACGACCAAGCCGACACACCTCGCGCATTTTCACAAGATCCTCCGCAGACATCGCCGATCTGGGCATTCCCATAGGCCTGCTCCTGGCGCGAAGCACCATTGGGATCCGTGGCGTAATCCGGACGCTGGATATCCGCGGGAACTTCACGACGCGGGGACAATGGGTAAACTGGGCGCAAGGGTCCCGTGTAGGCGTAGGATGGGAAGGGGTCGTAGGTGGCCTTGGGGTTAGTTACTTGGTGCTTGGCTTTGTGGGTTGCCCAGGAATTGCGGAAACACGATTGAGTGCAGAAATGGGAATCGGTTAGTCCTAGTTTGACGCACGTAGGGCATTGCAGAGTGGCAATGTTGGTGCAGCCGGTGGACTGACAGGAGTGCGTGGTGGAAGCAGACATTTTTTTTTTTTAAAGTAATATGTTAATTTTAAAAGTGATAAAATAAAAATGAAATGATAAAGTGGAAGAAAAAAAAGAAAAAAAAAGAGAAAAAAGGGGTGGGATAAAAAAACCTTTTCTTTAAAGGGTTTGAAATGCAAATATCTACATTTTTCCACTTTACTTTATTTTATTTTATAAATAAAAATAAAAATTCTTCACATTCCACTTTAGAATAATGTCAAGCGAGTCACTCACAAAGTGGATTTCGAAATCCAAGTAAGTATTTTTGAGGAATATATTTTTTTTCTTCTTTTTCTCAAAGAACAAAAATAAAAGCACGCCAGCTTTTGTAAATATTTCATATGTTCTCTAACGAACACACCAATACAAACAAAAAATGTGGGGTGGGGGTGGAGGTACTGTAGGGTTAGCACAGTGCTGAACAAGGATGTGAAAACCTACGGTCGCAACAACCTCTTTGACGACAACACCGAGACCTGTTGGAACTCCGAACAGGGCACGCCACAATGGATAATGGTCGAGTTCACAGCTCCAGTACAACTCCACAGCATCCATATGCAGTTCCAAGGCGGGTTCGCGGGCAAATCCACACAACTATTTGATATGATGGCCACTGGGGTACCGCAGTCAGAGCTCGTGTGCCCGCTGCACGTGGAGGACAATAACAGAGTGCAGGAGTTTGTGCTGCCGCAGCAGGAGCAGGGTCGGGCGCGCAGGCGCGTTAAGGTTGTGTTTGGCGAGAGCACGGATTTCTACGGCCGCATTGTCGTGTATTCAATGAACTTTATGGGCCGAGTGCTTGACCACAGTGCCGTGGCAGCAGTCGATGACAGCAGCGTCGGTGCTTCGGGCGTGGCGGCCGACATGGTGATAGTCTAGATAAAAAAACAATAGAAAGGATAGACAGGGTGCTGGAATTATAGATGAAGAATATGAAAAGAGGAAAGAGAAGGGATGGGAATCACACAACTGCTGGTGAGAAGGATGGCAGGCGGATAACAGCCAATGAGCGCAGGCGGTCCTGGACACTCTCGGCGCGCTGCTTGAGCGACAGCGCCAGGGTCTGCTGGCGATACAGGTCGAACTGCGGGCGCTCGCGCAACGGCTGCCACGCAGGCTTCTGCACCGGCACCGGCACCGGCACCGGCATCGGCACCGTCCCGCCAGCCGCCGCCGCCGGCGTGCACACCTCCATTGCGCCCGGGTCCGCGTCCGCGGCCGAGTCTGCATCCGAGCCCGCGGCAGCGGGCGCCAGGCGGACCAGGCGCGGCGCCGCAGCCAAGCGGTACGCCTCCTTGGCGACCACGCGGGCCTCGCGCACAGCATCGCCGACATCCCCCAGCGACGCAGCCACGGGCCTCGGCCTGCAGCTGAGCAGCGACGCCCGCAGCGACCGCGCATCGTCGCTGAACACATGGCGGGCGCGCAGCAGCGCATTGTCGCGATGCAAGAACGCAGCCGACTCCAGCAGCGTCGCAACCTTGGCGCGCAGGCCGAGCAGGTCGTTGGGCACCGCAGACAGCGGCCCCGCCGCGGCCCCCGCCGCAGCCGCAGCCTCGGCCGGCTTGACGGCCTGCGCGGCAGCCTGGCGCATCCTGCGGTTGTCCGCCTCCAGCGCCTCCATCTCCGCCTGCAGCCCCTCGACGGCCTCGTCGTACGTGCGCTGCCTCGCCTGCGCGCGGCCCAGGTCGGCCTGCAGCTCGCGCGCATGGTCGGCCTGGCGCCGCAGCGTCTCGCCGCGCTTCTCCAGCATCTCCGCGCGCACGGCGCTCTCCTGCAGCGCCTGGTCGCGCAGCTTGAGCTCGCGCGCCAGGCTGACGATCTCCTCGTGCAGCGCGCCCGTGCGCCGCTCAACGTCGGCGTTCTGCACAAGGCTGGCCTTGAACGCCGCGGCGCGCCGCACCCACGGCGCGCCAGCGGGTGCCGCGGGCGGCTGCGCGCCCTCGAGCTGCGGCAGAACGGCCGCGAGATCGGCGGCCAGCTGCTGCGCGGCGGCCAGCGCCGGCGCCATCCCGGCGTCGGCGCGCGCGCCAAAGACGTCCTGCGCAATGCTGGCCAGCGCCAGCGCCAGCCGCGCCGCCGCGCCGCCGCCGGCGGCCGCCGTGTCCTGCACGGCCAGGCGCAGCCGCGCGGCGTACTCGGCCAGGGCGCCGCTGGCCTGCGCGATGCGCGCCGCCAGCGCGGCGGCCTCGGGCGACGCCACCAGCCCGGCGGCGTTCAGCTCGCGCGCGCGGCGCAGCAGCCGCAGCGCGCCGCCCTTGGCGGCCTTGGCGGCCAGCGCAACCGCCGCGGCGGCCGACGCAGCCCGGCGTCGTGCGCGGCCAGCAGCTGCTGCGCGTAGACCAGGTTGGCCAGCTGCACGTCGGCGCCAAAGGCCGCGGCGGCCGCGTGCGCCTCGATGCGCTGCGCCGTGGCGGCGGCCGCTGGCACGTGCGCGTCGGCCAGCGCCGCGGCCTGCGCGGCCAGCCGGCGCACCTCCGGCAGCGCGTCCTGCGCGCGGAACTCCTCGCGCCGCAGCAGCGCCAGCAGCCCGTCCAGGCGGCGCTCGGCGCCGGCCGCGTCGTGCAGCAGCGCGCCGCCGCGCACAAAGGCCGCGTCGCTGGCCACGGCCAGGCCGGCGGCCACCAGCGCCGCGGCCGCCGACAGCCGCGCCAGCTGCGCGCGCACGTCGGCCGCGCCACGAAGTCGTCGCTGACGGCGCCCGCGCGCTCGTCCGACTCGAGCTGGCCGCACAGGATGTCCGCCTTGGCCGCCAGCCGCCGGAACGCCAGCAGCGTGCGCAGCGCCGCCGCCTCGCCCGCCGCAAAGAACGCGTCGGGCACGAACGGCTCGGTCATGCGTAGCTGCTCGGCCGCCTGGTCGGCGTCCAGCCGCCGCAGCTCCAGGTCGACGGCGCCGCGCGCGTGCGCACAGCCGACGAGCGCAGCTGCAGGTTGCGGCTCAGCGCCTCCTGCGTGGCCGACGTCATCACCGCCGCCTCCGACGCCTGCGTCTGCGCCGCGTCGCGCATGCGCTGCAGGTCGGCCTGGAGGCTGGCGACGAGCTCACGGTACTGCCTGATTGTCAGCTGCGCGTCGGCCACGGCTCCTCGAGCCGCTCGGCGCGGCGCATGCGGTCGCTGGCGGCAACGCCCAGGCGCGCGGCCTCGTCGCGCAGGCCCTGCTCCTCCTCGGCGCGCGTCTCCTCCATTTCGTTGTTGACCTCGCACAGCGCCTCGAGGCTCTCGACCGCCGCCTGCAGCTCCTCGACGCGCGCGCCCAGGTCCAGGTTGCGCGCAGACAGGTCCTCGATCAGCTCGTCGGCGCCCAGCGCCTCGTCCAGCCGCTCGCGCAGATCCTCGACCTGCGCCTCGGCCGCGTCCGCGCGCACGCGCAGCCGCTCGGCCTCCTCGGCCGCATCGCTGGCCAGCGCCGCCTCGCGCTCCAGCGCGCGCACGCGCTGCGCCAGCTGCGCCTCGGTCTCCGAAGCCTGGTCGCGCAGCTTGAGCAGCGCGCCCGTCAGCCGCTCGTTCTGCGCGCGCAGCTGCACATCCGCCAGCGCGCCGCTGCCGTCGGCCGCGCGGTAGACCTCGAGGCTCGTCGTGGTTTCGTCCAGCTGCTCGCGCAGCGCCGCGGCCTCCAGTGCCAGGGACTCGGCGCGCTCCTCGGCCATCTCGCGGTCCACCGTCTGCATCTCCATGGCGTCGGCAAGCTCGGCTGCGCGCGCCTCCAGGTCGCTGTGCTCGGACTCGAGCTGCTTGGTGCGCGCGCGCAGTGTGCGCGCCTCCTCCTGCAGCGCCTGCACTTTGGCTGCGAGCCGGTCGCGTGCGCGCAGCGCCTGCTCGGCCTCGGCGCGCACGGCGTCGGCCTCTTGGATGCGCTGCCGGTCTTCCGACCGCTTTTGCTCCAGGAACCGGTACTTGAGCCGCAGCTCCTCGAACTCCTTCATCGGCACGGTTTGCGCGTGAAGCGACGGTGCCGATGCTGGTGCCGACGCGCCCTGCGCTGACGACTCGTCCATGCTTAGCGCCGGCTGGTAGGCCATACGCACCGGCTCGTCCACCTGCATGGCGTCGCTGGCGTCCCCGGCTTCGGGCTTGGCTTCGGCCTCGGCCTCGCTCGCTCTCGACCTCCTCCGGGGCCGAGGGCGCCTGCGGGGGCTCTGCCTTGGTGTCTGGCGCTGCCGCTGCCGCTGCTGCTACTGTCGCCCGCCGCGGCCCCAGTGCCTCGGACACGCGCCTGATTGGCGCAACCAGACTGGCGCTCGGCCGCATACTGCCTGCCCTCGCCGTCGGCGGCGCAAGCGTCGCCCTTCTGGCACCAACCTGCGGGGTACGAAGAAGCCGGTTTTCACCCCCACCCAGTGGCGAAACCTCTGTCCCATGGATCGTTGCCCTAGTGCCACCGGCGTCTGCTGCTGCTGCTGCTCCTCCCCCTGACGATGCTAGCACCTTGACTTGCGATGGCCGCACAAAGACGCCGTGTCCGGGGCGCACTCGAAATAGCGCTTTCCCTGGACACTTCCGTCATTTTTGCCTGTTGGCCTATCGAGCTCAATGCCACCCAGTTGCCTGGCCCAACTCCGTTGTGCCGCTGAACCGCACTGTTCCGTGACTGCCCTGGACCTCCACGGCCTGCCCCACTGTGGGTCCGACTTGGGACCCAGAACGCGTACGCATGGGATCGGTTGAGGATAGTCTGCGCGCAGAACTCATCTTGTTTTTTTTTAATTGTATTTCTCTGTATTTCAATTACTCTTGGACTCTTTAAATGTGTTGCTGTTTGTTCGTTGGGCACTGCGCTCTTTCTTCTTTTTTCTTTCTTTTAAATTTGTTGGATAATGGTAATAAAAAGAATATAAGGGTAAAAAAAAATCAACTTTTAATTAAGGCGAATGCAAAGGTAAAAAAATATTGAAAAATGAAAAATAAAAAAATAAATTTTATTGAAAGAACGATGAGCCTAGAATTTTACGAAATGCACCACTCCGCGCGCAGTTTGAATTTGTCAAAACAAAAAACAAACATTTTCGTCATCATTTTCGATCTCAGCCACAGCCACAGACACAGCCACAGACACACCTCCTCCCCACTCGCCCCACTCACCACGCACGCATTACGCCTGATCCCAAATTATAGGATCATAGATTCCACATCCCAGATCCCAACCCCTTTGGTTCTGAATGAGAACTTGTGGCTGGGTCACAAACTCTCGACACTACTCTATAGCAGCCCCACGTCTATTGCCCTCCCCCCTAGATATCCAGAATTTACCTTCCTAAAAAACTCGCTTTTTGCTCACGTATTTTTATTCTCTCCGTATCTGGTAACGATGAGTTACTTGTAGTATCATGTCAATGATATAAACAAAAAAAGCCATATAATTAGGTTAACCAATTTTCGATAAACTAAAAGCGCCTTATATTTAGAAAATACGAAATAAAGAAGGAAAAAACATGTGCATGCTAAAACAAGCTTCTTACAGCTGACCGCAGTCAACAATAACAACTTCTTGGTGGTTCTGCCCGTGTTCGAGCCAAGAGCCTCAATCTTCTTGACACATCCAGGCCCAGTAAACCTTGCCAAACACGACGTGCTTGCCGTCGAGCCACGAGCAAGGAACCGTGGTGAGGAAGAACTGGGAGCCGTTAGTGTTGGACCAGCATTAGCCATCGACAAAAGTCCGGCTCAGTGTGCTTGAGGTAAAGTTCTCGTCAGCAAACTTGTTACCGTAGATCGACTTGCCACCAGTGCCGTTGTGGTTGGTGAAGTCACCGCCCTGGAGCATGAAATCGGGGATCACGCGGTGGAAGAGCTGTCCTTGTAGCCGAAGCCCTTCTCGCCAGTGCACAGGGCACGGAAGTTCTCGGCGGTCTTGGGGGCAACATCCTTGCGGAGCTCCATGACAATGCGACCGACGGAAGCACCGTTGGCCTCAACGTCGAAGAACACCTTGGGGTTGCTGGTGGTCGAGCTGACCGGGGTTCTGGGGGTAATGGGGGCGAGCCAGTAGAGGGGAAACAGGAGAAGACATGTTTTATCTTTGAATTTTCTTAGTGTATAAAACTATCAAGGAAAATGAAAAAAATATGTATATAAAGAAGAAAAGGATAGGAATTTTGGTTTAAAAAAGCGCATATAGACACCCCCCCCTCCCCTTACTACCTTGTCAATTGTTGTCAATTAATGCGGACCAGTTTTTCTTCTGTTTTTTCTTTCGGACCAGGGGATAAGCAGTATTTCAAGGAACCGCGCGAAAAAAACACCAAACAAAAAATTTTCATAGTGAAATTTCGATATGCGACTTGCAGAAAAATGCATGGTTCCAATGCGATCGCCCTCTTGGGGACTAACCAATCAAATCAAACTATAAAAAGAACATCTCAGAATCCTGCTGAATCAATCCCTCCAGCTTTCAAATCAGCATCCGTGGCACGATGTCTCTGATTTCAATCATAAAAAAATAACCAGCCATTGTTTCAGTTGTTTCAGTTGTTTTTGAAGGTTTGCCGGATTACATGCAGAAATCAATCACCAAATAAAAAATCACCAGCTCACCATGCAGACCACTGCATGTCGTTGTCATCACTTGCTCAAAAATATTATAATGAATCTCCAGCCTGTATGGCAAACCTTGAAAATTGTGTTTGCGCGCTTATCTTTACATTTCGTTAAAAGGTAAGTGCATTAACACCTTTCGCCAGAGTATGAAATTAAGTGCGATCATTTAGCAGAGACTCAGCAGCAGCAGCTGGTCCCAAAGCCAAGGAGGCGGCTCTATGCTGCAGCTACGTATCCACGCAGCAGTGCAGGGATTGATTTATCCACATATCATGGCGGTTATAATCGTCAGTTGTTTATCACAGGACAGGGTTTCGTCAACAGATCAAGTGGATCTATAGATCTATTTTCTCTGGGCGAAGTGTGAACGTTTTTTTTTGTCCAGCGCATCACATTCTAGTTGCTTGCTTAAAAGGCATCTTTTTTATTGTACTCGTATTTTTGTTACTGTGTATGCAATTTCAAAAAGATATTGTTCAAGTGTAGAAATCAAAAAAGGGCGGTATAAAATTTACAGCTGGCCGCAATCCTCAATAACAATCTTCTTCGAGGGCTTTCCATTCGCCGATCCAAGAGCCTCAATCTTCTTGACCACATCCAGGCCAGTAATGACCTTACCAAACACGACGTGCTTGCCGTCAAGCCACGAGCAAGGAACCGTAGTAATAAAGAACTGCGACCCATTGGTGTTCTTGCCAGAATTAGCCATCGACAAAAGTCCAGGCTCAGTGTGCTTGAGCTCAAAGTTCTCGTCAGCAAACTTCTCGCCATAGATCGACTTGCCACCAGTGCCGTTGTGGTTGGTGAAGTCACCGCCCTGGAGCATGAACTGGGGGATCACACGGTGGAAAGAGCTGCCGGAGTAGCCAAAACCCTTTTCGCCAGTGCACAGGGCGCGGAAGTTCTCGGCAGTAATGGGAACGACGTTGGAGAAGAGCTCCATTTCGATGCGCCCGACCTTGCTGCCGTCCGCGGTGATTTCGAAGAAGACGCGGGGAAGAGTTTCGGTTTCGACAGAGTCCATTTTTGTTGATTGATAATGTCGTATTTTAAATATGTGTATGTGTGTGCGGATTTTAATACGGAATCTGGAGCAAAAAAAAATGCCTACGGCGAGAGGTAGCCTATATATAGGCAAAAAAAACTGATTCTACCCAAGCACACATTCAAGTCCTAACAAGAGATGAAGGAAAAAGTACTGACAACACCCCCTTTTTGCAGTGATAAAAACATCTGTGTCGTCACTCGCAATTAGTTTATCATATTGTAAAAAATACACTTTCCCCTCCCCCGCAAAAAAAAACGTATTTTCTTTACTCTTCCTTTGCTGCCTCCTTATCCTCGTTTGCTGTCTCCTCCTTCGCCTCCACCTTGGGTGCCTCCTCATTCACCGTCTTTTCATACTGGGCCACGGTGTACAATTTCTACAATAAAAAAAAAGGTAGGCAAAAAAAATAGATGCACGAGTAAAATGATATATTAAAACCGCACATGCGATAAAAACAATCACAATCATAAATTCAATATATACGAAAATCAAACATACAAATCGAAAAATAAATAAATAAAAAGAAACATGCGGTTAAGAAACAATATATACTTACGAGTGACAGCGCGTGCAATTCTTTCATTGTGTCCCCAAGAGCCGTGTGTACCATCTTGTGTCTGTTGATACGCGTCACCTTGTCAAAACATCAGATGCAATGGCCACGTTGAACATGCTTCCACACCCTCCCGAAATATCCTCCACATTGATATAGTGGACGCCGCTGATATTGGTATTGATCAAGTGCTTGATGTCTGCTGCTGAAACCATTGTGATAATGAAATATGGTTGATTAGAATATTAAAGTGTTTGATTTTTTGTCAAATGTTGAGATCAAAAAATTGTAAATAAAAAAGTTACTTGATTAAATTATCAATATAAAGACAACAAGAATATGGGCAAAAATATTGACCATCCAGGCGACGGTCAGCCCAAACCAGGGTCTGGCTGCAAGCCCATGCAGTAATACCAATAAGCTATTATTGTGCTTGGCTCAATTATCTGAATCCACACTGTGGATACAGTCGACAAATTTATCCTTCTGTTTGTCTGTTGGCTGTCAATGCTATGCAGATCGACGTCATCACCTGACGCGCCTGCTTTTTCAGTCCTCTTTTAAACATACATTTAGCTAGGTACGTCTCCAGAAGCGTCCAGCAATGCGTCCCTAAAGTATTGTGTCATTGGGTGAGTAGGGAATGGTTTGGTACTATGTTTTACTCCATCCGTTCAAAAACTCCTAGCCTACATCCTTCTCTGCCTAACTCGGTGCACCTGCTTCTGTTATTTCCTCGTCGGAGTATGTGCAAACGCTGATCTCGCTCCCCAGCGTGGTATTACGCACTGCCAGCTGCTCCCTCTGCTGCTACTCTCTTCTCCTCGCGCCGATTCACATCTGCCGGGCCTTTCGGCACTCCTTGGTTTGCCTGTGCTGCCAGCTTCTCCTTGGCCTCTTCGTACTTCTCCGGGTTAACTGCGTGTACCTCTTCTGCTCGGTGTCCCTGGCCCTTTTAAAATTCGCTCTCGTCCGTTTTTCCATTGCCAGCCTGGCCTTCATCTCCTCTATTGTGGCTATGCACTCTGCTATCTTTTTCTCCAGCTCGCTGACATTGCCTCCAACTCCAGGTCCCTGCTCTCTAACTCATTGACCTCATTGTTTGTGTCAACCATCTCTGCTGGCTGTGCGACTGCTGTTGTTCCCTGCTATCTCTCACACTTCCTTACTGCCCCCAGTATGTACTGCTTCTGTGCTGTGGAAGATACATCCCCTCAATAACTCGCTGTAGCTAGCTCTGTGTTTCTTTGGGCTGGTCATTCATCCCAAGTGTCTGCGCTTGGGTTGACACATCTCTGGCTACCTAATCTTTAGCAGACAGCCGCTGGTTGACTGGGCTCGGACCATTCCCTAGAAGTCCAAAACCACCCATCGAATCGTTCAATTCACTAAAAAAATAAGAAAATCAAAAATAAGAGGAAAGAGAGAAAAAAATGGCTAACAAATTTTTTTGCAAAATCAAATTCGCTGATTTGCATGTGCCCGAATGCCGCTGCCTTATGGGAGGGTCATTTCGTGACGTAATAAGCACATGTTCAAATTAAAAAATAGGTTTTGCTCCGACGTTTCTCAAATTCTTTTCAATTCCCTCTTAACTTTTCTCAATCAACACAAAATTCATTTTCCCACTTTTAAAAAAATAACAAAGCACATTCTCTGACAAATGCCGCCGCATAATGTCTACACGGGACGCGCAAACAAGGGCACGCTCACCACCGTAGAGTCCGCCGGCAAACTGTACATTGTAGGTTCAAGCATGACGCATTCAAACCAACCTCCAAGCCTATGCGCCGTGCCAAACTTGTGTGGCTTTATAAACCGCATTAAATTTAAATGGCTAAACATAATATTTATCTGTTGTGTAGGTGTATGCATCAGGACAGGAGGTTGTAATTCACTCTAATTCACGCCGCTATGTTCAGTCAGTGTCTCACATAAGCGTGTCGGAGACAATAAAGCGGCTTGCGGCAAGCCCGAGTGGCCAACTGGCGACCGTTTCGGGCCACATCATAACGGTGTTTGAGGACACGCATTTGGATGGCGGTGAATGGAAATACGCTTCTCACTTTGCCCTAGAGCGCACGAACAGCGGGGACCTAATAAATTGCTGCGAGTGGATGGACGACCAAAGGCTTCTCTTGGCAATTGACGATATTCTATCGCTGTGGGCGGTTTCTGAGGGTGTTTGGACAAAGCAGTGGGAACGGTCAGTCGGCTGCCACATTGACAAGATTTCAGCGGCAGCTGGCCAGGCAGTATTTGCCACGGTGTCTTTTGATAGCCGGATGGTCAAGGTCTGGCAGATTCCGGAAATCGGCGGATACTTGCGTTTCCAGTACGTCGTTCATTCGTCTGCTGTTAGCGACATGTTTTGGAGAAAGCAATTGCAGCCCGGCAGCAACAGCACAGCTCAACAGCTAACATTGTTTACAGTGACACGAGTGGGGTGTTTGTATGCGTGGTGTTCCGATATTAATAGCAGCGATCTTAGGTTTGTGCTGGCGGCAACTATTGACGCTGCCATGGATTATGCAGAAAGCAGGCTAGGTTCAAACAAGCGCCGAAAACTGGTTTCTGTCAATGCGCAGTGCCGGCAACGGACGCGAACAATTATTCAAGACAGCGACGCGTTGAATATCAGCAAGTGCAGCGCTGGCGACAACAGCAAGTCAGCGGCTTTTTTGGCGATGACGAAGGCAGCAGTACCAAAGCGCATGGTTCCAGCGAGAATGCGATCGAGGGTTACACTTCAGTTGCAAATTCCACTGTTGGCAGCAACCACTGCCCCACTTCCGATTACATATATGGTGTGTACAGCGATGGATCGATGGAGGTTTGGGAGTTGTCTCCGCATACACATCTATGTACTGTGGTCAAAGTAAACACTGTAATCCAAACAGGGGCCGTCCGTGGCGCAGCAAGTTTGCCGATGACCAGCAGACCGCTGCTGCAGTCTCTGCTATGGAACCCCGAAGTGGACAATACACATGATAACGATTATCTGTTTTTGGCCATAGTTGACGCGGTGGGCCACGTCCTTTTGTTCCGCGCGCCGTCTCTCAAAAATGAATTTGTTACGGGAATCCAGGAATTACAACTGCAGGACCTGTGGGACGGGCACAAGGAGCCGGTATTCCACATCAGCGTCGACCCGTACAGCCAGCGCGTGGCTACGCACTCGATTGAAGGCGAGCTGCTCATTTGGGATAGCATTGATGTCGGGCAGGGCAAGAAGCATGCGATATCGCGCAAAATGGCGCTCGACGGCAGCCAAATCCGCACAATTGCCTGGGCGCCCTCAGAGTCCGAGTTCATAGCGGCCACAGGCAAGCGGGTGTATTGCATGCTGTACAACAAAGAAACGGAGGAATGGGCGCCTAGCTCTATGAAGCTGCCTGAGCTGCGCAAATATGACCGCATTTTCACCTACCCTGCGGACCCGGTCGACAAGCTCGCAGATCAGCAGCAAAAGCAGCAGGCATACTACATCTCCGCGGTTGAGAGCGCATCGAGGACCGTGCACAGCTGGATTGTAGCGCGATTGGTGGCGGCGCCGAGTTTGTTGGCAGCACAGTACTTAAGGGCCACGACCGCTTTGATCGCGTGTCCCGGGTCATGCCTGTAGCACATCCCTTTTTCTCGCGCGACAACGTCATGGCCACGTTTGACACAAGCAGTGGCAAGCTGCGCATCTGGGGCATTCGCACAGATCCCAAGTTTGTCTGGTTCTGCTCCAAGGAGCACCGGCTGCCATGCATGAATGTCGAGATGATCCGATACAACTCTATAGACAAGGCGGCAATCGTGTCTACTGAGGGCGATGGCTCGCAGGTGATCACGATTTGGATATTCTCATCGGCATCGCGCGCGTCGCACTACCTGCCCGCCGGTACCATTCACCCGCGCAGGAAAGCGGACCGCGTGCGTGAGATTCGCTGGCACCTGACTGACTACGCGCAGACGTACCTGGGCATTCAGTGGGACGACCGTATCGATATTTTCTGCCAGGAGCGCAATATTGACGACGCGTGGCTGTGTGTATACACCATCGCGACCGGCGACTTTGGCCCTGGAAAGACTATCGGCTCGTTTTCGTTTACCGCCTCGGGCGAGCCGATTTTTTCGATTGATCGCAAGCTGATCGTATGCACGCAGGCGATGCCCGATGGTCGCACGCTGGAAAACGCGGCGTATGAGGAGCATGGCCAGCTGCCGCTGATACACCCGTATGTGCTCACGAGCTCATGTCCTGGGGCCGCGTGGATGTGGCCAGGCGGCTGTTGGCGCAGCTCTACGATTACATGCGCGAAAAGGACATTGACAGTTCGCGGAAAGTACCTCTGCCGACGGTCTCTCTGCGCAATCTGCTGTCGTCGAGTAGCGCTGGCAGCGAGCAAACTCAACCTTTGGGACTGGGCCCTGGAAACAACAGTCGTGCTCGCAACGCTGGCTTAAGTATTTGGAATTGTTTGGCTCCGCCGATGGAGACGTCGACGACGATGGCGAAGCAATGGGCTCATCGCTGCCGGACTTTGGGCGACTGACGCAAGACAAGGCCGAATATATCCTTGAAAAGCTCACTGAAATCAAGATTGATGGCATTTCACCGATTGACCAAGCGCGCCTCATGTCCATTGTCGGCACGATATCTGCAAGCCTGACAAGGACCAGCCGATCGATAGCATGGGCATCCGCTACTTGGTCAAGTTGCAGCTGCTTGATCTAGAAAACAAGCGCAAACGTTCGACATGCGAGCTTCCCTACCGTGAGCTCAACTGGGCGATGCACAGCAGCTCGCAGGCCATCTACTACAGGTGTGCCTGCAGCAGCAGCAGGTGGGCACATCAGTCGGCCTGACATGGGAGTCAGCGCGCCGCATGGGCATATTTGTTTGGCTCACTGACACTAGTGTGATGCTCTCTGAGGTTGAGAAGATGGCACGCAACATGTTTGTCACTGACGGCCGGGATCCATCGAGATGTGCTATTTTTTACCTGGCACTGCGCAAGCAGCGCCTACTGCATGGTCTCTGGCGCACTGCCCATGGCCACCCGGACCACGGCAAAATGGTGACGTTCATGTCGCACGATTTCTCCGAGCAGCGCTGGAAAACTGCTGCCGCCAAGAACGCATATGTGTTGCTGAGTCGGCAAAGGTACCTGATTCGGCGACTTTCTTCTGCTGTCAGACAAGTTAGCGGATGCCGCGACAATTTGTGCTACCCAGCTGAAGGACGTACAACTGGCCATCACCATTTGCCGCTGCTATGAGGGCGACAACGGCCCGGTGCTCAAAGATATCCTGTGGAAGCACGTTCTCCCCGACGCATTCCGCCGCCAGGACCGCTGGCTCGCAAGCATGGTGTTTGGGCTTATTGGCAAATACGACCTGGTTCTGCAGTCGCTGACCGACGATCTGGCGAGACTCGCACAACAAATTGGCGTGAATGCAGAAGTGTCAGGCTATTCTACAATGGACGTGCTCGATACGGAGCTGCTCATACTCTACCGTAATATGCTCAACCACTCGCCCTACTACCGTGCCCCACTAGTCACGCAAGCCGAACTGATTGCTCAGACGATCACTATATTTGAGTGCCTTGGCGCGCCTGTCATGTCGCTTGTTGTTCTCGAGTGGTGGCGCAGAGAGCTTTATGAGATTACAAAAAAGTCGATACCTTCTAGAAAGACACAGCCGGCGGGACTGTCATCATCATCCCCTATGCGGGGATCTTCTTCTGGCAGGGCGACTAATGGCTCGGCAGTCGATAGCATCAGCTCGGGTGTCCTGGACACCGGCGCTATGAGCATATTTGCGGGCTTTGGCGGGTCCAAAAAGCCCGCACAGCTTCCACAACAGCCACCAGCCGCTGTTTCCGACCCACTAGCCAGCGGCATGCTGTCGATGGACAGCTTTGGGTCAATGTTCTCTGGAATGTCGGCCAAGCCGAAGTCCAAGCCCAATGGTTTTTCTGCTGGCAGTCAACGGGGATATAAATTGGATGACCGCAATGTCCCCAGCAATGAGGGATCGGTGGATGATGGCTTGGGGGATTCGGCGTTGGCTGTCGAAATTGAAGACACGCCCGTGCAGTATGCGTGCCGGGTCGCGCTGGCCTTACAGATCATGGAGTTTGTCGAGCGGACCGGGAAAATGAACTCTTCGCCTGGAACATTTGATGTTGACGAAGAAAAGCGGACAGTCGCGGAGACGTGCGGCTACCGCTTTCAACATTTCCTTGAATTGACAAATTAAATTTTACAGGATATAAATAAAATTGTATTAGATACGAATAAAAATATAAAATAAATCCTGACTGGATACTTGACCTCTTTTTGTGCACTAAAAAGAGGGTCAAGGGCAACAGAAAAATCACCATTCAAACGAGCGAGCACACAAATGTAAAAGGATGAATATCAAGTTTACTATTTTCACGGTTGCTGTCAGAATCGGTTGCCTATTCATGTTGCCTATCGCTATTATTTTGTTGGCTACAGAAAATATTGTATAATATTTGCTGCAATTTGATATTATCATCCAGCAACCACGAAAAGGCATCCCCAAAGCCCTAAAATATCGTGTGTGCCGGTTATGCCAAATGAACTCAAGATACAATACGCAACAAATAGCATGACATGCATTGACTAGAAACATCTCGACCTTTGCAGCCAAGCGGACTGTTTCTATTTTTTTTGTTGTTTTACTCGCCAAGAGGTCGCGGAAGAGATATTAGAAAACAGTGCAAAACTTCAAAGCTGACACTGACCCTCACAACCTTAGATGCTGTTTCTTTCTCACGCTGGGCGAAAACTGACGGCTCCAGTCTAACCAAGCAGTTTACCAAACCGCAATATAAAATTGCATATCTGAATGGCTGCATGTTCGTGAAGATTGGTTAGCGCACTGCATATGGAATATGAGTGTTGCCCCACACCGGCACCATATAATACTTACAGCGGGTTACACAATCCTGGTCCCTGAACACTGTACCGATATGAGTCCCCGCAGCCCCCAGCCACTGGGCACTTGCAGCATAGCCTGGTGCTTCCTTCACTTCCACCTTTTTTAACAAATGGGCTCGATTCCAGATGAAAACTATGCTGCAGAGCTGTTACAAGCTGCACAACTAAATATCATTCGACAATGAACTGGAAACAGGGCGAATGTAACCAAATACAAAATGATAGCAAATATGAAAAGTACAAGCACAAAATAGAACAAATAGGTTGGACAAGGGTTACCAAAATACAACCGGTAACCTATTTTGTAAGCCTCAGAAGCCTAAATTTGGCAGTTGCTTCAAATACAAACGGGGCCCGATCAACGCTATCACGCTGAACTTTAAAGCCAGGACAATTAAGAGGGCGCCAAAAGATGGTGTTTAATAAGAGCAATATCCATACATTCGTTGCAATTTACCTCGGGACACAGTAAGAACCAGAGACAGTCCTAAAATGAAAGAGCAAATGGGGCGGCCCGTGTGAGGAAAAAAGGGAGGGAAAGGGTGGCTGAGGTATTGTCCCTTTTTGGGTAACCATTTCCTTCTTTGCCATTTGGCACCAGAATAATTTATCTTTCTCTCTCTTCCCACGTGGGTCCGTTTCATAAAAACCAGGTCAGAAATGTATGTTTATTCGCATTGTTGTATTAGTGTGTTATGTGCTAATGACGCCGAAAGGACACATTTTTTGCCTATTTTATTTTGTAGAAGTAAAATATGTCACCAACCAGACACCCAACTAAAAATACAGATGTAAAATAGGGAACGGGGCGCCACAAATACAATGAACATGGAAAATATACCGAGCACTGTATACAGTTAACGGTTTCACTAATTTTGACTATAAAAGGAAACAAATAGAACCCGATTTTCTGGTATGACAGCAAAGTCATATTATATTATCAATCCTTTTTGGTGTGCATATTTTATTGATATAATCATCCCCCGTTTTTCCCCTTCAAACGTAAATTTTTAAATGGCATTATTATCAACAAAAATTTATTTAACAATACATGTATCTGAGACAAGGTAAATAGATAGGCAAAGACTGCATATGCGTACACCTGCCATTTTGTTTGCCTGCCATCTGTAGCTATTCCTAAATTTTGAAAAAGAACGCACGTTTCGCTTGCCAAATTAAGAATGCGTCAAAGTGCATGCATCAAAATAGTTTTAAGCCTTTTATTTTTGCCAACGACAATACAGCCGATAAATTAAAACAATAATTCAGAGTACTGCTTATCCTTTATACCAAACAACTCTATTAAAAATATCCAGCACATGTCTCAACGATAACAAAAATGTGACAGGTGTATTGAACTGGGTCTAGTGCGCAAAATACAAATAAACAGAAAAGAATGTGCGAATTTGGATAACCAATTGTTAAACGATTTTGCGCTTTTTTATTTGACGATGTGTTGTGATTTGAGGGGAGCACTAGTTGTCTAGTATTAAAAGTATGTTTGGGTTTTGTTATAGTTTTTATTATCAAGGGAACCAAAAGTAAAATTAGGGCCGGTCTCGTCTTATATATGTATCTCGTTGCCTTTGTTGTGCACATCACCAGTTGTGCACTCCATTGGCGAGAACTGTTTTTCTGCGAGCAGACCGGTATATTGGCATGTCAATGTTGTGATCTCCACGTAAGTGCGTTAAAGCATGTACATTGTAGAATGGGGGCATACCAGGGTGTCATTATTATGACCCCTGACTTACTCCCATATGGTCCCATCTGCACCCTATCAATTGGCGTGCATACGGTGGCTCATTTCATGATTCTCGACCTCAACATTTACTTCCATATCCTCGGGCTATGCAATAATACAGTAGCATTTGAGGTGTTCTTATATTGCCTATAAAAGTGCAATTAGAGAAGACTCAATAGGAGGCTTCCCTAGTGAATTTGAAACATAATTTTAATATAAAATATATTGATACAATAAAAGTTTTTCAGGAGGGTATCACTAGAATGGAGATACGCGAAAGCTACGCCGACTGCATTAGCGAAATCAAGTTCAATTAGGTAACAAGCGAACATTAATTTCTCTTTCAATTTAATTACCTCAATCCAATAATCCTTTTTTAAAATTAATTTTGCAAGTATTATAAAAACAACTAACGCTACAAATATATGTTACCAGTTTTTAATAATAAAAAAGATTTATTTTTACAGGAAGAACATGAGATGGAGTATTCCATCTCGTCCCTTTTATGCGTTTTCCTACATGGTAAAAACAAAAAACGAATATGCATTGATTCCTTCGCTGTCAATACTAAAAATAATCTAAGGTTTGACCAAACCAATGTGACTTGATCAAACCCTGGCTGTAATAATATATCATTGGCCGTATATCCAGTTACCAACACAGGTTATGTCAAAATCATGCCAAAATAATATTAAACCCGTTTTTGGTGATTCTAACTGTGATTAAATCACGACATTTTAACGACTTTCATTTGTTGCACGATAAGCGCTGAAAATAAAACAAATCGTGGTCACACTTGAGTGCGAATGGCTTGTTCAATTGCTGTTGGCATTTGTTTTTCTGTCATTTTTACATTTTATTTTTGGTTTATTTTACTTCCGCAATTCCGCGCTCGATTCGGGGAAATACAGCTTGTTCACATTGACCTGACGAGAACATAATGTTGCGTGCAACTTCCTTCACCGCCAACAAGGCACTGCTGGCCTCCTCTGTAAGTGCAACGATAAATCAGCTACACAACAATTCGACGCCGAGCAGTTAGCAGACTGGCTTTATCTCTTGAAATATATGAGTTGGTACTGATAGTCATTTAATTTTGCTATGCTCTGCAATTATGCAATTTTGCGCGTGCTGCATTCTCATGGAATACCAAGTATAGACGGCCAAGGCTCCGACAGCTCGCCTGGCCGCCCGCTTTACCACTAAGCGTTTTGCAACAACCCCGACAACACCCATTACCCCTGTGGCGACTCCGGCGACTTCAGCAACTCCAGTGACTTCAGCAACTCCAGTGACACCTGTAAAGCCAATAACAACACCGCCAGTCACTCCTGGCGCTTCGATTCCGACCCCGACCCCGACCCCAACCCCAGTTAAGGCCGGAGTCCGTGACCCCAAAACGGCTTTTACCTCGGCGCCTAAGCCCTCGAAAAAGAAGACGCACAAGATCCGCAACACTGCCCTTCTTGCATTGCTCGCCGGATCTGGGTTTGTGGCGGCGGCAGCCTACGCGCAGGAGGACGTGGAGTTTGGCCAGAAGTTTGAGCACTTTGTTCCGGGAGCCAAGAGCTTTATGCGCTTGACCAGGTACCATGACGACAGCCTGATAATGGCAATCAGCGACGTAGGATACCACGCGTACACCGACATCGTGTACACCAGTCGCTTCATCTACAGCCAGCTCTACAGCCTGCTGAACATGCTTCAGCACAACAACTGGAAGGGCGCCGCTGACGGCGTGAGTGCCCCGGCAGAGGCCGGTCGCAAGCGCGATTCCGCCGTGCCGGCAAAGCCTGTAGCTGCTCTGTTGTTGGTGACCAGAAGAGCACCCCAGCGGATACTCTGGCCGTGGCCCCGATGAGCGTCATCCAGCTGGCGGTTGAGATCCCGCCTCTGCAGACCGACAACGCCATAGTCGCCAGCCTGTCAAAGACGCTGACTGCGGTTGTCTCAGCATTCAACGATAAGGGCCTGGCACCGGAGAACGTGCAGCAGCTCAAGGCACTCAGCGACTCGCTGGTTGCCCTGGACAAGCACCTAAGCGGACTTAAGGACGAGGAGCGGATGCTCGTTCAGGCTGCGCTCGCCGAGGAGCAGGGCAAGTTTGAGGCAACTTTGTCTGAGTTCCAGAAAACCGCCCGTGCGGCTCTGCTCGCTCGCGAGGCGCAGTTCATTGAGACCCGGGACAACCAGCTCAAGGCCGCTGCCTCTGCCGCTGAGGAGCGCATCGCCAAGGAGCTTGCTGCACAGCGCGATCTCCTTGAGCGCCGCTTCAACCGTTTTGTCCGTGCGCGCGTCGACGAGGAGCGCGGTGGCCGCCTGGCGCACCTCGACCGTGTGGAGTCGCAGCTCCGCCAGCTCGTTCAGATGGCGCAGGATAGTGGCGATCTGATTCGCCAGTCACGGGCCGTGTCCAAGCTCAGTGTGGCTGTCTCTGCTCTGAAGAGTGCTGCCGTGGGCGCCCAGGTGCAGACTCCGTTTCCAGCGAGCTGTCAGCTCTGACCGGCGCCGCGACCACTGATTTCCCCGCCACCCGTGCTGCGTTTGCGTCTATTCCGCGTGAGGTCGCCGAGCAAGGCATCCCGTCGCAGGTTGAGCTCGAGGACCGCTTCAACGCTGTGCGCAAGGAGATTCGTCGCGTGTCGCTAGTTCCAGAGGACGGTAACTTCGGATCTCAGGTCCTGTCGGCCACTCTGTCAAAGGTCATGTTCGAGAAGGAGGGGCTTGTTGAGGGCGATGACGTGGAAGCTGTTCTTTCGCGCGCTGGGCACTACCTGAAGCAGCACAATCTTGACATGGCTGCGCGCGAGCTCAACCAGCTGAAGGGGTGGCCCAAGAAGCTGTCCGAGGACTGGATTGCGACTGCCCGCCGTAGACTGGAGGTCGAGCAGGCCATCGCTGTGGCTGAGTCCGAAGAGCTGCTGGCCAAACTGACCCTTATCTAGATTTATTTTCACACAAAAAAATAAGTTTTCCAAATATATATTTTCACTTGTTCTTTCTCTGAGCCCGATAAAGCCTCCCCGAGATATCCTTGCTTTTGTGAAATGGTTCCTTGTGCGAGAATTCTGCATCATCGTTCTTTTTGAAGTGCTGGGGCACTTCCGCATTATTGCTCAAAACATTTGCACCCCTTTTTTTGCACTTGCATGAACCGTATTTCATTTTTTATTTCAACCCACCTCACTTCATTGAAAATTATTTGGTTATTTGGTTATTTGGTTATTTTTTAACTATTATTTTTATCTGAACAATTTCGCCGAACTTTACTGTATTGCATCGAGTGGACCTTGGCCATGGATAAGCTGTCGGAAATTTCAAAATGGGATGTCCTCAACGTGTACAACAAGGTCAAGAATGTCGTCATGAACTACACCGAGTTTGAAATCAAGGTCAACGAGGCGACGGGTCCTGAGCCCTGGGGTGCCTCTAGCACCCTTATGAGGGAAATTGCCGACGGAACCAACAACAGGTAGCGTATAAAAACAAACAAAAAGAACACGTATGCGCACAAAAGGCATTTCTATATATCTTTTCTTTTTTGTCAGCAGCTAGTGTGCGCATTAGTGACCAACTGTCTTCTAACTGCTCGGCTTCAAATTTTGCTCTACCTCGTTAGGAAGTACTTTGAGGAGATTATGCCCGCAATTTACCTCAGGTTCAACGACACAGACCCATCGAACTGGCGCCAGGTCTACAAAGCACTGCAGCTGCTAGAGTACCTAATCAAGAACGGCTCTGAACGGGTAGTCGACGAAGTGCAAAGCCACATCACCGTTGTCAAAATGCTTAAGAACTTCCACCACATTGATGCCAACGGCAAGGACCAGGGAATTAACGTGCGCCAGAGGTCAAAGGAGATTGTGGACTTGATGCATAACAGAGAACAATTGCGTGATGAGCGCAAGAAGGCCAAGGAGAATCGCAACAAGTATAACGGATTCTCTGGTAGCTCCAAATATGTAGGGTTTGGCAGCAACACCGGTGGTGGTGGCAGCGTGACCAGTGGTACCATCAAGTATTTTGGGTCACTAACAGCGGTGCCAACAGGAGTAGCGCCGACAGCAACAGCAGGTTTGCTGGGTTTGGAAGCGACAGCTATGTGCCCTCGACCTCGCGCTTTGAAGACAGGAGTGAAAGCGGGAGCAGCAATTATCGCTCCGAGTTTGGTGATAGACGATCAGCAACACCAACAACGTTCGGAAACTCCTCTGTTTCTGGAAATAGCTCTCGCCAAAAGACCCCAGTTGCTACGAAGCCTGTGACACCTGTGCCCGTTATGGCCGACCTGTTCTCGTTTGACGATGAGATTGATACTGGCTCCAACAATACCTTTGCGGCACCCCCTGGCGCTGCCACCAGTAATTTTGGAAAGAGCATTGATAACGCCGCAGCGACCTTCACTATGCCTCCACCGGCTTCAGCCCCGGTAGCAAAGGCGCCCGCTGTCAGCAATGCCCTCGATGACGACTGGGGAGACTTCCAGAGCAGCAACTTTGCCGCTGTTAGCACAAGCACCCCTGTGGTTCAGCCGCCGAAGCCTCAGCAGCAGTTTGCCGCGACGAGCACTGCAAAGAACAACAATCCGATGATGGATTTGCTGGGCGGAGACGACATTGGCTTTGGAATCCAGCCGTTGTCCGTGTCGCCCACCTCAAATGGCTTCCCGAAAAGCCCAATAAGTCCTGGCGGCAGCACTTTCCAGCGGCCGCTCAGCCCAATGAGCGTGTCGATCAAGAAGCCGGATAACAAGGCTGCGCAAAAGTCAGGCGCATTCAGTGATATCTGGGACATGAGCTCGGACTTGCTCTCACTGGACTCTCTTTCGCTGTCGAAAAAGGCCAACGGCAGTGGATCATCGGCGCAAAACCAGTCGGCGCGTGTGTCGATGAACCAGCTTTCAGGCCAGTCCAGAAGCCCCTTTTAATTATTTGCCACATTTATACAACTGCCCTTTTCATTATTTATTTTATTTACACTTTTTTTGCAGTTCTAATTTCAGATACACTTGGTACACATATTGTCTACCTACACATCATGCTCACAGCGACAATTCGGACCCGTCCAGACCGCACTCGTATTTTTTGATTGGCAGATGTCTCGATTTTTTTTATCAGAGCCCCCAACTGTGATTAAGCTTACAAAATCTTTTATCAGGAACAAATCCCATCCCCATTGCTATCGTGTTTTTTTCAGTTCTCTTCGATTTTTTATTTCATTTTTATCCTAATCGCAGCTCCGCTTCAAATTCAAACAATGTCTGCTCTCCCCCGTGTTTTTTTAAGGTGTCTGCTAACGCCAAGCCCTTGGGCAAGATCGTCATGGAGCTCCGCAAGGACGTTACCCCCAAGACCGCCGAGAACTTCCGTGCCCTGTGCACTGGCGAGAAGGGCTTTGGCTACAAGGGCAGCGTCTTCCACCGCGTGATCCCTCAGTTCATGCTCCAGGGCGGTGACTTCACCAACCACAACGGCACTGGTGGCAAGTCGATCTATGGCGAGAAGTTTGCTGACGAGAACTTTACCTCAAGCACACTGAGCCGGACTTTTGTCGATGGCTAATGCTGGTCCAACACTAACGGCTCCCAGTTCTTTATCACCACTGTTGATTGCCCGTGGCTTGATGGCAAGCACGTCGTGTTTGGCAAGGTTACCGAGGGCCTTGATGTTGTCAAGGCGATTGAGGCCCTTGGCTCCCAGAGCGGCAGGCCTTCCCAGAAGGTTGTCATTGACGACTGTGGCGAGGAGACCAACTAAAAAGTTTTTAATAAAAAGGATTGGTTCAACTCTTTATTCGTGCATTTGATTCGAAATAGATTGTGCAAGTTTTATTTTATTATTGAAAAATTGACTAGGCAAACGTATACTGTGACCGCTCGCCAGTCAGCAGCTGCGAAACCAGCCGGCTTCCGACCACGCGCTCGATCTTGAGTTGGTCGTACTTTGTGTAGAACGCAGTGCACGTCAGCTTTGCCGACGACGCAGTCTCGTCGTTGCTGGTCAGCATGAGATTGACCAGCTCTGAGTAGTACAGTGGGTGGTCGGGCAGGCTGTAGAACACCATGTGGTGGATGCCCTTGATCGGGTAGCGGTGGTAAAAGTGCGCGCGCTCACTATACAGAATGAACTGGAGATCGCCCTTGTAAAAGTCTACGCGAGCGCTCATGGCCTCCGACCTGGTGGAGTACTCGGAGATGGCGGCAAACGAAAAGCTTCTCGCGCGGCAGTAGTTGCGAATCCGAACAAAATCAAAGTACGACGAGGCGAATATCAGCGTGTGCTTGTCCGTGGCCGCCGACCGCGTCAACTCTGGCAGGACATTTTCGGTGAAGTGCGCAAACCGGTCATCGGCAGCAGACATAAGCCGTCTGGCCGCGACGCGCTTGAAAATCTGGGGCACTTGCGCGACAACGTCCGCAATGGCACCCGGGTAGATGGGCTTGAAGCGCACCTTGCCTTCGATACTGCGGCAGTTGTTATTGAAAATGGCCTGGATCTCGGGCGTCATGTACTCGGAGATCATGATGGTCTGGCGCCGGTACTGCGCTGTGCCCTCGAGGTACCAGTTGCGCACGCGGGAGAAGTCACATCCGTGGTCCTTCTTAGGCGTCAAATTCATGTGCTCAAAGATGTGAGACACATGGTCCCAGTTCTGCATCAACAGCACATCGCACTGGTCGACAATAGCCACTTCAATGGACGAGAGGAAGTCAAAGTCCTTGCGATCGCCGCTCTCGGCGCCTGTGGTCATGCGGAGCCCAATCGGCGAGGCCACGATAATGTCTGAACGATAGAACTCGGAATATAGCTTGACTGTGTTGTGGTGGAGCTGCACGCCGATCCGGAAAGAGTCGTCGATGTTTCCTGCAAATGTCTTTGGAAGTCTACTGGCTTGCGCTTGTGCGCGCTGTTTTCGGTCTCCTCGTCTTCGCCAGTTCCGTACTCCTTGGCCAGGCGCGATAGATTCATTTCCTGGTCGGCTGAGGCCAGTCTAAGGATCTTTTGCACAATCTTGTGCGCCGTATTGCGGAAGGGTGTGATGATGAGCACGCGCGGGCGTGTGAATCCTCGGTCGCGAAGCTCGCCGGCATCAGTTCCGGCCGCGTGTGCCTTGGACAGCTTGGCATTGTTTTTGCGCTCGCGGTCTCGGGACTTTACCACATGGTTCATTGCATGGACAGCGTAGGCCGTGGTGATCTCGTCGTCCTTTTCGAACGTCCTGTCGGCGTAAACAACGTCTCTATACTGGTCGAACCAGTTGAACAGCCCGCGCTGGAACTCAGTAAAATCGTCGCGCTTGTTGAGCCTATGGAATGGCTTTACCAGCTTTTGCTTCAGCGGCTTGGGGTTGGGCTGCTTGAGACCGCCATCGGCAATATCGTACAGGACTGCCGAGCCGAGAACTGGGTCCTCGATGGCCACCTGCTTGTACTCCTTTTGCGTGACTGCAGCCAGCTTTTGGTGCATAAGCGCAGAGTCATCGTCGGCAAAGTGACCGGCCATAAAATCGTGGGCCTCATATACCTCTTTGATCTCGCTGTCGTCCTTTTTCAAGGCATCTTTGTGAGCATCTTCTTCCATGTCGATGTCTGAGTCACTTTCCACCCCAGTGTTGTCGATCTCGTCGACCTCATACTTTTCGTCTGAGCTCTGCTCGTTGCTCTCGTCCTCCGATCCGCCGCTCGCCTCTTCGTCGCTGCCGGAAACCATCTCCTCGTCCTCGCTAGCATCGGCGGTCTCAATCTCAGCATTCTCACTCTCACTCTCGTCGTCTTCCTGCTCATCGTCCGAGACAATAGCGGTCTTTTGGGCGGCCATCGTGGGGCGGCGGACAGTGATTTTAGCAGCTTGGTGTAGGCGTCAGGCCTGTTGTTCTTTGACGTTTTTGAAATGGCCGAGCCCCTCTCTGCCCGAGACTCTCTCTCTCTTCTCCTGCCCCTATTTCCCCGGCCTCTGCCGCGCCGACCATCCTCTTCCGACGGCATGATGCCAGTGAATCGACCGCGCCCACTTTTGCTCATGGCCTTGCTGATGAGCTCGTCCAGCTCGTTGTCTGCGCCCATGGCGCCAAGAGGATCGAGCTGACCATACTCTTTGAGCTGCTGCAGCTCCTTTCGAGACAGCTTGTTCGACTTTCTGGCCGGTGGCATTTCTCTGACAGCAAAAAAAAGTATTGAAAATGAGTTTTTTGATAAAGGGCTCAAGATGCACAAAAGACTGCATTTGAGAATATTTTGGTGACAAACTTTTTTTTAGCTAGACCGAAAAATGTGAAATAAGGGTTAGCCGATCAGCCGATTAAATTTGGTGATTAGCCAAATGGGCATCTTTTTTTGCTACTCGCAAACAGGGGCTGCTGCAAGCCAAATTACACAATTATAAGCGCTACAAGCTCAAGAGAAAAATGCACGTGGATGTATGCCATGTGCACACGTGCAGAAAAACTTTAAATAAACAATTGTACAATTGCTTGCGATGGGCGTTGTTTTACAATAGAAATGAGTGTTCTTTGCACGCAACAAATGATCTAATAAGTATAATTGTGTTGCCTTGTGCTTCTTCAAATAAACCCAAGTTTTTGTAAGATGGATATAAAGGCATGCTTGTGCCAATCATTTTTACTTGTGCTTGTACTTGTACTTGTGCTTGTAAAGCCGCAAGCCATTGGCAAAACTTTATTGTTTTTTTGCGTGTCAAAAGATTTATTGTTAAAACTTGGAAAAACTGGTCCCCGATTAAAAAAATATTATGGCGCGAGACTAACAATAAGATCATGCTGGTATTGTTTGCAGAAAAACACCCTCATTTCCCGGCTTTACCCGCCACAATGGCTGCACCCTTGTTTCTATTAATCTGGCTGTGGCGGGTGTCTTAATACCAGAGGCAGTTGGCATGCGCTGACCGAATAATAAAAATTGGTATTGTCTCTTATTGTAAGCCGTCTTGCATGTCAAAAATGTCTAATTTATTGTCTTTATCTGGCAGTAATAATTGCAAAATTAGCATTGTATTATATTAACACTGGCCACAATTGTATTTATTGTAATCAAGTGTGACCCAATTTTTATTTTATTGTCTCACGATGCATAAATCACAAGCGATATAGAATCTATGCTGCAAATGAACAAGCGGTGAAAAATTTTACAAGCGTGCAGTTATTGTAATCGTTGCTGCACTCTTTTGATTCTGCATTTTTGCAGGCAAAAACAGGGATGCGGTGAATACCCTCAAACTTGATGATGCTCAAGAAAATGTGAAGCTGAAAATGTGAAACTGAAAATGTTGATTGATCGCTTAAATAGGTTGGCATTGCTACATGTCTTTTTCAAATGCACTCCTTTATAGACATTCAAAATCATTTTATTTCAACATCAAAAATACACCCTTATCGATTTTTCTGCAACGCATATACACCCTTTTCACAATGATGCTCGAAGACATGCACTCCTTTGGAGTCGACCTCAACTCCATTTTTGCACAGGAACTCGGTGGCCTGGCGCTGGCCCCGACCCCTATTGCTGTAAACCAACCGCCGCCAAACGTGCTCGTCAACAGGGTCCCTGAAGGATTCACACCCATTTTGATCAATCTAGAGCGTTGTTCTCGAGCTGAGCTGCGGCGATTCCTTCACAATATGCTGTGCATACCAACGCCCTGCAATAACGGCAGCGTACCAAAGGAAAAAACCCTTGGTCGGTGTGGCTGCGAGCTGCTTGAATTCGACTACCAGCCAGACTTTCTGTTTAACAAACGCAAGCTTGAAACACAAGAGGAGGAGGACGAATATGGCAGTGATGACGACAATACAAGTGTGTCTGTGCGGAGCAGTCAGGGATATTCCGGCGACAATGACAGTGAGATTGGAATGGTTGAAGACGAAAACGATAAGCAGGTCGAGGAGCTACTGCGCAATCAAGAGGCTGAGCGCAAGAGGATCAAGATTAAGCGGCCACCAAATTCATTTATGATTTACCGCAGTGAACGCCACAACGAACTGGTCAAGGAGTACAGGGGTGGAAACAAGGTCATATCTGGGATCATCGCCAAGGAGTGGCACAGCATGACCCCCGTGACTAAGAGAAAGTATGAGGATATGGCAGCTGTAAAGAAGCGCGAGCATGAGATGCTGTATCCCAACTACAAGTTTATGCCCAAGCGGCGCAAGAACTAAAAGGCATTGCTGTATATAAAACCCAATTGTGTAGTATTTTATTAATGCTATTGTAGACATAATCATATTCATTGTATAACTAGAGCCAAACTTTGAATTGACAAAAAACTTTATTAATGGGGCGCTGGATATTTGAAACCTCAATTTTGAAGGAGACCAATACTAACGGTGGCTATTTTTAGGACGGTTAATGTTGACATTTCCTCTTGAAAATGATTATTCAACGTGCTTTAAAAAATTCTAACTAGACAATTTATTTTTAATTATGGTCTTGAATTTGCTTGTCCTATTTTGCTATATTGAGCGGGATTTACTTTAGTCCTCTGTGACAGCATTGTGAAAATAATCTAGAAGTGGATCTGCCAAAAATAAATAAGATAAATATCAAATATCAAACTTTTGAAATCTAGATGTGGCTACTGGCGTGGCTTTAATTGCAGCAAAGTGGAAATTACCTCATTTTAACAGGATGGTAATTTCTAGAAATAAATCGATTTGGACTTTGTACTTTGTGTTTTGTTTTTGTTTTTTCTTGTACTACACTATTGTCTTTGCAGTGTTGCAAAAAATAATTATTAAATAACATAACATGCATGGGGACAATTCCAGGAAAACAAAATATAACAAATAAATGGACATCAAAAGTGAGCATGGCAGCAAATGCAGATGAAATCAATATTTTGTTCTGTAATAAACAAACACAAACCATATATTGTATGCACAACAGCCATAAAACAAAACAGGTTTGCATAATACAAGGACTAGGAGCGTGTCCATTTCCGAAAAACATCAACATTCGCACGACCTTTGTCTTGCTTCCACAGACAATTGGATTTCCTATTACGTTAATTATTTGTAAAATTACATTTTATCAGGCTCGTACCCAGCATTGCATCGTAAGATTTTCAAGGTATAATTTTAACAAAATAAACAAGTCAAATGACAATGTAAACATATAAATTACTGTTATCTAGTAGATTTGTCAAATTTTAGCTTGGCATGCGCAATTTTTTTTGTAAAATGGTAACTGACCCAGTTTCTGATTGTTTTATTACTTGCTGGGGGTGTTTTATTTTGTATGAGCTGGCAGCTGTTTTTAAAACAAGGGGCGCAGCATTGTTTTTTATTATTCTGTTACTTTTCTGTGCTACTGATTGAATGTCCAACTGATAATTTTATACAGACAATGAGCAATGTGGAAATAAATTGTTTTGTGTAGCATGCAGATAAAAATGACTCGCTAGTGTGTATCATATTAGCACAATGCTCATATAGGCCATCCTATTTAACAGATTGTGCATATTTTGTGGCAACTCACACGCCACGTTTTCCATATGGAAGGGTGACAAACACACGATACGGAAATGTCTCTATTATTACACTTTGCTGCCGCATGGCATAATATTTGCCGCTCCCCAAATTTGGTCGATTTTTAGGGAGTGTGATGAAGCAAAATTATTAAAGTATTTTATTAAGTGAATGCCTCTGTGATAGCAACAGCTTTTGTTTCCAAATTACAAGTGTCCAATATTCTTGGATTAAACCCGTAAAATATGATTGCAAGTATGTACAAATATGCATTTGCATCTTTAAAGCGTATTCAGCAAGTCAAATACTTTGTTATTTGCCGTCTCTGAAATCATTTATGTCACTGATATCATTCGCAAAATACAAACAACTCGTACACACGCATACCTGCTTGCTATACATCATTTTAATTTAACGAAACAAGACGACAAAAGTGCTGGTTTATATTTTTATGAAATTGTTAACTTTTTTATGCCTTTTTGTATATGAGTGACAGGACAGATACAATAATAAACATTTGGGGAAGGGAGGGGGAGGAAGTAATTCTAATCCTTCCCTATTTTGTGCTAAGGAAGTTTAGATAAAAAATCCCTTATTTCCCCGGATGTCTAATTTTTTGTTTGTGTGCTTGATAGAAATAACAGTAATGGTAGTAGAAAAGACCAGGGATATTGTATGGTTGCCCAACATATTAGCCCATATAACAATTTAAATGCACCTACCAATTTGCATATACATCTTCATTAATTTATAGTATGGTAAATGTTTGCTAGTTGGTTAATGCCATGTATTATAATGTAATATGTAATTTAAAACGTGGGCTCTGAAAAACATACACATATATATATTATATGCGGCACGCAAAAACCACTAAACATAGGGTTGGTAATAGTCAGCATTTTGTCTGTTGTTAAAGTTAACATTAACATAGAAAGTCATAATTGGAATTGTTTTTATATGTTCTCGGATTTCCAGCTGAATGCAATTGTTTGCATCAAATTAGTTTTGTATGCAAATAACTACAGTTACTATTAACTGATAAGGGAAATATACATAATCACGCAAACAAATGTTCAAATAGTATGTTTAGCCTGTTAATTAAAAATAGGCGTTCGTGTTGTTCTTTTATCGGCCAATTTTCCAGAATATACATCGGCAATTAATTTACTTTATTCAACAAACTGTCGCAGAAAATAGAAACTGCCATTCAATGGCAAGACTAGCCATAATGTTATTGTTTTGATTTGATTTTTGCTTGACTTGGCTTGAATTGTTTGTTACTTTTGCACTTGAAAAAGGCAATGTTAGTGGCGCTGAATGGACAGAGAGCCTCGAAATCATTGTGTGCTGAATACTGTACAAAATATAATGAAACAAAGACAAAGACAAAGACAGACAGTTTGACTTTTTCTTTTTGAAATTATTTTTTGTAATTGGAATGCACACGAGGATACGCCACTACAAGTGAACAATGTTGACAATATTTTTTATTTTTAATAACGTTGTGTTGTGACATCTGTTGCCATGTGAATACAAAATACTACAAAATATTACTTAAAATTGATTTACATGCTTTTTCTATATTTTGTGCAGCCAAATTACCCTAAGTGTAGCAAAAATCAAAACAAGTTAAGGGTGTATTTTTCTTACTAAAATACAGGACTTATAGTTGCCTCATAATTTAAATTTTCAAAAAGGTAAACAAAAGCCAGCCAATTGTTGGTTATGCATTTGTTGCCGTCTGTGATTCAATCTGTAGCCATAAATGTGGGTGGCTGGGCAATACTTCAATTGAACAAAGAAGCGTGGATTGTTTGATATTGTTTGTCTGCCTCAATTTTTATTGACAACCCGATGCCAACAAACGTGCTGTGTCATTTCCCAACACAATGCACTTCTTGGTCTAGTTATTATTGGTAGGGCTTGTATGCACAAAAAAACCCCGTTTTGGCGTTTTATGACGTCGAACTAATATTAATAATGCAAATCACATATAGCAGACAAAAAATAAAATAGAGTGGGAAGGATTTTCCAGCTGCAGATCAGCGCTGTTAATTTGGCTTGTGTGAGATATTAAAGCTCTTTGAAATTAAAGTAATGCAAATGATGTGCGCATGGTCACCATGCATAGCCAACATGTCGATGTGTGAAGTTATGCGTCAATAATAGCGTAGATGCCTGACACTAACTCGCGCTCAACAGGACCATGACACCATCAATGTGGCCAGGCGTACGTTCCGTGTCCCTGGAGCGTGCCGCAATGCAAGCAAGCTGTTTGCGTCTTTTTTACACTTGGGCTACATGTTTTTATCAACACTATACTTAATCCGCATGTTTTGACAAAATATAGAGTATAATTGCAATCACAGAAGACGCACACAGGAAAGGGAGCTTGACGGGTGGAGAGGCTTGGTAAAAGATAGAGAGAGTGTGTGGGCGTGATGCCATGGGCAATATTTGGAAAAGGTCAGCCGAGCAAAAAGATTCAAAACATGCAGTGCCAAAATATTCCAACCAAGAGCGATGGCTTGGACGCAGCTGGAGCTGCAGCGCGGTTCCCACCCGCTCAGCTGTGTGCAGCTCTGCAAAAAATTTTCTGCCTCGATCCCAGCCGGCGGCTGATTGAAGCGTGGGTATTGTAAAGGGGAGGCTTTCTGGATGGTCAGAACTCAGCGACCAAAAAAGCACAGCGCAAGTATGCAGTATCGCCTCGATACTATACTGATATCACGGCAACAAAGTGGGAATATGGAAGAGGCAAAGAAGAGCATAACAAAAAAGACACTGCTTGTCCCCCGGGTAGTTACACCCCTTATTTTTGTCTCTATTCATTTTCCGCTGAAAAATATCAAAACAGCCGAGTATGCCATCGCAACAAGAAACTAAAAAATATGAAAAAGGGGGGTATGCATCCGGCTTGAAGCCCCCCCCCCCCCCCCCGAGATGCCCAGGTCATCAAGTGCATACATGCCTCTCCCTTCTCTCCCTCGGCAGTACAATGCACTCTTTTTTGGGATGAGCAGCTGGAAATGGGGGGTGGATTAAGGGTGGGTTTGCAGCACTCTGCCTAGCGCCTGCGGCTGCGCCTGTTTACGTTTTTCGTATAGCAGGGTTGTCCGCCTGGGCTATTGTTTATTTGTGGTTGGCTGTGTAAGCTCACCAAAAAAAGCCATTTTTCTAAATCAAAAAACATGTTGAATTCCTGGCATCTAGGGGGGAGGGGGTGGCAAAACAAAAAATAACTTATATACGCACGGTAGGAAGGAGGATGTGTCTCGGTGCAACTACAACAACCATCACGCATGGAGACAAGCTCTTAAATACCTCCTCTTATTCTGCACCAAATAGAACAATTTGATTTTCAATACCGCTTTTCTCTTTTCTCCCCTCTTAGCTGCTCCAGGTTCTAGGTTCTCGTAGCCCGCACGCCTTTATCTTTAAAATATCTCCCCCTTATTCTCTTGCATCAGTATCGACACCAGGCACTAGTAACAAGCGCCAGAGCCACACTGCTATTACCGATACCTGTTTATATTGTATCGCACTGATTCTTTTGCGCTTCGTCTGCATCCGTTTGATTAGTTGCTGCTACACTACGCGCGTACAGTAACCAGTATATCTTTATTGTTTGTTTCTGTCTGGTAAGTACAAACACAAGTTTAAGAAAGCTTTAGACTCGCTTTTTGCGGCATGTCTTTGCACCTGGTTGATTTTCTGATTTGTTTTATGTCATTATATGGCGACCTATCATATAACTGCCGCGCCCGCCTTTTACAAACAAGTGCCAGTATATTTGCCAGCTAAATAAAACAACTTTATTCTTGCATTTATTATTTTTTATTTCTAACTATAGCTGCCGCCTTCGCTCTTTACATTAACCGTCAATTATCCGTATTCTGATGGAACAGGGCCACTTGTTTGTCTCACCAAACCACCACACATCTAACTTTCAACAGCACCAGCATTCCACGTACTTACCATCTATGAGCCACACAAACAGCAGCCATTCTCCAGCACAATCTCCTGGAAGTGCATCGTCACCCACATCGGCCATCATATCCAACAATAATAATAACCCCGATATTGGTATCAATCTGGGGTCGCAACAGCAATATCAGCAGCAGCAGTCTAGCTACAACGACTCCAACTCTTTGTCTCAGCAACATCAATACGCTCAGCTTCCTCCCACTTCCTCCCTACACAATCGGCGTACCCGCCTGCATTCTCTTCAAACGCACTCAACACAAGCCCTCAGCAGCAATACTCGGCCCACCAGGAAAACAATCAGCTCTATCAAGCCCCGTCGCAAATCCACAACCCTGCAGCACAGTACGTGTCGCACGACCAGCAGACATCGCTTGCGCCTCTTCAATTCGGCAACCTCGGAGTAATCGGCCAGCAGCGTCCAACGGGCAGCTTTCCTTACGAGTTTGACCCCAACGACAGCAACTGCCGCAACATTTATTCCGCCGCCGACATGGACTCGCCTCACCACGGGTCAGGTCAAGTTTCAAACTCAGGCTACATCAGGCATGGACCCAACAGCATTCTGGTATCAGCCGGGCATCCGCAGGCAGCTCTTGCATCTGTTCACTCGCAGCAACAGCATCAGCAGTCGCTTGATATGGCTGCTGCCGCCGCTGCCGCGAACTTAGCATTGCCGGTTGATATTAGCGGTGACCACGGCATTCAAGGCCAACACCAGCACCAGCAATGCACCACACTGTGCCAATTCCTGGTATGCATGCTTCTACGCCTCAGACGCCATTTGGAAGCTCGCCTTCAAACGGCCAGCCCATGTTTGGCGCCCTCAACTTCCAGGCCTCACAGCTGCAAGACTTTGACTCCTACACACGGCCCAAGCGCAACGGGCGTGTCACCAAGCCCAAGCGCACGCCGCGGCCCCCGAATGCCTTTATTCTCTACCGCAAAGCCAAGCAGGCCGAGGTCATTCGTGATAACCCCGGTGTCTCCAACAAAGACGTATCATGTATAATTGGCCAGATGTGGAAGTCTGAGGACCCACCATTCAGGATCAGTTTAGGGAGCAGGCCGAAATGGAGAAAAAAAAGCACAAGAGCTGCATCCAAACTACAAGTATCAGCCACGCAAGCCCAAGAACAAGCGCCTGCAGGAGGCCCAGGCGGCCGGCGTTGCTGCGTCCAACGGGTCTTTGGCATCTGGCCCGAGCCAAGATGGCAGCTTTGTATCTGGAACTGTCCCCATGGTTGGCTCATCCAGCGTGCTTTCCTCGGGAATCAAGGACTCGTCAATCTCAGGCAATGCCAGCGGGTCATTCCAGCCGTACTCCAAATACCATCTGATGATGCAGCCCGGACACGGCCAGCAGCAGTCGGCGCACTCGCAGACGCCCGCCTCCCAGCAGCATGTGCACGTTTCGCGCGGCGACGAGTACTATTACCGGGCGCTGATCAAATGGTTGATCCGCAGCAGCACGTAAATAGCAGTTTTGTTGGCGTAGCGCCGCAGCTTGACATCAAGCCTAATGGCTTTGTCAGTGGAATTCCCAACACGGCCTACTGGACGCCCAACACCCCCGGCGATGGACATTCCCCAACTCCATGTCCTCCGGAAATGTGTTCCATGGCGACCAGGCACCGCATATGCGTCCATTTGATTCATCTGTTGTCCAGCACCCGTCTGCCGGCCATGCAATGGGGGCATCGCCTGCACATATGCTCCATCCATTTGACCACCAACGCCAGGCACAAGCTCAGGCACAGGCCCAGCATCATCATCACCATCATCACCATCAGCAACAGCACCAGCAGATGCACGACAGCCGCGGACCTATGGACTACCCGGCTGGACAGCAGCAGCAATACCACCAGCACCACGGACATTCTCAGCAACACCAACAGCAGCAGGCCTCCCTTGGTGGCTATGTCAATGGTAGCCAGTCGTACCACCACTCGCAGCCAGGCATGGACAGCTTGGACGGTGCGCCAGTGACATCAACTGATTCGCAAGGACTCGGCCTGCTGTCTCCGCCTGCTGTTGCGTGGTCGGCAAACATGTGAATTTGAAAAAGGTGGTGTCAACAGCTCATTGCTATCTCTGTGGTCATGCCCAGCGCACACTTGACATTCTAAACTACTTTATTTTACTGGCATTTCTATTTGCATGTGTACAAAGACTTTTGACACTGCCATCCATCATGAAAACATTTACTTGGGACTTTCTTTTATCCATATTTTTCAATTTGTACTCTCCAATTTTTTTACCAATAGTTCCTTTTCTCAATTTTCATTAGCATACCAACATTGATTATCCACAGCGGCATTTAAAAAAGTATACTCTCATTGTCTTATAACAAGGGCTCGAGTCAAGATAAATATTGAAATTTAAATTTAAAGTTGAAGGCAAACTGAGCAACACAAAGCAGACGCTTGACTTTGCAAGGCAATATTGCAATCATTTGGCCAAGCGGGTCTTCCATTCCTTAATTTTATCGTCAAAGAACTTTTCGAGGCTGGTGGCGCATCTCCAATAACGCGTCCCCTCGCCATTGTAATTTTTGCAATTGGCAAAAATCTTGCGCGTGTCGTCGATAAATGACTCAAGAGTCGGATACTTGTTTTCGTCAGTATTAGTCTCCAGAGTCATCAGATCTACACAGAAAAGTTTGAAATTTGAGCCTTGAATCATTTTGAGTAACAAAAAGACTGACAATGACAACACAAACATTTGAAAATAAAAATATGCAATAAAAGTACTTACCCATCGGCTCTTTGACCACGACGTAGTAGTCGGGAACTTCTTGGCGGTCACTGGCTTTTGGAATGGCCAGGCTGAGGGGTGCACAAGCATCTCGCTCACCACATTGATCTGCCATGTTTTAGCTTGCTTCGGGCAAGCCTGCGACTGATTTCATCCATCTCAGGCGTCCAACCAGACTCGGCTACATGGAGAAGAAAAACAAGGCATCAGTTTATTAGAGCAAGCGTGCATTGCATTTATTTGTCTGGGCGTGGTGGCTAATTGCCAAAAGTGTAATATAATATTTAAAAAAATAAAAATAAACAAGTTTCCATTTACATTTTTTATCATGTCTGTGTGTCCAATAAAGAGAAAAAGACATTGGAATTTTTTTAAGAAAATGACCCGCATGCAATATGCACCATAGAGGTGCCATGCATATACCGGCATAAAAACACCACCAGACTAGCTCAATTGGACAATAATGGAAGGGACAAAAGAAACAAAGAGGCCAAACTGAAATGAAATGAGAAAAGTATGACCAAAAAGAAATAGAATGAACAAGGGATGACCTTCACGCAGGGGTAACAATATGTTATGACCCAATGACATTTAATTTTAGGGGGTGTATTGTGGAAATATAGAATGATTGACAGAAAATTGTATGAACATACAAACTTGATCACGCCAACGAACGAACCCAACGGGGGAAATAATGCGTGGAATCGAATGGCTTCAAATAAACGTATCTGTACAAAAATAGTGCTGGCAAACTTTGAAGATACAAAAAATAACAAGCTATTTGAACAAACAGCTTGCTGAAATATGCGGCGCTGCAATAAAAAAACTGCAATCAGAAATACTCATATAAAAAGCCACATTTATCGCTTTATATTTTTAGACCATTCACACTACATCCCCCCGCAAGCTTGCCGACTGCAGAAATAACAACTGAAGCGGATGCGGCAATGGAGTGAGAGCCAAGAAAAAACACACGATCCTGACAGTGCTTAAAAAAATAAGCAGATGAGCTCATGTGCACAAATATGCGCCGAGCCCTTGTGGTGTGTCCCACTGTCAAAGAGAAAAATCAGGAAAAGCGGAAAAGCAAAGAAAAAAGATATCGCCGCCCCCACGCCACAAGATATAAAAAATAATGATAGCATAGGCATCAACATAATAGTGTGCCCGCCAAATTGCTAGTGCAATAAAACAACAACTTACCAACACCAGGAATGCTGAACGGGTCAACTGCCGAAATCTCAGGGTTGTCTTTGAAGCATGTCAACCCAGGATAGACAATCTGTGATCTAGTCTTAGCTCGTATTTTCTCCAGCACAGCCTATACTCGACTCGTAATGCGTATTAATTTGCATGTTGTACATCGCAAATGAATAATGTTGTTTACAAAAACAAAGACAAAGAAAATTAGTTGTAATTAGCTCAGCACTTTTAGAATTGTGAATTTGACAAGGGTGGAATAAAATATAGCCGAACAATATACAGTATTGGCCGTACCAACATGAAAATATTTACGCAGTTATGATCACAAACAATAACCAAATAGGGTTGCCTCGGAAAACAGGTTGGCTGAGATGGTATGCTCCTGGAATAATCGACAGGGTATTATGAATTTCAAGGATGCAGGCGCGTTAGTTGCCTTGTGGTGTGTCTTTATTCTATCCCGAAATGCATTGCGAATTCGTGAGAATGCGCAGCAATAGCAAGAAATACAATTGTGCAAGAGCACATATGCAATTGTGCAATAATTGGAAATAAAACGGTGTGCGTATATAGCATACAATGGAAGTCGCATATATGCATGCAGGCGCCTGCTTGCAAAATATATCATGACAATTTTTAGCACTTTGTATTATAAATTTACAGAATGCAAAATATCAGATGATGGAACTCAGGAAAAAATTGTTTTGAATTTTGAATTTTCCATCTTTTAGTGATTGGCTCATTTGGTTTTGTTATTTCTTGGATTTTCGTTCATATCTCAGTAATGTAATTTCCTTCCTGCTTAAAGGGACAGAAAGCACAAACAAATTTTGCAACAGAGCGTCAAAGGTGGAGATAACAAAACTGGCGACAAGAATTGCAATATTGCGCAAATATGTAGATATGGCGTGCGATTCACGCAGTTTCTGCAATTTGGAACATGGGCAGAATAAGCAAATAACCCAAAGTTTGTAACGTTTGTAAACATTCTGTTGATAATCAAGCAATATTTCCACCCAGCTATTTTGCATAAAACAGAGATAAGTAAACAAAAATCACGTACCTCGCGCTGCTTGGCTAAAATCTCCTTGACCTTCAGGTACTCGACCTTTGGAACCATCGAGCACTACATAAGCGTAAAATAAATATTTGAAATTTGATGTTAGACATTTTGGATAGACACTCACAATTATTCTATATCTGCCAATATGGAAAAGAATGAATGCGACAGGGTAGAATTCACAAAATAAAGTTTGGTTGATGCCAACAACTAAAGAGCCGGGCAGACAATGTGACAACGGCAAAACTAAACCACACTCTTTCGTTCAGGCAAATTCATATTCATTGTGGTGTTTTTCAAGGTCGCACCTAGGATTTCAGCGGAGAATTTATTTATTCGAGCAAAGGATCAATCACGCAGCACACCCCCTACGATAACAGGCAGGCTGCGCAGGGCGGGTGCAGACACAAAAATATTGACATTGGTCAATTAAATTCTGCAAAATAAATAATTTTCCCAGGCACAAAGTTGTTATACCTACATGCCAGTATACATATCGATGCAATGCCTGCACTCATATGCATGTAAACAAATTTTGCAGCATATTCAACATGCGCCGGGGAATATAAAAAATAGGCAAATTTGACAAAACAATAAAATTCGAATCACAAACCCAAAGGGGTCATTGTTTTCAATAAGCAAAAACATACCTGCATCAGTGTGCCACCCTCATAGTCCTTTATATATCCCATCCACAAGCGCTTATCGAATGTGACCTCCTTGGTAAATCCCTATTGCACATGTCATTTAATTGTTATTTTACCCACATAAACAAATAAAACATTGATTTTTGTATTAGCGAGACATAAAACACAAAAGGATCATGTTGCATACAATTAACAATGGCATAGAATAGTTTATAGACTTGCCTGCTTTTGAAAATACCCAATGGCGTAGTTGTCGGCATAAGTTAAGAAGTGACTGGCCTGAGTGTTGGCCGAGATATAATCCTTCAAATTGTTCATGAGGAACGAGCCGTATCCCTACAAAAGCAATTATAAACTTGAAATGCGATTTAGATATTATGTACAATAATGCGAATATCACGGCAAGTCGATCACTGTAATTAATGCAATTATGCCTTACCTTCACTTGCTCTGATGACGACACGGCACAAAAAACAATCTCCGCAAACTCCCTCTGCTCAAAAAGCCTGAATGTAATGCCGCCAACCACATGGCCGTTCGCCTTGACGATAGCCAAGCTCGAGTGGTTTCTGTCATATACTAGTCTGGCGATATACTCCTTTGGCATTTTGGGCAATTGCTTCTGGAAGATATTTTTCAGCTCTGTCAGCCGCCGCATCGACTCGTCCTGGCTGTCATTGTACACCACTTCGAAACGAATCAGACCTTGTTGTTGCTCCATTGCTGCCGTTTTTTCCTCGCCCTTGGACGGAACCTGCTCATCGTCATCCTCTTCTTCTTCATCACCGAGAATGTCACCGTCGTCTTTAATCTCGCCATCGTCAATGTCTACCTCTCCGTCGTCGCTACGAGGTCGCTTGCGACTGCCGCCGTTGGCTGGCACACCGTGCGCATCGCCATCCCGCGTTGCGTTCTGCCGGGACTCGTACTTTTCTCCGTATGTGTTCATTTGGCGTGCGTGTAATTTTTTGCGATGTGTGCGTGGATCAATAGAATCGTATTTTTGTGAGTGAAAAATAAGGTGTGTATATTTTGACAAAGACAAGGAAATATTAAATGCATGCACCCTAAAAACGCTTGTGCAAAACTCGACATTTTTGCAAGTATTTATCGCTTTATGCAATATTGTCACGTGAATACAACACTGCGAAAAAACGAAATTGGACAGACGCATATTGCCATTTTTTCATGGAAGAAAGTTTTATTGTTAATCAATGCAATCAGCTGAGCTGATTCTTCAGGTCTTCCAGGTCGACCACGTCAATCTGTGCGACAATTGCTTGAAACCTCTCGGGGCCGTTCAGCCGTTCACATTCTGCTATGCTCTGAGCCAAAACCTCCTTGATATCGAATTTGTGCGCGGGATCGCTGGATAACATCTTCTGGCGCCTTTGGTTCTCGGCCACCATGACCTCACCATAGCCTTCCGGCATATCGTCGTCAACGTCTGAAAAGTACACCAGCGACGAGCCAGTGTCGGAAATAATGTCGTTCCAGATTGGCACCATTGACGGCAGATTCTTCAAAATACCATCATTGGTGGTCGCGATGGCTACAGCCAGGCTGATAGCATAGAGTCGGCGTTGAGTGATCTGGCCAACATCGTCGTACAGATCGATCCAGTTTTCAGTAAACGTGCTGCTCAGAGAAGCGTCCTGGGAAGCCAAAAACTCGCCAAACAGAGCAGGATAATGGACGGCCAATCTCGACATAAACACAGCATGGTATATCAATAGCTGCGCAGTTTCCCTTTTGTCCACGATACGCGTAAACGCAGTCCACAAAAGATTCGACTGTGTCAGCGGCTGCGCGCAGGCCTCCATTGGTACGCACTGCACAATGACATGCAGCGTCGTGTAACCAGCAGCTATGGCGCGAGCCGCCAATTTATTGTCAGAAACCAGGTCGTTAAGCGCGCAGAGAAGCATCAAGCCGCTTTCTGCAAATATCCCAGCACCGTCGATTAGCACGTAGCTCTCGATGATCTTTAGGATCTTTCTGAGTGTCTCTGTACCATACTGCAGAAGACTAGGAATATTTTGCAGCAGCGCCATTATGCTGGGATCCAAGGCAGACGCGTTGCGCACAAGTGCCAGCCACAGCTCCAAGCCATCCTCGATCAGATACACGTGCGCTGGATCGTTCAGATCAATGCTGTGCTGGACCAGGGGCGCGATAAACTGCTGCAGAACCACAGACTGCGCGCCAAGTGCCTCGACCAGCTTGGTGACTAGGCTCAGTATCGTGGTCTGGTACAGATTCTCTTGCGCGGCGCTCTGCCACAGCGGCGGAATCAGCTTGACGATGTTCTCAGCAAACGGCACAATTTCGCGCTGCATGCGGCATACCAGGGTGCTCAAGAAGTTGACGATCCGCATCCGGCTCTCGGCCATGTTAACATCACCCAGGACACTGGTGATACTCTCGATGCTGGCCTCCAAATACGGGGCAAATTGCTCTGCGTTAAAGTCCCAGTCATCGACGCAGAGCAGAAGGCTGCCCAGCGCCTCCATCCGCACAATCAGCGGCTCGCCGCGCTGGGCCAGCTGCAGCAAGACCGAGTATGCGTACCCGCGCTCTTCAACAGGGAGCTTGACAGGAACCCACTTTCCAATGAGCCAGGCAATACGCCACTTGACCACGCCCATGGGCGAATCGATCACTGGATGCTCCTTGAGCCACTGGCAAAAGTCCATCCCGTCGTAAATCTGGTTGGCGCACAAGCCAAGTGCTGAGTACAATCCCTCGCGTTGGTAAAAGGCAGCATCCGTGTTTGCCACAATAACGCCCTGCTGAAGCATATTGACGAGCTCTGGCACCATCAACGAGCGATTCTGGTCGACGATATCTACAAACAGACGCTCTGCGCTACGGCGCACATCAAACGCCCAGTAGTCCGAGTCCTCCTCGACCAGCCACGCCTCGGGGTCGTCCTCCCACTTTTCCAGATCCCTGGCCTTGAGCGGAATATAAAAGTTGATCAGCGTCACGGCCATCTGGGTGATAAACGCAGGCACCAGGATATCATTGTCTATGACCTGCCTGCAGCGCTTGACCGCGCTATCCTTATCTTCGACGCCTTCATCAATGACATAGAAAAAATTTTTGACCACATTCTTGTATAGCTCCAGGCCCTGGATCAGCAATGGCTCGAGGGTCAGCTCCTGTGCGCTGTCAGGATCGGTAGGCGACGAGATCATTTTGGGCGCCTCGCTTTGGATCTGTGCCCAGTACCACGCTAACATCGGTTTGACGCAGCTCATGGTAATAAAGCGCAAGGCATGGTATTTTTGGAACTCCAAGTACAGCTTGCCGTATAGCAACACGATCTTCCGCAGCACCAGGCCATCTGCAGAGTCGCGGTGTTCGGCTGACAGGTCGGCAAATAGTTTGTAAAACGCAGCCTGGTGCCCAGCAGTCGCCATATAGAATTCCTGTGCGGCAGGGTCCGCCTCCTCGATCTTCTCGTACCCGAATACCAGCAGCCGGCGCAGTGTCTTGATGCACAGTCTGATAGACTTTAACAACGCGTGCAATTCGCTACCGTTGCCCGCCCGCAAAACTTCGTTAAACTGTCTGATACGTTCGGCATAGATCGGCGCCACAATGCAGAACACCATCGGCGTGAGTCGCCTGAACGCCTGCCGCTCGGCTGCCAGTGTCCGCTGGCACAGCGTCTTGATGAATAGATGTAGCGTGTATAGTGCATTATGCTCTGTCACATAGCCGCGGGCGGCCGATCCGCTGTCAACAGCAATGTGCTTGATTCGGGCCATCAGCACATCGATAAACTCTGGCCACACTCTCGGAAACTCCCAGCGCGCGATGCGCGATATGGTCACACAGTACTGCACAGCAATCTGCGGGTTTTCTTCATCCAAAACATCGAGAAGGCGCGGGCGCACTAGCTCCTTTTCTTCAATTTGGATGGCGTGCTGCGCAGTCTTTTTCCAATACTTTTCGACACCGTTCTTTAGGTTGATGATGGCCAGCCAGCGCACTTGCATGGGCAACGATCGATCGGCGAAAATATCCTATACGAGTATGAAAAAATACTTGGTAAAATACACTTGGTAAGACTATGTATGATTGTGCCTGTGGTCTGCCTTCTTTTTCTGCTGACTCGGACTCTTCACAGAGTAAGGTGCACTTACAAATAGTGTAGCGTAGAACATTGGTTTTGTTTCCCACCTACCGAGACTCTGCTCGGCCTGGGCCACTTGCGTCGGGTCCTGGGAGGATGCCTGCTCAATCATGGCGATGACTGCCTGTTTGTTGTGCATCGTCATGGTCGTATGTTATTGTCACCGGTACAAACCAAAGAGGCGGGAAAAGGTCCACTGAATTATGGCCGGAATGCGGTAAAAAAAATGAAAAAATTCTATTAAAAAACCAAATGGCAAACAAAAGAGAAGAAAAACAGAGGCGAAAGATTTGCTGTTGGGTTTGTGAGTGGTATGGTGTGCTATAATATGCTATGCAGTGGTCAAAAATGGGAAGCAAAGGCTCGTGGCGGGTGGCTCGACTTCAAAAAGGGCATTTAAAATTTACAGACTGCTTGAAATGGGACGGTGATCTCCGTCTATGAACCTCTTATTATTTTTCTTGGTCAAAACAAATAATAACAGCAGACCCGAAATGATACAAGTAATAATAATAACAATGGCTTATAAATGTGGTGTTGGGTGTTTTGATTCAAAGAAATGAGGCGTAAACTGGCTATTAGAAGGCAGAAAGCATCACTGCGATGGCACCGGACGCGGCAACCAGCTGGGTCAGACCAAAGAGGGGCTTGGCGTTGGTGGAGGCCGAAGAAGATGAGGACGAGGACTTCTTGCTGGAGCTCGACGAACCGCTCTTGCTATCAGAGTCATCCTCATCAGAGCTGGAGTCAATAGTATCATCATCATAAGGAGTCAGGGGCGCGGCAATATTGCCCATATCGTCCTTCTGGGTGAGGCATACATCGGTGTCGCTCTGCTTGGGCGACTTGATGGTGGTAGTCTCGATGCCATCAATTGTGCACTGCAGGTACCGAGTGTTAATGTAGTTCTGGTTGATAGCCCATGCGGAGCGCTCAACAGCCGAGCACGCGACATAGTTACCATAACCGCCCTTGCTCGTGTTGGAGGAGATCTCGTTACAACTGGTCAGACCGCAGATGTTTCCGATAGCCTCGCCGAGAACCTTGCCCTCGGTGGTGGACAGCTCGGTGCTCTTGAGCGTGCAGCCCAGAGAGTCCATCATGCACTTGCAGCGGGCAGCTGACGGCGTGGGAGGGAGCACATCAGACTTTACTTCCCATATGTCGCTGACCTTGGGGCAGATACTGTCCTTGCCTCCGGGCTTGTAGTCAGACATCTTAACGCCCTTGGTCGAGAGACCGGAGTAGACTTTCTTCAGGTTGTCATAGTCCTCGGTCTTCTCAACCTTGGAGCTGCCGTAGGACACCTTGACAATACCATACTCGTTGTCTTCTTCGGTAAACTCGTACATAATGCCACCCGAGAAAACGCTGTTCATGTCGGATCCGTACAGCGACTTGACGTCGGGGAAGGTGCGAGGGCGTATCTTGTTGCAGCCAAACTCGGTCAACAGCGACGGGATCTTGTAATCGGTCATGTTCTTGGTAACGTCTGCGAAGCCAGAGGTCTTGAAGTCAGTCTCGTCGCCACACCAGCGGTAGATGTTAATCCCATAGAAGTCAACGCGGGTCTCCTCGCTCCCACAGTTAAAGTAGTTGATCAGATTCATGCGGATGTCCATGTCGTCATTGTCGGCGTAGCCGACAGGGGTCTTCAGTCCCTTGGCCTTCAAGTATGCCTTCATGTCGCGAACGGCAGCCTTCACGAACGCAGCCGACGACGTGGTGTCCTTGTCGTTGGCCACCTCGTTTCCGGCAATCCAGGCAGCCAGATTGTCATACTTGGAGAAGGCATCGACCTTGGCTGCCCAGTGGCCCATCGTGTCGTGGTCCCAGTAGGGGTCGAGACGGTTGATCGAGTACTTTGGTGACGGCATGTCAAGCAACAGGTAGATTCCGGCGTCGGAGAGCAGCTTCATGCACGTATCATGGTTCTTGTTGTAGTCAACTTCGTAGACGCGGATGGAGTTGATGCCCAGGTCCTTGAACAGCTCAACGTCGCGCTTGCAGCCGACGGTATCGGCAAGGGGGTCGGGGTTGTCGCCCTTGAGGCCCGTACGCGGCTGGTAGGCGATACCCTTGAAGTAGAACTGCTCCCCCGTCTTCTCGTTGAAGAACTTGCTGCCCTTGATGATGATGGGGTCGATGGCGAGTGCTGTTGTGGCCGCGCACAGCGCGCCAATACTGGCAGTCGCGAAAAGGGAGATTCTCATAGTCCGGCTACTCTTTTCGGTGTAAATTAGAAGAAGGGATTAAAGGGCGGATAGGTGATGGTGGGTGCTAATACGGATAAAGGTGATAAATATAATAGGCAAGGAGGAAAGAAGAAAAGAGATGGGAAAAGCAAAGATGTGTTTCTCACATTTTCATAGTGCATTTTTTCCCTCACTCAAAACAAAGAAATAAAAATAAATAATCTACTGTGCGCAAACAAAGGCATAGACACTCACTTGTCCAGTCTCAATCCTAGAAGCATTCTATGGAAAATCCCTCAGTTCGTTCGCATGTCCACGCTTGACTCGATTTTGGGGAGGCCGCGCATGCTTTGGCCCTTGCGTTCATACAAAGCATGATGTCAGAGTATCGGAATAGTGCGGGCTTTTCGGTCTTGATGCAGCATCGTTTGGTCCACATCATGCTTTCTGACCTTATCTGCACCTTGCCAAAAAAGCGCTGGAAACGTCCAAAGGAATGGAAATGCAACGTTTGACCACATGGCCGGTGTTGCAGAAATAATAATTTTTTAAAAATCTGTTTGCTTTTGCTTTTTTCTTTTTGCGCAAAATAAAAATAAAATCATAATAACAGGGCGGCCTGTTGTGCCCAATCTTTTGGACGCACTTTCTTATTTTTCCTAATGTCAAGGAAGACTCTAAGAATAAACGCCGCAAATAATAGTAGCGCAAGTAGCGAGGTATATCGGAAAATATAAAATTAGCCAAGACATGTGTTGGATTAACTGACATTAAGCATGTCATTATTTTGCACCAGTACCAGAATAACCAAAACATACTTTCCACGGGTGAACAGCCAAGCACAACTCTGTTTTTAGAAAACCACACGTTGTACTTAAGGGCGATTGCCCAAAAACAGAAGTAGAATGCCTGTAACCAGATACCAGTCGACTCTATTCAAATAAGCGTGTCCCTCGTCAGAAGAAAACCAGCACACTCGCTTCCCTGCTGCACCTCATTTATTTATTTGTTTTTTCTAGTGGAACTTGAAAAGAAACATTTGCTAGCAGGCTCCAACACCAAATTTCAAACTGGCGAGCTACTCACCATGTGCTTTTCGGAATGGCTTTGCCGCCGCAAACAATAAAAAAGAGCGCAGTTGTCGTAAGGTTAATTTTTGCGCAAGCGTGATTCAATCGATCGGCGTGAAAATTATGTTTTGGGCTCCAAATTAAATTTAGCCGTTCCTTTTTGAACGCTTGCAATTTCGACTGGCAACCCACAGCCCATCATGTTATCCCCCCCCCCCACGTGCCATCCAATTGGCCGGCGGCGACTGTTATCTCTTGGCCCCACCTGTGCACCTTTCCCCCCAAAAATAAAAATTTTTAACACTGCCGATACATCACATCCCGTAGGCTCGGGATACTGCCAGTAGTTCAAATCCTTTTTAAAATTGAACGTGCCAGCAAAAAAATTTGTTGGATTTTTGTCGATTAAAATAGTGGTTGACCCAGCCACACCACTATTCACTTTCCGTGCTAATCTCTTGGCAACATCCGGCGGGCAATATCACCAAGCAGATTGTGCTTTTTATGCGATAAAACTAAATTTAGCGATCAAAAAAAACCGTGGTAAAAAATTTGTCTTCATGCTGGATAGCCCGTCAGTGAGTGGCACTTTGGTATTCTGTTGTCCTCCTCTTGCTTCTTGTCTTCGCTGAATGTATAATGTGACTGCTGCTGTACCTTTCTTATACTCTTTTTTTACTATTTGCTATACACAACGAGCAGTTTTTTCTGTATCCATATTGGTTCGTCTGCTACTAAGATCAAATCACCGTCACTTTATCAGCACCATCCATTATCTCGCTTTTTTTCCATAACAAGAGAAAATATAAACTTTTCTAGTCACATTCACTCGGGCTTCTTTTTGAAGTTTTTTTACTTGGCTTCTCTCTTCTTTGTCCAATTCGCCAGCTGCATTCCACCACCACCCTCTATCTCTTTTTCTCCCCATTGAATTCATAGCACTCACAAACAGACTACAGAAATGTCGAGCAACTCTATCCGCATTCTCGCAGGCAACTCGCACCCGGCTCTGGCCAAGCTCATTGCAAAGTAAGCAAACATGTCTCAACACGCAACATAAAACACATGCGCACACCAGCTATACGTAGAACAATAGCACGCATGCACCCCTTGCTACTTTTTATTTGTGCAAAAAAAGTAGCAAAAAAAAGAAGGGTGTGCGAAAAGATGGGCCGCTTTACCCCGGTTTCATCTGTGTATTTGTATTGCGTTTCCAGCGCTTAATCCCGCTCTGGGCACTATTTTCTGACAACTAGCCACGTCCACTCATTCTAAAAAACTCACGCCCATTGATTTTTTGTGTTTCCCTTTTCTTGTATGCTCTAGGCGCCTCGGTACCGATTTGGCCAACGTCACAGTTTCAAAGTACTCGAATCAGGAGACCGCAGTCACCATTGGCGAGTCCGTGCGCGATGAGGACGTTTTCATTATTCAATCTGGATGTGGTGAAATTAACGACCACCTGATGGAGCTGCTTATTATGATCAACGCGTGCAAAACAGCCTCGGCCCGCCGGATCACCGCCGTTCTCCCGTGCTTCCCATACGCGCGCCAAGACAAGAAGGACAAGTCGCGCGCGCCCATTTCCGCCAAGCTGGTAGCCAACATGCTGACTGTCGCCGGTGCCGACCACGTCATCACGATGGATCTTCACGCCAGCCAGATCCAGGGCTTCTTCGACCGTCCTGTCGATAACCTGTATGGCGAGCCCTCGGTTCTGCGGTATATTCGCGAGAACATTCCCGACTGGAAGAACGCCATCATTGTTTCTCCTGATGCTGGCGGTGCCAAACGCGCTACGTCGATCGCTGACTACCTTGACCTGGATTTTGCTCTGATCCACAAGGAGCGCAAGAAGGCCAATGAGGTCTCGCGAATGGTTCTTGTCGGTGATGTCAAGGATAAGGTCGCCATTCTTGTCGACGACATGGCTGATACCTGCGGCACCCTCGGTTTGGCTGCAAAGACGCTGATGGAAAACGGCGCTTCTGCCGTCTATGCCATTGTAATTCACGGCGTGCTTTCGGGAAAGGCCCTCGATGTCATTAACGACAGCTTGCTCACCCGCGTTGTCGTTACCAACACTATCCCTCATGCCGAGAAGAAGAAGCTGTGCCCCAAGCTTGACACCATTGATGTCAGCGCTGTGCTTGCTGAGGCTATTCGTCGTACTCACAACGGAGAGTCAGTTTCTTATTTGTTTGGTCATGCCACTATTTAATTGCTTTTAAAAATTGTTTAGCGTAACTGCTTCTGTCTCGTAAATAATATATCACAATCAACATAGAATGATATTGTTTTGAGTAACCAAGATTGGAAGTGTGCATTGTGCGAGTATTTTGTGTGCATACCATCATATGGGAATCAATTGAAAAAAGCTAACTAATACTAAATAGATATTGGTTACTTGAAGTGCCTTGATGCCAAAAAGCTATGATTTGTACAACAACCCAAATATAAGTATAACCCACAGATACGGGATGCATCTGTGACATGCTTTTTTGTTTGGAGAATTGTTAATAATAACATAAGCGAGCCCGCTGCAGTGTCCGCACATATTAATTGATGTTCGCACTACTTCTTGCATCTGGCTTTTGGAGGGACATTGTCATGTCTGTTTTTTTTTTAAAAAAAGGATCCTAACCGTTGTGTTTTATGCGAGTGACGGCATAGAATTCCGTCTTCATGTACTGAAGCGTCTCGGGCAGCAAGCATCCAAGGGACGCATTGTGCGCTCACCAACCATAACTTTGTTGCATTCTTTGTTCGGAGACCAAACGGTGGTTATATTGTTTGTATGTAGAATTGGTAGGAATACAATAGTATATTGAAGGTATTCCCAGTGACAATGTTGTTTTGTGGTATTGGTTCTGATGAGCTTAGACAAACAGCAAACTACAGATGCGGGTATAAGTAGCAAAGACCCAATTGATGGGCACTGTTGCAAATATCAATACAATATAACGCAGATGCTACAGAGCATCCAAAGCAGTTTTAAGTTGTGTGGAAACCCCGTTATGTAACAAAACTGGCGCAGGTGCGGCGTCTGCCCTGCTGGGCCTTCAATATTGCATTAAACAAAAAACCTTAGCCAGTTCGGCCATTAAAAACCCCAGTAATGATGGCATACTGCAGAAAGTATTATCATAAAGCAGCATATCAGAAGTCAGCAATTAGCTTGACAAACAGGAATACAAGCTTCTTTGGCTCAGTTGGTAGAGCGTAGGTCTCATAATCCTAAGGTCGTGAGTTCGATCCTCACAGGAAGCATTACTTTTGCTTTTTTGCCGCCATCTGGAAAATTGGAATGGGGTTTTCAGGCAGCTGCAATTCGTTTTTTCCCACTCGCACGGCTACTATGCCATCGTAGCGCATGGGCGTTACTCTTCTTGCTGCACATCCGCCACATGTCTTTTTTAAAGTGCTTTTGGTGTTATTGCTGTGTACTCCCCTGTTTGTTAACTAGTTTTATATTAATAAACATCACCTTTACAACTCAATTTTATTCTGTAGCTAGTTTAGGTGTAGATATTTAAATGAAACATAATTTTAAAGTAGGCGACAATTCCTTTGTTTCTTTTCATACAACACTAATAATAACAAAATAAAAGGCTAAAATATATGTAGTAATCACCAGAATAGATGAGTCCAATTAATCTTTATTAAAACTGAAGAAACCTCCTATTGAGCCTTCTGTAGTGAGGAATTTTGCTGGTTATAATAAATATTAATCTGAATGAAACTACGAGAAGAGCTAAGGAGTTCACTATCCGGAATTCGCTGTACGCGTGAAATATCATAAACATATTTCACGCGTCTGCGCTGTCACGTGACTCAGCCCTCATTTCTGATGTCACACCTTCCCTGCTGCCATTTTATAGACAGCTATAAAACCCTGGCCGATTCTGCATTAATGCCTGCTCAGCATCGACTTAGCTCGCGAGGTCTCGGCTCAGCTGAGCTTATGTAGTGATTCTCACCACAATATACATTATTAAAGAAATTATTTTATGCCTGCCATCACCCTGGGTTTGTTCCTTCACATATACTCTGTGCAGCACATGCTTGAAATATCTTTAATACAAATATATTGCTTAACAATATCATAGTTGGTTGTTGCAAAGATATTCAAATTTATTAAGCTGTCAAGCCAGCCAGCATCCAGATCATTATCAACGGTAGTCACATTTATACCATTGGTCATCGTGAGCTGTGATTTCACATTGCCATCTGAAAAGACTATTTTTAACATATCAATAGATTTTGTATTATACCAAATTCCCAAAATCCCTTGCGGGAAGCCTCCTATAGAATCTTCCTTAATTGCCATTTTATAGGCAATATAAAACTCCTCAAATGCTACTGTATTAATGTCTATTAGGCATTAATACAGTATTTTAACGAGTGAATTAAATAACTAGACTAAATTTATATTCTGTAAAACCTAAGAAAAGGAGAAAGGAGAAATATATTTTGTTGTGTTTCTGTGGCCTTCGTCTCTTTTGTAGATCGGCAGCTAGCTGAAATACAAATTTGGCCACAAAGAAAAGAGGGCCAACACCTTCTAACACTGGTGATGGACCATGGCCAGATGCCAGAGTTTGAATTGCCTGACAACTTGCTTACTGACATGACCAGACACTTTTCACAGTTGGTCAAAAGCATGGTGTTCAATCAGGGTTTATAGCCATTTAATAAAAATATTGATCATGTTGGACTATCTTTACAATTATATAGCACCCATAAAGCTTTAGACATGGATGAGTCAAGTAATATACTTTGTAACTTTGTGTATAGGAATACTTGCTGTAATGATGTCTTATTAGAAATAAATGTATTTTCTTTGCCCAAGTTATTTATAAAATAGATGGCTTTTATTAAAAAATAGCCTTTGTCACACTGAAGTTAGAGGGCTATTTGCACAAAACTTATTATAAAGCATAGTGAAATTGACAAATAAAATTGAAAATGTTTCAGTCAACCTTTGTATATATTTGTGCAAATGGAGGGAGTAGTTGAATTTAAAAGTTGGAAGCTCCTAATTGTCTTTAAAGCCAGGCGGCATAGATGATAATGCATATCTCACGTTTGTATAAGTAAAGAACTATGATTTGGGCAAGTAAAAATATAATATTTATTTCCGAATTACACAATTTGTGATACAAGAAATTGCGGCTTGTCTCTGGCGATTGATTCATTAATCAATCGCCAGTTAATTCCATACTTGGATATGCGGGAATTCATACGCACACATAGATACCAATGAATATGAACAGTGGAGGCTGTTCATCCCTTAGCTTTCTTTTAGTTTATTTTTGTTCAATATATATATTTATAACATAACACAATTCATTTTATTTTTAACACTTACTACATTATTTCGTAAAAATAAAGACACAACGCAACACTGTTACATAATTAAAGATGACAAAAAAAACATGACCCGTATTAATTGAAGTATTATTTGGTGATATGCCGTTTAAAGATGTGAGGACATGTTTGAAATTAAACAATTTTAATGCCAATGTCACACAAATCCTATACAAGAATGATAAATCTGAACGAGCAAATGATGAACTCAAAACGGCCCAAGTGTTTAAAGCTGTAAAAAGTTTTACTTTTCAAATAAGGTAGGACGGTTTTTGTATCAGCACTGTATGCATAGAAATTTTTATTATGTAGCTAGTTTTTTTGTTAATAAACACTAGTTAACAAACAGGGGAGTACGCAGCAATAACACCAAAAGCACTTTAAAAAAGACATGTGGCGGATGTGCAGCAAGAAGAGTAACGCCCATGCGCTACGATGGCATAGTAGCCGTGCGAGTGGGAAAAAACGAATTGCAGCTGCCTGAAAACCCCATTCCAATTTTCCAGATGGCGGCAAAAAAGCAAAAGTAATGCTTCCTGTGAGGATCGAACTCACGACCTTAGGATTATGAGACCTACGCTCTACCAACTGAGCCAAAGAAGCTTGTATTCCTGTTTGTCAAGCTAATTGCTGACTTCTGATATGCTGCTTTATGATAATACTTTCTGCAGTATGCCATCATTACTGGGGTTTTTAATGGCCGAACTGGCTAAGGTTTTTGTTTAATGCAATATTGAAGGCCCAGCAGGGCAGACGCCGCACCTGCGCCAGTTTTGTTACATAACGGGGTTTCCACACAACTTAAAACTGCTTTGGATGCTCTGTAGCATCTGCGTTATATTGTATTGATATTTGCAACAGTGCCCATCAATTGGGTCTTTGCTACTTATACCCGCATCTGTAGTTTGCTGTTTGTCTAAGCTCATCAGAACCAATACCACAAAACAACATTGTCACTGGGAATACCTTCAATATACTATTGTATTCCTACCAATTCTACATACAAACAATATAACCACCGTTTGGTCTCCGAACAAAGAATGCAACAAAGTTATGGTTGGTGAGCGCACAATGCGTCCCTTGGATGCTTGCTGCCCGAGACGCTTCAGTACATGAAGACGAATTCTATGCCGTCACTCGCATAAAACACAACGGTTAGGATCCTTTTTTTAAAAAAAAAACAGACATGACAATGTCCCTCCAAAAGCCAGATGCAAGAAGTAGTGCGAACATCAATTAATATGTGCGGACACTGCAGCGGGCTCGCTTATGTTATTATTAACAATTCTCCAAACAAAAAGGCATGTCACAGATGCATCCCGTATCTATTTTTTTTGTGATTCATGCTTGCCTTTGAGTTGATGTGCAGGTTTGTTGTGGCCGTGTATTTACTTTTACAATGTGAAAAAGAGCAATTGTTTTCATTGCTTTGCCGCTGCATGTATTTGAATACCAAAAAAGCAAACACAAGTCTGATAATGTCAAAAAATCCACAAATGAACAGTTCTGGCATTAAAGCACGGGGACCTGTTTATATCATGTGCTTAATTGCACTTTTTATTACTTTTTCCCTGTAACAATACTTTTATTATTTCAAGCAACGAGCTTGAATGACAAACATAAAATCAATTTATTGGCCAATAATACAAGACAAGAATAGCAGATAATTGTCTCTGCCTTAACGCCACATTGCAATGCATATCTTCATTGTTGATTGTTGTAAAAAAGCAAGATTCAAATACATACACAAAAAATTTGGTCCTGCTGTTCAGCAACTAAAAAATAGAAAAGTGTAAGGAAGCTTGAATTGGCAATATCCATTAGTTATATTACACGTGGCTTGCAACGATACAAATCAACCAAACATTTATTTATTTGAGGGATATGAAAAAAGAAGACAGTAGGAAGGAAAAATATGTATGGACAAGAAAGTAGGGAGAAAGGGAGCAAAGGGGGTAAGGAGGGAAGGACACATATACTCACATGCATGAGTCATGGATAGCACAATACGTGAGATTCAGATTGAGATGGATATTTCCGATTAACAAAGTAAATTGTTTTTCTACTGTTTATTTACATTTTTTATCCATCATTGTCACCACTACCATCATGGCCACGTATTATACTTTTTATGTGTATATTTGTTTGTCTATGTGTGAGAGTGCATTTTTTGATGATTGGTGAGTGAAGGAAACAATATGCTTTTATGACAAGATGAAAAGGTGGGAGATAATGCCTTTTTTCTTCAAAATGATTTTATTGTTGTTAAAAATAAAGAGAAAAGTATCAAAGGATCTAGTCACGCAAAAGATGCAAAAGATGAATAACGATAAAAAACGAGGGATTGAGGGAGTAAGCAAAAAAAAGTTGCAATGACAGAACGAAATAATCAAGATAAAATATATTATTTCCATTTTCTTTGTTTTTGTACATGATTAAGCCATTTCATCATTTCAAAAAAATGTAAGAGGAAAATTTTCTAGTTAGGGATAAGGGTGATTGTGCTTTTTTTGGTTGCACCAATGAATGGTGAGAGGACAAATGAGTGAGGTGCATAGTTGCATAGTTGCATAGTTGCAGCATTAGGTAGCTAAAAAGGAAGGGATTAGTATGAAATGAGTCGGCGTTGGGATAAAAAACTGGTTTTTTTGAGTCCATGTTCGATTTTTTTTGTCTCTTGTGAATTTTATTTATTTCTTCTGATTCCCTCCCCTCCCTTCCCTTTTTTTACTTTCAATTTTTTTATTAGCCGTAGCCGTTTCTTCTTTTTTATTTCTTGTCACGAATAAATAAATAAATATTTTTCCCAAAGCTTTTTGTTTATTTGAATAACTTCAAGTCTGTTCTTTTTATTTCCTTTTTCATCTTTAAATCCCCGACTGGTAGAAGCACCGGGTTTATTTTTCTTTGGTATATCATTTTTTAAAACCCAAGTGGTGTTGATAACAAAAAAGAGGGTAACGTATTCCACAGCTCCAAAGTGCTCAACACACGCCCTTTTTTATTGCGTTTAACTCTAAATATACTTAAACAAAACATAAACAACTAAGCACTTTTCCTTTTATAGGGTTATCTTTCTTTTTACGTTTAAAAGATAGTCACACAAAAAAGTGATATTTGATATCTGTCAGAACAGAAAAAAAGATGGGCGATAGCAGTGGAAGGCGCGGCGAATTTCAGCTTCCAAGCATAAAAACATTGACTGGCAGTAGTCCTCCAAGACCAGTGTGACACAGGGTACGAACATACCCGGATACCCCACCTCCGCTGCCTCAGCGATAGCAGCAGCCGAAAAGCAATCCCACTATGAGCATCCGGCGTATCAGCATCCCACACGTAATCAACTGCCTGCACATTATCCGACACACCAGCAGCAGCAGCCGCGAGTAGGATCCCCAGTACAGGGAAATGTAGGGTACGTAGGGCAGACAAAACACGCGTACTATAGCGGGCCGCCACCGCCGCAAGCTCAACAGCAATCATTGCCACCAACCCGGCGTCCCAGCACCAGCAACACGGGTATGCATACCAGGGTATGGCAGAGAGGGCCGGGGTCGGCGCCAGCGCATATGCACAGCGAAGGGTATCGGAGCTCAGCGTACGCATACGGACACCAGGGGCATGCCAGCCCCCTGGTCACATCGGATACCCGGCTGGGGCAGCAACAGAGCCAGGGCAGGGGCAGGGCTCAGTAGAAATGGCGGGATGACCCGAGCGCAGCAGGCGCATGCGCGGGCACAGTATTTGCCGCATACGCCGGTGTTGCAGGCTACCTTCCACCGTTCACATCACGCATACAGCAATCCATCGCCCACTGCAGCAGCCACAACCACGCCCACTAGTGCCAATGTCCCGTTTCATGATTCTTCTTCCATGCTTGACGAAAGCTACATACACCCACAGTCGGCTTCGCGCGCAGCATACCAGGTGCCCAAGCACCCGGCCGTACGCCCAGCGTCACCCTATCTGCCTCCGCCACCCCAACCTCACCCACCAGTACCACTTCACGCTCTGTCTTCCACCGTCTTCCCATAACCGGAACCACCACCACCTCCTGCACCCTTGTATAACCGTGGCAGTCACCCAACCGAGCACTCTGCTTCTCTGGCGGACCTAGGATCCGATTGGGATTCCGAAGAAGGACCCCCCGGAGACGCCGACGAGGCGCTGCTTAGGCGACGAAAGCGCAATGCGCAGAGCGCAGCGAGACTGCGCGAGCGGCGGAAGACAAGGGAGCAGGAGCTGAGTGCGAGCTGTAGTAAGCTGGAGACGCAGATTTCGAGGCTTCAGGTGGAGCTGGAGGATGAGAAGAGGAGGGCGATGTTGGAGCTGCAGCAGGGGAGTGGGGGCGGGATTAGGGGGACGAAGAGGGCGTGGTCTGGGACGGTGGATGATGTTGCGGCGGCGGTGGCGGCGACGGCAGTTAGTGGGGATTCTAGTGCTGGTACTGGTGTTGATTCAAGGTTTGTGGCAGCGACAGCGGTGGCAGCGGTGGCAGCGGTGGAGAGCATGGTGATTTTGGGATCAAGAGGAGACGACCGCTGAAGGAGCTGGATCAGGTTAGGTTGGGTGATTTGAAGGGAAAAATTGAGACGCTGGGGAGGCTCAACCAGCAGGTGTGCGTTAATTTGGGTGTATTGAGACAGGAGATTCAGAGGATCTCGGCGCTATTGTTTCGCAGAAGGACCGTTGGGTGGGAGTGCCCATGCAATGAAAAAATGTGAATTTTTTTGCTGTTGATGAATGATTTTATATAATACAATTTTTAATACCTGTTTACACTGAAGAAATAATTTAAGGGGTACCATTTTCTTTTCCAATTAATTTTTCTCATTTTATTTAATTCGCATTTCCATAACTTTTATTCATAGGGGATGGACAGTGACAAAAGCAATCGTGCAGAGTACCTGAAACACCAACGTGAGCGCATGCGCTCCGACCTAGACCTCAAACGGCAGCAACAGCAGCAACAGCAAAAGCAGAAGCAGGCCAAAGACGCGCAGGCCAAACACTCTGCACAAAAATTCATAACCAAAGAAGAAACCGTCGAAGCCAAGCTCAAGCTCTCGACAATTGGGCTAGTTCACTAGAGGATTTCCAAAGGATCAAGGGCGAGATCGAAGAAGAGCGATTGCGCGAAGCTGCACAGACACTTGTACGGCCAGCCAAGGAAAAGAAGGAAGAAGCAGAGCAAGACGGAGTACAAGGAGAACATCGAAGCCGCTAAAACGCGTTGTAAAGAAAAAAGCCAAGCGACCACCACTGTCATTCGACAGCGAAAATAATGATGATGATGAGGAAATCAAACTAGGTCCAGTGATAAAGAAGCGGAGAAAGAACCCGATGGTTGATACGAGTTTTCTGCCGGACAAGGACAGGGAGGAGGAGGAGGCGCGGTTACGCGAGGAGTTGCGCCAGAAATGGCTGCGCGACCAAGACACACTTAAGCAACAGCCATAGATATCACATACAGCTACTGGGACGGCTCCGGACACCGCAAGCAGGCGCGGTGCCGGAAGGGCGACACCATTGCACAGTTTCTTGATAAATGCAAGGCGCAGGTCTCCGAGCTGCGGTCTGCAACTGTCGACGGCCTGGTGTATGTCAAGGAGGACCTGATTATCCCGCATCATTACTCGTTTTATGACTTTATCGTTAATAAGGCGAGGGGCAAATCTGGCCCGTTGTTCAGTTTTGATGTCCACGATGATGTGCGGTTGACGCATGATGCGACAGTTGAGAAAGACGATTCGCATGCAGGAAAGGTGTGCGAGAGGGCGTGGTACGAGAGGAACAAGCATATTTTCCCGGCAAACCGCTGGGAAACATTCGATCCCGAGAAGAACTATGGATCATACACGATCCGCGACACCAAGCAAGGCTCATTGAAAAAGTAAAGGGTCGATTTTTTTTTAAAAAATCGTGATAAAAGGAAAATAAAACATTCTTCGTCTATAGCTCCATGGCATCCTCGTCCTTGTTCTCGCCTTCCGCGGTAGGCGCAACCCACTGCAAACGCTGGGCTTCGCTCTGCTCGTGCTCGGCCCACATCGTGGTGGACCACTTGGGGAACACGCGCTTGTACAAATTCATGCACACAGTGTCCATCTGCTTGATGGGCCCATCGAAGATGCACTTCATGTAGCCGTGCGTGCCCAGGCTCTCCGAAATATGGCCGACGCGGCCGTGCTTCGTGTACATCTGCACAGGCTTGAACCACGCGACATCATCGGGATTGAAGAACATGAAGCGGATAACGGCTCCGCGCTTGTGAATCTTGTACGGGGCACCAGTCAGGATAATGCGCTTAGCCAGGATCGCGACGGGTTGGCGTCCAGCGAAGAGCCAGTGCCAATCAGCGTCGGCAGCTGCGGGCTGCCGTCGGCCATGAAGCCAGCGCTGCCGGCGGGCGTCGGCAGGTAGAGCGCGACTGGCACAGTGCCCATCTGGATAGGTGCGTAAATGGTGGCGACGCTGACGGTGCCGTGCTGCAGGAAGCGCTCAAACTTGTGCACGCCATTGGAGCCTGCGCGCGAGTGCTGGCTAAACAGCGGCTGCACGTTGTAGCGGCGGAAGCCAAAGTGCACCACCAGCGGGTCCTTGGACCGCACCGGCTCCAGGTACGCGTCGCTGCGCGTCACCGTGAAGTGCACGACCGACATCTGGTGCTCATACTGCAACAGACCAAAGGCAACAAACGGCCGGTCAACCGAGAAGCTCTGGGCGACCTTCCGCGGTACCGCCCGCAAGATAACGCGCACGTGCATGCCGCTCTTTGCCGGCGCGTCCTCGGCCAGCCGCATGACGCGCTGCTGCGTGCGGCGCATGTTCTCAAACTGGAAGATGCGCGCATAGTCCAGCGGCAAGTTCTCGTACGCGTCCCAAGGCGAGGTGCGGAAGCTCTGCAGACCACGGAACCGCGCGAACCGCTGGCGTGCCGAGATCTCCATCGGCGTGTCGACCTCATCGGGGAACTGCAGGTCATCGCGGTTCTGACGCTCGCGCTCGTGCAGGTACGCCTTGAGCTGCGACGCATTCTCCTCGGGGCTCAGCATCTCGGTGTCGCTCTGTACGTCGTCGTCCTGTGCCGGCTCGTCAGTGATCGCCGCACCTTGGGCATCGACGCGGATCTCGTCGTAGTCCTCGTTGTCGGACTCCTCCTCGCCCGACTCGCTGCCGCTGCCGCTGTCGGAGCCGTCCATCATGTCCAAGTCCGAGTCCGAGTCCGGGCCTGAGTCCGACCCGGCGTCGGAGCCGTCGGGGATCCACGCCGCCTGGTAGTTGGACGTGCCGCGGGGCACACGCACGACGCGCTCGCCGGCCTGGCGCTCCTCCTCCTCCAGCATCTCCATCTGCTGCTTCCACGCGGCCATCTCCTCCTCCTCCGGCCACGTCTGCTCGTTGGCCATCTGGTTGGGCTCGTTAGCGTCCACCAGCGAGTCCTGCAGGGTGGCAACGGGCCGGTCAAGCACCGTAGGCTCGTCATCCTCCTCGATAGCATTGCCCTTGGCCTCCTCGACAGCCACCGGCACGTTGTAGATGCACTCAATCTGGAAATCACCAAAGTTTGGGATATGTACCAGGCGGTTGGCCGACAGGTTGGCGCCGCGCACGTACCCGGTGATGGCTAGCTTGCCGACGTCAGGGTCCTCCTGGCTGGGCTCGAACTCAACGGCCTCAGCCAGCATGTACGGCCGCACCTCGCGCCACTTGACGCCGCGCGGGACTTGTGCCGTGATCATGCGCAACACCGTCAGCGCCTCGGTCTGCGAGTCCGTGGTAAACACGCGGTCGATCTCCGGAAAAAAGTGGGCCATGAAGCTCTGCAGCGACTTCTTGACCTCGCCGCGCCGCTTCACCGCGACGTCCTCCAGGCCTTGCACAACCGGGAACACCGTCGGGTGGCCCTGGTTCTGGATTGCCGCCAGGCTCTGCTCGCCAAAGGCGTCAACCTCGACGGATGCCGAAAGCCCCATAATCATATAGTCGGCGACCTTGGCAATATCGAGGATGTCCAGCAGGTTGCGCCCAACCTCGACAAACTGCACGGTCTGCTTGAACCTGCCGACGTTCAGGACCCGCATGGTCCGGGGCGCCTTCTCGGGGAACTGCTCCTCGACGCTGCCGTACAGCGCCCGCAGTGTCTCTGCCATGTCCAGACCGGGACACAGAGGAATAACCGCGACGATCTTGGGTGCCCGGTGGCGGCCCGTGAAGATCCGCGTGTTGGTGATTATCTGGTCACGCTTTTTGCGCTGCTCCGTGCGCAGTGCGTTGCGGCGGTCAGCGCGCGTGTGTTTGCGCTGCACTTTGCCCTTGATGTTCACCCGTTGTGTGCGACCCTTGGACTTGTCGCGCATCTCGTTTTTCGTCGCAAACCGTCTTTTGAACGGCTTGTTCTTTTGTTTCAGCGATGCGCGATGGTGAAACGCCTCTTCCTTGGCCATTGTTTAAAAGTATTAAAGTATTTTTGGGGGTTTAAAAATGTAGAAATGTGGAATTAGACAAATGAAAAGAAAAGTGCGCCCAAAAAGGTGTGCTTTTTGCTTATGTGGACTTGTAAAAAAAGCAACTACAAAACTGATCTTTCAAGTAAAAAAACCTGCCTAAAAACTTTTTTCTTTCCTTCTGCTTGGGTTAGAAAAATAATTAATCATATTCGCTGATTACCCACCGATCAACACTCATTTATTTTTGAGTGAATTTTTTCCTTGGCTCAATTTTTTCTCTCTTTTTTACCACTTGTCACTTTACTATATGCACACGCCTACTTAAAAAAATATGTATTTCGTTTTTAGTTTCCAATTCTTTTTTGTCCTTGTCTCATTTTAACCCTCCTTAAATTTTTTATATTATATTACTTGCACACACATTCTTTATTTGTCATGGGCGACGAAAACAACCAAACAAGTAAGTACTGCATACTTTCAAAGAGAGTAACATCAGTTTGTTGCACTTGAACCAGCCTTTTTTGTATGCCAAATTGTAGCAACAAAGCGACTAATACCAATTCTAAGCATTGTTTTTTCACTATTTTTTTACCAATTCCAAACACTATAGACAAGAAGAACAAGCAAAAGGTCAATGCGATCGACCTGGCAGATATTCCCGAGGAGGATATCAAAAAGGCGCTTGAGTTCAAGGCTGGTGACATGACCACCCCCCTCCTGGAAGAGTCCAGTTTTGCGACGCTTTTCCCAAAGTACCGTGAGTCATACCTGCGCGAAATCTGGCCCCTTGTAACAAAGACGTTGGAAAAGCACGGAATCGGCTGCCAGCTGGATCTCGTTGAGGGAAGCATGACCGTGCGCACCACGCGTAAGACCTGGGACCCTTATATGATTATTAAGACTCGTGATCTGATCAAGCTTCTTGCCCGTAGCGTGCCGTTCCCGCAGGCCGTCAAGGTACTGGAGGACGATGTTGCCTGCGATATTATTAAGATCGGGAGTCTGGTGCGCAACAAGGAGAGGTTCGTTAAGAGGCGTCAGAGGCTGTTGGGCCCAAATGGTAATACGCTTAAGGCTATTGAGCTTTTGACCGAGTGCTACATTATGATCCAGGGATCGACGGTGGCTGCTATGGGGCCGTACGGCAGCCTGAAGGCCGTACGTCGGGTGATTGAAGACTGCATGAAGAATATCCACCCGATCTACCACATCAAGGAGATGATGATCCGGAAGGAGCTGGCGAAGGATCCGAAGCTGGCCAATGAGTCCTGGGACCGGTTCCTGCCGAGATTCAAGAAGAGCAACATCAAGCAGAAGAAGCCCAAGATCGGAAAGAAGAAGAAGCGTGAGCTCTTCCCGCCGGCTCCGCAGCCGAGCAAGATGGACTTGCAGCTGGCCTCCGGAGAGTACTTCCTTAAGCCTGATGAGAAAAGGGCACGCGAGGAGGAGAAGAAGAAGCTGGCGAGTATTGAGAATAGGGCAAAGAAAGTGGCAGAGCGCGAGAAGGCCTTTGTTGCTCCGAAGGAGGAGTCTGAGTTGGGAATGCAAAGCCTAAGGAGAAGGAGGATGAGAAGAAGAAGATGGACGCGTTGATGAATAAGTTCAAGTCGCAGGCGCTAGGCAGGGACGAGAAGAGTAAGCGCGCGGCTGATGATGGCGATGTCTCTGCCTACGTTATCGGTACAAAGTCTAGCAAAAAGACAAAGACAAAGTAAAAAACATCTTTTTAAATATATATTTATTCATTTTGGTCCACAAAAAACACTTTAAAACATTGCTCGACTGCTGGCAACCACGCCCATGTAAAACGCCGATCCACGCACCACGCTGAACCGCGCAGTGGCGCCGTTCATCAACTTGAATGAGTTAATGGTCATTGCCTGCCAAACTCCCTTATACTTGCAGTATGGTACCCGAACAATAGCTCTCGGAGCTGTATAGCTCAGGATATCCAGCGACATGCCCGATCCTACAGCACCCAGCCACTGGGCGAGCACAGCCGTCATGTAGTTATGGAACTTTTGTGCGTCAATGTCTATCTCTGACACTAGCCCGGATGATGATGTAATGAGCTCAACGGCGAAGTAATAGAATGGCTGTTTCGATATTGTTGTTTTAAATGTTGCCTCTGCCAGGGCAATTGCTGTTTTTATTGTCTGGTGTGGCTCATCAATATCCATTTTGCTCAGTGAATATGTTTGCTTATATGTGTGTTGGGTGGTAATGTGAAAAATAATAGTGGAGGGTGAATATTATTATTTGCATGCAAAAAAAACCGACAACTTTTTGGGTTTGCAAGCGTGGGAAATTTGCAAAGTTATGGCAATATTTGAGCTATGGTCAGGGTGTGGCTTTTACAAAGTATATTATTTACATTTTAATTGTATGATGATTAGACCTAGGTCCGGATAGCTTTTGACTTGAGTATCCTTATGGCAGGGTCTGCAGCCAGATATACAATACAATCTATTCCAAGAAGGGCGGCGCGGTTGGAAATCGTCTATCTATATTAACTTTGGTTTGTCGTTTATTGTAATTGTTCGTTAATTTCACCAAATGTATATATGGTCTCACTGTGGGTGTTTTGACAATAAATACTTTTATATTAATAGGCCTGTGCCCCAGCCTATTGATGTGTGGAATGATACCATATAAATTGATATTTTTGACTATGTACTAATTTAAAAATGAAAATAGTTTAAACAAAGCTTAATGATGCGGTTTCTGCTTCTTTTTTGGCATCGTGGCCCGCTCAGGAACCCGCAGAGAAACTGTGGCTGCCTCTGACTCCTGCTTCGCCCGCAACAACAAGCTTGCAAGGATCACTTCGCCATCTGGCATACTGCGCACGATCTCCTGCAAATAAAACGACTCGCGCTTCATCTGGTCATTGCTGCGCCGTAAATAGTATATGTACTCGGTCGATTTGCCCAAGATAGTCGCCTTATTCAGCTTGGTTGCGGCCTCGACGCCATCGACCTGGTGAGAGCCGCCCTCGTTATCCTCCTCGTCGTCATCCTCTTCATCCTCGTCGTTGCTGGTCTCAGCATTGTCGCGAGCATAGGGGCTGCTGCTGCTGCTGCCGACGCCAGGTTGCCTTTTCTTTGGGCGCACGTGTTGGAGGGCCGGGACGGAGCTGCGAAGATCGGTGATGCGGTCATTGATGTTGTTGCGGTAGCGTCTCTCAATGGCGTTATGCGCGACCTTGCGCTGATGCTGTGTGGGCTGCGGCTGTGGTTGCACAGAAAACGTCGTTGTGTTGCTGCTGTTAATACCTGCTGACCGCTTGCCGCTGCCGCTGGGTTTGGAAGAAAAATATGAGTTAACCGGGGTTGTTTTGAGACGATTGATCGGGAGCCTCGCTGGAGCCACGGATAGGGCGTTACCAGTATCCATGTTTTGCAGGGGGGAGGTGGCGCCAAAACTGCTTGGGTGGTATGAGGCGATCCGCTGCATACCAATGCCCGTAGGAATAGGCATGGGCCGCGTCTGGTAGTCGCCATATGACGCCGGCATGGTAACCCTCTTTCCCAACGGCACGCCCATGGGGCTGGGCAAAATACTCATGTCAGTGTCATCGAACTTGCGCTTGCCCATCATGTAGTCGAAATTCGCCTGTGCCTGAGCCTGCGCTTGGGCTCGAGCCTGTGCTGCCTGCTCGTAGCTAACTGCGGTGGGCGTCAGGAAACCAGAGTTTGACGACACATTGTAGTTTCCGGGAACAGTCACAAAAGTTGGCCGCTGTTGCTGCTGTGCTGCCGATGCGCTAAGCATAGAAGACAACGACTCGGAGTCCATGTTTGTCAATGAGTTGTTGTTGTAAAGCGAGTTGCTCATATCGACGGTGCTTGTCAGCAGGCTGCCCGGCTGTTGATGCTGCTGCTGCTGCTGCTGGGAGACGACAGCAAAGTTGGCAGCTGCCAGAGTGGCAGCATCACTGCCAAAATCATTAAGTTGTAGGGATTGCAGGGATTGCGAGGGAGTGATGCCGATCGGGTTGATCATCAGGGGGCTGTTCTGTGAGAGGATGCTCATAGCGGGTATCCCAGTGTATGCCGCAGTGGTTGAAGCGGCGAGAAACGCAGCCATGGCCTGATCGCTCACGCCGCTGAGGCTTGGTTGCCGCTGCTGATGTTGCTGGGTAGATGATTGTGACGGTGGTTGCATGGTATTGCTTGTTGACGAGGACATGCCGAGGAAGTTATTTAAGGCCGTGATGTGATCGTCAGCTTGCTGGGATCCACTGGAAACTCGAGAAAACTCATCCATTATTGCTGTTGGTGAATATGGCTGCATTGGATGAGAGTTCATTATTTTTGGTTGTGTGGAAAAAGAGAGGGAATATACAAATAATAATATGGTCTGTTTTTTTCCTGTCTAAAATTTTTTATGAAAAAGGGCTCAGTACCAATAAGGATGAATCGATAATGGCGAGAAAATAATAAAGATAAAAAGTATAGTGTGTTTTTAAGGAATGGTACGATGTTTTTGTCAAAAGACTGATGGAGGAAAAATAAAAAAAGTGGGCGAGACGAACTACCAGTTTATAAAGACTAAGCAGGACGCCAAAAATATGTAGAATAAAAATTTTCGGCACGGCGCTAAAAAACCTTTCTTTTCTTTTCACTTTTTTCTCCCTTTCCTTCTTCAAAAATAATAATACAAATATCGGCTGCTTCGGAGGGAAGGCATATGTGCACGCACCTTCATACTCGTGGTCGGCGGGTCTTCCGCGAATAAAAAAGCAAATAAAACAAAGTGAGTATGAGAGTGACTTTGGTTCAATTTTTATTGTTTTTAGAATGATACGCCGCTATTTTCCGTCCGGAGCGGAGATAATTGAACACATACAAGTGCAAGTAAATTTAGAAGTCCATTTACCATTTCTTTTTTATTTATCGGCCAAATCAAATTTTCCTTGTACTTTATCACCGACAAGAAAAATAAGTTGTTCGCAGTCTTGAAGGAAATGTGGCCCAATCAGACGCAATGATTTTGCACTCTGCGCGAAAGAAATTGATGCATTCCTTTTTTGTTTACTTTCTCCCCACCCGAGCTCCCCATCTAAGCAGCTTCATTGATATGCAAACTCTATCGGACAGAAACATGAGATCCATTTTACTCACCAAAAAAGGGGCAAGGCCCAAAATACATGACTCCAATTCTCCAATTCTCTCATTTTCCATCTCCTTTTTTGGATAGAACTGGATCATTCGGCTATAGCGCAATATTAATAATTACCGATGAATTGAGCCGAATAGTCTCAGGCCATTTTTTGGATCCTCTTGGCTTTACACAGCCAAATAAATTCAAAACCATTTTATGTATATTTATATTTGCAGTCATTTAGCCGCATATCATCGGAGATATCAAACGCTAATAATTGGAACAAATAAATGAGGCTGTGCATCTCGCGAAAATCAGTAAAAAATATGTATTGACAGCGCATGTCAGATATGTCATTGTTTGTAAAAAATTTTATGTTTCGGGCGCTGTGGCTCGGCCTAATTCAAGTATATTCCTGGTATGTCTTTGTCAAATTTCTTTGTAGCATTGGTTGGTAGAAAAATATTACAACTCGAAAAATGCTTGCATCATTGTGATCTGTTCTTGTTTACGCTGATACAACCAGTGTGTAAACATAAACTTTGTCCCTGAATTTTTCGCCTGCTTACCCCTTATTTCTTAACAAACATGTTCCGTGCCATAAAACATTTTCGTTTCGTTTTGTGGCCGATAAATCTTTTTATTGTCGGACGATCTGCAAAAAGAAAATAAAGATGTGTTCCGCTTTCCGCATTTTCCGTTTTCTATGCCTCATCCGCCTGTCCGCCAGGATAAAAAAAGTGGCCTGATTTTTTGTTTTGCCCCCAACATGGTGATGAAATTATTTTGGAAAATGATGCTTATCACAACACACGAGCACGTGAAAAAACGCGTGCAGTTCAAGAAAAGGCTCGAAAGGTACAGAAGGCCGACAGCAGATCGAATACACTTTTGCTTTGGTTTGTCGGAATTTTTTTGATTGGACAGGCTATATTTTACCCCGACACACTTTGCGGCCATTGTGGTGGCTCATCGCATAACTGTCATTGCATGATGTGCCTTCAATGCCGCAATGACGAGCTGTCATGGCATTAACCAGATATATTTTATAGTTGTATTTAATTAACAGTAATACATTTCAGCCATCAAGATTTTGTATTATGTTTAAAGTTTTAATTTATTAGCCACATAGACCATCTATCAGCAACGGCTATCCATCGTTCATAATTGTGGAGCGGGTCTCCGGGTCGTCCTCAATAACCTTATATTGGTGTTGATGTCCTTGTGCATTACGAGCCTAATTGAACGTTCATTCTTGGTAAATATATGCAGATGTGTTTAGAATATTGCAAGAAAATAAGTAAAGGCAAGCATTGAGTTAAAAACAGGGAAAGACAAGAATGTCATTTTTATAATAATTGTGTCTGCTCAATTACAAAAAGTACAGAAAACCCTCAATTGGTGCGAAACAATTTTTTTACAAATTTGTGTAGAGGCAAGTGTGATTGATAATTGTTTAGATGGCGTATCATGCGGCTAGATAACAGCGTCAGAGAAGGCTTGTGTGTGATGCCACTTTGAGTAAATGAACGCCAAAATGCAAATGTATTACAGAAAGAAACCCAAAATAAAGCGTAGAGCACACAGGCTAACTGAATGGGCAGCGGAAAAACACTGACAAATATACTGGATGTTTTATTGCGGCAAAGGTAATTGTGTTAGAATATATGCTATTGTTTAAAAATACTCAAATATTCGCACACATACAAAACATAAAAATAAGCAAATCAAGTGGGGTCGTGTGCATTCAACACAATTAACTTTTATTTTGGGGAAATAGGATATGTAATATATGTATAGTGACACATCCACACCTGACATGCCGCATGTCAGCGTTCATTTTCGAATTGTGAAAGCATTTGTTGTTTGGGTAGCGACAAATCTAATCGCAGATCTTATATTTATTTAAAAATTGTTTGATGCTAGATTTCACGACGCGCAATAAAAAGCGATTTAGTGAATTGGAAGATACATTTTAAAAATTAAAATATGATACCAATGTGCCCACTCGCTTATTTGCGTTAGTTTGTAGACTTTACTTGCTTTTCCATCCTGCTTAACGGATCTATTTTCTTTCTTACCAAACCCAGTAATTTATTTTTTAAACCAAGTAGAGAATAAGTAGAAAATATTGTATGTTTTGAAAATATGAAAATAAAGCAAATAAAAGTGATTATTCGCTATGTGCAAATTGCTTCAATATTCTTTTGTTTCGACAAAGGTAGATACTCGTTTTGGGTGGCATTAGGCGCGCTTTTAAATTGACGACACAATAATATACACATGACTAATCGATCAACCAAAATTCAAATCAAATCAACATATTCGGGTTGTGATTCATTTGCATGGGTGTAAATTTTTGAGCAAAATTAGCACTAGCGAATACGTGCTGTTTTGCAATCAGACATAATTTGCCATTTCGTTTTTCTTTGGCACTTGGATTTCCTTTACACATACTTTAATACAAATAGCACGAGTAAAATGAGCGAAGAACTGAAGCTTAGAATTCTGAATAAGCTCGAGTCCGAGAACTCGATTGCCGATACCAAGACAGTCTTCGTGGACGTGTCTCCGGAGACGATTCTGGGCGCACTGAAGAGTCTCGAGAGCCAGGAGGTAATTCAAACAGGGCATTGGAACCAGGTTTTATTTTTACAATGCTAAGGGGGCGATGCTGCTAACTAGTCGAATTCACCCATTTTGTTGTGTAGAAGGTCAATTATAAGACGCTCACCACCGAGTTCTGGACAATTGAGGCTGAGGGCCAGGACCAGATTGACAACGGCAGCTACGAGGCGCGCATTTTCTACGCTGTGCCCGCGGGCGAAGAGGGAATTACCATTGCAGAGCTCAACTCGAAGTACGGAAAGGTGGCCAACCTGGGACAGGGCAAGGCCTTCCAGAACAAGTGGGTCAAGAAGAATGGATCCAGCATTGTGAGGCTTGTGGATTCTATTGTCGATCAGATCAAGGCTGACCTGGAAGTGGTTCAGGCCACTGGCACCCACCCGAACACCAATGTAATCAGGGACCTGAAGCGCCGCAGTTTGATCAAGCAGAACAAGGTCCTGTCATACTCTGTTAGCAAGGGCGCCAATTTCTCGACCGAGCTGAAGAAGCAGGCGACCGATTTGACTGTGGAGATGCTGCATAGCGGCGCGTGGAAGAATGCCGAGTTCAAAAAGTTCAACTTTGATTCGCTCGGCGTCAACCCCAGCGGCGGCCATCTGCACCCGTTAATGAAGGTGCGTGAGGAGTTCCGTCAGATCTTCTTTGATACCGGTTTCGAGGAGATGCCGACGAACGAATTTGTCGTGTCCTCGTTTTGGAACTTTGACGCGCTGTTTGTACCGCAGCAGCATGCGGCACGCGATCTCCAGGATACCTTCTTCCTGAAGGAACCCGCGGTGGCTACCGAGCTGCCTGAGTTCTGGGAGACGGTCAAGGACGTGCACGAGAAGGGCGGCTACGGCTCGATTGGATACCGGTACCCGTGGTCGCAGGAAGAGGCCAAGAAATTGGTGCTGCGCACGCACACCACTGCGGTCAGCTCCCAGATGCTGCATAAGTTGGCGCAGGAGCCGTACCGCCCGGCCAAGTACTTTTCGATTGACCGCGTGTACCGTAACGAGGCTGTCGACGCGACGCATCTAGCCGAGTTCCACCAGGTCGAGGGCATCATCGCCGATAAGAACATGTCGTTGGGAAGCCTGATTGCCTTTATGGACAGGTTCTTCCAGAAGATGGGCATCACAAAGCTGCGCTTCAAGCCCGCATACAACCCGTACACGGAGCCTAGTCTGGAGATCTTCTCCTGGCACGAGGGCCTCAATACCTGGGTTGAGATCGGAAACTCGGGCATGTTCCGGCCCGAGATGCTGCGCCCGCTTGGACTCGAAGAGGGCGTGCAGGTCGCCGGGTTTGGCCTGTCCCTGGAGAGGCCGACAATGATCAAGTATGGCGTTGACAACATCCGTGCGTTGGTCGGACACAAGGTCGACCTGGGCATGGTTGAGTCCAACCCCGCGTGCAGACTCGACAAGAAGATGGGCAAGGAGGTATTCCAGTCAGCTGTCGAGACCGCCAACTAGAGTGTTTATGTGTCAGTTTGTCTCTTTTTTAATCTTTTTTATTTCAACAAGACAAGTGACAGGTGGAATTTGTCGCATATATTTTTTATTTATCCATCTATTCATTCGCAGGTAAAACAAAACATCTTACTAGCCGAGCATGCTGTATCTTTGGCGGACGAACGCGGCCACAGTGTCTAGCTCCGCCTGTGCGTCGTACGCGGCCCAAGGCTCATGGTCGCGGATAGCACTGAACTCGTCAATCTCGCCCGTAATGTCGGAAAGCAGCATGTAGCTGTATCTGCTGCCATTCGGATAAAACCGGCGTACCAGGTTGCTGGTGTCCAGGACGCGGTAGTAGTTGCGCAGGACATGTGATGTGCGCTCCTCGCCCGCAATATAGACCGGGCGGCGCAACGCCACAGCCAGCGCCACTGAGGGAATGTCATCGGCGGTGGCTACCACACGTGAAGCAGTCGCCAAAACACCATCAGGCGATGGCTGTCCGGGCAGGGCATAATCCAGCACCTCAATGGCCATCGGCGAATACTCTGTGCCGTTGGAGTCAGCATGCGGGGCCTGCAATTTACCAATGAGCCGGGACTCTACCATTGATTTGATACCTCGGTGCATTGCGCTGGAGAGCAGTATGCGGATGGTAGTGGGTCGCGGGACATGCATCAAACCTTCAGCGAGCATATCGATGTCCTGGCTGAGCAGCTGAAATCCAGAGGGCTCGATGCCGCTACCAATGCACACAGCCAGCGAGCTCCCTCCCTCCTGCTTATCCCCCACCGGTTCCATAGCCGTAGCACCGCTTATTGGCAACATTGTGCTCACAGAGTTTTCGAGATTCGCCCTGGCGGGACCCAAGTGACGTAGCTTCATCTGATCCAAGCGCGACAGCACCAAGACGTCGATCTTGGACAGCTTCGTATCGGGCAGGCCCATGAAAACGGCAACAGTTTGGTTCTGAGTCCGGTGTTTGATTTCCAAAAGCGCAGGGAGTGTCTCTGCCGAGGCGGCAATGGCAATGGATGGGAGATCGTTACCCGTGGTTTCCTGCACATAGTGCAGCGGACCTGATGGTGCGGCGTGGAATATGGTGCGTAGGTTGGTCAGGTGTCGGTGCGCTGTTGGTAGCAGCCAGGTGCGCGAGGCCTGCTTTGTGTCGTAGTCTATTCCTAGAGTCTGGGCGAGGCGTGTGGTGCGGAGATCGTCCATGGGGTTACCGCTAGACAGAATCCAGGCCTTTGGCAGCAGCGTCGAGTGCCGCTCAGCCCGGTACCTCCGGATCGCCGCCATAGTCGTGCCACTGCGCTGTTGAAATGTGTGCTGGACTTTTGTTAAAATCATTTGATTTAGAGGAGAGTGGCGAGACAAAACGAGAGGTTAAGTGTAGTAAAGTTTAAAATGTAATGGCGAAAAAAACGTTTGCTGCCTAGCAGTAAAATTAAAATTATATTTTCAGTGAGCGGAAGGTTGGGCCAGGTCATTTTTGGTATTCCGCTCCTTATGGCCGTGGTCGATTTGAAAAATGCGCCGAAAATTGATATGGAACAAAAAATAAAACAAGTAGGAAAACGTTGGGTTGAGAGTAACTAAAAGAACGCAGCTGTCACCACAAGCGCAGCCAGCGCCGGCAATGAAAGCGCAGAGACGCCCCACACGGAAAGCTGGTGCGCAGCATGGCTCGTAGATTTAGTGGTCTTGTCGTCCCCATTAACCTCGGCCCCAGTCTCTGTGTCGTTCGGGTCGTCATTGTGGCACAAGCAAACGCCACCGTCAACGCAATCCATCGAGAACACACCGTACGAGCACATAGTGTTGCACTGGCTTTCAAACAGAATACATTGGCCGTATTCCAAAACCCCCCCGCTTCCCTTCGTTGCTGTGGTGACGCTGATTGGCAACGGGGTTCCCAGAACCGGCTGCTCGCCTCCGCCTCCACCGCCAGCCACTACACCGCCAGCGAACTGGGTTGTGATTGATGATGTAGTGGTATGGGCAACTAATGCCGCTGATTCCACATCCACGGTCGATATAGTCGCGCGTGTCGCAATGGACGCGTCTGACGAAGAATGGGTCGTGGACGGTAAGCTCGACACAATATTTGTCGTAGTTGATGTGCTAGTCACCAATGTGGGCACTGCGTCGCTGCTGACGGCTGACTTTGAAGAGGATGCGGGGTGGAAACGGCTCCGGCAATGGCACTCGTGGTGGCGATTGCCCAGGGCGAACAGCTGTGATGACAGCCGGTTCTGAGTCGATTTCTGCTGCTGTTGTTGCAGCAGGCGCAGCCGACACACTTGTGGAACGACTGCTCCAACACTAGAAGCAGCAGTCCCAGCCACTGGCTTGTGACCGATGCAGCGCCGCCGTTTTGACGCGGGTGCATGGTCCTGGCACGGCCAAACCGAGGTGCCTACAAGCAGGGCACTCAGTATGAGTGGTGTGGGTGAATTCGAGCAGCGCATTGAAACAAATAGTGTCGCGTGTAAATAAAAAATAAGACAATGGATGGGTTGTTAAAAGAGAGAAAGTCAAACATGAAAGAATGCAATAACAATCGATAGTTCGATACTGTCAAGTTCCTATTCAGAAATAAAACCTCAATTTTAATGTTTTCTTTTTGGGGACAGGCTAAAATGGCGGCATTCTTTTTGTTTTTAGCTCGATTTGACCGACTTTGATTTTATAGACTATAAAATCAAAGTTCCATGCACTTGGATCCAGCCAACCAGACAAAGAAAAAATACATGAAACCGAGCCACATATGCTTTAACACTTTTTTGCTAAGTGTCACATGAGTAAAATAATTAATTGAGTCGAGCTGGCAATCCACACATCACACGTCACACTTAAAGGGCGCTTTTCCAGCAGTGCATGACCGCGAAAATGCTGCGCATCGCGTGCCTCAATGCTATGCGTGTGCCTCTTCACAGAAGAAAGAAACAGCCTTCTTGAGTCTTTAAACAATACTTTTTTCTCCATTCAACTTAATTTACACGAATTTGTACTATTAATAATTTTTATTTGAATAGATAAAGCCCCACTTTTTTATTTTACACACTGCGGTTAACAACATATGTGGCCATCAACGTGGTCTTTTTCGTTGCCTTCATGGGCAGTGTCCAACTCGTTGCAGAAACGACTGGTCAAGTTTCTCTTGCGGCGAACCGTCGGTCAGTTCCTAAAGACCGAGCTCGACGACGAGAACTTGGACGTGCAGCTGAGCGGCGGGCAGCTGCGGTTAAAAACGTCCAGCTTTCCGAAGAGGCAAGTACATTGAATATTTTACACACACGCAAAGACAAACAAGGCTTTTTTGAATGTCCGCATCATTTGGCAACTAATATATTAAAGCTGGCTGCATTTCTTCTCATGGACTTGATGCGCCGTGTGAACTTTGATAAATCATAGGCTTTAAATGATGCAATTGTCGGATTGCCAGTGATTGTTTGCAGTGGAGCCATTGGTTCTATATCGGTATCCGTGCCCTGGACGCAGCTATGGACTGCGCACTGCGAAGTGCAGATTGACAACCTGGTGATCAAGGCACAGTTGGCCGACGATGAATTGCCGCTCGACAAAGACAGCGGCGAGGCTGAGGAGCACTGGATGGGCGGGAGGTCGCATATGGCTGAGTCAGTGGTCATGACCGAGGGCGGAGCGTCAATACTGGCGTCGTCGGTATTTATTGCCGACGACTTTTTGCGCGCCGAGACGCTGGCTACGGGTCCAAGGATGAGATGTTTATAAACAAGGATGTGGAGCGGCTTGTGGCAAATGCGCACGAGGAGAGGGCGCAATACTACCGTGCGTCGCTCGGCTCGGGCGAGGCCAGACAGCAAGGAAGGCGCTCATTTGCGGTTGATGCGGACGATGAAGACGTGTTTGAAGACTGTACTGATAATTTACCGCTGCCACCTGGGTCGCCAGGGGGATCTGTGCGCGGACTGCAGGTGGTCAGTGAAATGGTCGATCGTATAATCTCGGCGGTAAACATCCGCGTGCACAATATCACCGTTGAGTGTCTCGTTGTCACACGCGATGAGAACACGGGCGAGACAGCCAACGCTACACTCAAGCTCAGCGTGGCCAGCATTGACTTTGTAGATGATCGAAGCAGTACAGAGCGCAAGTCGGGTGTGGCAAGGAGTCCGGCGGCAAGGGCAATATAAGTGGGGACGGCTCTGGCAGCGACCGCGACCATCCAGTGGGCATCGAGTACAGGTTATTGAGTACCGCACTTTGTTCAAATTGTTGGAGATAAAGGGCCTGCGAGTGTCGCTGCTTTCAGACACAGTGCCGAAGTACCGATCATTTCGCTCTTGGGGACGCCGATATCGCGCATCTCCGGATCCACCGTCGCATGCCCTTTTCTGAGCTGGCACCGGTGAGGCCCAGCAATGGTGGCAGCAGTGGTAGCGGCGGTCGCCCAAAGTCGGCTAATGGAAGTGAGTCCTTGTACATGGGACCCATGCCCGGAGAGTTCCGCGAGGCTAAGGCTGCGTCTCCCCACATCTCGCCTACCCGGCAACGTATGCACAGGGCAGCAGTGGTACGCGTGCACGCAACGCAGTTGGCGAGGAGGCCACGACCAGTGGGTGGGACGTATCGGTGGAAATAGGCGACGTGGTGTGCATCCTGACCAAAGACCAGCTCCAGTCCATTTTGGCCATCGCCCACACAGCCGCGCCGCTGCTAAGCTAGCGTCTGAGCGGCAAGACGTGAAGCACCGCTATCAGGCCAAATTTGGCGACAAATTGTCCGAGCCCGCTGCGGGCACCCTGCCGCAGCTGGCGCGGTGGATCAGCGTCAAGTGCAGGCACTTGTATGTAGCTGTAGTTCCTCACGCGCCAACCGAAGCTCTGAAAAATTGGCAGGACTGCACCAGCCTGGCTGTTCTGAGGCTGAACCTCGAGGCCACCAAGCACCTGGGGCTGTATGTAAAAGGTGTTGGCGCCAAATGGGAGTGATACCCGCATCAGCAACTAGAATCGAGTCGAGTGCGTCAACCGAGCATGTGGGCACTGAGTTCTGGGCGGCTGCGACCCGCCAGACCACCTCTGGCGGCGCTTTCCAAACGGCGACGATAACCGCATATATGCAAAGCGTCAGCGTGTACGACAGCGATCCCGAGTCCCACCCTGTGTTCCGGCCCCTGGTGACCATTGACCGCTCACTGGCCGCGCCCGAATACCAGCGCCACGAGAAGAGGGCGTTTGCCGAGCACACCAGGCGCAATTCAGATAAGTATGACGTATGGATGTGCACGTCAGAGTCGGATCCCGTGCTTACAGTTAACGTTGGCCCCATCATTGTTGTGCTGGATAAGGAGCTCGCTGACAGACTGGCTATATACCAGGAGCTTATTGTCGGCATGCTGTCCACAGAGCCCACCGCAGAGCCCACCGCAGAGCACATCCACAATAGGGGTTCCCACACATTTGCTGACAATGCCTATGGTGGCAGCGACGTGGCTAGGTCCATCGAGGACCTAATGAGCAATATCCAGATCCAGGCAAAGCACAAGATGCCATTGAGCATTGCTGTGTGCAGTCCACTGATTCGCACGTGGATCCGGCTGCCCGGGACAACGGCAAATAGCGGAAAAAGGACGGGGCGCGGACCTCCCAGACCGGCTCTCGCACCTCCAAACACGATGTTCCAGCGCCAGGCCACTTTTGCATTGATGCTGTCGATGCTGTGATCACCAACGTGGTCAACGGCACTGCGGCCAGCACCCAGTCCCAAAACGACGTTCCCGAGGGACATTTACGCCATCCGCACATTCAAGAGCTCCTCGAGTCGCGCAAGAGCGTGGCTGGATCGGGCATTCGCGTCGAATGCGAAGCCCTAGACATATCTGTACAGTCGATAGAGGGCGATAGCGCAATAGACCACATAGCTTCAGTGCGCGGGCCATCGTCCGCTGCCGAGTCCTTCCACGAGGCAGTCTCGATTCCGCGCCCACACATCGAAATCACCACAGTGGCGAAGAGTGGGCGCCAGACTCCGGACCGCGACTCGGCGGAGCAGTTTGGTCGTCGTCCACCGGCTTTTGACGCGTTTTCGGTTGTCGACGACAACATCAGGGTGCGCATGGCGCCCGAGTCAGAACTGACAACGTCGCTCAAGTTCGAACGTCTGGCTGTCGCGCTGTCACGCTTGGTCGTGTCTTGCCATCTACCCGAGACCGAGATTTCGCTTGGGCGGGCCACTTACCAGCGGCTAAATGCCGTAATCAACGACTTTATGCTGTGGCAGTCGATCCAGGAGGAAGCCAGGGCGATTGCTGCTGCTGCTGCTGCTGTCCAGCACACGTATGATACGCCTGCTTATGCTACCAGTACAACCGACGATAGGACTGAGCTCGGCGTATCGGTGCTCGTCGACATGCCGCAGATGGTTGCGCGGATAAATACTACCGACACTTACAGCGCCGAAATTCCCGGAGCCGCAAGCGAGTCGCAGAGGGTCCGGCTGAGCAACACGCAGGCGTTCATATCCAACGCAATCATTGAGAAGGGCCGTATGTACGTCAGCGTCGAGTCAAACCAAGTGCGTCTGTCGTCGTTTGTGAACGAATTAGAGGTTGGCGCTGTGCTTAGCCATTCCTTTGCCACGCCTGAGTCACCGATATTCACGCCCCAGCTATCGCTCTATATGCTGACGTCGCCAAAAATCACCGAAGAGTCTGAGGTTGTGCTTAAGACCTCGTGGACAACCGTAGACTACCAGAATGACTCCACGTGCTTGCGCAACCTGGAGGCGTTCTTCAGCTCGCCGGGCACATCTGGACTGGTACAGCCGCCGCCCAAGCCCATGCGTCTGTCGCTCAATGTCCAGAATTCGTCGCTCATGTGGACTCCTGCCGGTGACCCGAGTATATGCGGTGCTGCGCTGTCGCTGGATAGCTTGGCCGTAATTGTCGGCATTAACTCGCCGGCTCCTGCCCGAGACCGTGAAGAGCTGCACTACTATATCGAGGGTCTGTCCATTTTCGCAAAGTCAACCGACTCGCTGGCCAACGCGGCGGTCGACGTGTCGAGCGACGCCTGGGTGTCCACGGGTAGGTTCTGGAAGGACCATGGATATGCGGTGCTAGTGCACATGGATATGGTCGATGTGGCATCGAGGTCAAAAGAAGGCGAGGACGGTCCGCTGATTGATCTGAAGTTGTACAGCGAGGCCCTCGTCTTGGACGCCTGCGCGGACTCTGTCAGCTCTCTGCCTCTCCTCATCCAGGGCCTCATTGCCGATCTCACGGGCAGCGCGGGCAGACAAGCGTCGGAGACCAAGAGATCAAACAAGACCCGGGTTTTCAGTCCGCAGATGCTGGGAAAGACGTCCGATGACATTTTTGGCGACGTCGACAACGACACTTTTGCCATGGCGCCGCTGCCCCCGACCGCGTCAAAGGTCGCCTACGCCGGCAGGCCGCATTCGCACAGGTCATCGCGTTTATCCGGCGACTACCGCAACAGCTTTACAGACGACTTTGAGAATGGCCGCGACAATATCAGCGCCCTAGCCATGGAGGAGTATTTTGCACCGCACGTGCCGCCAGATGAGGTCGAAGAGTACGAGGTGGTCGGTGGCGGCAGAGTTCTGTCACCAGCATCGACGATGCAGCCGATGTATTCGCGCCGCAGTTCACAGCATCAACAGCCAACCTTGCCGAGCCGAAGGAGCTCCAACGTATCTGCCACTGCGAGACAGCCACTGGACATCAAGCGGGACAGCAAGGGTAAATCGGCCAGCAAGACTCTAGCTGGAAGCACAGGAAACGCTTCTGTTGGTGTTGCTGGCGGTCGCAGCCGCAGTTATAGTTTTGGCGATGACGACGACGAAGACTTTGACCTGCAGGACTATGTTAATATGGACAGCGACAGCGACATGCTTTCTGAAGAAGAGGAGGCAGAGTATCGTTCAGAGTTTGCAGCCTCAGCAAAGAGCCAGCCCTTCCAGTTGCAAAGCCGCTTTTCAGGGCAGCATGTCAACGCCGGCGGCTCCGTTCTTTTAGAGCCAGAGCGCCCATCGCCCGCGCTCAGGTCGCCAAAGCCAAAGTCGCTCGCTGGCGGTTTTCTTCCGAGCGCCAGGATCCTCGACGGTATCCCGGCTATACACGGAAGTATCTCTGGAAGCGGCCGCGGTGAGTCGGTCAAGGTCACCGCGCTTCCAGAAGAAGAAGATATCGGCGAGCTGGGCGACAATGATAAGGGTGACGTATTGGCAGGCGATGGCACATCGTTGCTAGATGGCAGTGCGTTTGAGCTCATCGAGGACTACTTTAAGGCGCCTGCACCCGGCGACACGGAATCTGACGACGACGGGAGTGGGTTGGCAGCTGACGGCAACAACCATATCATCTGCTTGACTGTCGACGTTGCCCGCGTAGAAGTGAATTTGTATTCAGGCCAGGACTGGTACGTTTCGGCAGAGCAGCCCGTGCGCAGCTCTCCAGTCGTGCCGGGATACATGGCATCATACATGGACGACTACAACGATTCTGCCAGCGTTGCAATGGGTGGGTACAGCGAGTCACTAAATGGCCGGGTGTCTGCAAGTATGCCCGAGTCCAGGGGCCCGCTGGGTTACCGCAGCAGCCCGCTAGCCTCTCCGCGCTCGCCGCGAAAGCAAAGCCGCCAGCCCGGAAGACCCGCACGTCGGTCCGCCAAGCCCAAGATCGAACTGCGCGCGACGCATGTGCACGCCGAGTACAAGCAGTTTTCAGAGGACTCGGCGACAGCGTACGATCTGGGGCTGAATGTTGGAATGCTGGAAATCCTGGACCAGCTCGAGTCATCCGAGTGGTCCAAGTTCCTCACTCGCCGCCGCGACGCCAAAACCGGCCTCCCTTCGACCTTGCACTCACTGGCGACCACCCGCAACCGCGACTTGCTCACGAAGGGCACTTCCGACTCTGATCGCGTGACCAGCAGCTATATGCGGCGCCAGAGATCGGGCAGATGGCCGGACAGCAACTCAGGGCCAATGATTTGCATACGGGTGGAGTCCGTGCGACCCTACGCCACGCTGGTGACCGAGGAGCTGCGCGTCGACGTCGAGATCAGTCCTCTGCGGTGCTATATCCACCAGGACGCGCTGGATTTCTTGATTGCGTTCTTCGAGACGTCTGAGCGGCATTCTGCCATTCTAGCGAATATCAAGCGGGCGCAGGAGCAGGCCATGACTCCCGAAGTGGCACCCAGCCAGAGAGGGGGTGCAGCAGGTGCGCATAGGGCGGGCGTCTTTGGAAAGCGCAGGGCGAGCTCTGTCAATCACCCGTACTTCCAGATTGTCCGCATTGCTCCTATCAATGTCATATTTGACTACAAGCCCCGGCGACTGCGCACAGTTTCTGGAAGCGGTGGTTCCTCTTCTGCTGCGGCTTCTGGCGTGCAGTCGGGTGCTGGAGTGGCAGGCGGCATGTCATCGTCGCCGTCAGCAGCCGCTACCGGCACATTGCCAAAGGCCGGGACTTCCTTGTCTTCGTCACGCAAGCCCGTCGAGTTGCTCAACTTTTTCCCGCTGGAGGACGCCGAGATGACGCTGAACACGGTCAAGGTGCGCGGAGTCGCCGGCATGTCCAAGCTCATCAGAGAGCTGGGCAGTTCCTGGCTGCCACACCTGACGCAGACGCAGATTCCCGGCGTGGTGTCGGGCATGACGCCGCTGCGATCGCTGGTCAATATTGGTTCGGGCATGGCCGATTTGGTGATCCTACCCCTGGAGCAGTACCGCAAGGATGGGCGTCTGGTGCAGGGAATCAAGCGGGGCGCAAAGTCCTTTGCCAGGACTACTGCAATGGAAGCCATCCAGCTGGGCGCCAAGGTCGCGATTAACGCACAGACGCTGCTCGAGCAAGCCGGTGACATTCTTAACGTTGACGTGGCTAGCGGCGAGTCTAGCAACCCGAACTCGCACGACGGCCGGCTCGACGGCACACACTCTCCGCATGGCGCCGACCAGCAGCCGCACATTGTGGTCGATCTGGCGGACTGGCCGGATTATATGTCGGCGGACGGGCACGGAAGCTTGGCAGGCACAGAGCACAGCGCGAGCATTGCCGGCGGTAGCGGGGGGCGGCGGATCAGCTTCAACAAGAGCAAATACGCGCGGCAGCCGGAGAACCTGAGCGAGGGCATGCGCCAGGCATACATGAGATTGCGCAGCAATGTTGGCGACGCTGTGCAGACCATATTGGCCATTCCGGTGGTTGTGCAGGAGAGCGAGGCGGACGGCTACCTGGACGATAATGGTGTTCCTGGGAGATCGCCGGTGCATGGGTCGGTCAGGGCAGTGGTGCGTGCGGTGCCGGTGGCTGTGTTGAAGCCCATGATCGGTGCCACTGAGGCGGTCTCGAAAACGCTGCTGGGCCTGCGCAACACCATGGAGCCTGCGCGCCGGGGCCAGCTCGAGGACAAGTACAAGAGCCGCAGCCTGAACGCCAAGAAGAGCTATCCGTCTTGAACCTCGGTCCGCTTGCTTTTGTGTGTGTTTCAAATTGCCATTATTTGATTAATTAATCATTGCTGATTTTCTTATCCCCGCATCTTTTTTTTGCTGTTAAAAATGGCGTGTTTTAGTCTCATTTATCAGCCCAAGATAATAGGGTGCAAAACAGCAGTCAAAGCTTGGCCCAGACAGTAATAGTAAAAAATGTGAGTACGCTTCAATTCCACATTTATTTCTTTTCCGATTTTCTTAAAAAAAACAAAGGGTACACATTTCGAATTGCGAACTGGGATTCTGAATCAACACAACACACAGCGCCGATAAGACCAACAAAGGCCCGCACGAACGCTTTCTTTCCCAAACACGCACCACCAAAACTGAATTCGCCGCTTTTGACCTCGTGTACTTCTTTGACCTTGTAGAGCAAATTCCAGATACTTGTAACAACATAGACAAAATGTTCAACGCCGTCCGCCGTAACCTTATCAGCAAGGTCGCACCCGTTGCCCGTGCCGGTCTTGTCCGCCCCGCCCAGCGCTCGTTCACTGCGCCGCTGTCCGCCTGAGTAAGTCACACAAACGCACATGAGAATATAATGGGGGAGTTCTTGTAAGCAGAATGACCTCTAGGCGCATTTCCGCACAAAGCGAACTAGCAAGAGTTTACTTAAAGACCTCATGTATTTCCCCTCCTTTTCCTCACTTTTTTCTCCCCTTGTGTTTTTTACTCTTGTCTAGGCGATAACCACGACGCACCGATTATCCAGGGCCCCGGAGCTCCCGCCGGCCGTACCCCGACTGACTTTGATCAGTCCACGGGTTACGATCGTGCCGAGCACTTGGCCGCTCTCGAGGGCAAGGAGTTCTTCGACATGGGTCCTCTTGAGTTGACCAAGAAGGGCACCAAGGCTGAGCCCACGATTGTTCCCTCGGGCGCCGAGTCTCGCATTGTCGGGTGCTGCGGTGCTCCCGGTGAGGATCATGAGCTGATCTGGCTGGTCATTGAGCGCGAGCATGCGTTTGATCGTTGCCCCGAGTGCGGCAATGTGTACAAGCTTTCGGACAAGGGATTCGACCCTGAGAACCTGGGCACTGCCAACCACCACCACGACCATTAATGAGAGCTGAGAGGGGTTCTCTTTAAATTTTTTTAAATAATTCATTCTGAAACTGACTTTTCATCTTATCGAAAGCTTGAAGCATGTAAATTATCGAGTATAAATGAATATATTCGATTTGATTGCTCATGCTTCGAGCCGACTGTACACATATGAGCTTGCCCCCAGTATGTATGTGTTTGTGTTAGTTGATAATTTTTTAAATAAAGTTTTTCCTTTTATAAATTGACAAAAACAATGACAGAGATTGAAGAATGAAAGAGAAAAAGATACAAGCACATACGGGCCAAATAAAAGCCGCGCGCGCTGTCTAATCAACTTTTATATAAAAATAAGAAAAAAAGACAGACGCGCACACTTTAGACCCGTGCGGGCTCAAACCTTAGAACCTCACTCCTTAACGGCGACCACGCTGGTTGTTGTTGGCGGCGGCAAAGGCACGCTTGAACACGAGCTCCAGCTTCCTCTGAGCGGCGTTGATGGCCGACTTGTCGGAGGTGGCGGCGTTGGTGTCGAGCCACTCCATGGTCTCGGCAAGGGCGGTCTCAAGAGCCTCACGGTCCTTGTTCTTCAGGCGGGCACCAACGCTAATGTCAGAGATGGTGGACTCGATCTGGTGGATCGAAGCCTCGAGGTTGTTCTTAGCCTGGATGGCCTCCTCGCGACCCTTGTCCTCCTCCTTGAACTTCTCGGCGTCGTTAACCATGCGCTCAATGTCAGCAGCCGAAAGATGGCCGGTGGCGTTGGAGATGGTGATGTTGGCCTTGCGGCCCGAGGCCTTGTCAACGGCGGTGACCTTAAGGATACCATTGGCGTCAATGTCGAAGGTGACCTCAAGCTCGGGGACACCGCGGGGGGCGGGGATAATGCCGTTAAGCTCGAAGTTGCCGAGGCTGTTGTTGTCCTTGGTCATGGGGCGCTCACCCTCGAAGACAGGGAACTCAACGTGGGTCTGGTTGTCGGCGCAGGTGGTGAAGACACGCTGCTTGTTGGTGGGGATGGGGGTGTTGCGGGGAACAACGACACCCATGACACCGCCCTGCATCTCGACACCGAGGGAGAGGGGCACGACGTCGAGCAGGAGCAGGTCGTCGGTCTTGGAAGCATCAGCGGTACCGGTAAGAACGGCACCCTGAACGGCGGCACCGTGGGCAACAGCCTCATCGGGGTTGATGGACTTGTTCAGCTCCTTGCCGTCAAAGAACTCCTGCAGCAGGGACTGGACCTTGGGGATACGGGTGGAGCCACCAACAAGGACAATGTCATCAACCTGGTTCTTGGCAATGCCCGAGTCCTTGAGGACCTGAGCAACGGGGTCGATGGTCTTCTGGAAGTGGGTGGAGTTAAGCTCCTCGAACTTGGCACGGGTGATGGTGGCCTGGTAGTCGACACCGTCGAACAGCGAGTCAACCTCAATGGTGGTACGGGCCAGCGACGAGAGAGTGCGCTTGGCACGCTCGCACGCGGTGCGCAGACGGCGCAGGGCGCGGGCATCACCGGAGATGTCCTTGTCGTGCTTGCGCTTGAAGTCCTCCTTGAAGTACTCAACGAGGGTGTTGTCGAAATCCTCACCACCAAGGTGAGTGTCACCAGCGGTGGCCTTGACGGAGAAGATACCGCCGGCAATAGTCAAAAGCGACACATCGAAGGTTCCTCCTCCGAGATCGAAGATGAGGACCTTGCGCTCCTCCTTCTGCTTGGAGTCCAGACCGTAGGCAATGGCAGCGGCGGTGGGCTCGTTGATGATACGCAGGACATCCATGCCCGAGATGGTACCAGCATCCTTGGTGGCGTTACGCTGAGCGTCGTTGAAATAGGCGGGGACGGTGATAACGGCCTTCTTGACGGTCTTGCCAAGCTTGGCCTCGGCGACCTCCTTCATCTTGATGAGGACCATGGCGGAGATCTCCTGGGGGGAGTAAGTCTTGGTCTCGCCCTGGAACTGAACCTCAATGTAGGGCTGCTCGTTCTTCTCGACAACCTTGAACGGCCAGTTCTGGGCATCACGCTTGACCGAGGGCTCATCGAAGCGACGACCGATAAGGCGCTTGGCATCGAAGACGGTGTTGTGGGGGTTCATGGCCGACTGGTTCTTGGCGGCATCACCGACAAGGCGCTCGGTGTCAGCGAAAGCAACGTACGAGGGAGTGGTACGGTTACCCTGCTCGTTAGCAATGATCTCAACACGCTCACCCTCCCAGACGGCAACGCAAGAGTAGGTGGTACCAAGATCGATACCGATAGCACCCGAGAACTCAGACATTGTTTTAATTTTTATAATGTAAGAAAAAAGTGTAAAGTGCTAAACTAAAGAGCAAATTATAAAAGGAGGGATGTAGAGAAGAGAAAAACAGTTTTGCTGTGGGACAGAAATGGCTGAAAAGTTTGTTGCGTTTTTTTCCTATTCTTTTTTTTTTCTTCCTTCGCAAGGGGGCCGTGGTTAGGTTGGGCGGTTTTTTCTCTTGCTTTTGCTCTCTTCCTCCGTCGCCACTCTATCTTTTGGAAATTGAGGATCACCAAGAAAAAAAAGAAAAAATTTTCAATGCGTCCCAACAAAATCAAGCAAGCGTTGATTGGGGTTGGCGCAAATTGATAAATTACGCCTTTCTTTTTGTTTTTTGGTTGGCTTGTCCCCCCTCTTCCGTTTGTCATGGATGGTTTTTTTTGAGTTTGGCCAATTGGCGCGTGTTATTTTAGGTTTTTTATTTTACTAGTGTTTTGTCATCAGCGCTCAGAAAGCGTTATTTTTATTTTGTTGAGCCAGCATGGTCTAGTCGCTATCGCTGACCTCGTCACTGCGCTGGGTCTCGCTACCATTACTGTCGCTACCATAATCACTGTCGCTGACGACGTCTTTGGCAGATGAATAGTACGATGGGTCATCGTGAATCACGAACGCGTCAGAACCAATGTGCTTACAGCAGAATCAGAATCAGAATTAGAGAAATCAACGGAGTCAGTCTTTCCACAAAAGGGGGCGACAGCACACCGCTGGAGCCATTGTGTGCAGTAGCGGGCTTGTCGTCTGACAGCTCGGCGATTGTTCGGTTGTTTCTTTGTTTTCATTATCTTCGCTGTCTCACTATCTTCGCTGTCCTCGCTGTCCCCACATCTTCGCTATCTCGATGTCCTCACTGTCGCTGTCCTCGCTGGTTTCGCTTTCATCTTCGCTTTCAATGGCTTCAGACGGTTTGCCGTTCGTCTCGATTGGCTCCGATGCGTTCTGCGCGGCAAGTTCCGCCAGAACACGCCATCCACGTACTTCTCAAGCAGCTCATTCATCAGGACTGGAAATGGTTTGCCGACCTCGAATCCACACGCAACTACTGCCTCGTTTATATGGTCCTTGTTCATACTAAATATCTTCCTTGTATCAAAGAATTTGAATGGCCTATAAAAGGCACAAATTGAAATCGCCTCTTTGTACACCTTTCTGACGAAAAACTCCAGGGCTTTGCCAATTCCGCGTAGGCCTCAATTGCCACCGCAGTCTCGTCCTTCCCTGCGAGCATCTGCGCCAATAGAAGGCCAAACTTGGTATCAAACATCTTGAACCGAATTGCGGTATCTGATAATCTGTGCATGTGCGCAGGATTTCGATTTCATTAGTGGCAAAGCCCTCGATGGTTTCTTTATCCTCCCTGTGCGCACTCATGATGATATTTGCCTCTTCCTTTATGCTGGCCAGGGGGTCTACGGGGGCGCATTCAGCTTCTGGGGGCGGCGGTAGGGGTTCTTCCGAGGCAGGGAGAAGCCTGGACCAGAGCTGCATGTACTCGAGGAACTCGGCCACCTGGCCCAGAGATTTCGTCGGCCCTACGTGCTCGGCAATGGAGGTTATGGACACTCGGCCTGTCTGCAGCTTTTCGAATACGCGCTCTTTCTCAGCTTCAGTCCAGTGTTGCGTGCGTTGCCGGATGGCTGATCTTTTCGCTGGGATCTGTATTTCGTCGAGGTGTACTGATGGCGGTGGGCCCTTCTTCCTTTTAATTGGTGGCATTTGAACAAGTTGACTATTTTTGACAATGATGAGTATGGAAAATGCGGAAGAATAGGCGGACTGAGTTTAGCCTCTTTTGTTACGCATCGGCATGCCGCTCGGCTGAAGGGGGTGGTTCAACATCACTTTTGTAGAAATTTGTGGGGTGTGGTGGCGTGTCTTTTTTCATTTTTCCAACCAACAAAAAAATGTTTTAAATCATTGCTGGGCTGCCTTCTTCTCAAGCACGCGCTGCACGATCTTTTCGATATATGACGTGCTGGTGCGGCGTTCCCGCTGCCGGCGTTTTCTCCCGACCCTTCCAGAATGGCTGTGGTGACCTTCTCAACATACTTGCCCAGCATGTCGACCTCGATATTAACCAGGTCGCCGGTCTTCTTCGTCGGCATGACAACATGCGTCTGCGTATAGGCAATCATCATAATGGTAAACCATGCCTCGTCATCATTCACATCGCAAACAGTCAACGATGTGCCATCCAGAGCAATAAAGCCCTTGGGGATAATATACGGCATGATCTTCCTGTCCCCGACGCGCAGCTTGTACCAGATAGAGTTTGCATCCGGAGTAATCTCAATGATCTCCGCCGTGGTGTCAATATGGCCCTGAACAAAGTGACCACCGAACCGGTGGCCGGCCGCCAGTGCTCGCTCAAGGTTGACTTGGCTTCCGGATTGCAACTGGCCGAGGTTTGTGCGGTGAGAGTTTCCGGGGCGAGACCGACCTTAATGTATCTGTGGTGAACTCAGTCACTGTCAGACAGGTGCCGTTAATGCTATGCTGTCCCGAGATGGCAGTCTGTTAGGATGCTCTGCGCGTTGGCGATTGTGAGAGATGCGCCGCTGCCGCCGGACTTGGTCGTGTCGAACGGCGCAAACTCGACCACTTTGCCCATGCACTCGACGATTCCAGTGAACATTGTTGTGAAGAAAAAAGATGTTATAAATTATTAAGCGAATTGAGAATGTGCAAAAAAAATTAAAGCTGAAGATAAAAGATAAAAGAAGGAATATCGGGCTTATGCTTACTCAAAGAAGGCGGACATGGCCCTGGCTGGTGATGATGCGATTGGAGAGCCATACCCTTTTGCATTAGCCCAGGATCAATTTGTCAGCGCTTGCTAATCTCCGCCTGGCCCAGCCTGGCCTGGCCTATCTCGATCAGACACCTTGTAATCTTCCTGCCTCTTCCTTGCAATCAATGTATTTCCATTGTCTTGTTTTTAATTAACTCTTCCATACATATCGCTTCTGCACCTCCAATACATTCAAAAAATGAGCACACGAAAGCTCTCAGGGCTCCAAAAGGACGTGTGCGGCTGTACCGCGACTGCCTACGCGCAACGAAAAAAAAGCCAGAGGTAAAAAAAGAAAAAATGATAACACCAAGCATGTGTGTGTATGTGTGAAATCATGGGCTCTTTTGTTAGGGCATGTACAGTTTTTTTGATTGTCCTCCGAACAACCCAAGAGCAGTATCTTGATATACGATATCCGCCTGAGCTGATATGGCATTTCAAATAAAAACACATAAAAACTTCAACTCAAATACTTGTAGGAGTCCAGGCCCAGGTTTCGGGCATTTGCGAGACAAGAGTTTGACAAAAACATTGGCCAGATTAAGCGCACGGACGTCAAGGCAATTGAGTATCTGCTGCGAATCGGACGCAGGCGCATGGAGCAGTACATGGGTCCCAATGTCAGCGATATTTCGATCATTTGAATCCCCTAAAAAATGGAAATTAAGCAGGCCAGGTTGGAATTGTGTGATGCCGGAATTGTGCGCAGGCAAGCGTGATCCTAGCACGCCTCGCCTAAATTGTTTGTCAGCACGGGACGGGACACGCAGCTGATGGAACTGCATACGTTTTTCTTCCTTTGCCTATGTTCCCATGGGATTGTCAAACCTAGTTTAATAATTTTTTGGGTTATGTGTGCTTCTATCATAAGAATTATCTTGAGCAACGTCTCGCCCCAGGCTGTTTTCCTTTGCATGCTCGGTAGTGCAAACAAATTCGATGTAGTGCAAGCTCTCTGCATCCCATTTCTCTCTTTCTTCCGAGAGTTTAAAAGGAAAGCGGCGCGCAGGCCTTCATGCGTCTGTGTTCTAGACAACATACGTTTTCCTGCTTTCTTGCTTTTTCTTTTTGTCTTCGATTTCTTTTATTTTTTTACCAAAAAAACATTATATATATTTTTTCATGGCTGTGCCTCAACTTAGTAACGGTGCCCAGGTATCGCTGACCAAGCACCCGCTGCTGTTCAAGGCCTTTAGCTGGATGGCAGAAAACCCTTACTCAGAGCAATACAACCCCGAGGGCATCATCAACGCTGGTGTTGCAGCCAACGCCACCATCAGGCATCTCTTAATCAATAAGCTCAATTCCATCGCAGGCACATTCATAGACAGCGACCTCGATTACAACTCACCCAACGGCGAATTGGACCTGCGTAGCGAAATAGCCAGCGTCTTCAACCGGCATTTCTACCCTGTGGATCTATCAGTCCCGACCACATCGTGGTGACCAATGGCTGCACCAGCGGCATCGAAATGCTCGCCTTTGCGATGTGCAACCCCGGAGACCACATCCTCATCCCGTCGCCATGCTACGGCGCACTGGAAAATGATATGAATCTGCGGCCGCGCGCTGTGGCTACCCCAGTAAAACTGCCGCTGGAGGAGTCCATGTCGGTGTCACAGATTTCGTACTTTGAACGCGCCATCGCTGACATTGAGCGCAGCGGGGGCCGTTCCAAGGTGCTGTTCCTCATGTCGCCGCATAACCCGCTGGGAGTCAGCTACCCGCGCGATGTGATGCGCCGATTCTTTGAGTTTGCCCGGCGGCACGACTTGTTTGTGGTTGTTGATGAAATATACGCGCTCTCTGTGTTTGATCGGTCAGAGATCGTGGCGCCGTTCGAGTCAGTGTTGTCGTGGCACGATTTGGACTCGTATATAGACCCAGCTTCGGTTGTAGTGCTGCACGGGTTGAGCAAGGACTTTGGTCTCAATGGCTTCCGCATGGGCTGGGTGCTGTCGCCATGGAACAAGGACCTGCTCCAGGTCCTCGGCTGCTACTCGGGCTTTGGCTATCGCCCGGCGTATACGGATCGCATAATAACAAAATTTTTATCAGATCACGCGTTTGTCGACTCCATGCTAGACATAAGCCAGCGCCGCTTGGCCGACAACTACGCGCACACGGTTGAGTTTTTTGACGCTCACAATATCAGGTACATACCGTGCACGGCCGGCCATTTTATCTGGTGCAGACTTCCCAACAGCGCTTGTGCCAAGGCGCTGCTGTCTATGGATCTCATTTCTTTGGCCGATGTGGTTGACACAAAGTGGACTGTGGATAACGAGCTGGTCGTGTGGGAGAAAATTGTCAAGCAGGACCACATTTATATGCCTTCTGGGCGGGCATTCTGCTCGAATGAGCCCGGCTGGTTCCGCTTCACATTTGCCATTGACAAGGATCAGTTGAGGGTTGTTTTGAAGCGCTTGGTCGATGTGTGCTAATGTTTTTATAAATTATTCCATGTGTATTACTATTATTATTATCTATCATTTATTATTTACAACAAAAATTTATTCTTATATTTTGTAATTTATTCTTCCACGCATCAATTGCTCGGGTATTGTAATTTTTTGAGCGCTAATCTTGTCCTTGTGTTTGCGCTTTTTCTTTTCATCAGACTTTTCCTTGTCCTTGTTCTTTTTAGACTTGCTGGTCTTCTCACTCTTCTTTCTCTCACTGGAGTCGTCCACCAATGCAGCGCCCATGCTCGGAAATAATGACAAGTTCATCATTCCAAATCCAAACGGCATTCCACCAATTATGACTGGAGCCGCATTGGCATTAGCGGCATCAGCATTAGAGTCCTCCTTCTCCTTTTCCGCCTTATTATTATGCTCAGCAGTAGCAGAAACAACTTCCTTCGTACTGTTCTTATCCAACTTGACCCTGAGTCTTTTGAAAAACGAGTCCTTGCTAGTCACATCCTCCTCCTTCCTGCGCCTGTTCATAGTGTACATCGGATCAACCACAGTGTCGCCCAATTCCCATCCCAAATTGTCGTTTTCCGCAGCAGCGTAGTACAATTTAACGCCTTCTTCCCCACCACTCAATTCCATACCTCCGTGAGCGCGCTGGTAGTAGTTGCTGGCGACAGCGGTGGCTGCGGGCTGTGCATCAACTGCTGTATCCTCTGTGGTTGGTGTTTGGGATTGTTGCATCGTTTTTAATGCGGCCATGTATTTTGTGAATGCTGCCCTTTTTTCTAAATATAAGAGTGGGTGCAACGTGTTGGTAAAATGAATATATTTAAGGTAAAAAAAAACTGAACAACAAAAAATCCGAATATCCGCCCAGGCTTACAGTGCGCTGAATATGTCCCGAGGATGTTGGTCGCTGCTTATTTTTCTAGTATGGGTAAACAAGCAAAGTCCCTTTTTTGGGGGGCTGGAATTATAAAAAAAGTCTTTTCAAAAGGACATTCTACATTTTTAAGATTTCACCCACGAGGAAGTGCAGGAAGTAGGCTCCTCAACAGTAACAGTCACAATTGGTTGATCGGGAATGCTCGGGGCATTGGAGAAGCTGCTGGTCCAGATGACTGGTCCAGGGAGAAACGGAGTGACAATTTCGGTGGTTGGCCAAACAACCCAGGTGTTGGTAGGGAAGGGGGGAGAGACAGTCACAAAGGTAGGCTTAAGGTAGACCGTGACTGGGGGCTGTGTAACTGTGACAGTTTCAACCAAGGGTGTGCAGACCTCAGACTTGATCTCGCTCGATGACAAGACAGTCCTTGAGGTGAAGGAGTCGGTGTCGAGAGATTTTGCAGGCTGGGTGGGTGCCGACACGTTAGTTTGGTAGGTGGGAGGTGTAATTGGAATGATGGTTACAACTGAAGGCGCAGAAGGGGTTGGGATATCGGTTATAAGGGGAGGCGTGTATACGGGTTGAATACCAGTTGAGATAGGGTAAATGGGAGTGGTGGGTGGGACAGGGAGATCAGTAATGATGGAAGGAGGAGGCACAGTCCAAATATCGGTTACGATGATGGGAGTGGTTATCTCTGGAATAACAAGTGTAATGGAAGGGATGGAAGGTACGACAGGGTCGGTGATAATGCGAGGAGGGGATGGTGCTGGAACGTCAGTTATGGCGGGGATGGTAGGCGGCACCGGGAAGTCGGTTTCGGCAGGAGGCGTGAATGGAGCAGGGTTTTTAGATGGGCCAGGGGTTGCAGTCACCGGGGTGCTGCTCGCGGTAGAAGGTGCAGATGGCTCGGTTGGCTTGGGTAGAGACTGGGTGGGTGCAGGCAGCGACAAGGTGCTGGTCTTGTCCCAGATAGTGATAGCCACATACTCGGTGACAACCTCCACAACAGTCTCAGGAACAGTGTACACGCTATTAGCGGTGTACGCCGGAGTCTCGACAGCAGCGGTGGTCGAAGGGCCCGGAATGGGCACTAATGGCTCAGGGGGACCACAGCCCAGTGACATAGAAGGGTTGGGTGCACAGGGAATTGGTGGCGGGATCTCATCCCAGTACTCGGTAACAATGGTGACAATATCCTCGGTACAATCATTAACCAAGGTGGCCTCCTCGAGCTTGGTACTTACGATGGCAGCCGAGGTTGGAAGAAGAGTGCTCACTGGCTTTACGATGGTTGGCTTGATCTCAATATCAATAATAATTACGTCCCTCGTGGTGGTTTTGGGTGTCATAGGCGTGCTGGGTGTGCTGGGCGCAGGCACTGCAGGCTCAGGCTGTCTTGGTGATGTGGTAGTCACAGGCAGAATTGTAGCTACGGGCTCATACCAGGTTGGTATCGTGGGCGTCACTGGCAGAATTGTGAACACAGGCTCGGACGAGCTAGGTGCCTCGGGCTCAGACTGACTGGGCACCACAGGCGCTGGAAGTGGTTTGGTTACATAGCCAATGGCCGGGGACTCAGGGACAGCCGGAATCGCAGGAATCGCAGGAGTAACGGAAATTGAGGTAGTGGCCAGGCTGGTCGGTGCCTGTGTAACCTCGTTCGGAACCGTCTCTGATAGGTTGGTCGGTATGGGAAACTGTGGGCTGTATGCGGTATACGAATACTGACTGGCCTGAACCAGAGTCCCGGACACAAGGATGAATGTCCACAGAAGCTTCATTGTCGTCAAAAAATACCGAGGAAGTGTGGAGGGCGAGCGTAGGGTCGGGCAATATTGAAAAAAGGAAAGGCGAGGGTAAAAATGCGAAATTTGTTAAAGGTCGTTAAGGGGGCGAACACAAAAGAATGTGAACGAGAAAGGTGTGCAAAAGTTTGCAGGGTATTGGAAGCTTGAGAGCGAATAAAGGGAAGATAGGAATCGAGGTGTAGAACAAGCAAAAGAAAAATTCTTGGAATAAATTGTCAAGGCCCATCAAGGAAAGCAGCGGCTTGGGGCTTTTTATAAGTTGTGGTCATAATGCCACAGAAAAAATATTCAAAATGTTGGCTCAAATGTTACAAGATAGATACTTAAAAACAAAAACAAAGCCAAATTAGGCGTATGTTGCGCACAAGCAGTACACTTATACAGGCATACAATTTTTGCTTGGAATGTGTTAACCTTACTGCAATGCTTTTAAATATTTGACAACGTTGGAATATATATTTCAAAATATGAATTGAAAAATAAGTAGTAACGCCAAACTACCAACGAAAAAACATATTTTCCATGTTGCTTCTCCCGTGCCGTATATTAATTAACAAGATCAAGTTTTTTTTGCAAAGAATGCACTCAGCTGTGGGATTTGTATTGCTGGCAGCCAAAAAGTAAACATTGAAAAGACAAAATATTGAACCAATCGGGGAATATTTAAAATACTTTCATTTTTCATTGAATAAATATAAAGTAAATTATGCGTGCACTTGCAAATGCGCCAAAATATCCTATTTGCTCGATCACATTTTTTGTTAAAAGTTTTTTTTGAAGAAAATGTTCTAAATAGTTGTTAAATCGGCGCAATATGCTTTTGCGCGCGTGGACTTTAATGTTTTCGAAATGAACCGAGCGCCCTTGTAATTTCAAAATTTAAATCGGGGTTTGATTTATGCCAGCACAAAAAGGTGATTACAATCAGTCGATCACCACATGCATAATGTGCACGAGCTGGGGCTCGCATTCTCCATTTTGTGACGTGGTGGTATTGATACCCGTGGTCTTGTGGTCAACCCGAAAGCAGCGGCCACGTCTTTTTTCCGCTCAACCCTCTTTTTCACTTCTACATAATATATCAGCGCCATTTTCTCTATTGACTTTTTATTTTTGCTTTTTCGCATCCACACACCTTTAATCCGAAAGAATAAATAATACCGCTTCTGACTTTGCAATGGCCGATCAGTTGCCAATTACGTTTCAGGAGTATGTGAAGGTAAGACACAAAGCCGTACCACCACAAATAGCAGAGCAGCAGCAGCAACGAGCACACAACAACAGCTTTTTATTTTAAAAAACGGGCAGGCTCTCCAGATGAGATTGCTGGCGTTTCGACAAAATTCGCAATTTACATTTTAATTTGCTCATCTACCCTTTACCTTTTATTTTTATTTTTGAAAACGTAGCTCCCCGAGCTGGGCATTGACATAAGCAATATAAGCTTCAATACACTGACGCTCCAGTCAGACAAATTCATTTGCATTCGCGAGAAAACAGCACAGCGCGAGCAGGTATGTATCGTGGACTTGCAGGACACGTCAAAGACGTTCCGCCGGCCCATCACGGCCGACTCTGCCATCATGAACCCTGAGAACACGATTATCGCCCTCAAGGCTGGCCGCAACCTGCAGGTGTTTAACCTGGAGCTCAAGGCGAAGGTCAAGTCGTGCCTAATGAATGAAGATGTGCAGTACTGGCGCTGGCTCACCGCTTTTGACATCGCCCTGGTCACAGAGACCTCCGTGTTCCACTGGTCCATCGAGGGCACGTCGTCGCCGGTAAAGCAGTTTGAGCGCCACGCAAGCCTCAATGGCACCCAAATTATCAGCTACTGCACAAACGCCAAGATGAACTGGATGGCGCTTATCGGTATTTCCGCTCCCCAGGGCCGCATTGTGGGCAGCATGCAGCTGTACAACAAGGACCGCAGTGCCAGCCAGCCTATCGAGGCCCATGCCGCCGAGTTTTCCGAAATTTGGCTGGAGGGTGCGTCGCAGCCAACGCAGGTGTTTGCCTTCACCTCACGCGGTGCAGCTGGCTCCAAGCTGCACATCGTCGAGATTGACCATGTCGACGGCAACCCGCCGTTTCAGAAGCGCTCGACCGATGTGTTCTTCCCGCCCGAGGCTGTAAATGACTTCCCCGTCGCTATGCAGGCTGGTCCCAAGTACGAGCTGGTCTATATGGTGACCAAGTTTGGCTTCATCCACTTGTTTGATCTTGAGACAGGCGCGTGCATATTCACCAATCGCATTTCGGGCGATACAGTCTTTGTCACGACGAAGCACGAAAACGGAATCATTGGAGTCAACCGCAAGGGCCAGGTCCTGTCGGTCAGCGTTAATGAGGATACGATCATTCCGTACATCCTGCAGAGCACTGGTAACGTCGAGCTGGCTTTCCGCATGGCCTCGCATGCCAATCTGCCTGGCGCCGACCAGCTCTATGTGCAGCGCTTCCAGCAGCTCATGTCGCAGGGCCAGCACGGCGACGCAGCCAAGATGGCCGCCAGCTCGCCGCGCGGCATGCTGCGCACAGAGAATACGATCAACCAGCTGAAGCACCTGCAGAGCCCACCGGGGCAGCTGTCACCTATTCTCCAGTACTTTGCTACTATTCTCGAGAAGGGCGAGCTCAACCGCTACGAGTCCATCGAGCTGGCACGCCCAGTGCTTGTGTCGAACCGCAAGGCCCTGCTGGAGAAGTGGCTCAAGGAGGACAAGCTTGAGTGCAGCGAGGAACTTGGCGACATTGTGCAGCCGCACGACGCGACGCTGGCTCTTTCGATTTACCTCCGCGCCAACGCGCCGGCCAAGGTTGTCATTTGCTTTGCCCAGTCTGGCCAATTTGACAAGATTGTGCTGTACTGCAAGAAGGTGGGCTACACTCCCGACTGGGTGTCGCTGTTGATGCAAGTCGCGCGCCTGGACGGCGACAAGGCGTGCGAGTTTGCGCTGGCGTTGGTCAAGGAGGAGCCCCCACTTGTTTCGGCCGACCAAGTTGTCGGCGTGTTTGCCAGCCAGAACCTGGTTCAGCAGACAACCCGCTTTCTGCTCGATGCGCTCAATGCTGACAAGGAGAGCGACGCCCACCTGCAGACAAAGCTGCTGGAGATGAACCTGCTGAACGCGCCGCAGGTTGCCGACGCCATTCTAGGCAACAACATGCTCTCGCACTTTGACCGGCCGTACATTGCCCAGCTGGCCGAAAAGGCCGGGCTCTACCAGCGCGCCCTTGAGCTGTACGATAACCTCGACGACATCAAGCGCGTCGCCGTGCACACTGAGGTTCTCAACGCCGAGTGGCTTGTCAATTACTTTGGCAACCTGTCTGTCGAGGACTCGCTGGCTGTGATGCGCCAGATGCTGGAGCACAACATGGCACAGAACCTGCAAATAGCCGTGCAGGTTGCAATTAAGTACAGCGAGCTGCTGGGCCCACAGAAGATCATCGACATCTTTGAGGAGTGCCGCTGCAGCGAGGGTCTGTACTACTATCTGGGTTCAGTGGTCAATGTGTCCGAGGACCCTGCAGTTGTGTTCAAGTACATCCAGTCGGCGGTGGCTACCGGGCAGATCAAGGAGGTCGAGCGCATTGTGCGCGACAACAACCACTACGACGCCGAGAAGGTTAAGAACTACCTGAAGGAGGCAGCGTTGCCAGACCAGTTACCGCTCATCATCGTCTGCGATCGCCATGACTTTGTGCACGACCTGGTGCTTTATTTGTATTCCAACGGAATGAGCAAGTACATTGAGGTTTACGTGCAGCAGGTCAACCCGGGCCGCCTGCCGCAGGTTGTCGGCGCTCTTTTGGACGTGGACTGCGACGAGCACGTGGTCAAGTCGCTGATTGCATCCACGCCGCCGCAGTTCTCGGTCGCTGACCTGGTCGCCGAGATTGAGAAGCGCAACCGCCTCAAGATTCTGCACCGCTGGCTGGAGGCCAAGGCCAGCGAGGGGTCGCAGGACTCTGGCGTCTACAATGCTCTCGCCAAGATCTACATCGACAGCAACTATGAGCCCGAGCGCTTCCTGTCGTCGAACAAGCTGTATGACCCGCTCATCATTGGCGCTTACAGTGAGAAGCGCGACCCTGGTCTGGCGTTTTTGGCGTACTCGCAGGGCCAGTGCGACGACGAGCTTCTACGGCTGACCAGCGACAACGGAATGTTCAAACAGCAGGCGCGTTATCTGGTTAAACGGCGCGACTTGGGTCTGTGGAGCAAGGCCCTGCTGGGAGACAGCGTGCATACGCTTAACCAGAGTCACCGGCGCCAGCTCATCGACCAGGTTGTGTCGTATGCCCTGCCCGAGGCCGACGATCCCGAGGAGGTTTCTGTGTGCGTCAAGGCATTCATGGGCGCCAATCTTCCGAACGAGCTGATCGAGCTCCTCGAGCGCATCATTCTCGAGGACACGCCGTTCAGCAACAACAACAACCTGCAGAACCTGCTGATTCTGACGGCTGTCAAGGTGAGCCCACCGCGCGTGGCTGACTATGTCGACCGCCTGAGCAACTATGATGCGCCGGACATTGCCGAGATCTGTATCAACAATGGCCTGCACGAGGAGGCGTTTAACGTGTACAAGCGCTTTGAGGTTAACACTGCAGCGATTGGTGTCTTGATCGACCACGTCGGCTCGCTGGACCGCGCATATGAGTATGCGGAGCGGTGCGACCAGCCCGACGTGTGGAGCAGGCTTGGCAAAGCGCAGCTTGAGGGGCTGCGCATCAAGGAGGCCATCGACTCGTACAACCGGGCCGATGACGCGAGCAACTACGCTGAGGTTATCGACGTGGCTTCGCACGCGGGAAAGTTTGACGATCTCGTACGGTTCCTGTTGATGGCGCGCAAGAAGGTGCGCGAGCCGGCGGTCGAGTCGGAGCTTTTGTTTGCGTACGCCAAGACTGAGCGCCTGTCGGATCTCGAGGACATGCTGCGCGGGCCAAACATCGCGCAGGTGCAGAAAGTTGGCGATCGCTGCTACGACGAAGGCTTATTCGAGGCAGCGCGACTGCTGTTCCAGAGCGTGTCCAACTGGGCGCGACTGGCGTCAACGCTGGTACGCCTTGGTGACTACCAGTCTGCGGTTGATTGCGGACGCAAGGCCAACTCGACCCAGGTGTGGAAGGACGTCAACGCAGCGTGCATTGCCGAGAAGGAGTTCCGCCTGGCCCAGATTTGCGGCCTGCACCTGATTGTGCATGCAGAGGAGCTTGAGCCGATGATCAGGCTTTACGAGAGCAGTGGACATGTTGACGAATTGTGCTCGCTCATTGAGAACGGCCTTGGGCTGGAGCGCGCACACATGGGCATGTTCACAGAGCTGGCCATTCTGTACTGCAAGTACCGCCCGGAGCAGATCATGGACCACCTGAAGCTGTACTGGTCGCGCATCAACATCCCCAAGGTTATCCGCGCGTGTGAGTCAGCGCACCTGTGGCCCGAGCTTGTGTTCCTGTATGTGCACTACGACGAGTATGACAACGCCGCGCAGACGATTATCGAGCACTCTGCGGACGCGTGGGAGCACGCGAGCTTTAAGGACATCATCGTCAAGGTATCGAATGTTGAGCTGTACTACAAGGCGTTGCGCTTTTACCTCAAGGAGCAGCCCCTGCTCCTGAACGACCTGTTGAATGTGATGATGGGGCGCGTCGATCATACACGCGTGGTCAGCATGTTCCTAAAGTCAGACAACATCCCACTGATCAAGACATACCTCGTGTCCGCGCAGTCGACCAACAACAAGGCGGTCAACGAGGCGTACAACGACCTGCTCATAGAGGAGGAAGACTTTGTGGGCCTGCGTAACTCGATCGACAACCACGACAACTTTGACGGCATTGGTCTCGCGCAGAGACTGGAGAAGCACGAGCTGCTCGAGTTCCGTCGCATCGCAGCGCATCTGTACAACCAGGCCAAGCGCTGGAAGCATTCGCTGAGCCTGTCGAAGAAGGATAAGCTGTACAAGGATGCAATGACCACAGCGCGGCAGTCGGGCAATACCGAAATTGCCGAGGATCTGCTGCGGTACTTTGTCGAGTCAGGCAATCCGGCGTGCTTCTCGGCATGTCTGTTCACCTGCTACGATATGGTTCGCTCGGACGTCGTGATGGAGCTGGCTTGGAGGCATGGGCTGACTAACGAGGCCATGCCGTATTTTATCAACCTTATGCGCCAGTACCAGGGCAAGGTGGATGCGCTGACGAACGAGGTTAGCGAGCTTAAGGCCAAGGTCGAGCGCGGGGCCGGCGGCAATGGGGCCGCTGCTTCTGCCGCCGGGAGTGGTGCTAATCAGCTCATGGGGCCGGCCGGCCTTGGCGGGCGGCTTTTGCTTGGTCCAGGCGGCCCGGCTCCGAATGCGTTTGGCGGACAAGGTGGGCCTGGCAGCATGAACGGGTCACAGTTTGGCGGGTTCTAGGGTGTCTTTCTTCTTTAGATTTGATTTACGTGTTTTTTGGTCTCAATGGTTGCAGTTATATGGTTCTAGTCGGAAGTATGACTAAATTTAATCAGCTGAAAGAAAAATGAGACTTCAAACTGGAAAAGGGAAATTAAAAGCCAAACGGAGAAAAACTGGCTGCTGTATTTTTCACACTCTAACTTTATATAGCTTTGACTGTGCTTTAAAAGTTGGAATGTGAGAATATAGTCCTCTTGTTTAAGTGAATTATTTTGCTTTGCTGACAGCAGTGTGTACAAGTAATACTTTGCTAATTTGTCAGCCTGTTTTTCTTTTCTCCTCAACTCATTGTTTTTTTTTTTTTAAAAAAATTATATTTTATATTATTCAACACATATTTTGGCAAGCATTCGGGTTTACATAATAAGCAATATAGTTTGCTTAAAAATAAAACAAAATGATATAGAGGAATACAGTGTAGGTTTGGATAAAAGTGACGACACTGCCTGGGATGATAATTCTATTACAAGACAATTAGGCTTGTTGATTAAACGCTATGGCTACTGCAAATATTCAACTACAAGTTCAACAGGAAGTGGTATAAATCCCAAAACAATGCTAAAAACAGCTAAAAAAAACAAAACAAAACATAGTGTACAGAGTTAAACCCATTTGTTTTACGGTAAATGAAGCATACTCTAATACTGATTGTACCTTCCACACTAAATGTCCTCAATAATATTTAAGAAATTAAGGATAACATTTTAAAAGATTGTGGTATAAGCCCTACTGTTGAGCAGCCTGATGATATGGAAGTGGATGCTGATGAAGACTCGTTTCACGATTCTTAACCTCAACATGCCAATTAGCAGGGCATTACTGGTACCATACATGATCAAATCAGGGGACACAATAATGACACCCTGATATACCCCTACCCCTCCCTTCTATAATGCATATGCGAAGATCATAGCCTTAACACGCCAAGTCACCAGTCTGTCTACAAAAAAACCAGTTCTCACCAACGGGGTGCTCAATCGGTAAAGTACACAATAAAGGCAATGAAACATATATATAAGATGAGACCAGCCCTAGTTCTACTTTTGATTCCATTGATAATAAAAACGTTTATAAATCAACCAAACATACTTTTACCACTAGGCGACTAGCGCTTTACCCAAATCACCGCACTCTTATTATAACACTACCACGTATACCCTAAAGTATAAAATAAACCTCAAGACGAATCTGCTAAAATTTATGAATTTTCAAATACTAGAATTCTAAAACATATGCTTGTGGTATGATTTTGATCGATTAAAAGTAATGAAAAATGTTAAACACACAGAGTCCATAGCTTACACGCCATATTAAATGAGGTAAAATAATAAGCACAGCCATTTGATTCACATGCTTTTTTAGATTATATTTTTTTGTATGTGATCATGTCTTTTCATATTAGTTTGTTTCTAATTTGTTTTCCATCAATACATTTATGACCATTAACAGACATTAACAACCAACCAATTAACTATAATATACTTTGTTTTCAGCTACTGTGAGAGATTAGATTCACTTGTTTGCATGTGTAATATTTATCATAGTACATATTGTGAAAAAAATAACCTAGTTGCACAGTTAAAAATGGTTTATACGAATACGAAATATGAAATACGATTTACAAAAAATAAATTATTATGTTGATTTAATTATGTTGATCAATTATTTTTTTACCACCACCACTTTTTTTTTTCTTCCTTCTTTCTTGACTTGCATCTGATCAGGGCGTTGCACAAAAGTATTGGCAAATGAACTTGATCTCAACTAACCATTCCCGTCCATAGTTTTATTTTTGTTTTCTTCACAGCTGTTTTGTTTTTATATATCTTTTTTTGTCACATTCTTCATTTAAAAAAATTTATACATTAATAGAAACAAAAAGAATAGTAAAAAAAAATGGGCGTGGCAGAGACAAACAGTAGCAGTAGCAGCAGCAGCAAACATGATGCCAAACGCAAGCGATCCACAGAAGGCAAAAACAAGGATCAGTCTTCTAAGAAAAAAGCCGAGGATTCAGCAACAAAGCGGGCCAAATCAATCGAAGAAGCAGATGCAGTCAGTGCTGAGCAGGTGCGGGTAACCAGCGCAAAAGAGGAGTTTGAGAAGGATATGCAGATATCGTTCAAGCATTCGGAGGATATTGAACAGGCACTGGACACGAGAAACAGTGATTTGCTGATTCAAGGTAAGAAAAACAAGAATATATATCTTGTATGGTGTAAAATCGACCACAAATGCAGTCTGAGAAGATTAATGGATGGGAAAAGAAAAGAAACTAACATGTATAAATTTTTTTTTTTAGGGTTTACGCATTTGCGGGAGCACTTGAAGATCTGCAACCAATGGGGAGGCAACCGGTCGGCAGAAGAGGGCGCAGAGCAACGTGCACATCGGGAGCAATGCCAGCGGGTAGTCTACCATTGGGCGGAGAACTCTGAAGGCTTCCAAGCAATTGAATCAGCCTGGCAACAAGCACACACCAATTCAATCGCACGCCTCGACGGGCTCATCCCAGGCGTAGTCGGCGGGCTCCTGGTCTGCCTGGACAACGCCGGAACAATGAAGTTTGGCAACCGATTGATCCGCATGGTTCTCGACAAGTTCCTCAAATCCCTCTACCGATCTCTCAACACCGCACGATCCACGGCGTGTGCCTCCGCCCTGCAGCTATTGTACCAAATGGTTGTGTTTGCGCGCGGCGAGCATGCGGACGAGGTTAGACATGCGTTTGACTGGACGATGAAGAGCCTGGAGGAGCTCCCGCATGTGCGCTCCAGCGTTGTCGGGTTTAGTATTAGGCGGCTGTGGATCAGATTTGTGATGGCGTTCTTTTCTGTCGACCGGTGTCGCACGTATAACGAGCTCTTCAGGAGCGGCAGGCTGGTCGGTGGACTATTCCACGGCGTTGAGCGCGACTCGTACCAGGAACTGCACACCCTTTTGGCCACGGTCTATGAGAATATTGTGCTGAATGACGGCATTGGCAAAGCTGAAAAGGTGAGGCTGTTTGGCGTGCAGCTGATGGGCAATCTGGCCAAGGCTGCGAAGAACACAGTGGTGGTTGACGCTAAGGCTGTGGGCGTCGAGGCCGTGGCACAGTTTGTGCCCGGCAGTGCGCGGAGGGACGAGAGTGTGGCGGCGGCTGGGCGCGACAGTGTGGCGGCACTGGTGTTGCGGTTCTTCCGCGGCATGATGACGTTCCCGGGCCACGGCATCTGCTTTCCGCAGCACGGGCTGTACCCGGCGCCGCGCCAGCAGCAGCAGCTCTGGGCGTCCAATGAGAGCAACGACGACGGCGACGCGCTCGAGGCTGTGGTCACCGTGACCAAGCGCGCAACATCGGCGGAGATCAGCGACCTGTGCAACAGCCAAATCCTGCGGATCCTCATAGCATGCATCAGCCCAGCAGCGTCGCGGCGCATGGGCGACCTGGCAGTCGACATCATGCGCGTCAGCCCGGAGCTGATTGCGCCGTTCTGGCGCAACTACGGGGCGTCGCTCGAGCCGCGGCTCTCGCTGCGGTACCTGGGCAACACGGCATTCGCCACCAAGGTCATGAGCCTGGAGCTGCCGCTGCCGCCGCAGGATAGCGGAGATGCAAGGTTTGGGCTGCCGCCGCGCGTCAGCACGCTGGCCGAGCACGTGTGGCCGCTGGCGCTGCAGCGGCAGATGGTTGGGCGCGGGCTGCAGTTCCGCGCCTCCCCGCTGGTGCGCTACCGCTGCCTGCTGCTGGCCGACGTGGCGCTGCGCAAGCTGGGCGACGCGCGCGCGTGGATCCGCAGCGAGGCAGCCAGGGCCGGTGCGACAGCCCCGTGGGCGCGCGGTGGGCGCAGCTGGAGCAGCGGCTGCTGGCCGTGGTCAAGCAGCGCGTGCCCGAGTGGAAGCTCGTGGTGGCCGTGCAGCGCGAAGCCATGGGCGAGGCGGGCTGGGCGACCGCGAGGCCGAGTGCCGGCGCGCCGTGCTGGGCAACGTGCTGATGCGCGTCATGAGCGCGTACCAGCGGCACTTTGGCGAGCTCGTCCTGGAGTCCAACTTTGAGTTCGGGCGGCTGATTGCCGACATGCGGCCGGACGGCGTGCTCGCCGGGGGGCCAGTGCGGCCGGCGACAGGGAGGCGGCGCGCAGCCCAATGGCCGCACACACGCTGCTGCATCTGCTGCGCGCATTGGCGGACGCTCCGGCGGCGGCCGCGCACACAAGGTGGCTGGCGCGCGCCAAGCCGGCCGACGAGCACACGCACCTGGGCGGCGTCCTGATGGTGTTCCTGTGGGCCAGCCAGGCGGCGGTGCGCCTGGCCGCGCGCGACGTCGCCCTGGGCGTGCTGCGCCAGGCCGCCGGGCTTTTCGACCACGACGCCAGCGAGCCCGCAGCCTGGCTGGCGGCGCTGGCGGCGCTGGCGTCGCCGCAGGCCACGCGCGGCGCGCGCATCCCCGTGGCCACCGCCGAGCAGCTGCAGCAGGCGCACGCGCTGGTGGGCTTCGTCGAGGCGGCCGTGGCGCACGCCGCCAAGCAGCCGTACAAGTACGCCGACCGCATCCACGCGGCGGCGGCGGCGGCGGCGGCCCATGGCGGCGAGGACGCCGGCGGCCGGCTGGCGTTCAGCCCGCTGATGGCCGCCGTGGCCGAGGCCGCCGTGCTCAAGGCCGCCGCCGGCACCGGCGCCTGGCCGCTGCGCTGCGCGGCGCTGCACAGCCGCAGGCGGCCGCCGAAATGCAGACCAACGCGGTGTTTGCGCTGGTGCGCGAGGCCGCGTGCGCCGTCGCCGAGGCCAAGGGCGCCCGGGCGGCGCGCGCGCTGGGCGGGTTCCTGCGCGTGGCGGCGGCCGACGCGCTGCGCGCGCGCGCGGCCAAGACGCACGACGCGGCGGAGCGCGCGCACTACGGCGTGGTCGAGCGCGCGTTCGGCGACGCGCTGGGCGGCACGCTGGCGTACCTGGACCTGGTGGCCGGCGGCAGCCCCGGCGCCGGCCCCGCCCCGCCGCCGGCCTGCTGCGCCACGCGCCCGCCGCCCGCCACGGGGCTTTCGCCCGATGCGCTGGCCGCGGCGCTGGCGTCGGGCGTGCCGGCGCGCGCGCTGGCGCTGTGGCTGGTCGGCCAGGCGCACGTGGGCGCGCGCGGCCAGGCGCCGCTGGCCGCGGCCATCCAGTGGATCACGCGCACGCAGCGCACGGCCTCGGGCGCGGGCGCGTCGCTGTGGGACGCGGCCGAGTTCCGCGCGGCGGCGCCGTTCCTGCTGCAGATCGACGACGCGGCGTTCCTGCAGGCGCTCCTGCGCCACCTGCTGGCCGCGCGCCACGCGGGTGTTTTGGAGGGCGCCGGCGCGCAGCGGCTGCTGGCGCACGTGCTCGTGGCCGCGCGCGGGTCGCCGGGCTTTGTCGCCGTCGCGCGGCTGCTGCTGCGCCGCGTGCTGCGGCCTGCGGCCGGGCAACGGCGGCCGAAACGGCGTTTGTGTTTGCGCTGGTGGCTGCGCACGCGGACTCGCTGGCGGCCGGCGCGCGGCTGGCGGCGCTGGCGGCGTACGCCGAGGAGGCCGAGGCCGCCGACGTGGCGGGCGCCGGGATGCCCGCGTTTGCGCTGGCGGCGCTGGCCCGCCGCTCGGCGCGCGCGTGGCTGCCAGCCGCCGACGCCGCGCGCATCTGGCGCCCGCTGGCCAGCGCATCGCCGCGCTTGGCGCCGCGCGGCATGCGCTGGGCCTGGCGCTGGTGCGCGTTGTGGCGCCGGCCATGGGCGCCGGTGCGCGCGGCCGCCTGGCGCGCAGCCTTGGCGGCAGCCTTGCGGCGCCCGAGAGCGCGCAGGACGTGTGCGCGGTGGCCACCACGGTCTTTGCGCTGCTGGCCGCTGGCGGCCCGTGCGATGGCGATCTGCGCGCGATGCGCGATGCGCTGGCCGCGCGCGTCGTTGCGCTGTGGACGCGCGCGCTGGACGACCGCGCGCTGCTGGCCGCCGCCACGCTGGCCACTGCCCAGGGCGCGGCGGGCGCGTCGCAGCCGCTGCTGCCGCTGGCTGCGCGCATCGACCTGGTGCGCGGCCAGCTGGCCGCGCCGCGCCAGGCGCCGGCCGCCGACTGCGTGGCGGTGCTCGACCGCCTGCGGGCGGCTGCGTCGTTCGAGGCCGGCGCCGGCGCCCGCGTTGTGCTCGGCCGGCTGCTTGCCGGCGACGCGCGGCTGCGGCGCGACGCGTGCGCGTGGGCGGAGCGCGCCGCGCTCGAGCCGCGGCCGCGCGTGCGGCTGCTGGCGTGGCTTGCGCACGTGCTGGCCGCGCGCTGTGCGCAGACCGTCGGCGCGCACATCGTCTGGGCGGCGGGGGCGCCGATGGCCGCGCGCGTGCGCAGCCTGTGCCTGGCGCTGGGCGCGGCCTCGGCGCCGCCGACATCGCCGACCGCGCCGCGCTCTTTGTGGCCAACGCCTTTGTGCAGGCCGCCGACGACTCCGCCGCCGCGCGTGCCTTGTGCAGCGGCGCCGACCGGGCGCTTGGCTGGGCGCGGCGGAGCTTGTGCGCTCGCGGGCGCTGCGCCAGGGGGGTGCGCGTGAGCTCGTGGCTGCGCTGGGCGACGCGGCGATCTGGCGCAGCGCGCGGTGCCTGCCCTGCTGCTGCGCCGCGCCGCCGCTTGGCGCGCAGCCCGGGCTGCTGCGCCGTGGGCCTCTGTCGCTGTGCTGGCGTCGGCCATGGGCCACTTTGCCAGCGCGGCGCGGGCGCGGCCACGGGCGCTGCGGGCGACGTGCTTGGCCGCTGCTTTGGCTGCGTCGACGCCGTTGTGCGCGCCGCCTGCGTGCCGCTCGACGCGGCCGCCGCATACATGCCGGCCGCCGAGGCGCAGCTGCTGGCCACGCGCCCGCCGGCCGCGGTGTTCCGCCTGGCCGCGCAGACTGCGCGCGCGGCGCACAGCATTTCCGGCGGCCAAGCGCAGCCGCCCGCGCACCCGTGGTTCGCCACCTTGCGGTCGCTCCTCGCGTGCCGGCTGTTCAGCCTGCGCATGCAGGACGCGGCGCTGCGCGACTCCCTGGCACTCCTCATTGGCAGCCTGTGGCGCTGGCGCAGCCGTCGCTGTCGCGGTGGTCGGCGAGCTTCGACGACTATTTTGCGCTGGACGAGATCGAGGCGCTGGCGGGCGCCTATGGGGCCACGGGCACGGCGGCGGACACGGTTCTGCTGCGTGTCATTCGCGAGTACGAGGCTGTGACGCGCCAGAGCGTGCAGCGCGTTGCGCTGGTCTTCGGCCCGACTGCCGCGCAGGCGTATCTGCGCGAGCGGCTCGGAAGGGCGCAGTACTTGATTGAGCGCGACGAGAATGTCCTGGGCGAGGTTGCCGACGACACTGTGGCCGCGGCGCTGGCGTCTGTGGACCCTGCGCGCATGCTGCGGTCCATGGTCGAGTTCCCCGTCCATCGCTGTTTGAGCCGCGCGGTGATGCTGCTATGCTGGAGCTCATTGCTGCTGCCGATGGACCGGTGGTCGTGGGGGATAGGGCGGCGGAGAACTACGATGCGCAGTTTATTGTGCCGTGGCTTTGGGCGCTTGTCTCTGGGTCGCACGCGATTGACCTGCGGCGGCTCATCGAGAGCAACTCGATTGGAATGGCCATTGTTGCGCTGTCTTCGGCCAGCTTGCCGATGCGCAAGCTGGCCTTCTTCGTCATGGACTGCTTCTACGCCAAGATCGCCGCCTCCGACAATACCCTGCACAGTGGCCAGCGCCAGTGCGTCCTGCTGCTGGATGCCCTGCGCAACGCCATCACCGACCGCTCGGACGATAGCTTCCCGCTTTTGCCGCTGTCCACCACGCTCTTTGTCGCCACGTCGCTGCCGGTTATGTTGCACCCGGAGCACGCCATGTTCTCGGACATCAACCGCTTGCTGCTGAAGCGCCCTTCTTGGATCTCGGCGAAGTGCCGCTTTTGCGCTCGACGCTTCGGTCCTCTGCTGCAGGTGCGCGGCGCCAGCGCGTGCATTTGATCCGCGTGGCGGCGCAGAGCGCCAGGGTGCCGATGGCTCCGCAAAGTGGCTGAGGAGAAGCGATCTGGTCAATGTTGTCTTGGCCTTGGCTGCAAACCCCCTGGGCGATGTGCTGACGGGGAGATCGGCGTTGACTCTGCTGTTCCATCTGACTGGCTTGGGCAACCCCAAGTCGCTCGTCCGACATGTATCCAAGGGTGGCGTTTCACTTGTTGCGTGGATCCGCGCCCAGGTCGGTTTGGAACTCAACTCGCTTTCGGGAATGGCTGCGCAAATCCACACGGAAAAGATATCCATCGGTGGTGGCAGTGGTACAAGCACTGGTGGTGGCCAGGAGTTTGATGGTTCCTTGGTGGTTGGTGTCCGCGCATCCTTGGTTAATTTGACAGCTCTGGTGCGTATTGTTCTGAGGGCCGTGGCTAATTACCCGCTGACGCAGTTGCGCGAAGGACTGGTGTTTAATAAGTTCTGGGTCATTCAGGGTCAGGAGCAGGCTGCGGCGGTGGGACAGAGTGCGGTGCTGGAGATGTGCCGTGAAATCCTCCACGTGCTTGTAAGTGCACTTTTGTGATACACCAAGGTGGAAGCTCGGTGAATTTGGAGGAGGAGACTTGGCGTTGGTTGCGGTTTGCTTGGACTCGACTGCGCTGCTTGTTTCTATGCAGCACAGCAACAGAAACAGCAGGAGCAGGAGCAGAGCAGACGGTGTGTTCGTTGATGCCGGCACGTCAGGTTTACGATATTTCTGGGAGTGTCTTGGATGTACTTCGGGTTATTGAGCTGCGCGTGAGCTTGGATTCGGACACCATGAAGGATCCCACCTTGGTAACAGCGGCAGCAGCGGCGGATTGGCGAACGCTCTGGTGATTGCCCGGGCGGTTTCCGTGAATCCCTGTTTGATACTTTGCCTTCCCGGGTGGTTTACCCTGCAATTATCAAGACTCTTGTTGCTCTGTGTTTGAACTCACACTTTGCTTCATTGACAAGAGCACCGACGGTGGTGGCTAGGGATGTTGTTGAAAGAGCATTGGTCGTTGGCGTGCCTGAGGTTGTTCGGGCTATTGGATGTGTTATTGAGGATGGTGATTTGTCTGATATGTTCAAAGCTGCTGTGAATATTTAATCAAGTAAAATGCAAAGCGGTGTGGTTCCTTTTTTTTGTTTTCTTTCTTTCTTTTAATGGATTTGTTTGTTGCTTTTTAGTCATTGTATTTAAATATGGATATTTTATATAATGAAAAATCCCTTTCATTTCACTTCTTTCTTTCTTTCATCATTATTTTATTTCTATAAGCGAAGCCCCTTGATCACAGAAAAATATAAATGAAAATAAAGAATGCATCCACACAACCCTCTCTCTACGTTTCACAAAATATGCCAAAAAATCCATCATG